GACCGCGACCGCAAGCCCAACGTACACGTTCGCGATAAGCTCAATCTGTTGCTTTCCAAGGGACCGCTCGAGGAAATCACATCACACGAGCGAGACGATATCTGGAAGTTCCGATACTTCTTGCTACGTGACAAGCGGGCCTTGACCAAGTTTGTCAAGTGCGTAAACTGGAAGAATCCACGAGAAGCCCGGCAAGCTGCACCCTTGCTCGATAAATGGGCAGAAATAGACGTCGATGACGCGCTCGAACTCCTTGGACCCCACTTCGACCACCCCGTAGTACGAAGCTACGCTGTCGAGCGGTTGAAGAAGGCCGACGACGAAGAGCTCCAGCTCTACCTTCTACAATTGGTGCAAGCACTCAAGTATGAAGCACCAGGCGAAGGTGATGATTCGTCACTGGCGCGTTTCCTGGTTACTCGCGCAGCCAACAGCTTCACACTGGGCAACTTCCTACATTGGTATCTCATGGTGGAGATCAGCGACTTCAGCACCGACCAGGAGCCAGAACATCGTGAACTCTTCGCCAAGGTCGAATACGACTTCATGGTTGAGCTGGAGAAGACGCCTGAAGGTGTTGAGACCCGCAAGACCTTCCAGCGTCAAGGCGAGCTCCTCACCATCTTGGCCAAAATATCAAAAGACGTGCGCTTTGGTGGAGGAGACCGACCTACCAAGCTTGCCCGTCTCAAGAAGGCGATTGCTGACCCGAAGAACGAGCTCACTAACTTCGATCCACTACCTCTGCCTCTCGATCCTTCTGTATACATCACTGGGATATCGACAGAAGACTGCAATGTTTTGAAATCTTCGTTATTGCCCATGGTACTATCCTTCAAAACCACCACATCAAATCCATATCCGATCATATTCAAGACTGGCGATGACCTACGGCAGGATCAACTTGTCATTCAAATCATCACATTGATGGATCGACTTCTTCGCAAGGAGAATCTGGATCTCAAGCTAACACCCTACCGTATTCTAGCTACTTCCACCTCCGCAGGCGCCTTCCAATTCGTCCCGTCGATGAGTATTGCAGCGGCGTGCCAGAAGCACAAAGGCTCCCTACTTGCCTACCTACGCGCTAATAACCCCGACGACAGCGCCCCGCTCGGCGTCCGGAAGGAGGCAATGGACACTTACATCAAGTCCTGCGCTGGCTACTGTGTAATAACCTACCTTCTGGGTGTTGGCGATCGTCATCTTGACAATCTCCTGCTCGCTCCATCGGGTGCCTTCTTCCACGTAGACTTTGGATACATCCTGGGACGAGACCCGAAACCCTTCGCACCAGCCATGAAGCTTTGTCGCGAGATGATTGAAGGCATGGGCGGAGTGCAGCACCCAAACTATCTCGTCTTCAAAGAGTATTCCTACACAGCATGGTCTACCTTGCGCAAGTCTTCAAATCTCATTCTCAACCTTTTCGCTCTCATGCAGGGAGCCAACATCCCAGATATCAAGGTCGAGAGGGAGGGTAGCGTGAGAAAGGTCCAAGAGCGTATGTGGCTAGGAAAGGGTGTCGGCGGTGCCAAGGGTGAAGACGAGGCAGCGAGAGAATGGGAAGGGCTCGTGGAGGAATCATTGGGTGATTGGAAGGCCGGGGTCATTGACTGGGCACATGAGTTTGTCCAGACCTATTGGCGGAAGTAAATTCAGACTACGATACAGTAAGATAGGTGGAGCTGTCGGCATAGTGTAGGAATCCATGCACATGCCGTTGTTCATTAGTGAGGCGTGCTCCATGCCAAGGCTAACCCCGCCAGATCGACGTGTTCAGGGCTAGCACGCGGCGCGTATCCCGGTGGAGACTCCGATGGAGAAGCCCCTCTCCACACACATTGAATGTTGTATGACTTCACTTACGAAACGTGCCACCGGAGGAATGCAAATGACGGGTTTCCCAATTGCGAGTACCCGCAGCATCGGTAAGCGTACGTGGAGCTATTACAATGTAAAAGACGCGTCTCTGCCCCTCCACGTCTGGGGCAGCTACACATATCCGTGAAGTCTACACGGCAACACCGACAAATACATCATGTTCACCTCCAAAGACAACCGCCTTGTTTTCACGTTCGATGCCGAGCAACTATGGATCGAGCCCTGGGGCCAAAACGCAGTCCGCGTTCGTTCCACCAAAATGCCCACCATGCCACAGGAAGACTGGGCGCTCCTTCAACAGCCCAAGATTTCAGCCAACATCGACATTGCCAGCGAGGGCGAGTCAGCAACCCTGACCAATGGCCTTGTCAAAGCTACCATCAGCAAGCGAGGCAAGATCACCATCTCAAACACCAAAGGCAAAGTTCTTTTAGAAGAATACGCCCGTAACCGCCGTGACATCGTCGACCCCAAATGCAGCGCTCTAGAAGTCGAAGCCCGAGAATTCATGCCCATTCATGGCGGTGACTACAAGCTTACTGCCCGCTTTGAGAGTCTGGATCCCAAGGAGAAGATTTATGGGATGGGACAGTACCAGCAACCCTACCTTGATATCAAGGGCACGCAACTAGAGCTCGCGCATCGGAACTCTCAAGCTAGCGTACCTTTTGCTGTTTCCTCGCTTGGTTATGGATTCTTGTGGAACAATCCGTCAATCGGAAATGTGGTATTTGGCAAGAACGTTATGAGTTTTGAGGCGTTGTCGACCAAAGTCTTGGACTACTGGGTCGTGGCTGGTGACACGCCAGCGCAGATTGTCGAGTCGTATGCCGATGCCACTGGGAAGGTAAGTCCCAATGTTCATGCCATGAGGTAAGTAAGAAGCTAAAGATATGCTGTTTCAGGTACCAATGATGCCAGAATACGGTCTAGGCTTCTGGCAATGCAAGCTCCGCTACCAGACCCAAGAAGAACTCCTCCAAGTCGCACGAGAGTATCGGAAACGGAATCTCCCTATTGATCTCATCGTAATCGACTTCTTCCACTGGACCATGCAAGGAGACTGGAAGTTCGATCCAAAGTACTGGCCCGATCCCGATGCCATGGTCAAAGAACTCGAGGAGCTGAAGATCGAGCTCATGATATCCATCTGGCCAACTGTAGACCGGCGATCTGAAAACTACGAGGAAATGGTGGAGAAAGGTCTACTCATCCGGACTGAACGTGGTGTACGAACAGCCATGACCTTCCAAGGCCAAACAATCCATTTCGACGCAACCAACTCGGCTGCACGGGAGTACGTGTGGAACAAAGCCAAGCAGAACTACTACAAAAAAGGCATAAAAGTATTCTGGCTCGACGAAGCAGAGCCCGAATACCGCCATTACGACTTCGACAACTACCGCTACCACCTCGGCCCCAACGTACAAATTGGCAACATCTATCCCCGAGAATACTCCCGCGCATTCTACGAAGGCATGGAGAAAGAAGGTCAAAAGAACATTGTCAACCTAGTCCGATGCGCATGGGCCGGCAGTCAACGCTACGGCGCCCTCGTATGGAGCGGCGACATCTCCTCCTCGTGGTCCACATTCCGCAACCAACTCGCCGCAGGCCTAAACATGGGTCTCTCGGGTCTACCATGGTGGACAACCGACATAGGAGGCTTCCACGGCGGCAACCCCGACGACGAAGCTTTCCGCGAACTCTTCGTCCGCTGGTTCCAATGGGGTACCTTCTGCCCTGTCATGCGCTTACACGGCGACCGCGAGCCACGCCAGCCCAAAACAGCAGACAGCCCATCCTGCCGCAGCGGCGCAGACAACGAAGTATGGTCGTACGGGCCCGCCGTGTACGAGATCTGCAAAAAGTACATGGGCATCCGCGAAGACCTACGTGAGTATACGAGGAAGCTTATGGAGGAGGCGCATCAGAAGGGATCGCCGGTTATGAGGGCGCTGTTCTATGAGTTCCCGCAGGATAGCAGGTCTTGGGAGGTCGAAGAGCAGTATATGTACGGGGATAAGTATCTGGTTTGTCCGGTGCTGGCAGAGGGGCAAAAGAAGACGAAGGTTTATCTTCCGCCTTTGGAGGGCGGGAAGAAGTGGAAGAGCCTTTGGGGTGAGGAGACGTGGGATGGGGGGAGGGATGTTGAAGTGGATAGTCCGTTGGAGGTTATGCCTGTGTTTGAGCGCGTCTAAGATACTATCAGTAGTTGTATCCTCAATGTCTTGAATCTAGTCGTTGACCAGACCCAATGGAGTCCAAGGTGCATCATCTTCGCTGTTGGTTCTAGTCACATCGAGGCTTTCGCAATCATAGAAAGGACCATTTCAATAACCAGCCCGAATCAAGACCAAGTCCCAGTCGGAGTCAAAGGCGCAATCTGCTTTTCAGTGTCGGTTCTGGTCGTTGCCATGTCGAAGGATGGCTTGACGATTGCAGCCCGTGCGCTCAAAGCCCCACCACTCCAAGCTCGTGATGACTTCCCAGTTATGAAGCGCGCCGTGCCCTCCGCCTGCCACTAGGTTGCATCGCTCCTGCCCCCGCATGCATCTTGGCTGGGTGACCATGATGACTGGGATGGCCTGCCCTTACTCTGATCTCGAATTCAAGCTGCCTGGGCATATATTTACGCTCTCTCCGCACACCACCTGCGTCTACTTTTCCAGACGATGACCTCCCCCGGAGCGCAGGAGCGGTCTAATGCAGTATGTTCGATTTGCGGTCGGGGTTTCGGGAAGCAAGAGCACCTCGTACGACACATGAGGATCCACACGCGCGAACGGCCCTACCCCTGCCCTTCCTGCCACAAGTCTTTCTCACGCCGTGACGTCCTCAGCCGTCACATCGCAGCGCACACTGAGCACAACGATATCGCGGCTCCGCTTCCCGCATCACGCGCATGCTTTAGATGCGCTTCAGATCGTGTCAAATGCTCGCGCGGCCAAAGATGTCGGAGATGCTTACAACGCGGCTATACCTGCGAATATCCAACACTCCGCAACGCGCGAGGCAGAACGGCGGATTCTGGCGCGAATGAGTCCGTAGACGCTTTCAGTACTGGGAACTTGCAACAAGACAATGTCAATCGCGACAGCAATGGCGAATTCAGAATGGCGGACTTCAACGATACAATAGAAGAGTCCTCTGCGAATGCATGGGCGTGGAATAGCAATGTCGACAACAACATGCTCGCTCCGGACCCATTTGGCCTACCTGGCTTGAGTCTTTCAGACGTGAACTGGTTATCGCCACAATATTCCGGCCCTGTCGATCTGGATGCACTACTTGCAAACTTCGGAGGCCAAGCTAATGGCACTGTGGAGCAATGGACATGTTCTATCGCGGCCATAACACCCTCAATACCCGCAATCACCACAACGTCACACTTATCCGATCCAGGTAGGAACGTACCCGATATAGACCGGCAGTCAAAGGATACTGTCTCCGTAGTATCTACATCGACGTCGGAAAACAGATACTATGTTGATGGGGCAGGTGCCAGAGCCCCGTTTGGTGGCAAATCTCAGCACTCGATTTGCTCAGAAGAAACCATCGACTTGCAAGATGCGGAAGCCAACGATGCTTCTGCGCCGCTTCATGCCTCCGACGAGGATACATTGTGTCCATCAGCAGCCTATCAATCTCTACTGGAGGGCATTGCTGCTGAAAGCCGCCATAGCCTCGTCGAGATGAGCGCTTTGAACTTTCCTACGTATGGGCAAGTCGTTACTTCTGTCCGCCAATACTTTGACACTTTCCACCAGGTCTTCCCCTTCCTGCGGCGATCGTCCTTTGCACAATATGCCTCTGAAAGCTGGCTCTTGCTACTCGCCGTCTCGGTTATCGGCTCAAGATACTCACAGCTATCGCAGCATTCGCGGATAAGCGATCAATTTTCTGGTCTGCTACGTGCTATTATCACACGATGTAAGTATGGTCTAGACTCGCAAAGTTCGGCAGGCAACGAGGACGTCGACTACAGTCCGAGCCCTACCCATTCTATTGCTCGCCCAGACCTAAAGGTCGTACAAGCTGGTATCCTGAACATTGCTTGCATGCTGCACTCGGGGAAGAAGGTTCTGGTTGAGCGGGCCCATGTAGAACGACACTATCTAGTCGAGGTTTGCCACGCACTAAGTCTGCTCGCTCAGACGAAGAAGTCTTACGATCTGACAAGGGCGGCGGATCCTGGGCAAAATCCCGACCTTCGCGAATGGCTGTCCAGAGAGGCAATGATTCGTACTGGGATGATGGTTTGGGTAATTCATTACTTTTGTTCCAGGAAGACGCGTAGCTAACCACCACAGACCCTCGATACGATGTTTGTCTATGAGTTTCAGGCCAAGCCTCTCATCCAGTTCGACGATATCGACGCAGTGTTGCCATGTCACGAGGATATATGGGAACAACCGGGCTTGATTCGACAAAACCAAAGGCGTCTTTCGAGTGTTACCTTTATGGAAGCACTAGAGATGGTGTACGTGGAAAAGCGCCTGCCCGTTGATCTCGGAGAGTTCAGCATGGGCCTACTTGTCAGTGCCATCTGTCGTCATACCCGGGACGTTGTAGCCCGAGATCGCATCCGTCTCAACTCATGGACTCCAACATCTACGCCACAGCGACGTAGTGATATGCCGCCGCCCATACATCAAGACTGGTTGCCGACAACGCGGTCTTCCATCAAGTGGCGCAACAGCGCCTGCGATAGCTTGGATGTCCTGCATTGGCCTGCGAATAGTAAGGTCGCACGCCACTCGGGTTTCGAGCACCACACTATTCTCCAGCTGCATCTAGCTCGCCTGATCATACTTGCGCCCACTAGCGCCATACAACGGTTCGCATCGGGATCTGCATCCAACGAAGTCGCACTAGTTGATGAAGAAGACGGACATTCATTCGCTACAGCGCGGATTCAGGTCCTACAATGGGTCATTCGAGATCACTGTAAAGCTAGACTGTGTCTGGTGCATTGTGGGGCTCTTTTCTGGCACGTCCGCAGGTACAGTCGTAGTAGCCTGTTCGAGCCATATGCAATCTACATCGCCACGCTCATACTCTGGGCTTTCTGCGTCTGCATGCATCTTCCTGAGGCCATAGAAGCCATCGCTTCCGAGTCAGATGAGGAACCGGAACCATCGTTCCTCCATCTTGACCGGCCGTTGGACGATGAGCTAGTACAGACATATGTGCGCATGGGGCATAAGATGTCGGCATACATTGCCAATGTCGGCAGTCTTGAGCTTGAAGCAGCTCCGGTGCGGATTGCGAAAGAAGGGATCTCAATTCTAGCCAAACGCTCTGGGTTTTCATCAAATCCAGACGACAATCCATCATCTTCTTCGCAAGACGCGAGTCACACATGGGGCATCGAACGGTCTTATATAAATCTGCTTCGACTTCTCACGAAAGAGCGATAATATGAATACTATGCAACATGAATCATGCAAAGTCTCGGACCTTAGGCTTTCACTACATCCCATCTCATCGGAAGAGTAGATCCTGGAAACATGTTCCCTACAGCTTCCACTTAGCGTGTCACCCGCCCTCACAATACCTCGGTCCTGCGAACAAGCCCACGATCACGGTAGTACCATAACCGACAACAGCCAAGTTCTCGTATTCTTCGGCACAATGGGCGCCGGAGCCTCACGGCGCTTCTCCATCGGGGGCCTTAGTGAAGGATCCACGCTACCGGTAGAGTGGTCACGCCCCGCACGCGTCTTCCTGGAAAATGCCGCGTCTAGGAACATCTCCACCGGAGTTGGCCTTTGCAGGAACAGGCCAAGCCTGTCATGTACCCCATGGGGTAGTCGCGTTCCGGTGGAGAAAACCTGGGGTAGCAGCCATGTTCCATGCATGGATGATTGACCGGCTTGGTGCAGGATGGCCGACTATGTATATACCGTGGCCATGTCCGTAGATCCACATACTTCACCACAACCAACAGCTCCTGAGATCTATACCCGGACTCTTTGGTCCGCCGTCTTCTTACTGCTTCTACACACCTGGTGCACGCACCGATCCAATCCGACCCATCATGGCAGACATGGACGAGAAGGCCGCGACCATGGAACACCATGAGGTCACCTTCGATCAGGCCAAAGCGGCAGCCGACGAGGAGCACGAGATGACGTTGATGCAAGCCATCCGCAAATATCCTAAGGCTGTGCTCTGGTCGGTTTTGCTATCCACATGCATCATCATGGAAGGATACGACATCGTCTTGATGAGCTCCTTCTTCGCACAACCATCCTTCTCTCGCAAATACGGAGAATTCAACGAAGGCACTGGGACATACGAGATAACGGCATCGTGGCAGAACGGACTCAGCAATGCTGTGAGCGTAGGCACTATCATCGGCGCGTTTGCGAATGGGTACTTTATCCATCGATTTGGGTACCGTCCCGTCTTGCTAGTGTCGCTTGCGTCTATTTGCGCGCTCATCTTCATCTCTTTCTTCGCGCCCAACGCTCCCGTCCTCCTCGTCGGCCAGTTCCTCTGTGGTATACCCTGGGGTGTCTTCGCAACCATGGCGCCTGCCTATGCCAGTGAGGTGTGTCCGTTAGCTCTGCGAGGCTACCTCACCGTATACGTCAACCTCTGTTGGGCATTTGGGCAACTCATCTCCGCTGGAGTGCAGTCGGCATTCTCAGGCAACAACACACAATGGGCATACCGAATACCCTTTGCTATCCAATGGGCATGGCCTATCCCACTCTTTGCAATTCTCTGGATGGCACCCGAGTCCCCATGGTATCACGTTCGCACCGGCAACCTCGAACTGGCCGAGCAAATGCTCGTCCGTCTTGGGTCTGTCTCTCAACGTGACATGGCTAAGCAAAAGGTCGCGATGATGGTTCGGACGAACGAACTCGAGAAGTCGCTTGAGGAAAACACGTCCTACCTACAATGTTTTAAGGGCATCGACCGCCGTCGCACAGAGATCGCTTGTATGGTCTTCGCAGCACAACCCATCTGTGGCTCCGTCATGGGCGGCACACCCACTTATTTCTTCGTACAAGCAGGAGTATCAACCTCAATTTCCTTCAAGATGTCCGTTGGTGGTCTCGGCATGGCATCCGTCGGCACACTCATATCCTGGGTCCTCATGAGCTACATCGGTCGCCGGAAGCTTTACCTGTGGGGTCTCGGTGGTCTAGCAGCCATCCTTTTCATCGTCGGTTTCATTAGCGTAGGCGCGGGCGACTCGTCCGGCGGTAACTACGCCCAAGCCGCCATGATGATCATCTGGCTATTTTGGTACTACATGACCGTCGGACCCATCTGCTATGCCATCGTCGGAGAAGTCTCATCCACACGTCTCCGCAGCAAGAGTGTGTGTCTAGCTCGCATCAGCTACTACATCGCGCAGATTCTCACCAACGTCATCAATCCGTATATGCTGAACCCCACTGCCGGTGATTGGAAGGGCAAGACGGGGTTCTTCTGGGGTGGAGGCGCGTTGATCTTTTTCGTTTGGACCTTTTTCCGTCTTCCAGAGACGAAGGGCAGGACGTATGAAGAGCTGGATATTATGTTTGCGGAAGGGTTGCCTGCGAGAGCGTTTGCGAAACATAGTATTGATGCTTATGCGTATGCACATGGGGATGAGGCTGATCGTAAGGTCAAAGCTGTTGAGTGAGTGCCTGGGCACCTTGTAAAGTACCGTAGTTGTCAACTCACCCCATTATATAAGGAATAGTACTGTGAATACTCATGAACCCGCTTTGATGCTGAGAACTTAGTGTGAGGTGAACTCCAGGACCCACAGGTTCTCCACTAGTGGGATTGTGGAGATAAGGGTACATAAGAACGCGTAGGATCCGTGGGCAAGGTCACTGCTCCACGCTACGACGCGTTTGCCTAGAACTTTCGAGCATCTAAAGCGATGAATCGCTGTGACACGGTAGCCTCCTTCATTCACTAATGAGTTCCACCTTCCTTTAACCAGGCGCTTTCTTCGACACCCACTCGCTTGCTAGCCACAATTTCAACGCAGCTCAACCATGGAAGTCCCTGCGAAGCCAAAGCTACCAGATGCGTACGCGGACCTCGAATTGAGCCCAGAGACCACCAACGCCGAGATAAAAGCTTCCTTCCGCCGCTTAGCTCTGCTTCACCATCCAGACAAGAACGCGCCAGGTCAAACCGTTGATGCGGCCGACTTCCGACGAATTCAAGAGGCCTACGATTTACTGAGGAATCCAGAAGATAAGGCGTGCTATGACCAGTCTTACACGAGGATACATGCACAGTGGGCCGATTACAAGAAGGAGGTTGAGGAATACGAGAAGAACCCGAGGGCGTGGCGTGAGAAGAAGTTGGCAGAAAAGACCCATGCAGACATAGAGGCAGAGCTACGCAAGGCGCAGCAACAAGGAAACAAACCGCGATCGCAGCCACAATACGAAGCTAGCGACAACGATGATGACGAATTCGGATACCGGTATGGAAGTGGCTTTGGTGGATTTGGGGGTTATGGCGGCTTTAGTGGCTTCAGCAACTTCGGCAGCTTTGGCGGCTTTGGCTGGCGATAAACCCCACGTAGCCGCGAAGAGCAGAAATGGGAAGACTTGCTCTCTGAGCGGTTACGTCGGACTTACGATGCCAAGGCCAAGCGCAGCGAAGAGGAGAGAAGCAAGGTATTTGCATTTGAAGAACCCAACAAGCGATGTGTTGAGCGGCTAAAGCAGAAAGCCAAGGCTCAGCAGGCGCAAGGTGATGGTATACGTATCGTGGATCCAGATACGAAGCGCGCAATGGCCAAGACCTGGGTCGAAAGCTTACTACGCGACTACTGTCAGGAACTCAAGAAGATCGGATTCGGGCACTCCAGGGGACCTGTCATAATGGATCTAGGCTGGGAGAGGAAGAAGGGAAGGCAGACCTGCTTGTTTTGTGAGGCAAAGGTGCAAGAATACAGTTATCAATGTCCAAGTGGTGGAGCAGTTGCCTGTCGTGGCTGCAAAAAGAAGATCGAGACGTCCTCGCTAAAGCATCCGTTCGACTTCAACAGAACTGACTCCACGACGAAGAAGGGCAAAGACAAGAGCAAGGACGACAGCAGCAAGAATGGGAACGACAAGAACGAGAGCAGTAAGAAGTCTGAGAAGACTAAGACTCCAACTGGCGCTTGGCCTGACTCTAAAGAATCCGACTCATACACCCAAGAGCAAGACCACGCAAGTGTCAATGCAGAGCTGCGGGCTGCGGAGGAAGTTGTACGTAAGGAGGAAGCTGAGCGGCAGAAGCAAGAGCGCAAAGCCGAGGAGGCACGGCGGAGAGCAGAGCGCGAAGCAAAAGCTACGCTCGCTCGAGAAGCTGCAGAGAAGGCAGCGCAAGAGAAAGCAGCAAAGGAAAAGGCTGAAGCCGAGCAAGCTGCACGAGATCGAGCGGCTGCACAAGAAACTGCCCGCAAAGTGGCAGAGAAAAAGAAGAAAGGTCGTGAGCAAGAGGCCAAAGCGAAGAAAGCTGCTCGGAAGAAGGCTGCAAAAGAGAGGGCTGCTCTTGAAAAATCGTCACAAAAGAATGCAGTTGGAGAGAAGACGCCTGTTCAAGAACTTGCCCAACAAGTACAGGACAATGCTGAAAGTGGTACCGAGAAAGATTCCGAAACGGAGAATAATACTGAACAGAGAGCAACAGAACGCGCTGAGCTGGAGGCGAAGGAGTCTGCGGCACGAGAAGCTGAAGCACAGGCTGCAGGAGAGCGTGCAGCGCGGGAAGCAGAAGAACACGCAGCACGGGAAGCCCAAAACCGGGCAGTACGAGAAGCCCAGGAGCTCGAAGAACGCGAATCCAGCGAACGCAATGCCGCAATGCGCGCAACACAAGACGACACACAAGGCGCTGTATTGAAAGCAAAAGGGAAAGCAGAGCTCGAGGTCAGAGAGATGATCGAGCATGTGGCCAAAGAGACGATCGAGCGTGTCACTAGAGAGACGGTAGAACGTGTCACCAAAGAGACCGTAGAGCGTGTTACTAGAGAGATGGCAGAGCAACAGGCCGAGAACTTCCACAAACCAGGGGATACGAAAGGGTCTGAGGTTAAAGACGAACTGATGAGAGAAGAAGAACAGCAAGCTCCAACTACCCTGCCACCTGTCAAACGCTCTGTCACCAAAGTCACGGAGGTTGTACCATCTCCATCTGGCACTGCTACTGAGATTGGACTGAACATCCAAGCAACGAGCAAGCCGTCGCCGCCAACGTATGCCCCTGCAAGGGTTATTGTTAGACTTCCAATGTCTCCCAAGCAGGATGCTAAACAGACTGGAAACGATACTAGTGATGCGCCGCACGATCCCGCGGTGCTTTCCGCTGACGCATCAGCACCACAAAAGCCTCTTAAGCGCAATAAAGCATCGAGAACGAAGGCTTCGCGTCAAGAGCCCGGCAAAGATCAAGGAATGAACGGCGTTGCTACTTCGGGCCCAAGCAAGCCAGTCAAGAAGCCAAAGGTCAAGGGCCCATTGACGTGCTACATGTGCAACGAAGCAGGACACAAGGCGAATAGCTGCCCTACGAAGACTAGACATTCAATGTTTGAGACTGTAAGGTAAAAAGACAAGGCTACATCACAATACAAGAGAGGAAGTGTTTTGCAGGGCGTTCGGTTTAAAGGAAATGATCGCACGATACCCCATAGCAATGTATGAACCAATTGGGTACGAACACGCGACTAGAAAACCAACGTGAGCCAAACCACACAGCTGGCAACAAAACGAAATCTAAAGCACTAACGCCATCTCAAACTCTACAACTCATTCCTCTCACTTTTAGTTTTAACCTTCAACGCCTCCACCGTAAACCTAACTTCCTTCTCCCCCGTATTCGTATGACTGACCTTACCAATCACCGCCCCATCCTTCGGTTCATTCGAGTAACTCTCCAACCCATCAAACACACCCTCACACTCCGCCTCTTCGGCATCATCAACCCACAGCGGCAGAATCGGGTAAATCGCGCCCGGCGCAAAGAACACCATATCATCTTGCACACTGTAGTGTCGTTGTAGCATCTCGCGCTTCAGCCACTCCCGCACTTTATACGGCATGTCTGCCATGTTCATCTTGATGAGTTCGCGGCCGGTGCCGTACACGTCGATGCCGCCCCAGGACCCCGCGTAGAGTTGCTTGTTGTAGAAGACTTTTAGTTGGGGGGCTTGTTCTTTTAGGTCGGGGTAGAGTTCGTTGAGCTTGTAGATTTTGGCGTTGTAGGTGTTTTTGTTGCGGCAGTGTTGTGTGTAGGGTTTTAGGGTTGTTGTGTCCCATTGCGCGGTCCAGAGGGCGCCTACGGGCGTGGGCTCGTCAGCTGCGGGTGTGGGGGATGGGGGTGAGGCGTCTTCGCTGGCGTAGGCGGTCGCAGCGAGAAGTGCCGGTGGTAGTAGCGAGAAGAATCGCATGTTGGAATCGATTGAGTCTCTGTATATCGAAGTGGAGTGATGGCAGACGACCTGAGGATGCAGTCGTGTTGGTTGTGGTCTCTTAATTGCGTGTAGAGTCCACAGCGTATCGCAGCCCAATCCCAGCTATATATTCCATCATCCATATTTCTTGCGTTCTGTCCTTTTCACTTCGCGCGAGGTCGCATGACGTCTCCGCGTTGATGTTCCGCTTTCCATATTAAGGGCCAGGGTTGTTAGCGACGCGACAGGAACGCGATAGATTAAAAGAACACGGTGGAAAGACGCTATGATGCTGATCGGCGTACAGCTCGCCGAGAAACTGCCCAGTGCAACTCGTTTCGTGGCTTGATGCTTGTGCTTCAGAATGGCTAAGGTTGGAGTGTGGGGGGACGCGGGGTGGAAATTGTCGCCGAAGATGCAGCGTCTGTACATGAAGAAAAATCGAGTACCGCCGCTTGTCTAGATGAGACAGAATTCTTGCTCTTGTAGTTTCCCTTCTTCAACTTCCTTCACAAGCTCACCGTTCATGATACTGTCGACATATGCTTCGCCTAGCATAAGATATTTGTCGCTTTTTGGTCGCAACACGAATGGCGCGTCACCACCATAGAGTACCACGACGATATCGCCCTCACGCATACATGCTGGGCCAATGCCGTAGTTGTATTTGGATATCAAGAAAAAGCGGCGATTCTGGCAGCGAATTATTAGAGTCGACCGGTATCGTTGTGCATCGCCACGCACGTCGTTCCAGTCTGCTGTTTGGGATGTTTGCCACCACTCAAAGAAATTTCTGAATCTTTCGTAATGAGCGGAGAGTGATTTGTTGTCAAGCGTTTTGAGGCTATCATCGTCGGTGCTATAACCAGCGGTCAATGTTCGAGCTAGATTGTGCAAAGTCGTGTCCTTTTCGGGGTCATCCCAGTCGATCTCTTCGCAAGTCTTAGCGAGTAGGCGGTGCCTCCGAAGCCCTTCAGGCTGTATTAAAGCTTTCATGTCGAATGTACTATCTACTATAGTCACTGCGGCGTAGATAATTCCGGTGAGATATAATTGCCCGCCCTCGATATGCTTCGCAGCAATATTCTGGGTCTCTCGTCTGCTACAGGCGCCAATTCCAGAAACCCCAAATTTACTACCGATCGTAGTGGTGTTGAAAGAGCAATCCCAGCGTGGCGCCCAAGATCGGTATCCATCTTCTCCATCGTAGTCTGCGTCGTGTGATATTTGCCCAAACACCGGTAATTGCTGAGTAACAGTAAGAATATGTAGAGCCGTTTCTGCATAAACATCTGCTACACTCTTCTCGTAATCCGGAATGATCGACCCAATGTCAGGTTCATTACTAACAAGACTAATGAGACCGTAGACTTTGTCTTTTGGGTCTGTTGATTGGAATCTGCGGAAATCCGACAATGTCTCGAGGAGTGACGCTCCAAAGTGATCAAAATCGTACATGTCATACACGTCCCCTACATCGATGGTGGTCAACAGACTTCCTAGTTCCCCGTCACCTTCACATGCAGCCCACTTGCTCACGATCCAACTGGCGGTTAGACCGACGTCTTTCCAGGGCAGCTCATGCTCGCCCCAAATGACAAGCGCATCCCGTGCTAACAGTACTTCCTGTACGCACCAGACTCTCGTAAACAACGGCCGAGTGAATAGCTCTTCAAGGCCACCGCATACTGTGACAGTGAATACAGTGATTGGGATTTCGACTGCTGCAAGTGTTTCATCTTCGTCTAGATCCAGGTTATGTGCTAAGCTGAACTCTCTGCATGCATTCGCGATCAACTTCGAACACTCAATGGCCGATTTGATGACGTTCTTTTCGCCGCGACCCAGCCAAACATTGACCTCTGTTGCCCGCGAGAAAATTTTGCCCATCAGAGGAACTTGATGACTCTTCTCTTGGTTGTCGACCTGATTGATGCAAAGAGCGTCGGCCCATATGATTCGAGCGGTATGCTTGAGTCTTAGCCTCACGAGAGCAAATGAAAGTTCTGGTCTGATTTTGAGGCGTTGGCCATTGCATATGATCGTGACCTTGGGTGGGTCGACCCCCCAAACGTACGATAGAGCATTGTAAACAGGTGCTTCGTCGAGGTTGACAAGCTTGAGTTCGCACTCTAGTCGTCGAGATCGTTTGGAAGAGGGCAGAATATGGAGAACACGGATCTGGTTTCCAGAAAGTAGTCTCTCAGTGTAGATTGAGGAGGCCGATCCGCTACCTGAATCATTCAATGTAGCCTGTGGGTGCCTTGAGAAGGCTGAGCGGACGTCTTGCCTGAGACGTCGGAACGTAGCTAGGCCGCGAATCCGATGATGCTGTGTGTCGGAAGGCATTGTGGCCAACGACAAAATCGTACACGATCCAAGCGTATGGTAATGTAGTGTGGTGATATATAGCGGGGTAGGATTCGACGTCAGATGGATGGAAGGGAAGGCATCACCACGCTAGTAGGATGGCTTACACGTGGGCATTCGACCCCGCTAGAAGCTTGCCTCACAGCCTTACACGGCGGCCCACTAGGGCACGAACATATTACAAGTAGCATGAGAACGCGACCGTTTGAGGAATCTATTATGAGCATTAAGGCTAATTGAAAGTGTTTCGCCGCTCCAGTCTATGCTTGGTAATCGCAAATTCTCTTCCTCAAAACTACACACATCCGCCTGGTATCTAGACTTTGGTATTCCTCGCCAGTGGCTTGAGTCCCGGCAGCGCAACTACAATGATAGAAAGAGTCATCTCTACCATACTCAAAGGATCTGCAAGAGGAAACGTTAGCTTTATTGTCGCGCAAACCGTACATGGTAACCGGGAAGGCAAACTTACAAACGAGGTTCTCTTGTCCTGTTCCAATCTTGAGGCAGGCAAAGCGCACAATGCTCGAGGCGATGGTAAGCGCACCGAGCGCAAATGTAAGAGCAACACCAGCCGACGACCTCAGAACACCCTTCACCAGAAGCACCACAGGAACAGCGTAGACCGCGAGGTAGCAAGCTAAGTTGAGAGTGAAGTTCAAGATGAACGGCTCTGGCGCATAGAATACGGAGCACGCGCCCTCTTCCTGAGACCATTGCACGGAAACCGGTGTGCCGCAGAAGAAGGTATCGTCGAAGAGGATAGTCAGGTAGCTCGCGACGACAAAAGCCGTAATACCGAAGAGCATCTTGCGCAGTCCCGGGTGACCAGCGAGGTTGAAGAACGCCCAGTAGAAAGCCAGCATGCTGAGTTTGGGGAAACCCATGCCGACATCGTAGAAGTAGTTCGAGGCAAATGAGATCTGCGCAACGGGTTAGATACGCATGAAGTGTGACTACCAGAAGAACGAATCACCTTTGACAGCTTCTCCGACGTCTCATACTCATCCAGAACGCCCATCTGATACGTGAGCGTATCGCAAATGATCAACCCCAACGCAACCAGCGCAGAAGCCAACAACAGATAATCCGACGCGTCCAACTTCGAGCGCAGACGAAATAGGCGCGTGTACATGCGTGCCGCAACGAAACAGTATGCGAAGATCAAGAGGATCCATTCTGAGATCTATCATATTGCGACATGTCAGCACTGTTTTCTTTTCGTAGATCGTTTGTTGAATCACCAACTTACCATGCAGTCTTTCCCATCAATGTAGTGTGCCATGTTCGCTGCCTGTGGTGTGACAGAGGCAGTCACGAAACAGAAAGGATAAAGCCGATGGATAGTGCGCCGCACTCACTTCATCAGCGTACTGCAAGGAGTATGTATATTGAGCCAATTCCCATAGCATGCAGGGTACTATATCCTGCCGCGCATCTGTCATGCCACAGATCCTGAAGCCATGTCTGGGCGAAGAATTCTACCGCCTATCATGCGAAACTCGTACCGGACTTCTGTCCTGGAATTGTCGAATCGAATGTCCGTGGGTCAGCCCTGCATGCAGGCGCGCGGAAGTTTGCCTGTAATTGAGGCGTTCTAGCTGCCGTGTTAGATGGGCTGATTCCAACTGTGATCCTTGCGCTTTACACACGGCTGTACCGTGTCGGTGGGTTCGGTCCATGGTAGGAGGGGCTTTTCAGGCGCATGGGACGACCGTGTGAGGTCTTGATTCCTGGGTTGTGCACCGGATCTTTGAATGAGCATCAAGACTGTGTGACTTCTAATTCGTAGTTACGCTCATTCGGCCCTTCGCTGCTGATAAGCTTGGTCAAGCATCGTAGCTTCCTTTGTTGTTCGGTTAGGCGAACCGGTGGATGAATTGTGCCAAACAAGGCCTCCCACAGCAGGCGAACCCCTCGGCCAATGCCGATCCACAGCATCAACGGCGAGATTGCGGCACAGTAAAGAGTATTTGCAGAGTTGACTGAAACTCATCGAGACACGGAGTCATGGGCTATTGCGGCTCGGCTGGAAGAACATACCGCTCGGCAGCGTTTTTCGTGGCGTGTGCGGACCGCTGTGGGCGGGATGGTAGCGCGATCATTCCGGGTTGATGCGAGTGGTCAGCCCAACGTCAAGGGTCTATTAAGTAACACTTCAATGTTGAGATGAACCGGCTGCTAATTCTCGTACAGAAAGACCTTGGCCGATCCTTCCAATTCCTTTTGCCTTCACTGCTACTAGCTACATCGCTGTGGAAATGATTCCTGAACCATACTCATGGGTACTTAGCAGGAATGTCGTGTTCCTCATCATGCGACTTTGAATATTGCACGCTAACGCGGCGCGTCTCGTAGATGACATCTTTCCTTGACATGGTGTTCAACTCTACTTCGCTGCCTGAGTCTTCATCCGTATGCACGCGGACGGTGTGCTTGCCTCTTCTGGAAGGACGCAGGAAGTTGTGCGACCCGGATGCTGGTGTTTGATGTCCATATGTGCGAGACTCCGAAGAATGTGATTTCTTGTTCGATGAGAATAGGCTGCCGCGTCGCAGGAAGGATCTCATTGACGGTAATGAGACTACCATGATGGCGACAGCCATTTCGGTCATGGAGAGGACGACTACACATCTATTAGCCATGACCCATATCGTGTTTGACTGCATATACTTACAGACGTTGGTCCAAGCATAAATGACCTCTATCGTTGCGAACCGAAGCACACTCATTGCTATCGTAACTATACCAAGTGAGAATGTCGCAACAAGACCCCAAATTTGGCGACGACGGAGCTGTAGTGAACGAAGTAGGGGGAATGGTAACGCGAAGACTGTTGGTCCGATGTTAGTGGTTCGTACGTCTCTGAATGATATAGGATTGCTCACTAAACACGTCTGATGTAATGTTGAGGCTCCAGTCGATCCTGAAAACCTCTTTGGAGCTAAAGGTATTACAGGCTCCCTCATCGGGAGACCAATTCGAAGAGACCTGGCGCCCGCACCAGAAAGTATCGAGGAAGAATGTCGATACCATGGCACTTGCCGTGAACAATGTCACTGCATAAAGTGCTTTTCGCAACCACGGCATCGTCGGAGGAATGAGTCTGAAGTATAGGGCGAGAATTGCCAACTTTGGCCAGTAGATACCAGTGTCGTAGAATGCGTTGCCGGCGAATTGTACCTTCCAATGTCAGTTCTTTGGCCTGACGGGCGCAAGCAAGTTGCGAGTCTACCTTCTTGAGCGCGATCACACGAGCTGTTGATGCATCGGTATCGTCCGTCATGCCTCCCCATATGTACGTCAAGTAGTCGGTGACGAAAAGGCCAATGGCGTCAAGAATAGATGCTATCAGAAGACTGTCGCTAACAGTGGGACACTGCCGTTGTAGAAGCCGGGGAACCAGTCGACCGGAGGCCAAGAATATGGCCAAGGCCATGAGGGTAGCCTCGATGGGCTTTGTAAATACGTTAGCAGAGTCATGATAGCAAAAGGAAGTACGTGAAACATACAATTACAGCCTCTGGAGCAACGCCGTTAGCCATGATGGAGGAGTGATGGCGAGTACACCATGAACCGGTCGATAGCCACGCGGAAAGGGATCAGATAAAAGTTATCATGTAGCGGTTCCAAATTCGAGAACATCGCTTGGGTGTATACCAACTGGTAAGACGGACCCGATACATGTCCGTCTTACCCTCCATGTGGCAAAGGTACCTGATTGCTGCAATCATACCACACCCAACTGCTCGGCTAGCAATTTAGACGGAAATAATCAGTATGTCTGCATATCGGGACCTGCAGTCACAGAAGTCGTATGGAACGACATGGGTATATAAGTAAGGACAGGGATCTTCGTTGCGTGGTACATGAATGGACGGCCGAAACCGAAGGATTGATGCCGAACCCGACAGAGTGTTGCCGATACAATGCGATTCCATATCTTGTGAGTGCTATTACACAGTCGCTCCGTGACGAAAAGGACGCGGCTCAAATGCACGGCTACAATATCCGGGCATTTGACCGTGGCGGTGAAAATCTTTCATAAGTTGCTGGCCTTAACGTTCTTCCGTATCTCTGGACCGTGGACCAGATTGCCTCTCGCAACCTATAATCCGATGGCCAGATGGTGCGAGATTCGGCGTGACATCGCAATGATTTTGCGCATTGACTTTTATGTTGTACTTCTTCTTCCTTCGGACAGTCTCTATCTTCGCTGCCTTCCCATAGCAATCGAAATGGCTGCCGCGCTCCGTCAGACTTGGAATTGGATTGGTCATAAAGGCGTCCTGCCGTCGTGGCATTGACGCGGCGCAGCCATTGCAGGTACTCGAAACAGGCAGGTATTTGGAACAGGCAGGTACTCGACGTTCGTGCTTTATCGTTTCAAAAGCGATTCTTCCATGGAGAAGGAAAGGGCGATACAGGCATCAGGAACCATGCCGTAGGCACAGAGATCGTTGGGGCAGTCACAACGCGCGCCAGCGCCGCCAGAGCGATGACGTAATACTGAACCCAAGCCTCACCAGCTCCAAACGCGAAAACCCAACGCGTAGATCACAACAGCGAAACCCACGCCACAACACCATGCCCTTTAGCCTACGATCCTTCTTGAAACCCGCATCCTACAACGATAGTGTCTCATACACCGACAGACTCCTCGCGCAGATCTTCTCCTGGTCCACACTTTTCGGCTACCTCCTTTACCCATCATTCTTCCCCCAACTCAACACCATCGACGAATATGCCGGATGCGTAGAATGCAAAGAATACTGGGACTGTTCTGATGTATATGATACTCCACCCTCCACAGCTATACAAATCTCGGATTCATTCTACCTTTGTGCCCTGGCCTGCTGCATAGGTCTGCTGGGCTGGTTGTATCTGTGGTGGAAATATCAGAGGAATCACCAATGGTTGTTGAACTGGGTTTTCTATCCGGCGTTCGTTAATAGTCTTGCGGGGGTTGGGATGGCAGTCAGTAAAGTGGTTTGTGCGCCTGAGGGGCAATATAGTGTGATTCTGAAGGTGGCTATGGTAGCACCTTCGGCTGCGTCGGCGGTCGCTGCAGTGTTGGCGCTGTGGTATTATGGTGCTATGTTCCGGATCGTTAAGCGAAAAGAGGATGTGGAGCCTGCGGCTTTGGAGAAAGAGAAGGAACGGGATGAGGAGAGCTAGTAAAGGGGTATCTTGACATGAAGTATCGATTTAAAAGGTATTGGGTATCAAGAAAAGAATACCGTCAATCATAAGAACTGCGTAGCGACGCACATCACGCGTCCTTACCATCCTCCTGCTTATTTCTAGCTGCCTTGATCCTTTTCTTCTGCGTATTCGCCGCATGCGTGATAGCCTTCACCATGTTGAAGAGGAAGATGCCGATAAAGACGATTGTAACGAATGCCAGTACGGCGACCACGGCGACCTGCAAGGAGTCAGCTACCACAACATTTCATCTCTTCTCATATGTGTACGTACCATGCTGAAGACAACGAAGATATAACTGGCTTGAAGGAATGCATGATTTTCTTTGAGTTCGTCTAGACCCGCTCCAACTTGCATAGCGGATAGAACCAGACTAAAGAACACGAACACGATGAGGATCCAGGAGAAGTTTCGCTGGAAGAAGATGACGTAGCGATTGTATCCATACCTATTCAAGATCTGTTAGTATACGTGTCTGACTGCGCGATTCTCCTTGACGGATAGAGATGGACTCACAGATACCCTCTCACGAAGTGCGTATGCGCATAACGTGTCCGATAGATGCTGTTGATTCTTCCTAACCTGAGATCGCCAAACTGATACCGTTTGTTGACTTGCTGTAGCGTGTTGATGTCCACATGGCCCATGAAATCCTTCACGAAAGCTTTCCACCAGTGCCAGGTAACAAAGCTTGGTAGAAGCGTGTACTCGTGCGCGATCTTCAAGTCCAAAGGTGTCGTGATAAGCCATACGTAGCTTACCAGAAAGCCTGCCGCACTCTTCCACAGCCAGCCTTCTTCTCTCTTGCCGTCAGGATCCGCATCCCCGGGTTTGCAGATGTACTCTTGCCAGAATTCATAGCTGAGCATCCATTCCGGCAGCGGCTTGACTATAAGCTTGGTCGAGTACTTCAGCAAATGTAAATCCATTTGTTGTGTGCCTAACACTTCCATGCCCAACATCCTGTATCTGTGCAGTGGCCTAGCGCGCATGGGCCGCCCTGCCATCCATAAGTGTCCATGTATGCGATTCAGGCGCGAGAGATCGAGGTCGTATAAGAGGAACTGACGGGGGTCGTCGTTGGCGAGGTATGCTTCGTTATTCTTGCCGCTTATAGTGGGAAGAGACTCTTCTGCCGTGAGCGGTATTGCTATGACTGAGTCGAGCACGGGCTCACGCGGTTGTGGGCCCGTCGTGGCCCGATCCTGGCTGGTGATGATATGACCATTCTGATGCGCGGTCTCGGATGGCGATGTGGGGTTACTGAGGGTAGCAGCGGTAGCTGTTGGGGGTGGGATAGGACGAGGAGAGAAGGGCGGCGTCAAAGTGTTGCTCTGGCACTTGTAAGCGTTCGTTCAGCGCATGTGAAGACCTTTAGGCTACACTTACCGTCTGTATCGCCGTCTTGTCAGCCATACTGCCCATTAGCGATCGGGTCGTGGATGCTCATGAAGGTTGCAGTGCGGCGCGGTGCTCTATATGACGCTTGACGCCGACAAGCCTGCTGCGGCTGTAGCACGAGGCTCACAGATGCAGGCACACATGCGCGCATCAGGTAGGCACATCATGACGCAGGGAGGCTTCAACTGCGCCTTCTCGACGGCGCGCGGGAGCTACGGACTGGAATGTGGGGGCTGAAGACGGGGGCTAAACTGCCTCGAGCTGAAGTTTGGCTCACGGACGCAGATGTGCCATGGGGCTCCATTGGTGAGCGGGTTCATGGGCACTATTTATAGTAGCGAAGAGGTACCGAGCCACCACCATGAGAGAAGGCGCGGTCTGGTTGTCAACCTCACTCAATTCAATTTGTCTCATCCATATCATGTATCTAGCCTGAGCATGGCATGGAGTGCATGCTTCTGCCAGTGGAGTCCGATGGCCATCTCTGTACGTGTAGAAACACAAGAGCATTCAATTTGAATTTACTGAATTTCTTCCTAATCGTTCCTTGCTGCTGACGATGCCATCAAGAGTGCCGAATTACCGTAACGCCACCTTCTAATGCAGTTTTGGATATCATTGAAGCCCTCTCATCTCATCGCATTGACCGAATCATTTGCAGTAGTTTGCAGGAAAGCTGCCCTGCTTTCCATTAATTTCGCCCTGCCACCAGTCCTGTGAGCTTTGCGTCTTCTTGATCACGCGAATTCGGTCGCCTTCCCTGAAGTTCAGATCGCCATCCGTGAGACTGTCGAAATCATACATGGCCGTCACGTACTCGTACTGGAAAGATGCTATCTTCTTCGGTGGCGGTGGGGGCGGCTTCTTCTTCCCTGCGGCTGGGTTGGGCGATGGGGGATAACCGCTTGGAGTTGACCCGTTTGAGGCAGAGGCAGCCCTATTAAAGTAGGAATCACCGTTGGTTCCATTTGAGTAAGAGGAAGCCTGGGATGTAGAAGAGGCACGACGGCCATACATGTCTTGCCCAGCGCTCAGATGGGGTGAACTGCCGATCTTGGGTTTTGAGGCGCTGAGAGAGCTGTACGAGGGCTTGTTAGAGAGGCTTATGGGTGGGCCACTCTCGGAGGTCGACGACAGGGTTTGGGACGGCCGCGGGGGTCTTCCGCCTCCTGTAATGGTGGGCACACTGTCGTTGCTGCTGGCTCTGCGACCGGGCATGACCTTATTCCTAATGCCAAGGCCTGTCATTGTCTCTCCCTTGTCTGGTAGTCTCATCGGCAAATGGACCGCCTTGCCCGTCTTCAGCAGGCCCAGGCTGGTCTCCATTTCCTGGCGCAGGGGTGTAAAGTTGGAATCCCATAGGGGTATGACTTCCTCTGGCTCCGGTGGCGGATCGGGGTATCCTTGCTCATGTGAATACTGGTGAAGTACCGTGTACAAGTTCCCAATCAAGTTATTTTGTAGCACAATCTGGTTGGCTAGGAGGTGTGGCAGAATAGAGAAGGTCGCGGCATTCAGGCGTGGTAAACGGTCTCGGAGGTTCTCGTCGGCGAGTTGGTATGCGTGTGTGGAGCGCTCGAGATCGATTTCATGTTTGGCAAGAGCGCTGTTCTCGCGTTCCGAGCGCGTCTTCTTGGCCTGAAGGGTTTCGCAGCGGCTTTTGTAGCGCTCGTAGTCGACCTGCAACGGCGTTGTCAGCATAGCTCACAGCGTGGTTCAAAGGCTGACCGACCTTTGCATCCTCTCGCTTCTTGATAGCCTTCTCCATAGGCTTCAAGGCGTCGCGAGCCAGCTTCGCGGGGATGACCAATTTCCTGTCAATGTCCTTAACTTCCTCCATCATGTCTGTCTTGAGTTCGGCAAAGGCCTCGTGTAGGCCATGGACGCGCTCCAGGACGGCAGGTGGGGTTTCGGCATGTGCATGGGTGCTGTTGGAGCCTTCGCCGCCGAGTGGTTTGAAGATGGCGTATATGAGCTCGACCGACGTGAGTTGGTGGTTGAGGATGTTGGTCCACGCGTCCCGCCATTGCTTCGCTGATGCTTCGAGCTGAGGGGCGGGTTAGTTGGAGATTCGATATCGAGCTGTAGTCCAGGCTCCTATGCCACAGGTATAGGACGCATAGCAGTCCATTCAAGTGGTTGGTTGGTACTGGATGAGATGGGTTTTGGGATGGCCCCACTAGTTCATAGGACCGAGCAATGTGAGATGATAAGCCACACCAAACGTACCTTTTCCAACATGGTCTGCGAGTCGGTGAAGTCCTTCAGCATGGCTTCGACATCGGCCTCGTTGGGCGTCCTCGTGAGGAAACGCCCCGTGATCCTCTGCATGCGCTGCATCTTGCAATGTGATGGCAGCTATTGTGTGCGACGCAGGCCTGAGGTAAGAAGGACAGAATAATACGAGATATAGGCAGAGGGCAGTAGGTAATGCTTGCGCGTCGACTAGCGGTGGCTGTGCTCAGTGCTGTGTGTCAATTGAGGTGAAGGTAAGCAGGGGTACCGAAGGGCCCCGCACCAGGTTGACGCGACAATTCGCTGCCCACTTGGACCGATTAGTTGTCTAAAGTGGAGTGTGGAAGACTCGCGGGGAGGAGTGATTTGCTAGGTCCCGCCTTCGACGCGGGAAGCGAATTCAAATTGCAGTTACACCTGATGCCCGCGTTTGGTTCCGTCAGCTGTGGGCTGGACGGCATCGTGATGTGAGGCCACCCAGCGTTGGGCCGCCGGGTACGAAGACGTGTCATGACTGAAGTGGAAAAGCCTGTGGAACGCGTACCCCTGGTGTAATTCCGGTGAAAGCTCAAGGGCATTAGGGTTTTAGGGCTGGGTAGCCGCTGCCGTAGTCTGCAGGCGCTAAACCACGTGCTCGCGCGCGGAACAGCAGGATAGCAGGCGCGGTTTGTTCCGCCGAGGCGCGTCACCGTCACATCTCTCGACCTTCACCCTCCGCAACGACCCCGCCCTATGCCACCCATGCACGCCCCGACGCGTCTCGACCGAACAGATACGCGATGACGGCCCCTCTCCGTAATACTCAGCATGCCTCTGCGATCGCTGCAATCACCGCCTCCCAGAATAGCGCGCCTGTGGCAGAATTCCGTTGCCTCTATACACAAGACGTTAAGAGGAAGCAGAAACGATGGCAAGATGGATATCTGAAATTTCATACCTTCAATAGCCGGGTTATGGTGTATGATCAGGCAAGGAATTTTCTGGGAGATACCTATCACAAAGACAGCAACGAGCTGCAGGAGGGAGACGAACTCAGCTTGAACAATGGCGCTCTAGTAGAGGTCGCTGAGGCCATGGGCATCACACATACCGACCTGACACAACTACTTGAGAAGAAAACGAAAGAACAGCCACCCCGCCCGACCGCCCCTTCCCAGCCGAAACCGTTCCAGAGACCATCGTCAGTGGCGCCGACCAATGCCCAGCTCAATGCATCCCAACTACGCCATAAATCGCTGAACACACTGCTCGGGACACCGAAAGGGCCACTTGGAAAGGCTCAGCCCATGAGGTCTCCATACGAGGCTCGCAAGGAAAAGGAGAATGAGCTGGTTGAGGAACCCACCCCGAAAAGACAAAAGACTAGCCAGCCACGCACAAACTGGAGAGCATCTAGCCCAGTCCAAGAAGACAGTCCCATAGCGAAGAGAGACAAAGCGGTACATACAGAACCTTCAGACGCAGCGAATGCTCGGAAACCTTCCAAGTTCATACCGCCGACAGTGACTGTCATCACAATAGAGTCCGAGTCCGACCCCGTCCCAGCGTATTTGTCCGATGTCACCCTTCCGAGCACACCGCCGAAACTTGCCAGAGCAAGAGCACGATCTAGCGCACTTCATACCCCAGCACCACAGCCCGCTATACCTCAGCAGCCACTGGCACAAACTCCAAAGATACCCAAAGGCAAGGTGCCAGTACCCAGTGTACAAGCGTTGGAGACTCCAAAGCAACGAGCACCACCATCTTCGCCTCCGGTGAGCGCCTCGAATCGCCTGACGAACGTCGACTTCGCGTTACAACCAACAAAGCAGCCACCCAAAGACCCCACTCCGCCACCGCCTTCGCCTCCTCCTAACCGCAAAACGAAATCCCTTCGATTGTCTGCGGGTGTAAAGCGCGGAACGTTGCTGTGTCAGTCTCTCCCTCAGAAGACTATAAGGGCAGGTAGTGAGGCCAGAGCGACCAGTTCCAACGTCAGAGCTCGGCAGGTATCGCGTCTCACGAGCAAGGAGCCATCACCTGCAGTATCACAGAAAAGTGCCCCGCCACAAGAGCTCGCCTCTGCAGCGTCGAAACGGGTGGCTAAAAGCAAGCGAAGAAATATAGAGGCACAGGATGGTGTTGGTCTCGCGCCAAAGAGAGCGAGAGTCTCCAAGTCTCCACCGCTACCGTCGCCGAGTGTCCTTGAAGATCCAGAAATCATACATGGCTTTATGGACCAGCAACTGATAATCCCCTCGTCTCCACCTCAGCCCCAGGCCGTATCTCCTCCCCCAGAGGCAGTCTCGAAGCCCAAATCTACTACTACCAAGCAACTAGCGAACAAAACAGCAGCTGAGCCACCACCTAAGCGTCACCCTACAGAGTCGAAATCTCCCCCACCAAAGGAGACAATCCGAGAAGCACAGCCAAGAAATAATGTCGTGGACCAGCCTGCATCAGTGCGTAAAGCCCCTTCGCCTCTTGTACCCGCACTTGATCCACCGATATCAGCATCGAGAGATGTCTCGCCAGCGCATAACGAAGCTTCCGAAACACAATCACGTACATCATCAACTTCGCCTCGCAAAGCCCCACTCTCAACTGGCGGATTTCCCAAGCGGCCAGCGAAGCGACTGGAAAAGCAATCGGTCGCATCACCCTTAGTACAGGAGGAACCAGCTCCAGCTCCAGCTTCTCGTAATGAGTCTGCTCCTCTTCCGCCGCATCCTCTTCGTGCGAATAAGAAAGGCCCCATGATGAGCACGACGGAACTAGCATCTCTTCTACAAAAGCCGCAGAACCTAGCTAAAGCTCTCGCAGACCCAATCGAAGATGGCTCGAACATGACCAGTGCAGGCAAGTCGCCGAGCAGAAACTTCAGGCGCGTGAGAAGCGAGAACGACGCACCAATACCCAGTACAGCAGATGACTGGGAGAAGCGCAATCTACCCAAGACGTCCAGTAATTTGACGGACAGCCTAGATGATCCAAATGCCACTACCGTGGCCGAGGAACCCAAGAAGAAGAAAAGCAGTGGGCTGGATGCGCTCATCAAACGAACTGATCCTAGGCGGAAGTTCAAGAGGACGCAGAGTCTGCAGGTGGAGACTAATGTTCCGACGGCTGCTATGGGAGAGGTCGAACTGCCCAGTCCGGTTGTGGATAAGGATGTTGGGCCGTGGAGTACGGAAGCGAGTGATCTTTTTGATTGGAGGCCACCTGGAAGAGATTAGGGTAGCGAATGAGTATGGAGGTTCGGCGAGTTACCTTGGACTGTTAGCAAATACTGGCAACCATGTCATGTCGTATGAGAGTATGTAGCGATGATATTATGATATTGATACCCTGTAGCATCGCAATAACAGTTGCACTTTTTTTTTCCACCGGTGATGGTATTCATCGTCACGACAGAATCATTAACTTAATTTTCTTCTTTCCTTCGGCCTTCTTCATCCCCATGGAATAGCTCATTTTCTTTTTTGAAATACACACAAGTAATCCCCACAGAACTCTCGGGAGTAAATATTTAGAAAGCTATCAAGTCGCTGTAAGGCAAAGCAAAGCACCCCGTTGGATAGTCATATTTCTTATGCTATGACATACCAAGCCCGACTCCACTCATGTGCGGTCATGCTGGTCATTTTGATCCACAATCTCTCATAAGATTGACATGGTCTGTTTTTCGGTCACCAGAACATAGAACGGTGTAGTCATCTTCTCGAAGAAAGGCGAGAGATGCCTTGAAACCATGAGGTGGTTGTGAATACTTTCCGTTTTTGCTTCTAATATTGTAGCTGGCGGCGAGGCAGACAGAAGACAGCATGACACGTTGGCAGGCTGGTTTTGAGAATAGGGGAGATGATGTTGGTGTGATAAATGTGTGACTTTGATGGTTACACCTCAGTCAAAACTTTGAACAACACACATGCTTTCGGTACTCACATGTTATGATAAAAGAACAATGTCTGGAGACCGCACCATACATCTCTAGCCTGATCTTTTTTGGAGACCCTCTTTTTGAGAAGAAGAGAGTATGGGAATGAGGAAAGAAAACAGTCGTGTAAAGACGTTGCTTTTACATATCGACTGGCCGAAAAGGTGAGAACGATGTCGGCAGTGTAGTACAGCACTTTGTATACGAAGTCTGCGGAAGAGCAAACATGTTGACATCGCTTACTCATTTTGAACTTCGGAGATTGTAACAAGAAGACGTAGATCGCCCGTTCCAGTAGCACATAGTGGACGAAAAGCACGTTTTGGTGAACCCAAGGACGGTGTAACATTGACAATTTTTGAAAAGGTCTGATCTGAGTGACGCGGTTTCGTAGCTCGCAAAGGACGCCACTTCCAACCGTCTTCTAGGAATCTTGGAGGGAAGAGAACGATACAAGCATACGCTCGAGTCTTTTCGGTTGCCTGAGAGTATTGAGTTGTCACTGCGCGAGAGATACAGCGAATTAGGCAGGATCCAGACCGAACACATGCGACGAGCTTTTCGAAGTTTTGACATGTCGCAGTTACAAAGATGAAGTGGTAGAAAGGAAGAAGAACACACTGCGTAGGGCGTTTATATACCATTGACAGTCACTACTCCCCAAGGAAAGACACGAATGTGAAAAGAGTTTACTCATCATTCTCCACATAGCTACCAAAAGATACCCCAAACGCCAGCATGCTAGCTTCACGCCCGCACGACTTAGCCACGTCCAGACGAATCCTGGACTCCAGAAAAACCATGGCTATATATACCAAGCAAAGCAACGTTGACCTCGAACACTTCAAAGGCCATTGCTTGTGAACACAATGAGGATATATACGCAAACACCTCGTCCTAGCCAAAACAACCAAAACGCCCGACTCTGCGACACACACGAGCCACGAGGTCCAAACCCAATTCACATCTTGACCACCATGTCTACGATGTCTTGGTCTGCTTCTTTGCTGTTCCGATATGCGTATTGTGCACCTTCGTTGCGAATTTGAGACTCGTAATCGTCTCCTGGAGATGTGCTTGTAGCGGGCTGACCATGACGAACATGAGGGTTTTTGAGTTACCGCCCAACGAGTATTGAAGAAGGTATGTGAGCTATGTAGGTGTTAGTACATGGATCGGTCATCGCCAGTTCTGTGTAACATACCTTCGAGTTCCTGTACGGTACGTGTGTGCCCTCCTTTGCCGAACCAAGAGCGTTGATCACGTCACCCAGACAGCTCAAACTCTTGTTGATGTTTTGCGTCTCCTTGAGGCGCGCACCTTCAGCTTTGGAGTGCTCGAGTCGCTCAGATCCGGCAAGATCGACCAGGTTGAGTGTGCCTTCGCTCCTCTCACCGGTGATCTCGTTGGTTCCAACGAGCTTCAGGATGAAAACAGAGTGACTTCGGCTGGAACGCATGTTGGCCTTGGTAGCCGCTACCGTCCTGTTCTTGTCGGCAGTCATCAAAATCTCCTCAACACGGCTCGGGCCGTCAAGCTTGACACTGACTGCGTTCTCGAGGATCGTCTGCTTTTTCGCCGGATCGTGTCGCACCTCCACCTTCTTCTTGTCCAGATCTTCTGAGCGGCCCGAGTAAGTCGTTATATGTCTCGTTGTAGACTTCGAGGAAAGAGCCTTCCATGTTGTATGTCCAGCCCTTCTCTTGCAATCGCTGCGCTTCGTTCCAGATCTGGGCTGTTGCACGTGGGATCATGCCGTCAGCCGAGGACATGGTGAACGTCTTTCCAGCTCCTGTTTGGCCATAGCAGAATATGCAGACGTTATAGCCATCGAGAGCGCTCTGCACGAGCTGACTGATCTCCTCAAAAACTTCGCTGTTCTGCGAGGCTGGACCAAACACACGATCGAAAGAGTATGCATAGGCGGAGGTGATGTCCTTGCCAGTCGCACTTTGCTTGCTTGGACCGAGGACTGCCACTTCTTTGCTGTCGGTATCGGTGTCAGGGAACGAGATTTGCGCTGGGTTGCGTTCCGTGTCATGGGTTGGCCGCACGCGACACATGACTCTGATGTTGCCCTTAAGTTCCTGCACCTGGTTGAAAAGCTTCCGTCGCAGTGTTTCCTCTTGACGAAGTTTGTCCTCCGCTCTTGCCGCAGCGTCGATGGCATCTTGCATTCGCTGATGAAGGTCGTTGAAGGATTTTGCTTGCGCCTGACTGTCTGACTCGAGGAAGTCAATCTTCTCCTTCATTGCCTTGTTCGACGCATCCAATGTAAGGTTGTTGGTCGTTGATTCTGTAAGTTGTGCTTGGAGGCCATTCTTGAGCATCCTCTCACGATCGAGTTCGGATTTGACGTTGGTGAGCTCGCCCTGAACGAGTTGCGCTTCGCGGTGTTTCGCGTCTGCTTCCATAGCAGCCGCTCGGAGTTTTGAACCGTACTCCTCTTCGATCTTTTGTGCTTCTTGTGCGCGCCTGCTTCGCTCCGACTCGGTGTCGGCATCCAGCTTCTTCCGCAAGCCAGCTAGTTCCTCGTTGTGTTCTTTCAGCAGCTTATCGATTCGTTCGTCAAATTCGTTGCGCATCTTCCTTTCTGCCTCATCTCGTTCCCTCTGCATTCGGTCGGTATCCTTCCGGTGCTGCGACTCCAAGTCTTCGACCTCGTTGCGTAGCCTTCGCCGTACATCGTCGACTTCATATGTGTGTTTTTGTTGCATCATCTCGAGTTCCATCTTCACTGACTTGAAGCAACTTCGTGTATCGTCGAGCTCAGACTCTAAGCCCTTGTTGACGATTTCTAATCGCGCACGGATGGCCTCGAGTTCCGTGACTGTTAGAAACGGCGTTAGCATGTTGTCATCGAGTAGAGGCGAGATTGGGGAGCATGGTCCGTGACATACCGCGACTTTGAAGTTGTTGGATTGATTCCTTGTAGTCAGTAGCCTGTCGCACGTCTGTCTCCATCTTCTCCTTGAACATGCGGAAATCGCGTTCCATAGCCTCCATGCGGTCGTTGTAAAAGTCTGGACAGCGATCGTTAGTGAAGCGATTCAGAAAAGGTGGTTGTGCTGATCTCCGCGGTGTAGTAGATGAAGGCCGATACGATGACGGGTCTACCTGCTGCTGCCGAACAGGCGTAGTTGTGGGCTGGGGAAGATGGGACTGGGGTTTCTTTGGCTTCAGGAAAGGATTCGTCCCGTTGTCAGAAGTCATACCACATCCGACCTGACTGCTATGCACGTCTGCCTTGGCCACGCCCAATGTGAGCGCGCCAACCGCGGTGCAGATGTCGTCGCAGTCGGTGTCGGCGGGTTCTTCGATGACCGGAGTGACGGAGCGGAAGTGGGAAGGAGATGAGACCGCTCGCGGACCTGACACACAAGCGATTCTCTGTTCGGATGCACTGAGGGAGGTTGTGTGCTTCTTCAAATGAGAAAGCATACCACCAAGCGCTTTTGCACTGGCGTAGGGGTTCGTAGACATAAGAAATGGTTGCACACCTTTGCGCTCTGTTTGCTCACTGTCGTCATCATCGTCTCGGTTCAGCATTGCTGTCGCCGGACGCGGCCCTTGCTGATAGGACTTGCTCCTAACATGGCTTCCGTGGCCGTAGGCTGACTTTGGCCTCGCAGCTCCGGTAGTCTTAGGAGCTCCACCAACACTGCCACTGAGAGTCGACGTTGCAGGATGTCTCGCTGTCGGTTTCGAAGTAGCGCGCGACGTGGACGCTGCGAGTCCACGTGCCAAGCTACTTTTGATGCCATTCGAGATCTTGGACGGCGGGGGTACTTTTCGAGAAATCGGCTCGCCGGCTTGCTCTGCAAGCGTCTTCCGTTGCTTGAATGCAGGCTCGGGTACTGGTAGAGTCAGCGACCTGTCCGGTGCGACTGGTATAGAGAGGGGCAATTTACAGCCGGAGGGCTTGTGTTTCGCCGTGGGTATCGGCATTCCACTTCGTGCGTTCGCGCCGGCTTCGTGCAATTCGCCAAGGGCTTTAGGAGGCGGCGAGGTGATGTGGGAAAAGGTAGACGGTGGTTTGATGCCCGAGCGCTTCGCGATACCCTACAATGGTCGTGAGATTAGACTCGAGTCGGGCAAGGGATGGTGATACGTACAGTATTCTCGTTGGCAGTGTCCATCATTGAATTATGTGTACCCACGTCTAGCGAAGGGAAAGATAACAGTAAAGCATACCCCGGCGCGGCCAAAAGCACAAGCGCGTCGTCGTTGTCGTTGACGTTGGTGTTGTGGATGTCGGATATCGATTGTTTGGGCCTGCGCTCGGACGGTAAACAGAGGAAGGCGCGATCCCTGTCATCGCATGCTAGTTTCGGTTAGCCGGCGCAGCGAGAGCAACGCCTACCTCGAATGCAGCGTCGTGCAGTGTCGATTACGCCAGCCTCGGTGTGCGAAGTATTGTCGGATGCAATCGTCGACTCCATCTAAATCATTTCAACATGACAACATGTCAACAACCAAACATTGGCAGGTACACGTCATCGTCGATGTTCAGCTCGACTATTAAGCAGCTGATAGCTATACTCTTTGTCATCTGAAGCTGACGCGGCGATTCAAGTGCGACATGTCTCTATGAATCGACATTAGAGCTGTTCAGCCGTGTCTGCGTATGTGATGGCTTATGACCCCGCGCTTCGAAGTCAAGCTTCCTTGCTTATCTTCAGCCTGGGGGCCACAATCTCTCTCCTCTTCGAACCAACATCCACCTCTCTATGTCCGGAAATGCTCTTGATACTGCCTCTCCCATGACATAGTTGAATTTCTCCATATCTGAAACCTCCGACCGACCGCCATGGAAGAGGCGTTGAACGTCCGGGAGTCAACGCTTTGCAATAAATGCTCCGTCTTGCGCTTCAACGATAAAAGGCTAGGTGGGCACAAGGCTCAGAACAATGATGGACAAGAAATCTTGAGTTTCATTGTTGGAAACGATTCCCAGGAACCGTGCCAGCAACTACGGTTGGACTATTTACAGCACGACAGTTTGCCAGACTTGCCTCACTTAAAAGCCTCAGCTGAAGCGGGATGTGCGTTCTGCGCCATCCTACGCAGTATGGCACTTGAACTGGGCTTTGCGAAACCTGCTCAGGTGACATTCAAACTTTGTTACTGCTGGCATACCCGGACGAGACCACAGTACGGGCTTTCCACGCTCGTTGCGAGTTGGCAATCTGAGCATATCGAGTTTAAGACGTTATCTAAGTATAATTTCGTTTTCTACATCGACTGCGACGAAGGTGATAGCCGACCATAGATTCCGGAAGCTCTTACTAATCGTACTAGGCAATTGTCAGAGATGGCTCAGAACAGCCCTTGCTCCACGGACCCAAACGTTATGTGAGGAAAATGTCGCTTGGATCAGGCGAGCTTTAGAGAAATGCAGCACCGAGTGCAGGTCGGCCTCGACATCAGATCTCCTACCAGCCCGCCTTATCGACCTTGGAGGCGGCGACCAGGGAGAGAGCATCCGTTTGATAGAAACTCAGGACACACAAATGCAGTCCCCAGGTCTCTATGCCACGCTCAGCTATTGTTGGGGTACAAAGGAACAAGCTACACGACAAATCACGACTACATCAGCGACTTTGTCTCAACGTCTCGACAGTATTCACTTCGACGAGATGACGCCCGTGATGCAAGACATGGTCAGAACAGCACGAGTGCTATCAATCAGGTATATCTGGATTGATGCACTATGCATTATCCAAGATGACCTTGGAGACTGGACGCACGAGGCTGAGCGTATGGGATCCATCTATGCGAACGCATTCATCACAATCTGCGCTATATCGACTTACTCTTGTCTGGATAGCTTCCTTGATCGACCTGCCGATTCGGTTAGCGTTGCGTTTAAATCCTCAATACAGCCTGATATAGACGGATGTCTCAATCTGCGCCCTCAGCGCCGCCCACTGGTCACGGCTATCAAGCCTCCCTTGACCAGACGAGATGCGGATATCGATTCTGGTGCGTGGTTCCTCCGCGCTTGGACGCTTCAAGAAGAAGAAATGTCACAGAGGCTACTCTGCTTTGGGGCTAGGCGAGTTCATTTCTCGTGCCCAATGCAAGAGATGACTGAGATGGAGGACATTCACTCAAAAGCTGCATCGATATTCTCGCATAAACTGCTGCGTTATGAGGAAGGGGAGCCTGACGAATATATTCGCAGAGAATGGCATAGACTTGTGAGCTCATACGTTCATCGCCAGAGTACTAAGTCCACAGATCGCTTTCCTGCAGTAGCAGGGCTGGCGAAGCTAGTGGCTGAAGCAACTAAATGGACATATGTTGCTGGGTTGTGGAGAAACTCATTACTTGAAGAGCTACTTTGGTACATCGTCTTCCCGCATAGCTGCCCCACCAGAGAAGAACTCTTGGAACGACTCGACGTCGGATCCACCGATAAGTATATTGGTCCCTCTTGGAGCTGGACCCACTGCCGCAACATTAAGTTCCCGGAATTCAACCCGACAAGGTCTAGAAATTTGTGGCTCGATGAGATGCGGGAGATAGACTTTCGTTCGGAGTGTCGTTACCTAGAAGCTACATGCACTTCTGAGAGTATCGATGCGAATCCCTATGGACGACTTAAAAGCAGCAAGTTGAAGATAAGTGGCAAGATTATCAAGCAAGACACCCATTGGAGGAAAGACTTATTCACATCTATCGCAACGTTTGTCCCATGGCTAACCGTCACGTACAAGTCCTGGGTCGCCCACTGTGATGTTGATTGGAATCTTGGTTTCATAAACGAAGAGGTGAAGGGGACAGACGTTTCTCTTTTACTGCTTGCGAGTAACTACGGGCCCAATAACGATTATGATAGGAACAGATGGGCGATCAGTAGTGAATCTTCGAGGCTATTAGAATACGACGAGAACGGCATCATGACAGAGGAAAGTGTGCGAGCGTGCGAGATACCAAGCAACCGTAATGCATACGGGCTGCTCATACATCCCATCGATAACGGCGCTAGATACGTCCGAGTCGGTCGGTTTCGAGCTGGAGAAGTAGGCGCATTGTTACCATTCATGGATCGCCCGTTCGAAGACATCGAGATCGTCTGACCAATGCTGAGAAGATACCGTATGCTCAGACAACAACCACATCTACGTCACCTATCACGGCTTGGGGTTTCCTAAAACCTCTCGACTTACCTCGTACCTGTTGCGGCTCGAAAATAGAACGGCAGGAATCTAAGCAACCAAAATATCCGCAACGCCATCGATAAGGAGTAACAGGGGCTGAGAGACAGGAAGCGCAGAAGTTGACAAACACAGGACATAAGCTATGAGTTCAGCATTCCATTGCATACAGTTACTCTAGTAGTAATCCAAAGGTCTTTCTTTCGGACTAGAGTTTAGGTGCCTAACATATCACATGAAACGACCCAAATATTAGCCTGACCAGGTGTCTGTTTTGGGTTGTTCAACTTGTCATTCAATGAGTGTGTTCAGTGGTAGCGAAGGCAGTTGAACTATGAGTGAATATTGGCCTGAACCAGCATCAAAAGGTAACAAACTCTTTGCGCCAATTTACCTAAAGAATTATTTGGAGGTGCCCTTTTTCACCTTACGTTGAGGCCCAAATCATTGACTACATCTGAATACAAATCACATCGCAGAGAAGAAGTCAATGACGCGGCGGAATCATGAGGCGTGCTAATTCTGAAATTATATATCCATGTATTCTGTCCTTATCAAGGAATACAATGCTTTAGAATAGCCATAAAGCCTTGGCCTACTCATCGATCTTCACTGTGTTCCTGTTCCTCCACCGCCCTCTCTACTTAATCAACCTCACAGCCCATACCTCCGTCTAACGTTTCCTCCTTCCCCAAACCTTCAAAAACTCCACCTTCTCCTCGACCCCCAACCCAACCCTCTTAACCCTCCCCAATCTCGCCAAATCCTCCGCAACCCGCTCAAGAACCTTTTGCTCCTCCTCACTCACAACGCCATCATCGCCATTGACCTGACCACCAACATCGACATCCATGCCATCACCCGCCTCACCATGCTTGCCACTAAACCCATTCCTAAAGTCCGGTTGGTCGAAGATATTCGTGTCGTAACCCGATGCCTTAACAGAGTTTTGTTTCGAACTGGATGTAGAGCGGGACGGCGAGTCCTGATTCCTACTGTTGTATACGCGCGAAGCGATGCGGACGCGCATTTGGTGTGAGGGTTTGCTGAGGAGGCCCCAGAACCAGGAGGGGTAGCCGCCCGGGACGGGTGTTGTGACGTCTTGAGGTGTGTAGCGGAGGTTAACGGGGTAGATTTTGGTCTTGCCGTCTGCGCTCAGCAGGCTGGGGCATAGTGGGAGGATGCCCCTGCCGTTTGTGGTGGTTGTTTCGGGGAATACGCAGATTATCCTGCTGGGGTTCTCGTCGGTGAGTTGTTGAAGGGAGACGAGTTTGGAGGAGTCAGGTGGGGAGAGGGCGGGTGGAGAGAATGCATGTAGTATCGCGCGGAAGAGGGTTATGCGTTCGACCTTTCGGTGGTGGGGGTATGAGCGGGTGAAGATGGGTTGGAAGATACCGGCGAGGTAGAGCGGGTCGAGGGGTGACGTGAAGGAAGAAGCGATGATCGTGCCGGCTTTGGGGAGGTTGTCTTTCGCAGAATGTAGCTGTCTGTGTGATGTGTTAGCAGCGCTCGACGTGTTCGGCCTCCAGACATGGCTCCAGTCTGGCCTCGTCTAGGATTCGACCGCTGTGGATATTTTGGCATACCCTCTCTTGACACCGTCAACCTGCAAGTCCACCCACCACACGCCAGGAATGCCCAGCATCAGCCATAGTACCCCATACTTCAATCTCCGACCCACGGATATCCATTCCAGAATCAGGAAGTAAAATAGTGAGAAGGCGAAGAAGAAAGGTGCGCGCACGCAGAAGAGGGCGAAGTATAACGGTTGCCAGATGATGCCGACCGGTGGAGAAGGAACAGGGAGGAATGGCGCTATGGCTGTACCTGCAGATATACTGTTAGCTATGGATTTGCTTTTGTGTCGCGAACGAACGGTAGTGGGTATCTGTCGCTGGCGGGAATTGATGACTTGTAGTAATGGGACGTGAGAGCCGGTGGCACTCTGGCACAATCGCGGAGGGATTACTCCAAACGTACCTTTGTCGCGGAACTGACTGTATCTCTCCATGACGAGTGATGTCTAGCAAGGGAAGATGCAGATGTGGGCGTATGGTCACCGAGCCATGTAAGGCGAGGCCAATTTACAGTAAACGCGAACAAAGCGTGCCTTGGCAGCAGTTGAGCGTTTTCACAGCGAGGCTGTTGCAACGAAGCAAAGAATTGAGGGGGCAGTGCTGCAGGTAACGGCTGGATAAGCTTCTTACGCTGGAAGGGTACAACGTGGCGAAGACGTAATGCGGGCTGATTCTGGGGCACTTTTGGTCACGCGAGTCATGTATTTTCGACATGTGAATGCCAAGACCATCGTTCTGTTGGTTAGTGAACGTCATGGGCGCAGATGACAGCGCTGACAGGAGGAATATTATGTGGTACGACACTTCTAGAGCATCTAGTAAGATTCTAGATTGCGGTCTGGCTATTGGAATAGTATTGACTATCGAGAAACTACCTGCCTGGCATCCGATGGTGCCTACAGGCGCTATTCGCTCCTGCCAAACTATGAAAACACACCTGTGAACGTACATGAGGGAAGAGGAAACCGAGTCAAACGACGAGCACCACCAATACACGCTCCAGTCGTGGGATGAATAGACGATGCATGTCCCAGCCAGCAATGCAAACCAACAACAAAGCACACTGTACAAAGGAAATGGTATTGATAGTACTGCAACGCAACCCCAAAGGGTCACACGCGCCGCATATGTAGAAAGGGGGTATGTGCCAATATTACTGCTTATTTTCGCGGCTTCACAAGCCAAATCGACTCCATTCTGCGCCGTGGTCCTCCTGTTTTGTTGCGTAAAAGAGGAATGTGACTCGTTGCAGCTCGGGCGCTGGTGGGGGTGGGTATCGAAGCACATTGCGCCGAAGCCATGCTCGCGGCACTGAAAGTCAAACATGCAGTCTGAACCTGCAAGACGCTCTTCAACCGCTGGTCTCGCATCTGCCCCCTCCAGACCGCCTCTCGATGCAGATTACAACTGATTACAAAGTACAAGTTGGAAGCCGCAAGAGCAGTGCTCCTACAGCTTCACCTCGAAGAAAAGTGATTATGTCGGCGCGGTGAAAAAGGGCATGCGCAAGTGTTCACTCATCACTGTCGTCTCAATTCATGCTTATAAAGCAACATCAAGCACCAGACTGACATCGCTGACCTGCTGGCCGGCAAGATCCTCAAGTACAGGTATCAGGTCGAGGAGCTCGTTGTCGTGTGCGTCAGAGAACCAGCTACTGATGGGGACGGCGTGTTGCGGGTGGAAGATGTACGACGTGGGCGAGTTGTCGATGATGATGGTATCTTTGAGGTCGCGACCGATCTGTGAAAGGTCCTGCAATAGGTTAGCATTGAGCAAGCGGAGACAACATTGGCGATCGTACCTTGACGTAGTTGCCCTGGTGGTTGTAGCAACTTTCGCGGAACAGCCGGTGGTGAACAACGCCGTGGATGTCAAGTTGGTCGAGAAGGGGGTCACCGTACTAGTATTATCAGTATAAAGCATGTGTTTGCGATTCCGTCGTGTGCTTACCTTTGAGACGGACGCGGTGAACACGACGACCTCGTAGAGCTCGCCCACCCTCTTCATAAACTGGTCGACGCCTGGTCGCTTGATGACATACACGTTGTGGTATTGGCCTTCAATCTCGACAGGGATGGTGAAGTCGGCTTGGTGCAGAATCTGGCACTACGTTAGCAAATCGAAACCAACATTGCGGACGTGAAACGTACCTTAAAGCTGCTGTGGACTAAAGTCTCATCCAGGTCGAGAACCAGGCACTTCTTTCCTTGGAACCTGGGTGCGATAGGTCCCAAAAGATACTTCTGTTGCTCTGCCGCCTCTGCAACGTCTGCAGTCTGATGCTGAACAGCGACCTGTCTCTCCGCAAGCGGGGGTGGTGGAGGAAGATCGACCTTGGGGTGTTCAGCCTCGGCCTCTGCGCTTGTCTCCTCTCCCTCTTGATGAACATCGTTAGTCGATAGCGGCACATCTTTCATCTCAATGTCGTTGTCGATCTGCTTCTGCTCCTCGGTCTGATCCTGTATTATGCGCTCTTGCTCTGCTGACGGCCGAGGAAGTACCGGAGTAGCGGTGGGCGTAGGGTTTGTGATGCTTATCTGGGGGTGACCAGTCTGCAGGGTGCCGGGCTGAGGCGGGGAAACTGTATCTGTTGGCTGCTTCTGGGATGGGCTTCTTGTCACGACCTGGGGTTGGTCTCCGACTGACGCCTGCTCGGTTGTGCCATCACCATGGCCGGGCTTGTCGGCGAGACCTGAACCTAATGTGTCGGTTCCCGTCTTCTCATCAAGTGGGTCTTTGGAGTCAGTGTTACTCGATTCCGCAACGGTGGGTTCCTGTTTCTTGATGGGTGTTGACTGGGAAGTGCGTCCAGCGGGCACCTTTTGGGCCTGCTTGACGTTCTCCAGGGGCGTAGAATCATCGGTTGTGCGAGACTCCTTGGGTGCAAAGCAGGGTAGGCAAGACAACAGGCCACCTGATTTCTTGGTCTTGCTTCGTGTCGATGCTGGACGGTTTGCGGTGGCAGGCATTGGGGGCAGTTGCTCGTTCTTCTCGGAGGGGGCAGCGCGCTGGTGGGAGCGCTTGCTGCTCGCCGTGCTTCCTGCGCGTCGTTTGCCCATGAAGCTTCGCTTGGAATGCTTGGAGCCTCGCCCAATGCTTTCAGCGTCTGCTGCGGTTGCGCCGCTGAGGCCGGTGTTGGGAGTCTCGTTGGACTGCGAACCGGATCGCGGGACGTTCAAGAGGGAACGCTTCTGGGTCGAGTCACCTTCAGTCGACGGGCCTTGCGACGAGGATTGGCCTGGAGCGAAGGAGTTGGTGGCAATGGCGCTTTGCATGGCAGCTTCATCATGTTAGTAATCAAGTATTCGAGGACGTCAACATGGTGGTAAGCGACAAACATACCGGTGCCGTTGGCGTGCTCCGACGGCCCTACTGCCTTCTCGCTAGACATGCGGGTTGCATCAGCAGAGAGCTGCGTGGGCTCGGTGCTCATGGCTGCGCGTCGAGTATGTCAGACAGGCAGCGCGCAGGTGTCGAGGGCGTGTAGTGATAGGCTCGAGGCGGGACTGAGGGCGCCCTGGGTCGTCGCGTGGTGGAACTCGCTCGTGGGTGGGAGCGGTGGCTGGCAGACTGGCTGGCAATGGCGTGACCCGGTCGCGATTGCTCAGATTGATGCGCGAGATGGAAGGAGCGGTCGCCGGTTCTCGCAGCTGGGGCAGTCGCTATCGTCGAGGGAGTCCGAGGGAGAGAGCGAGGGCGACGGGGAGCGAAGCTTGGATGCGCTGCTTGGGATGAGGCTGGTTCGCTAACGCGGACGGAAATGAGACGCCGTCTTTCACCGTCATCAGCGCCAAAGCTCCACAACAACTGCCAGTTCACTTGAGCGGCACGGTTTTCTCACACTGTCTTGACGCGACTGCGCCTATGTTTGCGATGCGGCTCTGCTGCTGCTGCTCGATGAATGCAATGCGCTCACGGCGACAATCGTCTTGATAGCAGTATCGGGGCTGTGCAAGACGGCACACTTGAGCGTGACAGGGGCCCTCTTTATGGGGGACCCCCAATAACCACAACTCGCCCCTAGCTCCAATCGCCCTAGCAGGAAGCATGGCCAGGCCCATATACAATACCTACACTCCGCGCTGCACATCTCCAAGGGCAGGACTATTCATCATTCATCTATCCAATCACGCCCTCGTCCCCATCGCGGACGAGGCGTGTCACACAGGGAAATGACAGCCAAGCATATGGCTCCAGGGCACATTAGCCATAGCCCGCAGCCAACAGCTTTATTCTCGTTTGCCTCTAGGCCTGAGACAAATACGCTTTCGAGCCCTGCATAATCTCGTCTTCGCGAACCTTCAAGAGCGACCCATTCCCAGGCCAGGCGACCGTTCGTGCGGCCGCATTTGCAGTTGACTCACGGTTAGGCGCCATCTTGCCATGGTACGGGGAAGCGACGTCGCGCCAACCTATCACAACTCACATCAGCCGTAAGACCCGATGCGCTTCTGCCGCCAGATGCTGGTCCAATATTGGTGCGCCGGCATCATCCTTCCAGCGACGCGCAGCACTTACCAGCCGACTCTCAACACACTCGTCATGTTCCTCGTCGTCGCAGACACTGTAGCGCTGGAGTCGTTGTCCTTGCTGTCACATGTCAGAGCCTGTCGTGTTCCACAGTGGCAAGCGCTGTGCAGGACGGCCCGTCGCCGTGCCGATCTTGCAGTTTCATGCGATGGGCATCCATGTCCGCAAAGGTCACGAGGTCACGAGGCCGACGTTAATGGTTTGCGTCTGCACGCTATCCGCCTTCCCCGCTGTAGTGGTGTGCAATACACCTCGACCCAAGAGGCTCCCCGCAATGCGCGCCCACGCCGAACGACGCGGGTGAGGCGATCTACGCTCACAAGATCCGGAGAATACGAGCGGAGGATCAACCGACCGTTGAACGCTAATTTGTCTCTTGTGCTTGAGACACGCCCCAGTCGCACAGGCAACTGGCCAGAGTACACGTTTTCGTCACTGTACGACTGTTCTCGAAGTGCATCCTAAACAGCGGTGTTGTTCCTGATTCCTCACATAGCGCACAAGGCCCGCAAACGCGTGACCGGTCCGTATGCTCCCGCAAAGATGTCAAGCCTCCCTAATCAGTAGCTCCATTTGAACTTCTTACTGTTCTCCATTGTCCATCTCTCTGCTTGCTCCCCAAGGTATCCGTAGACCCCCTTCACGTCCTTTGCTCCACATGTTGTACTCGGTGTTTGCAGTCGTGACTGGTATTCATTTCCCCAGTCGCAGTGGGGGAACCTCCCTCGCATCATCCTTCTGGCTGTGCAGGACCTCTGGTATAATCCGCTCGTTGTTCGGTGTGAGATGGAATCGGATGGAGATGCCAGCGACTTCGGTGGTGTGCATAGACTTCTGCACAGCATCCTAGCAGCCCTGTGTCGGTATCGGCATCCGATGATATATGCGTCTGGATATAGTTTCGCATGGTCGAACCCACGACTGTGAGGATGCTTTGGGCAGCTTCACATAGCGGACGCATCGACTCCATATAGCTTCAGCAGCGGACCAACTTAGCCTAGTGGCTTCCAGAAGAAGCTCTAGCGGCGGGAGACAGCACCGCTATGCCTTCGCGCACCAATCACGACTATTTTGTTTTCTGTTTTATCTATTTGGGAAGACGATTGCGTCCATCTCAACCCAAAAGAGCTTCGGAGCTGGGGCTAACAGGCGGAGTTTTGGAGATCGATGCTAAAACACCTGCCCATTGGTGTTTCGGGAGGAAAAGTGGGCATGGCGGCTGTTTCTGAGTGGCGGACGTTGCAGATCTTGTGTTGCTTGTTCAGCTCAGCATCTCTAGTCCTAACTGCATAATCGTTACAAGATCTGGGATAAGCAACAAACTGTCTTGGCGAAGCCGATGGGTGAGAGATCGGAGACCTCCTTTGATTGACTTTTGACAGGAATAGCTACACATACATCCAGCGCAAAGGTATCTTGACCAGGTAGGAAGACTCTTACAAACTATTGAAGCTCATTCTTGCCGATCATCAGATTACAACGTTTCTCTTTGGGATGCGTACAGCCTCGCCATCGGTATACAGCCTTAATCGGATCGGACAATGAGCCTCAAGCTTTCGGCAATCACGACGGCGAGGCGAAAAACGTGGAGTGTGGGTCGGAGCTCCGCATCACACGTATGCGGCGCGGTAGTACAGTCTTCGGGACTTCTCGAGCGGAAAAGCAAGCACTCCTGACGCCTTGTAAGTCGGTACTCGCCCAACAGCCACACCGAAACACCCGTCTTGCTTATGTCGACCAAAGTCAACTACGACTTGTGTCGTGAACTCACCCTGATAGTGGCACGTACGTGAGAGTGTACTCCTAATAATGACACCCGGCGGGGGGACTAGACGGCAGACCTGTTTCGACGTTTATGCGGAGAAAAAGCAGACCATGAATGATGCGAGGCAAGGTGTTTAAGATACATACGACAGCCATGCATTACTGAGATGGTTGATGCTGTGTGAGCTGAGCTGCCCAACTTCCACTCCTTTCCGTGATTGATTCACGTCGCCAGTTTCTTCAACTATGGCGCTGGCTACTAATCTTCAACCACTGGCTTATGCCGTGGCATACGTTACCTTCTTTCTGGGCACCACCTCGACCTTTCTGAGGTTTTACAGTCGTTACGTCAACTTGAGTCTGAGGAAATGGGGATGGGACGACTACTTCGCTGTGGTGGTTTTCATCTTCAGTGTCGCTCAGCAAGGTGTCTTGCACATGTTTCTCTACTGGGGATGCGGGTTGTAAGTACTAAGTAGCTACCTTGCGTGGAGAAGACAAGACTAACGATTGTGTTTAGACATATGGACGCCCTTAATGCCTTCCAAAAACTGGAAATTGTCAAGGTATGCACCAAAGCAAGACAGATATACTACCAAAGGCACATGTACTAACCAAAGACATTAGTGGCTCTTCGTCGAGGAGATAGTCTACTACTCCGTACATTGGGTTATGAAATCCGCGTTTCTCTTCTTTTACCTCCGGCTTTCGTCGGAGAGTACCGACTTCTGCTACGCTGTCTACGCTGGCCTGGGTCTCAACACGATCGTATGGGGGTGCAACATGTATGTCGTGATGTTTCCTCACTCTTTACGAGATAAACTAACGTCTGAGACTAGGCTTCTTGCTTGCATCCAATGTATGCCCTTTGACGAAATTCTACACCCTGGCACACATCCCGACGCCTATTGCATGAACAAACTCATTGTTCTTCTGGTGCCATGTCTTTTGGTAAGTACCATCTAGTCCCTTAATCTCGCAGATCACACAGCTAACTTCAACTCCCACAGAATATTGGCCTAGACATGTACATCCTCCTTCTACCCATCGCCATGCTCTGGAACTGCCAAATCAGCTTCCGCAAGAAGATCGCCGTCCTCAGCGTCCTCACCTTCGGCAGCATCTCCGTCATCATCGCAACCTTCCGCCTCATCCCCCTCCTCGAACTAGGATCTCAATCCGACGAACCCATCGACACATCTTGGATCCTCGGCAAAATGATCATCATCGCCGCCCTCGAAACGCAGTTCGCCATCGTCGCCGTCAACCTCCCTTCTCTCAAGAAACTCTGCACCAACTTCACCGGCGAAGAGAGCTTGGTTGAAGAGCCTCAGAACTTGAGGTGGAAAGCAAAGAAATTGACTTCGCAATGCAGCGACGACTCAGATGACGACGAGTTCTATGTCTCTGGTGGAAACGGACGCGGGTACCACTGGCGCAAGAGCAAGGCTAGCTCGCATACAAGTTTCCGGGCTAGCATCGCACCTAGTTTTGCTACCGATGAGGAGTCTCTTCAGGCTAGTGTCGCTGTCGCACTTCCCGTCTTGTGGGTCAAGTCTAATGTTCAAACGGTTAGAGTGGGTAGGGGGCATGTGAGCAGAGGGCATGTGGTTAGGAGTTTGGTTAGATGTAGTATGGAGAGGGTTGAGGATTGCTTCCCTAGAGGACACTTTTTGAGGACGTATGGGAGGCCGGAGTCGAGGAGGCCAGAGAGTAGATTGCCGACTTGTATGGAAATATGATGTTTGTTACGAATGATTGTGGAAAGGCTACTCGCATTGGCGATGGTGTATATGAGAGTGTGTCGTGGTAGCGTCATATTGCACTCACTGTATATCTGATTTTGATGTTCAATATATGTTCAATTTACTGATTATCAGTACCCTGGTATTCGCATAGCTTTTTGTTACCACGTTTCTCTTACCTGCTCCCAGCTTCGCAGTTCTATCACTACACGTATCTCGAAATCCTTCATTATCCCATCTTAACTACATTCAGAAGTCGTGGCCTAGTGGTAAGGCGCTCGCACTACGTCCGGGCTTGCCCGTACAGCGCACACGACGGCAACGTCGTGGTGTTGAGGTTTGAGGTAGGAAACGGGGGGACTGCGAGACACCTCTGTTCGAATCAGAGCGAGTTCAATTCTTTTTGGGTATTACATAAGATATAGAAAGAGAGCCACAGCGGAAATGTGAGGTCATAGGGATGTTTTGGGGTAGATATGTCAACAGAATAGACGAAAGTGAGAAGGCGAGTCACTCAGATTATAGATATCCATGTTCACCCCAGCCGTATCAAAATAATTTTAGGCATCTCCGTATCTTCAACCACCAATTTCTGACCGTCTTCTTGCGCAAACTAGTAGCAACTGTCTCGACGACCTTCCTACTTCCTAACAGGCTGCTTCTTAGGCGAAATACAACGTGACCCTACTGGATCGAGATGACTGACTGCACCCCTTCTACCCTGACTGGAGGCGGGACTGGGAGCTTGCTGAGGACTCAGCTCCGCTACGTGTTGATCTGAGCTATTGCTAGAAGGTTCTTGAGGAAAGCCAAATTCGAACTGATCCGGTAACTCCTGTGCATCATCGTCGTATCTGTTGTGGCTTTTGGGAAGCAAAGGCTGTGGCCCAGAGCGAGGGGGTTCGAGAAGCGAGACTGGTGACCATGGGTCGAGTTGTTGTGGTGATGTTGGCCAATCGTAGTTGCTGGCTGGTGGTAGTGGTGGAAGTGACATGGGCTCGTTGTCAGGTGAGGGTGTCATTAAGTCGTGTGCCAGAACGAGCGCTTCAAAGAACCAGAGACCACTGTAAGATGTCAACGCAGCGACACATGCGTAAAAGGTTATACTTACGATTCGATAGTCCCCATGACAAGCTCTGCCACCCATAGTTTGAAAAGATGATCTTTATCTGCTTGCCCGTACCAACCCAGAAAGCACATGAGAAGAACCTCGACTAACCAGAGTATGGCCATTAAGACGTGAGTCCCAAGATCGATCTTCATGACATATGTGCTCGGACATGCGGATAGGAATATGATGAAGCCGATGCAAACTGTCATTGTGAAGATGGCCTAGTGACACAATTAGCTGTGTATTTGGAGGCGAGCAGTGAGACACACTAAGCCCATCGAGAGAAACAGGATATTGTCTGGAAGGGACGGGTACAGCCAGGCGCTGAGACCGAGGACAGCGATCGCAAACGGGATCCGCGCTGCGTGCAAAACAACTGACTCTGTCCATCCCGACTGTGGTCCCAGTTGGAAGTATGCTAGTATTTTGCTCATGCTGATCGATTCGAGAGGATTAATTGGCAATGAAGTTTGGAGAAGATTTGTGGTCACAACAAGGCGAGGATACTGCTGTGAGAGATACAGATGATGACGGTGAGTATAGCTTTTTGTACCAGATGCTATCACGGCTATCAGACAAGACTCATAATTGTCTCAGACACTTCGGATACATGGCCCTAAGCCTCGCCGATCTAAATTCCCATCTTGCCGTCAAAGACAGTATTAAGACACCAGAGACACGGAACTTCCACAACCCGACCTACATGAACTCGGAACGTTGCATAACTTTTGCTCATTGTAGTTGAAAGCCTGCTCGTGCATGCGTCTCTTCTTGAGGCATCTCTCCAGACCAAACCTTACATCTTAAAATGCTGGACGTCTGTATAGGACGCGCGCATGCCGTGTCGTCTGTTCTTGCATGCGCTAAGATTGATGCTGCAAGCCCAAGAAGACTGCTACAAGCCCAATGTATAGGATGAGGACAGACACGAAGAAGCAGAAGAATACGACTGCTGCCAGGAAAGCGATGAGCACTTCAGCATCTACCTTGACTAGATCGCGCAGCATTAGGAGTCGGTTTGTAGGAGCTGAGTGCTCTCCGTTAGGTTCTGTCGTAAGTAGTAATTAGAGATTCAGCGGGGAAAAGAATGTGTAGCGAGAGATCTGTATCGATGAGCCTCTGAAGTCGCGTATGTTCAGTCCTTTGTTTGCTGCAAAACAAGCATGCGAAAGTGCAGTCAACACCTGTTGCGTAGCTGCCAAGCTGTGATGACTCGCTGCTTGGAAGAAGTGGTGGGATTCGCAATCTAGAATTGCTTGAATGTGGTGGCATATCAGTAGAATGAGGAGTAGAGAGCGTGCTATCGTTTCACTCAACTTCTCTAGATGTGCCCGCCTCGTTGCGCCACGCGCTAGTGGCGCATCTAGCGCACGCACAGACTCCTCCACCTCCTTTCGTAGACTGGTGTCTTCGGATCTGTTCTTGCCATCACCAAAAGGACGCGCCGCGCACTAGTGACGAGGCTTCGACAACAAATCTAATCCAATACACCCGTCTGGTCAACGTCAAAGTCAAAGTGCAAGTCGTGCCGCGGCGGACGCGCCGCCCCACGCTTCCCGTCCTTGGCTTAGCCAATGGCATCGCAGAACGCCCTCCCTAAGGTGACAAGCTCAACCGCAAGCAAGTATGTGGATATAGACTCGTCCCAATGGTTTCATCGTCCTGGGTGTTCACAGAGAACTACGGAATGAGCGGTAGGTAGCGTGGCTGCTTAGTCCTCCGCATTAGGAAGTCCAGACTTGGATCTCGTGTGATGAAGCAAACGATGGCGTCCGCGGTACACTATGAACTATGGGAATGAACCGGTTCTGTCATTCCTATATGTAGGTAGAGCATCGCTCCATTGTGGTTGTCGCGAGACGGTTCCGCTGGTCTTCTCCCAAGTCACTCATTTCCAACAGTCACTCATTTTCACCATGCTTACTTTCTCGTCTTTCTTTGTTACTGCGCTACTAGGCGCCATTGGCAGCAATGCTGCGCCACTCATCCAGGAGCGAGGTGTGCTGCTAGTGTGAAATGTGTGTCATCGCGTAACTGACAAGGTACAGGTATCGCTCCAAACCTTCTGGTCAACTTCAAGTTGATGGAGCAGTATGCTTCGGCTGCATATTGCTCAAACAACTATGATTCTACTGGAGATCAGATTGAGTGCTCTACTGGCAACTGCCCGCTCGTGCAAGATGCAGACTCCACTACCGTCATCGAGTACAGCCGGTAAGTTCCATTCCAGACCTTGTGGACGTCAATCTCAACGGCTGTCACATGGCCACGAATGATTTAGATGCTAACAGCAAACAGAGAGGATGCGTTGACCGACGTAACGGGCTTTGTCGCAGTCGATCATACAAACAAACTTGTAGTAGTCTCCTTCCGTGGCACTCATACGATCGAAGACTGGCGCACGAACCTCGACTTCGGCACTACCACAACAGATATCTGCCCAGGCTGCACCGCTCACCGCGGTTTTTGGCAATCCTGGGTTGATGCGCGCGACAGTGTCTTACCCGCCGTGAAAGAGGCAACTACCGCCTTCCCCAGCTACAGGATCACCGTAACAGGGCACAGTCTGGGGGGCGCTGTCGCTACACTCGCGGCCGCCAGTATGCGCACTGTCGGTTACAATGTCGCATTATACAACTTCGGATCGCCAAGGATAGGAGGAAGTAAAATTAGTTCCTACATCTCCAACCAGCCTGGTGGTAACTTCCGCGTCACGCACTGGAACGATCCTGTTCCGAAGCTGCCGCTGTTGACGATGGGATATGTTCACATTAGTCCTGAATACTACATCAACAAGCCGAGTAGACAGGCAGTATCGGCTGGTGACATCCAGACGTACTATGGTGCTGCCAATCTTTTCCAGGGAAATCAGGCCTGGCTAATCATGGATGTCGAAGCCCATCGATGGTATTTCGACATGGTGTATACCTGCGGAGCGAAGAAGTCGAAGCGTGGAGTTTTGGAGATGAGGGGCGTAGAGGGAAATATGGAGGTGGTGACTACATTCTGATACCCCAAGTAACCGCAGGTGTCTTCCTTAACGTCTGATCTAATGTATACTATGTCTAATGCTCGATTCCTATCCACCCTCCCCTTCCTACAAAACCTTCAACTCCTTCGTCGCTTTCAACATCTCGTGCTAATCTTCCGGTAACAACGCTTCGCTCATGGTCTCGACCGCGTACGAAGAATGGGTTGAATCCTCCAGTCCATTTTCCCCTTCCCTCGCCGGAGGAATCCAGACGAAACCCGCTATTCTGCCGATCGAGTTGGAGAAACCACCGCCGTTGATGTACCGACCCGATGTCGTTCGTAGAGCCGGGATATGCATTTGTGGCGCGTGTCAAGTCATCCTCTTCTGTGTCGGTGTCGAGATCTTGATCTGCTGCTTCCTCATTTACAGACGGGTGTGCGATACTAGCTTCGTCATCTGAGGTCGCAGGGGTTCGTGTCGCCGGGCTACGCTGAGATCGTCGTCTTCTTCCGTTCCGTCTCGCTGTCGGCTTCTTAACGATCTCATTCGATGGGAGGCGTAATACGACTGTATAATTGTTTAGCAGACGGGTACCATGTAGGCGTAGGCGGATGTATCGAGCCTTGAAAGCTGCTACCAGCTTTGAGCTCTCCTGGCACTCTCCGCCTGCAACCTCGCTTCCCTCATTTGCCACTTCATCGTCTTCTGTCTCGTCATTATCCTTAGTCTGTGGACTTGGCATCCCGTTCTTTCTCTTCGTCCTGGGCAGGATATAGTAAGTTCCAGTGTCCCATATTATCAAGCTTCCAGTCTTTCTGCTAGCACTCTCAATCAGATGGTTCCAGTAGTTGTGTACTCTGGTCTCGATCGCCATTCTTCCTATGCTTTTCGAGTTGGGATTGCCGGGGAGTCCCTTTGGAAGGGCGAAGGACATCGAGCTCGTTTCTGAGAACTGGAGACGAAGGTCATAATGTACGCCCGCAATGGGGTGGTTGTGTTGATGAACAACAAAGTGGTGACCACCAGAGTGGGCGTTGGAATGGTAGAGTGCGGCAAATGCATCGATTGAGAGCCTTGGTACACCAATTCGTGTGTTTCTAGAACTTTTCACCAGGTGGCTTTTGAAGTACGTAAGGTGATCGTCAATCTTGACCTTGCCGGCTTCTACTGCTGCTAGCGCGGGTAAAGTCTTGGGGACAGTCGGGTTTGCATCCGACTGCAGAGTGTCTTTTGCCTTTGAACTCCCGATATCTGTCGCAGATGTTCTTCGTCGCTTTGAAGGCCGCGGTGGCGATATGTCGCGCGCGAGACTTGCTGGCAAGCCCATCGCCACTTTGGTGCAGTTGACAGACCGTTGTCGCCTATGATCCGGGCCAAAGAGAGTACCAATCCTACATGTTCATGGTTCTCTAGGTCGTCCCCCTCAACATTGTGGGCTTGCGGTTGGCGTTCGATTTGTGAGTGAGATGCGCGTTATCGTCGCGAACCGCCGCTTCGAAGCGATGATGTCAGCTATCCGCAAGCTCCAAGATTGAATACTACAAGCATTCCATGAATAATGTAAACAATCGTACGAGCAATTGGAGGAGGCGGACGCCGGGATGCCAAAAACGAAAGATCCGGATCGTGACGAGAAGCATACACGCGTGTGCGAGGTGTGGGGTCCCCGCAAGAGCCGACACCCGTCATTGGCTGTCGGCAAACTTGCCTCCTCTTGATCGGCGAACCTGCCCAAACATTGACCACATCTCAACGTCGACCCAAGAACATAGGCACGAAGAGGTTAGACGGCACACATACTCCGGACATGATGAGGGTGAACGGAAGGTGCAGGCTCCACCGATGGAGATCTGGTCATTCTGGGGTATTGATCAGTGGATCAGCGGACGAGATGGCGTAGAGGCGAAGGTATAAGTATCCCCATTGCTCTAACCAACGCTGGTCGCGATTCTGGACTCTGTAAGCCTCCCCTCATCGGAACCTGTTATATCTTCGAGTTTTTTTTTTGAAGCTTCTTCATAATGTCTTTCGATACGGAAGTTCTCATCATAGGTGCGGGCATGAGCGGCCTGGGCCTCGCTGTCCAAATCATTCGCAAGTACGGGCTTCGTAACTTCGAGCTCATTGAAAAGAGTGAAGATGTCGGTGGCACTTGGCTGGCAAACACATATCCAGGCTGTGGATGCGATGTAAGTTGTTCCGAGTTCAACTAGCCGTCAATGCTGAAATTCATGCTAAATTGACAAGGTTGCCTCGCACTTCTACTCCTACAGCTTCGCGTTAAATCCAGACTGGTCTCGAAGATACTCCATGCGTCCGGAAATCCAGGCCTACTTTCGCTCCGTGGCCGAGCAGTACAAGATCGTGGATCACGTCCGCTTCCATTCCATAGTGGAGAAAGCAGCGTGGAACGATCTCGACAACGTTTGGGAGGCTACCATCTTGAACCTTCAGACTAAAGAACGGACAACGCGTCGAGCGAAGATACTTGTCTCGGGTGTGGGCTCACTCTCAGTGCCAAAGAAGTGCGATCTTCCCGGAGTAGATACGTACCAGGGCAAATTGTTTCACTCTGCACAATGGGACCATAGTTTCGACTGGGAGGACAAAGACGTCGTCGTACTTGGTATGCCATGATGTATCATCTGGTCAGTAGTATGCTAACAAACCCCAGGAAACGGCTGTTCAGCAACTCAATTCGTCCCTATCATGGCGAACGAGCCCAACCCCGTGCGCAAACTCACACAGTTTGGACGACAAGCGCAATACCTTGCAGAACGCCAGAACCCCTACTATTCAGATACTTTCAAAGCCGTAATGCGCTACGTACCACTAGCAATGCGCCTCTACCGTGCAAAATTCTATTACGACATGGAGCGCGACTGGAGTGGGTTTGACATTGAGACCGGGCGCAGTATTCGCCAAAACCTGGCCAAGGAGAATGAAGCATACGTAAAGAGCATGGCGCCACCCAAGTATTGGAGCGCGCTCATCCCAAAGACCGAAATTGGGTGCAAGCGGAAAGTATTGGACACGGACTATCTGAAGACCCTATGGAGAGATAATATTGAGCTGGTTGCCAACGATCCGGTGGAAAGAATCACCGATGACGGCGTGGTCACAAAGAGCGGTCGCGAGGTGAAAGCGGATGCGATCGTGCTTGCGACCGGCTTCGCAACACAGCAGATGCTTTGTCCGATGGAGATCGCAGGGCGTGACGGACTGCGCTTGAACGAATACGTGAGTTTACCACTAATCACCTCATGAGACCTACATACTGATGCATATTGCAGTGGGACAAGACCTCACAAGGCGTCGCACAAGCTTACTTCGGTACGGTGGTCCCACAATTCCCGAACTTCTTCATCCTCATGGGGCCCAATACCGTCACCGGCCATCTCAGCGTCATCTACACTGTCGAATGCCAGATCAATTTCACCCTGCGTCTACTTGAGCCCATCTTCAAGTCGCTGCCGTCCTATCGATCTCGATCGTTCATTCCTCAAATGCTTTCACCCCCACCAGCGACCGTGGAGGTCAAGCCGGAAGCTGCGGTCGCAGACTCGCAATGGACACAACAAGCAGCAAGCAAGCTGGTGTGGAATTCTGGGTGCGTCAATTGGGCTGTAGATCCCAAGACAGGTCTGAACAATAGTGAGTGATGAGGGTAAACTCTGATGCGAGTCCGTGCGCTAAATCTGTTAGTGATGTATCCTGACTGGCAATTCCTCTATTGGCTCAGGAGTATCTTTTGGAAAAAGAATGACTTTGTCTATCGGAACGAAAAGACGGGCGAAGAGTTTCGACCGGGTACCACCAAGACTATACTCTGGCTGGCTACTGCAGGAGTACTTGCTGGCAGCGCCTTCTTCGGACGGGATTGGATCCAAGATGAACTGCCTCGCCGGCTAAGGAATCTCGATGCGAGAACATTGGTGCAAAACTTGAAAGCCTGAAGAATGACCAGACGAGGGGGTGAGTCAGCGCATGCCTGGATGGGATGTCAGTATCATCATCTAGGTCACCCACACCTTCAGGCAACAACATCGTCCGACCGAGGCAAGTAGGATGCTCATGAGACGGAATAGATGATTTTGCTTATACCGATGGTACTAAATCGTGCGACTCGTCCTTCGCTACGGAGCGTTCCGCCGCCATCAATGACGTCGCGACACAAAATAGTCATCTCTCCAGCAACAAGCAACACTGCTCGCGATCCCGTGATCGCAGCCTTCAAGGCCTCCTCCAAGTCGCCTCAATAAGTTTCAGTCTATTGTTCAGCTGTTCAGCTGTTCAGCTGTTCAGAAAGGACAATACCAGCAAAGTGGGGGAGTCGGGATATCTGACTTCCGGGTGTCCCTTCACCTTCACTTTACCAAATCGTCTCCCAGCCCCCTCAATTCCAGCTTTCCAAGCCCACAACCTTTTCGCTAATATTGATAGCACACTGAGCATACTTTGCACTGCAAACTCCTCAGCTCTTTACACGATTCTCCATTTCCCACTCGTCCCTAACAAGCTCGCCTTGATCATCTCATACGTTCTCACTTTACATTCCACAACCAAGATACCCCCTGAGATGTCTCCAAAGACTCTCCTCCCAGATTTCGCAGTGGCGGTCAGCCAGATGGCTGTTCAAGCTGCAACCACAGCCTACCCGACCGACTACATCGTCGAGCACATCCTCAAGCTCAGCAACTATCTCATCGACCTTGCGGGCACCTGCAACCTCTTTGGCAAGCCCGAACTCGATATCTACAGCCCTAGTCTCAGCACTCTGTTCGACCGCCTGCAGAAGAAGCAGGTCGGTCCAAGCCTGTTGCCTCACGGCTTTCTCACTGCCGAGCGCATTCACGCACGCATCTACGAGCGTGTCGATGAAGAGGCCACCCACCGCCCTCTCGCCGACTACGAGGACATATACTATGCACTCGTCGCACGCATGCAGGAGATGCATCAGTTGTTGAATCTCCGCATCGACAGCGGCTTCAACGTTGCGACTGGGAACATATCCGAAGGCGGCCCCAGCATCGCCGAGCTTCACAACAGTCTGTCTGAGTACTGGAACATCCTCAACAACCCATCCTGCGGCAAAGCGCTCGACGATGCGATCCGCGAGGCAAGGCTTGAGTCGCTCCGCTACGAATTGGTCCATCAAGTCGAGAAGAACAACATGACTCGGAAGGACGCGCATGAGCAGTTGTCGCAGCTTTACAGCTCAGATGTCTACAACGGGATCCTCGGGCTCAACTTTGTCCAGGACTGGGCGCCGCCCATGATCGGTGCTTACTTGGAGTCGAAGTACCGCCGCATGCTTGACTTGGAGAAGGAAGAAGCTGTCGTCAAGGCAAGACTGGAGCGCCGCCAAGACAAGATGAAGACGATGCGCGAGGCTCTCGCCGCCACGTCAGCTGAAGAGAAGCTCATTGCTCGCCGCCATGCCCGCAACAATGCACGCAGGGCTGCTCCAGTATGCGACGTCGACTACGAAGTCAGCCGCCCCGCCAAAGCTACGCCCGTCGGATCCGAAAACACCACCAAGTCCACCGGCTCTGAGCCTAACAACAACAAGATATACCACTTCACGGGCAAAGCATCGATGCAGCACTCCCCCGAACACCAAGCTCAGATCCATCCTGGTCATCACTACGAAGAGCACACGGCCGCCTACTACAACCAACCCATTGAGGATATCATTGCTCACAAGGAGATGCATAAGGTAGCTCAGTGGCAGATCAAGGAACAACGCGTGTCAGAGTACAGCGAGTACCTCCGCGCTCGCGCTAGCCAGGGCGCCCAGAACAGGGTTGAGGGTAGTCAGAGCTCCGTGTCGGGCAGTCCTTTCGGCACACCTCCTCCTTCTTGGGTTCGCGGCCCTTTCCATCACCCGGATATGGATTACAGCCAGTACGAGAAGTTTTGAGACTGGATGACGTGGTTGAGTTGATGGATAGGATATACGGATTGATGATGTCGCCGATGGATGGGCAGGGAGGGCAGCGGATGATTGAATAGGTAGATTGATCAGTGAAGGCTATACCCAAGTGGTACCACACGAGAGACTATACATATATAGACAAACAGTGGTAGCTGGAGAAATTGGTCTTCGACGCTCACGTCGTTGCGATTCCTTGCTTGCTTATATAAACAATTGAAACACTTAACTCTTAGAGCTCCACCTTGACTCCCAACGCTCAAAGGATGTAGTCGGGATCCACCTCGATGATCATGTTCTCGCCATAGCCGCCCGGTCTTGGTGCTGTAAAGCCTTTGATGTGCCAAAGTTCCTCATTCAGACGCTCAAATTCTCCAGGTCGCTGCTCTTGACAGTCGTACAGGTTGAGAGTCTGCTTTGGTATCAGCATACAAGTATCATCCTTCAACTGACATACGAAATAACGTACCTGTAACCCATCCAACCTCCCCACCGCCTCTCCCGCCTCATCCCCAAGCAACCCCCCACACTCCGCTACATCCAACACCCTCAACTTCCCCCTGCCCTCCCACTCCCCCAAACACATCCACATCTCCCTCCCAAGATACCGACACCGATTCAACCCCAACTCCTTACACCCTTTCGTCTCTCTCAACAGCACAACCAACTGCTCAGCCCTCACATCACAATTCTCCAACCTCAACGTCGTGAGTCTCCCACTCCACTCGGGTGCACTCTCCGTAAGCACTTCCCAAGCCTTACCCTGCTCCTCCCGCTCGACCGCTATCCGCGACCGCGATACACCACGTACATACCTAACACCACTTTCTATCCTCAGTGAGAAGGTGCGTAGAGCGCGTAAGCCCTTGATGGCTTTCGCCATGGGCAGTGTGAGCGCCCAGACACTGATTTCAAGATGCTGGAGCATGGTGCCATGGCGTTTGAGTATGCTCGTTACGAGCGCGCTTTGGAAGTTGAGTAAGGTTAGGTACTCGTAGCTTGTTGCTTTGGGGATGCGTAGCCAGATGGCGTAGGGATTGGTGGTACAGCTGGTGATGGAGGGGTCGAGGTACTTGAAAAAGGGAGGGGAGAGGGGTGCAATGCCGAGGGAGAGGGTGTGGAGGTTGGCGTTGGCGAGGATGCGGGCGTGGTGAGAGGTTTCTGAGAAGTGGAGCAGGGAGGATGTAGGTAGGGGCGTGAGTATGTGGTTGAGGATCTCAGTGGGGAGGTCGAGGAGATGGCAGGTTGACATTGTTGGAGTTGGTCGTCTGAGTTGGTGAGAGTCGAGGTAAGGTAAGCTCAAATGATTAAATGTGAAGAGAACAGTTCAATTGTTCAAGTCCAAGGCTGATGAATAAATAAATTCTAGTAGCAGGCAGTCATCTCGGTGCCATTGCTGTCATCGGCGAAACTCTAAACCATATATACTTCCTACGTCACGCCTATCTTCCACATGCGGCATCTTCCTTCCTGCCTTCCTGCCCATCATCACAGCGCTTATTCTTTCTCGCCGAATGGCCCTGTTACCTTGTTTGAAGCAAACGTTTGACCCCGGAGGCCGCGTCGTGGCGTCGAGCAAAATCGATTGGACGAGGCAACTGTGCCGCAATGCTGTTGTGTAAGGCGGCCTCCAACACGCCCTGATGGAATGGCGTCGGTTAGGTAAGGGTAGCCCGTTTCGAACGACGTCAAACTTTGTAGTGATAGAGAGCTTACAGCGAAGGATCTTGCTGCACATTGTATATAGCCGCATGCGCTGTTGTTGGGGATGAACTGCGGAACTCGTATCGAATTTGTTGTTCGTTGTCACAAGGCATACGAATGTGATGGAATGGGCTTTGCGAGCGGCGTGGTTGTATCACTGCAGCAGGATGATAATAGCTGTGTTATATTGATTGCATGGCAGCGCAAAGCTCGGAGTCGCCGGTGCACCGTTGGTCAGTCGCTCGCCGATGATCGCGGGCGGAGATTTGGGTGCTCAGGTAGGAGGATTCGGGTCCCGGGGTGGCAGCGGGTGATATCAGGAGCCGCGTCCGTATACGTCGGTCACTGCAAGCAGACATGCACGAGATGCGGCGTTCTGCGAGGCTTGCGTAGCTCTGCTGCAGTAACCTAGAAGTTAGTCTGAGGTATTGGACAGCTGATGATGAGAGTTGGTGATGTGTGGGTCTTTTCCATTGCTCGGCTTCGGGCATGCTATGTAGCCGAGACGACTATATATACACTTTCTTGCGCAGCGCATCCGGGGAGAGGGGCAATGATCCTGCAGCGTCAACGAAGGGTGCAGATGCACGAGTTGCTCGTCAAGCTTGAGATGCAGACCTCAGCTCTCTCCTCCAGCACCACGCTCAAACACCCTTACGCTGCCGTCACTCTTGACCTGATACAAGAACTCCTTGCCTCTCCCACTGTCGTCGCCCTCTTTGTTCTGTTCAATACCAAAGCCCACGTCAAACCATTGCTTCCTCTGCTCAGTGATGCGTATTACACCGCTCACGTCCCTCGCAACGCCAGTATCTAATACTCTGACACCTAGTATCCTCCTGCTCATGTGTGCACACTTGACAACCAAGTTGTGATGCACCACTTCGAGCGGCTGTGGGGGTGTGGAGAGGCTGAGGAGCGGATTATCGGCTTGTAGGTGCGTAAGGATATGTGACACGTTCGGTAGCGTATGGAGCTGCAGCATGAGGGTGGTAAAGTGGGAAGGTGTGATGGCTGGGTTCAGCGCGAGGAGAAGGTCGGGGTTGTCGAAGATGAGGAGCGTCTTTCGAGCGGTGGACGTAGCGAGTGGGGAGATGGCGCTGGAGATGGTAGACTTGATGTCCGTGATCTCGAGGCTCTTGAGTGTATAGTGGCCTGGCGTGCTTTGGGTTGCACTCGCCGGGCCGTTCGTGGTAGTCGTAGCTGGTGATGAAGCTGCTGCCGCCGTTGGAGCTGATGGAGGTGGCCCTCTCGCGGGCACTATCCGTCCAGGCGGTCCTCGTGCAGACAATATTTGTGGCCCTCTCTGTGGTGCCGCGCTCGATACCGGGACTCGTGGTGTTGCTTGCGCATCGGTTCGTGATTCTGTCCCGCCTGTACTGTCTGTCGCATTCCCACCAGCACCCAGTCCGTCCACAAAGGCGAAGCGTCCTTCTCTCCTCAGCTTGTCCAGATCAAGAGCTGCGCCCTTTCGAGCCTCCTGCTTCCAGAAGTCATACTCTCTCATCCAAGAGACCAATACGACGTTGTGCCCCTCATCCCCGCCATCTTGTGTGCTCAGCTCATTGCAAAGGAAGCGGATGAGCAGCCAGTTCGCGCTCGCGCCGAGGGTGCTCGTGAGCAGGAGGATCGATTCATGCGGTAGCTGGACATAGGGTTGTAGGAGCGCTGGTATACGCGTCGAGGGTGGCATTGTGACGCGGGCACCGAGAGCAAATTATGAGTTGCGCGTAGTGTGCAGCTTATCGATACCGGCCGCCATCATCATGGCTGCTCCGGTGATTTTTCTAGAAGGGAGACATCACCACCAATGTCAAGAAGCCTGTTTGAGTTTTCTATTTTCTACATTTTTTTTCTTTGGTTTTATGGTTTTCTCTAGCTTGATGACGAACAACTCGCACATGACCTTCAGACATAACACGAGCCCCAAAAGCCAGCCCGTCGCAAAGTCAGCCATGAACGCCGCCAGCCAGAAACACCCGACGAACTTTTCTGCACCTGTAGCGCACGCCGTATCCTCCTCGGTCCGCTGTTAATGTTGCTTTGCCATCAAAACTACCATCGTAGTCTTCAAGTTCAATTTTTTGGAAGCTCACTTCTTGTCCGTCCTGCCAACCTTGCCATCCTCATGTCTCCTCCGCCACTGTTCTCTCTTGTATACTAAAGTCCAGGTCCAGCAAGTCTCCGTACCGCATGATACCTGCTTCCGTCTCCACAACACCAATCTCTGTATCGGTCTCTACCAGCGTGGAAGAGCCAGGATCCTTCTTCTGTCGGGTTGGAACCTTTTGCTGCACCTCTAGCTGTTGGGTAATCGCACCGCCGGTCGCAATCTTCCCCAGTTCGTTTGGGAAGAGCCAAGGGAATGAGATCAAGGGCATGTGCTCCGGTTCCATAGGTCGCACCGGAAAGTCCTCGCCACCAACTGTCTTCTTGGTACGGCACTCGACCAGTGCAGTCTCCATCTCTTTCGCAGTCACGGTATACATTGCGGCGACAAAGTTTTCCAGGCTGCCTTCTGCGGCAGCTCGGCATTCGTCTCGGTACTGAGACTTGAATGCACCAATAGTTCTACCAAATTCTTCGGCGAATTTGTAGTCGCGGCTCTGCAAGGGCGAGAAGTCAGTATGTCTCACGCATCTAGTACAATCAGAACTTACCTCGTGATTGTGTATTAGCACAAAGACAGACCAGGCCTCGAATTCTGTCCGAATTCCATGCTTGGCCATCAGTCGCCGCAACGACTCGTCGTAAGACGCTTTGAGCACTGCAGCTTTAGTCAAGACTTCGTCACCGAGCCTAAAGGCCTCCAGGATGCGCTTATCGAATGGATTTTCCCACTGAGGCTACAAAGATGAAGATACGAAGTCAGTCAACGTCTCATACGCATTTCGTACGGCCACGACTTACCTTGAAGTCCACCAGCTGCACTTGATCGTAGAGGATGCCTAAGACCTTTCTTGAATGATAGATCTTATTTTCTGCGAGGTGCTTCTTCTCCATGTAATGTGGCCACTTCTGTGGTCTCAGTTCGCGCGTCATCTCGGCTGGCAAACCGCTCTTGGGAAAGTCAACGGCTTTGGAGTGCAACTCTGCCAAGGCAAGGCACTTCTCGTCATTGACACCGTCGGCTTGAAGGTCTGCGTTTGCCAAATGCGCATGGGCGATTCGCCCAAGTGTATCATTCTTCATGTAACTGACGAAGAAATCACCAATATGTGCGGCTGTGATCGGATCGTTAGTCTCAACCGGCTTTTCGGCTGTGAAGTCCATGGCAGGCATGTTGACGTTTTGGGGTATCAAATCTGAATCCCACAGCACTATGTAGTCGTCCCCATCAAGATCACCGCCAGAGCACATATTGGCAAGGTCTCTGTCTCCGTTCTGTGGCAGCACCACGACGTTCTTGAGATGATGTAATCCAGGTGCATCTACTGCGCGAACGACTCGTAGGTCTCCCGGGTGAAGTGAGGGATTTCGCGCCAGGATGCAGATTCCTTTGATGATTCTGGAGTGTCCTCTTCTGCTTGTATCGTCGACTTGCAGGAAGATCTCGGGGAGTGTAGCGAGCTTCTCCTCTTTCGTAGCATCGAGCTGGAGGTCGTTCATGTGGCCTTGGAGTGTTGCTGTTTCGTCAACGCAGCCGAGTACGAATGCGCCGTCATCGATGGCTATCCGAGCCTTCTCCTTGAGGTTCTTGATGGTGCAAGCCCTCCAAAGCTTCAGGAGAGACATGACAAATGGATCTTGACACTTCATGAAACCATCGAGGACCATTCCTGCGATTGTCAATGTGGTCTGGTTCATGTCGATATGCTTTCGAAGCTTTTGCAAGGCAACACTATCGTCTACCATTGCGGTTTCATAATCGTTGATCATCTCTTGTTGCTTCCTGATTACCACGTAGTCGGGCACGCCAAGGTATGACAAGACCACGATGATCTGACGGTTGAAGAACGGTGTCGCAAGCGAGGAAGATCGTATGATCTCCAGGCCAGTATAGGGTGCCACAAACTTCATCTGGCTGGGTCTTATATGAACCTCAGGACCAGTGATCTTTGGATCTAGTGCAACCACCCCTTTGCAACCACCAAGTCGGAACTGGAATAGAGATGGCGGGTCATCGAAGGCGCGGGCAAGCCCGAGTTCTTGGGCAGCCATCTGGGCCAGGAAGAGCGAGATCTTGCCGACGCCGTCTGTGAAGGTATAGTCGTTACGTACGACGTCGGGAATCGTTATAACCTTAACGTTATCCCGCATTGCGCGAGTTGTTGAGAAGCACTGGCCGAGACGAGCACCGAACTTGGCAACGATCTTGATGTGATCGAAATTGCCCAGTGAGATGCGGATGTCATCGGCGGACTTGGAAGAAGTAGGCGCGTAAAAGTATGCTCCGTGTTCGCGGAACTGTGAGTTTCCAAATGCCAAGAACTCATAGTATCGCCCTGCAACGACAATACCATGCTTCATAGCACGACGCACTCTGTCGAATGCTGCTTCAGCCCTTCCGTTGGGCATATTGCGCAATTGACCTTCTGTCTTCTCGTCGGAGAACTTGACTCGGATGAAACGATCACCGTCAGCAGCGTGCCTGCGGATGATCCTGTTAGAGGTCTCCATGTTAGGAGATGCTACATGCATCATGGTTGGGGTGATCACCACCGATCGCTGCAAGACACAGTAGCTAGGGACTTTCTTTGCAAGATCCTTGATCCGGATGCCGAATATCTCCATCGGATCGTAGTGAACATGCTGTTTGTCGACAACCTTCTCCAGGATGTAGACGGCGCGGCGAGGATCTAGCGCGGCGAGCTTCTCTAAGAAGTCGCTCGTGATGTTGTGTTCCTTTAGATAGCCGTTCGATAGACACGCCTCGAGTTGGTACCGAACGGGAAAGCTTAGATGGAACTGGCCAGCGAAAAGGTCTTCGAAAACCGAACCCTTTGAGTTGGATGTCGACTCAAGATGTGGATGTGTGCCAGATATCTCTTCTTGTAGCATTGACCATAGAGGTGATGGGACCATGTCTTTAATCGTATACTCGTCGAGGTCCTCAATGGCGACGCCATGGTCGGCGAGAGCATCGCTGAATTCTTTGAACTTGAGCCCTGTCATTACTTTTGGGTCGAATATCATGCGATAATTCGTCCATAGGCCAATGTCGATGATAGCGGTGTCCTTGTGATTCATTAACGGCAAGCCCTGAAGCTTGCTCTTGACAGTGCTGTTGATAATATCGGTCGCTCGGAACCAAGTGCTCCAGTCATACCACGCCTTCTCTTTCCTAGAAAATATACAGCATTTCCTCCCGTCTCCCAGATTCTCAACCTCAATTCGCTGCATGTAAAATTGCGGCGGTGAGTTGAACGGAATGATCAAAGCCGGCTGATCAGTGGTTTTGTCGATGACCTTGTATATGTGAGAGAGCAGAGCAATTGGCAAAGCAAAGCGAACCTTGCGCATCTCGTCATCGACATCGACCGAGAACTGAACATCAAGCTCTTTACGAATCAGATTCAGCGTCATGTAGATACTGCCTGGCGAACGCAAGGTATGCATGGCAATCATGGCCTTGTCTGCCACGTTGACGCCGAAGTCGAGCCCACGTACAGGCAGGATGTTGAACTCGTAGTATTGCTTTGCGGGATTGGCTAGGCTGGGAATGGTCTTGACTTGTGGAGAAAGTGTCTCAATCCCTAGGAGAGCATCGCCAATTCGTAGGTTTCGATGCGGAAAGGTATGGACGGGTGGGGGTCTACAAGAATGACATTAGAGTGGAAAGGTTTCGACGGAAGCAATACTCACCGGAAAACCACGAAAGCGGAGTTGTCTCGGGTGCCAGTGACTATCTCGATCCTGAAGACAGAACCAAACGACGACAATGCGTCATATACGTCTTTTGTCCAGTAGCTCTTAGGTATACCTGACAACTTGATCTTTACCTCCTGGCGATGGGCCCAATGCTGGGCTTCATTTCTCCAAACTGGCCTCTGTGAGCTACGCTGGCTAGCTGAATTGAAGCGCGGGCGATTGCCTCCATATTGAGGAGAGGCTCGGGTGGCCTGCCTTGGTGGGCTTATGATTGGTAACCTTGCCGAAGGTGGTGTCGGAGTAGTACTGGATCTTGCAATGTAGGTTTCTTTGATGCTGTTGCCGTTCAAGTCAAAGGATGAGAGTTGTTTGATTGGGGTAACGGGTGAGTCCACGCGGGCTGGGGTTTGTTCGGTAGTTGCTATGCAAGTGTGTTGAACTTGAGAGGACTGAGAAGCCGAAGCGGGCTTGAGAGTCGGTCGCTTGGGGTTATACTGGCCGTTAGAGCTACCGGAGCTGCCGGAGTATTTGCGGTTGCTACTTCTACCACCACGATATCCGCCACGACCACCGCGTTGGCTACCGCGATACATGTTGCAGCTACCAAAAGATTTCTCACTAGTGGAGCTTGTCTCTGATTTTTGTTCGCCGTGTTGAAATGTTCTTGAGTTCAGTGTATAGGATCGTGATGATGTGAGGGTGCTGGTGTTGAAAGCAGGAGGAGTCGAGCCCATGGGATCTGGGTCTTGAAGGTAGCGGTCCATGTTCGTTTGTAAACGTACTTGCCCTCGCACCAATCCTCAGGGAATGGCGATAGGGTAATTGTGGTGGCGGGCACGACTAGCTAATTGGGTGTGACCGCTGCTTCAGGAAAGGGCAACGTAGCGGTGCCGCGGCGGCTGACCGTAGGCGTTTCTTGGGTGTTCTGGCCGTACCTATGCAGGGTGATTGGAGTGGGAGGATGGAGGATGGAGAACTTTGTTTGCTCGAGGTCGGCAATCAAACGGCCGTTTGCCTAGAAGAGCTTTAGATGTGGCAGGAGCGAGTCGCGACCCGTGTGTTTGGTGTTTGGTGTGATGACGTCGGGCTGAGAATCCGGCAACTGGAGCTCGAAGCAGTCGAGGATATATTCTACGAGACCGAGATAGGTGTGGCAGCCTATAGATGTAGTGGAGGTGGATGGGAAATGGAGGAGTAGTAATTGTATGAGGAAGGCGCAGGGTCCGGTTCAGGACTCTTACTCAAATACGTGCTCGTGCTGATACGGGAAGGTGCAAGCGGAGGGCAGCATGAGAAGATGTGGGGTTATAGCCGATGTAACGACGATCAACTGAACGGCGCTTGAGAAAAGCAGCTAGCCGTAAGGTACAGAGAGTAAAGAAGACGTCAAGCAGAAAGATTAAGAAAACACACACGTGTAGCACATGATAGAACGCTAGCCTTGTGGTAAAACTAGTAGAAGGTAAAGGCAGGTGCAAGACATTGAGTAAGAATAGGCCATTGGGTATCTCGAAATTATCAAATGCCCAGTGCGCCATGTATGCAAGTACCCATGCCAAATGCGCAAAGCCTTCGTACGCCCGGTATGAAACAAGCAGTGGCTATCCTACCTTTCCCAAAACATCATCGTAAATCATGCTTTCGTACTCACAGCTCAGTCATGGTCTCGTCACCTTCGTCCGGGATCCGCCCAGTACCAGACATAAAGCCCGGAGTAAGTGATGTGCCGGTCGTGAAATCATCATCGATGTCAAGATCGACTTGCTCAATGTCCTGAATACTGCCTCTACGTTTCCTCACTGACTCAATCTCAGTAGCAGGGTCTTCTTCCTCGCCGCCTGGCAATGTAAAACCGATAGTCGTGTGGCGGCGGTTCGGCGACACTGGTCTCAGAGCTGAACGCTTAGTTGGCGACAGCTGATGTGAGTGTGAGTGTGAGAGCGACTTGGGTACGATGTTGGGCTTCTGGATACTTGGCGTTTGCATCGTTGGCACCTTGAAAGCTTGCCTTGGTTTGGCACGCTTTGGTGCTGGCCCGTTACCCTGGGACGAATTCGAATCGGCTGATGAGGCGAAAGACGCATTTGTAGAGCTGCCCAGAGCTCTGCTAGGTAATGCTTGAACATTCTCCATGGCGACTGATACATCCTCTTGGGTGTTGATGGCTGACTTACGTCGTCGGTGAGTTCGCGGCTCTCGTGTCGCCAGAGGCTGAGCTATCTCTTTGTAGGTCCGTGAAGTAGGCCGAGCGGGCAGCAGATGCATCGCCATCATCTTGCGAGCCGTCCTGAACTCTTCAAGTTCTTCTTCTTGCTCTCTGCAAAACTCCTCAAGCTCTTGGATCCTCGCTTCTAGCGGTTGTATCGATGATTGAAGATGCTGAAGATTGTTACGCGTCTTCCCGTGATCATGTCGTTCCTCTTGAGCGTTGCGCTGAGCATCCAGCAGCCGCGCTTCCAGCGTCTCGCATCGCTCTTCAGCTTTCATGGTGATAGCCTCCAAATCGTTGGCATGCTTCATCGCAAGCTCTCTCATCGTTTCAGCTGAGGACTCTTTGAACTCCTGATAACTGGTCCGCGCGATATGAAGCTGTTGAATGGCATCCTCTAGTTCCGCTTCCTTCCCTTCCAAGTCTTGCCGATATTCTGACGCCTGCGTCTCGAGTTGTGCGATCTCGTCGGCTTGGCGGGCAGTATTCACCCGCTCCCGTTCAAGCGTCTCCTCTGCTTCACAGCCGCGTCTCTGCTGCTCCTCAAACTGTATGGTGAGGCTGCGATGGTCGCTCTCGTGCTGCATTTGAGACGCTCTCAGCCGACTAATGGTACCGTGCAGCTCCTCAATTTGTTCATCGCGGACGCGTTTGTCCTCCTCATACTGGTGTATCGTCGAGCAGAGTTCAAGCTCCTTTGCGCTAGACCTTTCGCGAGCAGCCTTTAGAGCCTCGGTCGCATTCCGCTCTGAAGTGTTCAGCGAGGTCTCTACTTCTTGTATCCTAGAGTGCATTCGGTCTTTCTCTTCCAATAAGTCGGACTTCTCTTGCTCCAGGCGCTTTTGCTCGTCTATGGAGTCCTGCAGTTCCTTCTCCAAACCCTCCACGTATTCCACAGATTCTTCTCTGTCCTTGTGTAGAAAATCGATTTGCTCATTGAGACGGGCATTCTTTTCTGTCAGATGAGCGATCTGTTCCTGCAGCTTGAGGGACTTCTCCGTCTCCAGTCGTAGCGGCTCTTCGACTGTATTGCAACGTGTCTCCAGATCACTACATATTTGAGACATAGAGCGCACTACAGCATCCAGCTGATGTTTGTTCTGACTTTGTAGCTCCAGTTCGAGACGTTTGCGCCAATCTTGGAGATGCTGACCCGTGTATTGCGTGCTTGCTTCTTGGAAGAGGGAGATTGAAGGCTGAGCGGGGCTTTTTGTCAAGTGCGAGCAAGTGTTCAACGCAGGTGGAAGGTCTCGCTGTTTCTTGATAAGCGCAGTCATGAGAGTGTGTGGTATCGTCGACTCTCCCGGTCGCGCTGTAAGAACAATGGTGAGTACTGAAGCGACGGTGGCAGCGACCAGCTGCCGACGAAGTGATGTAGCATGGGTACAGCAGCCGGGGCCTTCTTTCGTCACACCAGCACGAACGAGGTTCTGAAGTTCTTCTTGCAAGGTCCTCGATGACAGTACACGCAGCACAGTGGTCCTTAAAGCACCAGACGTCATCGCAGCTGTGGCCAGTTCATTGATAATGTCGATAGAGTTAGAAGCTTCGCGAGAGCCAGGCTGCGAAGCACACGCTGATAGGATACCTGATAATACTGCCTTGACGGTGCTCTCCTGTGTTTGCGCCTGTCCTCGTTAGTCAACCAGCCAGTACTACCGCATGAATCGCTTACTGCATAGATTGGCAGTGAGACTGAAAGAAACTCGGCAAAGCCTTCGAGCTTTGCCACGCGAGGGGCTTCTAATATACATGACTCGTAGCGTGCGACGATACCCTGCGGCAAACTCTGAGAACTTGAAAGTATGCCAAAGAACGACAGGGCCTCTAGTTGGACGGATAGACTCGCATTGGAGTTTTGGATTTTGGAGGCGCACTTTTCGTAAAGCATGGCATACTTCTTTTGAAATCGAGGCCAGTTGTCCTTCACGTCTTGGCCAATGGATTGCATCGCCCTCGAGGCAATACGTAGGCCTTCGATTGCTTCATTTTCCTGGATTCCGCCTCGAAGAATCCATACTACGTTCAAACAAGTGAGCTCAATAGTTTTGTATAAGTAGCTTGTCGAACCGAATAGCTTTTGGCCTGAGGGTGTTGCCCAATGTTGTCTTAGTCTTTCCGTGGATGTCGGCTCCTCATCAGCAGATAGATTTTGCAGTTCCTCGACTCCTTCGGGATGTTCTGTGATGAGCACTATACCTTCTGCCCATAGGAACAGTAAAGAGGAGTCGGCGACTTTAGGGGATCTGAGTATATTGCACAACTCTGTGTCGAACCGCTGCCTCAGGTCTCTTGGAAGAAGGCTGTAAAGTCGACAACATGCGCCGTTGAGCATACGATACACTGATTTCAGGGTTTCGTAGTTCGGTTGCTGTGTAGCGTTTTCGAAGACATTAAGAAAGAAGTTCTGTGCTACAGCGGGTAATGGTATCGCCTCAGGCAGTGGGCGCGAAAGAATAAGCACGCATAGCTCGGCAAGCTACAACGTTGTTAGCAAGTGATGTACCTTCACATTCGCGTACTCACATGTCCGAAATCAGATTTCGATGAGTTTGCCTTCTTCAATAGAGAAGGGAGTAGGGACGGTTCCAGGACCAGTAGCTCGTCTCGAAATTCTGGCGCATGACCTAGAAACATGTAATCAGTTTGATTGCGTTCTTACTATCAAGCGGAGACCGGTCAACTGCTTACACAAGAGGTGCAGCACACGTAGCGTATGTGCATTCAGAGACAGTGCATCGTGGACGATTCTGCCTAGTTTCCTCACCGCGCAAGGTGACCGGTCTTGGACGCATGATCGGATAGTCGATACGTCGACGCGCGCCAAAAGATCGGACAGGTTCTGTGGGATCTCGCGTCAGCTCATCTCATCAACGATGGGATGCTTATGCAGCGAGTCATGCGCTCAAATACGGGAGCAGGCTAGTGGTACGACATGAGGATGCACTGAGTGTTGGGAAGATGAGGGGCAAATACGTACGGATAGCGAGGGGGGGTACGGACACTCGATGATCCTTGTCAGTTCCGACGTCAACTCTGCGCTGATATCCGCCATGGCTGCTGGATTGAGTTGTGTTCGGAGTTGGGCCGAATGTTCGTTATGCGTGGATTTGTGACGCGAACTTGTTTGCTGTCGCGTTCCTCTGGCGACGGCCGAAAAGACGCGCCGGGATCGCCGACTTCCCCATAGGTATCAATGCACGCGACCATGCATCCTGCGCCAACATCTCACACTCCCTGCTCTGCTCGCACTCCACATGTTTGCCTGTTGACGTCAGCCATCTATAGATCGTATAGCTGCTGGGCGCAACATTGCTAGCCTGCAGGCATTGCGGGGCTCATTCTATTCTCCGCTTACACGTTACCTCCCATTGGCGGTAATATACTCCACGCGTCTTTGCTTTTGGCAGCTCCTTTGCAGTCTCGAGCTTAATGGCGTTCTAGGACATTGCTCATGGGAGCCGTATGCGGTATTCCGCTTCAATACTATATGGGAGTAGTTGTCTGCCTGGAACTGTAGCCGTTACCGCGGCATCCACCGGCCTCCTCCGGCTTTCTGGCTTTACCGACAAGCAGACGCCTGAAGATCGCGCGTGGGGTACGGCAAACATTCATGTGCAGCTTGTTCCCCCACTCGCTCGATTGTCAGCCAGCATCTGAGCTGCACAGACGAGAGGAGCAAGTTTCGTGAGGTAATGGTATCACCGTCGTCCAATCGCCAAGGGCAAGTATGCCGCTCAGCTTCTCCCCAAGCCTCCCAAGCTTCTGTTTTTGAGCCTCAGCCATGGGCATCAGGCATCGAGGTAGAAGATTGTCCCTGACAGGCGCCTCTTCTGCCACTTGTCTCGCTCTCGAAAAGGAAGCATACATGGCAGCAGCGTATCATTGTTGTCGGCAAAGTTCCAGATCCACATCTTCGGTCCTCGTCTGCAGCCGCTCGGGGCCCTAGCGAACGCCTCGTCACGCGACGGCATCTCGCTCGGAATGTCATTCAGCGTCACCTGCCGCCACGATGCGTCTCGAACCAACACATTTGCTTGTCGTTGCCCTGGTCTTCCCCGCAATTACCTTGCGTGTGTCCAAGCCCCTTGCAGGTGATCGATCATGCACGACTTCATTTGATGCGTGAGCCGAAAAATTTGATACAGAAAATCGTGAATCTCGTCAGCCTCCCACGCTATCACTGGTCCATCCCACGACTTTTAGGACGTGTATTGCGACTTTACCTGTGCGCTGGCCAACGACGCTCAAAGCGATACCCGAAAAAACCATCGCGCCAACTGCGTTTAGACTGAAATAACCTCTCCCCGCTCTTACTGTGCTTGCCGTTCGGCTTCTAGATCCACAAAATGCGTAGGCCAGCCTTGCAACCGTCTTCTCCTCCACTCTTCTATCATACTAGTTCGGTAAGTGCGCCCTGACCCGTAGTCAGCGAAAGTGGATTCCATTTCTAGTGCTTCCCAGCATCTCAACAACTGATTGCAACTTCACTTTCCCTTCTTCGTTGTCGATTTCGTCATGTTCCGCCAGCCAGCGGCGCGACTGAGGCAAATAACCTCACCCATCTTCAAGCGAGGTGGCGCTCGTGCACGCACTGGACGCGAGCAGACCTTCAGAGCCGAGCAACTTCAAAGGCCATTTTGGAACTCTGGACGGGTCTTGCTATTTTCCGCGGTTACCGGAACGACCACCTACTTCTACGGCGCCAATGACGAACCGCACAGAATTCAGATGCCATGGAAGAAGTCATCTGGGCCCCAATATGCGTCCAAGTACGAGATGGAGAAGGTAAGCTTGCGATCATACAACTCGTTCGCATCGGCCAGTCACTTAGGTCAGTACAGGCGATTTTAGAGCTTAGGGATGTTCTTGGGGAAGACACCATTAGTACCGACGACGAGGATTTGCACCGACACGGATATTCGGAATGGTCGTCTATCAACATCGACCAACTTCCCGTTGCGGTAGCGTATCCAAAGTCAACCGAAGAATGTGCTACCATCGCCAAAGTCTGTTACAAATACAAGATACCGATGAGTACGTTTAGAAAGACGCATGGAGAAATGAGTATTGACAGCGCGCAGTCCCATATTCTGGGGGATCAAGCTTAGAGGCCAACTTCTCGGCCCCATTCGGTGGCATGAGCATTGATTTCTCGTTCATGGACCAGATCTTGGCTTTGCACGAAGATGAGTGAGTGATTTTACGTCTAGCATGCAAGACTGGCGATGCTGACGGTGACGCGTAGTATGGACGTAGTAGTTCAGCCTTCCGTACCCTGGATGAGTCTCAATGACCAGATCAAGGACTCTGGGCTGTTTTTCCCTGTCGACCCTGGCCCATCGGTAAGTCTTCATGTGTTACACAACTCTGCAATCAACCCTCGGAAACCCTGATGCGGAACTCCAGACTCTTTCTAATGGGCGTGGCAGGCTCGAATTGGCGGTATGGTGGGTACAAGCTGCAGGTAAGGTCTATGATGGTCAGTGACGTGGTCCAACAGCTGACCCTCCTAGTGGCACCAACGCAGTCCGATACGGCACGATGAAGGATTGGGTCATCAATCTGACCGTAGTTCTTGCCGACGGCACGATCATCAAGACCAGACGTAGGCCTAGGTATGCAGACTGCCTCCATGTAGAAATGTGCGATAGACTGATTATCTTCAGGAAATCATCGGCCGGCTACAATCTCACGAATCTTTTCGTCGGCTCCGAAGGCACCCTGGGCATAGTGACTGAGATCACTTTGAAACTAGCTGTAGTACCCCAAGAGACCAGCGTCGCAGTCGTCACCTTCCCCACGATACGAGATGCCGCTGCCGCAGCTTCCAAGGTGTTGCGCGCCGGAGTGCCGGTGGCTGCGATGGAGATAATGGACGACGTGCAGATGGGCGTAATCAACAAAGCCGGATCAACAGCCAAAAAGTGGAAAGAATTGCCGACTATGTTCTTTAAGTAAGTTTCCAGAACAACTTTTTGACATGTGAAAGCACGAGCTAAGAGCCTCAAACAGATTTTCGGGGACCAAAGCAGGGGTACGTCAGCCCTACGCGCAATGCAATTACCCAGAGCGGAACTGACTGCATATAGGTACAGGAGAACATTGAGCTGGTGAAGTCGATCTCCAGAAAACACAAGAGCGGGGATTTTGAATTCGCTGTCAGCGCCGAGGAACAGAAAACACTGTGGTCTGCGCGCAAGGAGTCGCTATGGAGCATGCTGGCGCTCCGTCGTGAAGGCGACGAAGTTTGGTCAACAGATGTCGCCGTACCGATCTCCAGGCTACCAGACATTATCGGTATGATAAGCGAATACAGGGCTTTGACAAGTTGCTGACTTGCGGATAGAAATCTCCAAGAAAGAGATGGATGACCTCGGTCTCTTCGCGAGCATCCTAGGTCATATCGGAGACGGAAATTTCCACGAAAGCATCATGTACAACAGCAAAGATCCCAAAGAGCGAGCGGCTGTCGAGAAGTGCGTTCATGACATGGTCGACCGTGCGCTTGAGATGGATGGCACATGCACCGGCGAGCACGGCATTGGGCTGGGCAAGAAGGAATCATTGCAGAAGGAACTCGGTCTCGATACAATCAACGTGATGAGAAGTATCAAGGGCGCATTGGATCCGTACTGGCTGATGAACCCGGGAAAGATCATGGACGCTCAGGCATAGAATCGCATGTCGAGATGGCGCATTTACTGTTGTCTGAAGTTCTTCGACGAGCATGCATTTGGAGGACGCCTGATTATGCGGTGCATCTGCGAGGGGCATATATAGATTTCTCTCCGCCTCACCGTTTTGTGTTGTTTTGGTCTGGTAATAAAAACTGTTGTTCGTGGCAAGACAGTCGGCAAATGAGCGCGTTCGTGACCTCCGTGATCGGCTGGTGTCGCGTTTTCCACCCCACCCCCGCGTCATACCTAACCAGAACTTTGTGAACTCGATTGACTCAATCTTGCAATACCAACAACCACCACAATGGACGCAGAAAAGTTTACATCTCATAACAAAAACTTCCCCAAGAAGAAGTGCGGTGAGTAGCGCATCTCTGGTTGGAAACGGTCGACTGATCTCGTTGCAGGTGTGCTCGGCGCGACTGGCTCCGTCGGCCAGCGCTTCATCCTTCTTCTTGCGCTACACCCACACTTCGAGCTACACGCCGTTGGAGCCTCTGAGCGATCAGCCGGCAAGAAATACAAGGATGCGGTCAAGTGGAAGCAGGCGCTGCCTTTCTCGGAGCGCATTGGAGAGCTGGTGGTGAAGAAGTGCACACCTGAAGAGTTCAAGGACTGTGACATGGTCTTCTCTGGTCTCGACAGCGATGTTGCCGGAGACGTTGGTAGGCAATCCACTCCAGACTGCGATTAAAAATACTGATACACAACAGAAATGGCCTTCCTCAAGTCCGAACTCGCCGTCTTCTCCAACGCAAAGAACTACCGCCGCGACCCTCTCGTGCCGCTCGTCGTACCCACCGTAAACCTGCCCCATCTCGACGTCATCAAGCACCAACGACAACACCACAAGCTAGAGAAGGGTTTCCTCGTCTGCAACTCCAACTGCGCAGTCATCGGTCTCGTCATACCCTTCGCCGCGCTACAAGCCAAGTTTGGCCCCATAGACCAAGTCTCAGTCGTCACAATGCAGGCCGTGTCGGGCGCTGGCTACCCCGGTGTAAGCAGCATGGACATCATCGACAACGTCGTGCCTTTCATATCAGGCGAGGAAGACAAGCTCGAGACAGAAGCATCCAAGATCCTGGGTAGCGTCAACGACGATATCACAGGATTCGTAGACCAGCCTATGAAGGTATCCGCAGCATGCAACCGCGTGCCAGTACTAGACGGCCACACTGCATGCGTATCGCTACGCTTCCAACGTCGGCCGCCACCAAGTGCGGAAGAGGTCAAGCAGGCAATGCGCGAGTACGTGTCTGATGCACAGAAGCTGGGTTGCCCGTCTGCGCCTGAGAAGGCGATTGTGGTCATGGAGGAGGCAGATAGGCCACAACCAAGACTGGACAGGGAGACGGATAGGGGGTACGCGGTTAGCGTGGGTAGGATAAGAGAGGATGAGGCGGGCATCTTTGATCTCAAGTTTGTTGCATTGAGCCACAACAGTAAGTTTAACTTGCGAATGCGGGTGGTTGGGCGATTGCTAACTCGTTGCAGCTGTCATTGGAGCGGCGGGATCGTCGATATTGAACGCGGAGGCGGCAGTGCTGAAGGGCTATGCTTAGGGATGAGATTAGAAATGTGGCCTATATGCAAGAAAACGATCAATTGCACACGTTTACATTTGGAGACAGTCTGGTGATTGAGTTCTCGATCATGGTGATGTGAGACGAGTCTGTCATGGCGTTGTTCAAATCCGCAATGACCAGCGCCTGGCTACGTGACCATGGGACGTTGCTAGATTGCGGCCCAGTAAGAATTTCTCGACATTCTATATTCCCTTGCGTTGGACGAATTCTTTGATGATGGCATCTCGATCGAGGGGAAAACTAGACATCCTGTAGCATACATCGACGCCAGATTTTCCGATTTGAACGCTTCATCCTGGTGCAGTCTGCAGACCTATTTAGTTTTTCCTTGTATACGGTGGCATTCTAGAATTATTTGCGTTGGGCGATGTCTTGATGCTTGGAGACCCCGTCAGGCTTGGCGCGCTAATCCTCGGCTAAATGCGCGCTAGTGGCAGACGCACAATGAGGAGTCTGTCGAACTTTGCTTTCGACAGGACCTCCAATCTCTACGACTAACCTCCTCGCACAACAGTCAATATGGCCCGTGGACCCGTCAAGCACCAGAAGCGCCTCAGCGCGCCCTCGCACTGGCTCCTGGACAAGCTGTCCGGTACGCTCGACTCCTGCAATTTGCGATGTAATGGCTATCGCGACTTCAGAACTGACATCTTCCAGGTGCTTATGCTCCCAAGGCCTCCCCCGGTCCTCACAAGCTCCGCGACTCCCTTCCCCTCATCATCTTCCTCCGCAACCGCTTGAAGTATGCGCTCAACGCCCGCGAGGTCAACGCCATTCTCATGCAGCGCCTCGTCAAGGTTGACGGCAAGGTCCGCACCGACTCCACCTTCCCCTCGGGATTGATGGACGTCATCTCCATTGAGAAGACCGGCGAGAACTTCCGCCTGATCTACGACACCAAGGGTCGCTTCACCGTCCACAGGATAACAGACGAGGAGGCACAATACAAGCTCGGCAAGGTTAAGCGCGTCCAGCTTGGCAAGGGCGGAATTCCCTACTTGGTTACGCACGATGCGCGAACGTAAGTTCCCGCTCTATCAGCCGTTGGACCACAGTTTGGGCTAGGTGTCTGAGGGAAACCTCTTTCACCAGGCATACGACCAGGGTCTGGCTATGTCCGAATTGCTGCTAAAAATTTGTGTAGAATCCGCTACCCCGACCCAGCTATCAAGGTCAACGACACCGTCAAGGTCGACCTCGCCACTGGCAAGATCTCTGACTTCATCAAGTTCGACACTGGTGTCATTGTCATGGTTACCGGTGGTCGTAACATGGGTCGTGTTGGTGTCATCACTCACCGTGAGCGCCACGACGGAGGCTTCAACATTGTCCACTTGAAGGATGCTGTTGACAACGAGTTCACCACTCGTGAGTCCAACGTCATGTAAGTTGGATATCCGCACGCGGACGAGAACAAGTACTAACGTGGATTCAGCATCATCGGAAAGGAGAAGCCATGGATCTCTCTGCCCAAGGGTAAGGGTGTCAAGCTCTCCATTGCTGAGGAGCGTGACCGCCGCAGGGCGTACGCCATTGCTCACTAAGCGTGACGCTGGCGTAGATGTAGGTTAGGATATGAAGTACCCATGAGTTCATGAAGATAGGTGCAGGACTCGATCCCAAAATTCAGGCGTTCATGATCACTTGTGGGGAGGTTGATCGGATCTGGAGTCTCTGCATATCATACGAATACCATGTGAGGTCTGAGAAATCAAGCAAATAAACACTTCAGTCTTGCCCAAACATGAGATGCTTTGAATGGACGTGCGACAGCGTGGAGCCGTGCGGGCTGTGTAACGGGTCGAGTGGATCTGTAGTGTGGGAGATATAGGCGGGAAGCCTCAAACAAAGAGCATCTCGCGTGGAATGCGATAGGTGTGGTAATATAGGTTGGTGGCGCTGGCCTGATCCTTTTCCGGGATCTGGCTGCGGTTGATAGGAGGGCGCTACTCTGTGCCCTGTTTCGAGGCGATAACGCATTGCAGTGTATACATTAGACAAGGCCCGCACCGTCGTCGAAGCAGATGGCGACCACGATGGCTGGTGTTGATAGTCGCTGCGCTGCCTCAGGACCAGGAAGAAGAAAGGGTCTGTGTTTCAGCAGTCTCGTCTGAAGCACGCAGCAGAGCAAAGATGTTCTCAGTGCCTGGATGATGGGCCGTGCGACTAGGCGAAATGAGACGATAGATATCCCTGCCAAACTGGGGCGGGAGAGCAGCGTGGACGCGTGCGACTCCGACTGATGCTCCGAACACAAAGCAAAGTCGCAGGTAAGACGGGCCTGCTGCGAGGGCAAGGGGCGCGACAACGGGGCTACCCGCGAAAATACTGCCGCCGGGTGTTGTCAGCAAGTCTCCATTCATTCACAGCACGACAGCTTAGACGTCTGGGTCAACGTCAACGGCTCGATAGGGTCCCGCGTCGATACCAAGTTACTGCAGCGACTAGCCGGCATAGTTCCAACGTTCGCTATACCTCGCGCCATTCACGCCCTTGATTGGCTGCGCGTCCGCTCTTTCCTGTTGCTGCACAGTCGCTCCTTCCAGCCATCCGCCCACCTCCTCCAGGCGTGTCCCAAAGCCTACCACGCTTCCCCGCAACCCCCAACAGCCAGCGCCTGCCCCCTCGAGCGCCTCATCGCGTGTCTAGCCGTCGTCGCGCACGCTCAAGCTCCTTCGAGGCATCAATGACCCAACAGGCATAACTGGTGTAACCTCGATCGTCACTCGTTTCACGTCTGGGCAAGAGTGCGCTTAGGCACGTTTACGACTGCGCCCACTGTTACGAGACTGCGGACCGTCTGCCTCTTCACGCTTCGTCGCGCATAAGTCCGATCGCCCTCTCCAACACCACGCCGTCGACTCTCGAGAGCCGGTCTCTGGCGAGCCGGAATTCCACGCGGTAGCCTCTGTTATTCTTCGCCAACATGTTGCGCCCTGCGACCCCCTTATCGATACTATTCTTCGTCGCCTTCGTGCTGCTGCTTCTCTCGACGCTCTCGACGCCTCTGATCAAGAGCATTCCCCTCGCTACCTACCGCGGTGTTCACTTTGGCGTCCTCGGCTACTGCGAGAATGGCGACCAAGGGTGCAAAGGGCCCATGATCGGGTACAACACTGGTATGCCGCCCTATGCCACATACGACAGCTAATGTGCTAATTGTTCAAATAGAAAAACTATTCGCAGGCGAAGACAGCTCCGACTTCTCGCTACCCTCCGCCCAGCGCCATGCGCTTTCCTCCATTCTCATCGTGCACCCCGTCGCAGCTCTCATGACGCTGATATGCTTCGGTCTCTCCGTCGCTGCCCACTTCCACTCGCCCGCCCATTCGCCGCGCTACCTTCTCGCCCTGCTAATATTCACGTTTCCGACTCTATTGGTCTCGCTGCTCGCTTTCCTCGTCGATATCCTGCTGTTTGTACCGCATGTGGGCTGGGGAGGATGGATCGTCCTGGGTGCTACCATCATCATCGTCGCAAGCGGTATCGTTACCTGCGCCATGAGGCGCACACTCGTCAGTCGCAAGGCACGTAAGAGGCGCATTGCCGAGAACGATGAGATGAACGGTCAGACCTACTATGCGAACCGCGCCAATGCGACTGTGGCTTCAGAGTTTCCCAAGGCCGAGTCACCGCCTCCACTGTCCGGAGAGACCATGACCTCTGGAGGCAGGGACGGCAATGCAGCCTACTTCGACCATTCCAAGCCATCGCCGACCGACGACATGACGCCGCTGAACCAGCGCAATCCTTCGCTCAAGACAGTCAGCAGTGGAGGAAACGGCTCGGAGAACATGAACCCACCGAACCGCGGTCCCTCAGGTCGTCGACAGCCGATGGATCAGTACGGCAATCCCGTTCCACCCATGCCAAATGACGGATACGCTATGATGAACGGCGCGCCACGTGGAAGAGGGGGTCCGATGAGGGGTCGAGGAGGCCCACCAAGAGGTGGACAGTACGGCGGCCCAAGAGGGGGAGGCTACGGACCAAGAGGAGGCATGCGCGGACCTCCGCCACCAGGATGGAACGGTGGTGGACGAGGCGGACGACCTCCGAATGGACCCCCAATGCAAGGCCAGCCGCCAATGGGTCGAGGAGCGCCTCCTCCAGGATACAACAACGGCAACTTTTACAACCAAGGGCCACCGCCCCGTGAACAATCACCATATGGCAGAGCACCACCGCCTGGCCAGGGGCCACCACTGCAGATTGGACAAGCAATCGAGATGGACAACCGCACAGGCACGCCTCCAACAAATTACGGGCTGAGAGAAAGCGACGGTGATGTTGCCGGCATGCTCGCTCTCCAGCAAGGTGGATTCCCTGCTGGCGCGCCCCAGAGACGGCCATCGGATGGCGTTATGAGCCCGACCAGCGAGTACTCTACAGAGTAAGCTCCGTGTCGAATCTATCTCAATGTATCTTGCTAACCCTCAACAGTGAGTCGGCATTACGACCGCAGCCTCTACAACACCAACAGCAGCCGCCTATGCCGCAACAACAGCAGCAATACATGCCTGTACGAGCAGGATGGAACCAACAACAGGTCCCGTCAGACCAAACCCTCAGCACATTGAACAACAGTAGCCGTGGGCTATCGCCGATTCAAGATTCGCCCGTCGAAATGCCTGCTCATATATCTCACATCGGTGGCCCCAACAGGGTAGAGCGTAGCTCAGACTACTATGAAGATGTGGACCCCAGGTTCGCAGAGCCTGCACAAGCCCAAGCACCTCCACCACTACCGAGCTCCCTCATGCCAGGGGGTTTCGCTCCACCGAATCCCAACTTCCTCTCCACTGGCAACGGAAGCGACACAAACCTCCCCCGCAATAGTTCCTATGACGATCTACCAGAAGGCGCGCGCTCGCCTGCCGCAAGCGAAGCGTCACATTTCACTTCCGTCTCGCAACGCCCCGTCAATCCCAATTGGCGACCGGAAATGGGCGCCCCAGCCGGTCAATTCGCGCCCTTCGCTCCTGGCCCACGGAGACCCATGCGTCAAGAAGACGTAATCCTCGAGGCCAACGCCGCGAACCCCGACTTCGCGATCCCGGGGGCAGGCCGGGGACGCGGACGAGGACGCGGCGGGCCCATGGGTGGCAGAGGAAGAGGAGGCGCAATGATGATGCCTCCTGCCACGATGATGGGACCCGGCCCCGGCCTATCGAATCAATCGAGATACCCAGGCGCTAATGCCATGTAGGAATGGCATTCATGACCACCCAGCCAAAACCCAGGCTTTTCTTTCCAAAGGCACGGGACTCGGATTCTTATCCATCTCTCTCTCGTCATTTTGTTCTTTCTCCCATGCGAAGTGTACAAAAAACCTTTCCGTTTTGCATCTTCCGCCTCGAACCGAACGTAATACACACAAGGCCCGTTCTGGCGAGGGAAGCCCAATTGAGCATACCTTAATTTCTAGTCCAGCGAGCTGTTCTTTCTCCATGCCGCTGTCTTGCACCCTTTTTCTCCTTTTACTCCGCTGGACCGGATCAGATCGGATCAGATCAGATCAGATTTCACATCGAAATGCGATGTTCGAATCTGAAAGCCTCCGCCGTCCTGAGCTTCAATGTCCTCATGGTAGCGGATACCCAGCCATTTTGTTTTTTACCTTTTCTTGTCGCTTTCTCCTGGCTGTCTGGGCGTAGGTTTTCACGAATACATATGAGCGCCTTCTTCTTCTTTCTTCTCTTATTTTTCTACTTGTTGGTTTTCTTTGCGAAAGGGTCAGATAAACGATTAGCCCTAGGTGGGCGGAATTCTTGGTCAACACATCGCGTTTTTATATGGGAGTGTGGAAGGAGGAGGATTTGCGGGATGTACATAAGTTTTGATTGTTTGGAGGGATGTATGGGGATTGAACTGCATGGGAGAGAAGAGGAGGGGGAGCAGACATTGTGTCACTAGCAGAATACCAATACAAAGATTTTTTACAAAAATCTCACGTGTCTTTGGCTACGGTGCAGCGTCTTTCTGCTGCAGTGTGTCATCCTCCCTTGTCCACTCGTACACGAGATGTTTCTTTGTCACCCGCCTCCGTCGTCGATTGTTATCATCTTGTACGGCCGTGCCTTAGGGTGGTGAACAGCTTCGGTTTGTCTGGAGTGGACGGGTGGGCAGGATCGTAGTAATTACGGATATGTTGTCGTTGTCGTAAGTGACTCGTTGAGCCATACGTGTCGGGTGCTTGTGGTCATATGCCGACCTCACATACTGATTTCAGTCATACACATGGACGCGTTGCCATGCTGTAATGGGGCGGTAGATGAACCACGTGAGGATACTGTCCATCTGGGCAAATTCCGATGTTGACGCCAAGCCGGGATGAAGGGGCAGTCTTTGACAGCAGTCAAGGTTGAGCCATGAATTAAACTCATCGATGTCGTACAGTAGACGCGCAGTAGACGCGCAGTAGTTGCATTCTAGGCTTATCGCATTCATCGAAAGTGTCGGATTATATTCCGTGAAGTCGTTCGCATTCTCATGTGGAGTCGTGTGGCGGAAAACAGCTGCCATTGAACTGTCCGATGTGGTGTGATGAAGAATTTTCCGTCGGATAGGCCCCATCGGTAAACGGCCCACCACTGCGTGCATCTCCGGCATCGTATCTTTCCTAGCCCAGCGTTTCCCCAGACGTGAAGTTGCTGTCTTGACTTGGCATTACACATCGCGCACTTTTGAATGCATCGGCCCCAGATTCTTACCCCAGAATTTCAGCGGTGACACGGTTGTTATCCTTACGTCTCTCATATTGACTTTGCGGGGTAGCAAGCGCTCAAAGCATGATGCATCCAGCCTCTGCAGAAGTTCGACGTGTACCTCGTCTCGATGCCACTAGCGACAGCCAATTGCTTGACCAGGCCCGGTGGCATGGCACTGCTTAGCAAGGGCAGAGCTCGACAAGCAGTGCAGTAGCGCCTTTGGTAACTGCCGATCAAAGCAGAGCCGCCTCGTTGAAGATAACGGTTTTCATGTCTTCATGGCTTATACCGTGTTACGAAGACTTCACGAACCTCATGTGATAGGTCGCTTCGTTCGAGGCGGTCGCTCAGAGTCGGATATTCTAGATAGTCATGCCGATAAGTGCATGCATCGATATGAGCAGGCCTGGACGCTGCGTTGGTTGACGCTCCGACATCGTCATGGGGCATGCGTGCAGACGTGGCTTTATCTTGGGCTGAGGTTATCGTGAAGCAAGATGATGCTGCTAGCGGCGCTAGGAGTATGCGCTAACTATACATAGTTATCAAATCCACTTCTTTCATCCCACTTCTGGATGATTGTGGGGTAGCCGTTGATCTGCCTTATCTCCAGACTCTCAACATCCTCATGATGCTTTTTTGGCTATAACCTTCTTTACGAGCCCGCCACCGATGATAGTTCCAGACGATGCGGATAATCTATCAATCGCGTGTCCAACTTTTCCGCTGAGCGGGCGTCCTCCCATAGAGGGGTTTAAAGAGCGAAAATGCGACGCTCGACTGCGGTGGCTGGCCAATCAGCCGCGCGCTGATGCACGATATGGATACTTCGGGGAAAGCTGGGTTGTTAAAAGGCCGAAGCTCGGCATCCAGGCTCAGTCGCCCTGCATCAACCACACCAGCGGCATGTTTTTATCAGCTGCTATCTTGGCCCACACCGGTCTAATGATAGGCAAAGGGAACCATCGGCTGTGTCACTGACCCGTCACGCGCATTTGAAGCGTCGTATCCGCATTCACTGGATCCGCATCTTAAGTCCTATTACTTCGCACCGGGATTCTCACCCCGTTGTCGTTCGACATTCCCAGACCTCGCCCCCTTACCAAGTCCACCCAACCCTGATACTCAAAATGCCCACATTGGCTCAAGACAAGGTTTTGGCGAGAGATCTGAAGGCTAAGAAGACCAAATCCAGGAACGGATGTGGTCGATGCAAACTCAAGAGGGTAAAGTCCAACGATTGCCTACTGCACTGGCCCACTAGCTGACAAAAACAAAGCTCAAGTGTGACGAGACCGCTCCTGGTTGCTTGCAGTGCAAGAAAAGGAACGTCGCGTGTCCTGGCTACGAGAAGACTCTGAAGTGGTCGACAAAGTACGAAGTCTTCAATCCCACCCAGTCCAAGTCGGCATCTCCTAGACCCAGGTCGACACCCGACGCCACCTCTACCACTTCACCGGCAGCGAAGTCACCCCTTCCCCAGAACGTCGCCAGTGGTATCGAGGCTGCGTTGGCTGCCGTCCTCCCTGCAGGCAGGAAGAACTCCCCTCCCACACAACAACCCTTGACAACACAGGCCTCATCAGCAGTCCCATCCCCACCAAGCTTTGAGGAACCAGCCTCGATACAAGAGTCTTCTACCGAGGATGGTGACTCCCCTCGTGAGTACGAGCCCTTCCCCATGGAGGATGTCAACACCATGGACCCCATCATGCTTGATGGATTCGTTGATGCTATCCAAATGCCCAACGAAGACTTTAGCTTTGATCCATTCGACAACATCGACTTCGACTCTGGCTCACTGGAGGACCTCACGTTCGACATGCATGACCTATCACAAAAGCAAGACATGACTTCGTCTTCATTACCTGTGATGGACCGGGAGCAGACCCGGGAGTCTAGTCCCAGGCTCTCGCGTTCGCTGCTCCTTGACTTGTATCGTCTTCCAAGTCCTTCTCCAGACCCATCCTCTCCGGATGATGTTGAGTCACTGCTCGTCCAGCACTACTTCAAGGACGTCTGCGCTGTGTTTTCTTCTTTCGATTCTGTTCTTAACCCTTTCCGGACTACCATTGGCCGTATTTACAAGGACTGCCCTTCCATTAATTACGCGATCCAATCCATGGCGGCCGCACATCTTGCCAACACCTTCCCCAACATGGCGGCAACCGGTCTTGAGCTACAGCGCAAGGCGCGTGAGGCACTGGAGCTGGAACTTCCACTTGCTCAGAGGGATCACACGAGTGCGACCAAGACCTTCCTTAGTATCATGCTACTTGGTCTCACTACCTCATGGCATGACAGCAACGCACTTGGACTAGAGTACCTGTCCATCGCACGAGACCTCATCCTCCCCAAGCTTTTCAGTCGATCAGGAGGTATCGAGGTTGAGCGCGAGGCACAGTTCTTTGAGGAGTCTTTGATCCACTGGGAGATGCTCATGGGTTTCGTAACAGAAGATGCCATGAGCTTCTCGCCCAAGTCAGGACTGCGACCTAGTATTGCCGCCAGGACGAACACTCCTGCGGCGCGTGGGCCACAGGGAAAGACTGTTCCTCATCCCTGGACAGGCATCGCCCCGATGATCCACTTCCTCTTTGCCGAGGTTGGTCGTCTAGTTCGCAAGGAGCGCTCGATGGATCGTGAAAACTCGATGGACCTCCGTCGACGACAAGAAAACCTTCAGAACGCCGCCTCACTGGAAGAGGACCTCCTAGCTGTTGACTACCCATCGGTCGATCAGGTCATTGACACAGGTGATGAACGTACTCCCAAGGAACACTTCGTCACCATCGCCGAGGCCTACCGTCTGTCTGGCTTGTTGGAGATCTACCGTGTTTTCCCCTCCATCCTACGCAAGCGCTTAAGCTCCGGCAAGACCAAGGGTAGCGAGAACATAGAGTTCGCCTTCCCCACTCCGCGATTTGAGACAGTCTACGAGGCTACCGACATCAAGCTGTGGCTCAACTCACTTGCCATGCACATCATCCGGTCACTCGAATCTCTGCCTTCTTCGTCTGGCACATTCTGCATTCAGCCGCTCCTGCTCGTCGTTACTGCCTCCGAGTTGAAGTTCGTCTCTTCGATTGACTTCTTCGACGTCCAGGCCAATGACGCAGAGGTCGTCGCCGCTCGTGAGTTTGTCATCAGGCGTTTGCAGGAGTTCGCTCTTAGGCTTCCCAACAAGCCTCTTCGCAAAATGATTCAGCTCATTAAGGAGACATGGCGCCAGTCGGACGAGGGCCAAGATGCGTTCTGGATTGACGTCATGAACGATAAGGGTTACCACACCATCATGTGAACCAATCGTGTCAACCTCTACCGACCATGGAGCGGAACCTCGCGGCTCCCTTTAACCAAAATTCTGTCCTTTCTACGATACATTTACGACATGATATTAGCGCTTTTCCTGGATACGGCATTTCTCTACGGCGTTCGACATGCTGTTCCTGTTTCTTTTTAGCGCGCCATTCCTGGAGACCATGCTCTGGTCCTCCCCTGTACGACTGTACCCACAGTACTGTCCTCGATACGAACTCTAATGTACGGCTTCCACCTAGACCCCCTCGGTTCTCAGCATCCCGGTGATGTGAAATGTGGACCCCTGGCCTACTGCGACACTACCATAATACGACTACGATATCCCGCGCGATACCCTAGCGACCATCCCATTGCCTACTGCGACAAAGAAACCCTAATACTGGCACCCATCTGGAATGCTCTGCCAACGACCACATCCCTTTCTGCGACCTTGTCCCATTACGATACCCCCAGCTGCGATCAGCCCACTGCGATGACCTGTCACGATGACTTGTACCGATATCTGGACCCATACCAGGACCCAATCCCGCCTAATAATGACATCTATCGAGATGCCCATAGCGACAACCCGAGCGACCTTAATACTCCATGCGACAACACCTTACCAAGCAACAACTAATTCCTCTTTTACCCCTGCGATACCCCCGCTCTTTGTATTTTAGTCTTCTTCCCTTTCAGGTAGGTATGAGTGGATGCTTCCTTGTGTTTCCCGATCGCGACACTTTCGTCCACTGCGGCTATGCATCCTTGCGCCCACTACCTGGCTCGACCGTTTGCACCCTGCCACGATTGGATCGATGCATCGTTCGGGTGACTTGTATATAGACTGCTTGCTTTAGCGATTCTGTTCTTGCTTTGCGATACCCATTTGCTTCATCGTTCTATTGAAAGCGTTTGCTCTTCTTGTTTTGCGATATTACATCGCACGCTCTGCTGCTGTACGATATCTTTGTGGTGGGAGGTGGCAGGTACGAAAGAGGAAGCAGGGACGATGGTGGAAAAACGTCCACGATCTGTAGCAAAGACGTTGTCAGTTGTTCTCGTGGGTAAAACCACAAGCCGCGGGGCGTGGAGTAGGGCCAAACGTTGGTTCGCGCAAGTGTCATGGTGGATGAAACCCCATGACATGCGGGGAAGATAAGGCGCTGTCGTTTGCTTGGACGGATGTTGTAACACCGAACCACTCTACCACTCGCCTTCGCATCGCTGGAACATGCATGCACGATGAATAGGTAGTGAAAGGTGGAACATAATACATTCATTCAATCAAAGCCGTGATGTGGGTAACACTACATCACAGGCCTGTTCGCCTCATCATCGCTATCATCATCATACGCAATGAACTCTCTCCGTCCACTCGATGCTTGCGTGACAAAGTATCGTGTCGTCTCGTACGCTCGTAGCTTCTTCTCTGCGCCCGGGCTGAACACTGAATCTGCTTGCTGGGCACCAGTAGGTATGGCGAGAAGACGCCTTTCTGCACCGGTCAAGCGCAAGCTGCTCTTCTTAGATACTGGTTCAGGAGAGCTGTTGTTTTCCATCCTAGCCATACCGTTAGTATTTGCGAATTCGAGATAATTCAAGGTGTCTTACCATTGTTTACCCAAGTGCAGACCCTCAGCAACACAAGCCAATATAGCCAGCACAACAATCATCTGCAGCGCCCACAGCCCTACAAACGAGCTGTGGAACTCTGCGGGAGACAATATGGATTCTGCACGACACACAATCCTTCTATGTGGGCTTGACATTGACTGTCCCTCATCATGACCGTTCATTAACACCGAAGTTGGTACCGGCTTCTGCGGCGCATCCTTGATAGCACCCGCCATATACGAGTCGTACAGCTCCGGTTCTGTGTGCTGTAGTTTTTGTAATTCGGATCCTAGACTTGCGCATACATTGAGTACTGCGACTGGACTTTGCGAGGGGTCTGCTGGCGACCAATGTGCGGCGGAAGGTGTGTAGGCAGCGGAAGCGGGAACGGATGACGATGGCATATCAGCAACGATTTCGCAGCGGCAATGTGTTTGTGTAGGCGCAGCCATTGTTGTCGATGAGAGCAGCAGAGTCGCGACGAGCGACGTAGAGATTTTGGCCAACATGGTTGTGGTGATTGTGGTGTCTTTTCTCCGTAGAGAAGTGAGACGATTATAAGTGTAGTTTTCTCTTGGTTTTAACAAAGCCACGCGATGTTACGTCTGTACCAAGGTGAGGGGAAGAGGCGCAGCGGTTGGGATTCCCTTGCTGTTCGGTCCGTTAGTGATGGTGTCTCGGGCATACTTTTTCTAAGATGACATACCTACCAAGGACTGGGCCTTGACACCTAAGTAAGCGATGTGGTTGATGATAAGCAGTGGAATTGCTGATGCGTCAAGTTGGGTGGTAATCTGGCGGCCTGATGTAATGGACTGATAGAGATAAGGTGGTAGATGGGTAGGGGAGTGTGGTGTTGGTGTTGCTTATGAAGGATGATGATGCTATGCAATGCTATGCGATAGCGAACCGTCGTTGGATTGATTGATTAGATTACTTGAAATGGTGAACAGGTGAAATTCCGAATGCGCGCAGCAGCAGCCCAGTCTATATGCGAAAGAAATCCCCCGCCTTTGCCCATTTCTGTGTTCAGCGCAGCTGTTGTATCAGCTACGCCCACACCACAGCCGGCCGTTTCGCACAGTAGCATCTTGCCGGGGTCTAAGCGGGAAGCAGAGACCGGGTTCTAGAGTCAGCGACCGCGCCGGGGTGCGCGCTGCGCTGCGCCTTTTTGCTGTAGCTTTAGCCGAGATGAGCGCTCGTGTGTGCAGTGGGTGAGCGGCGGGTTGTCTGTGAGCACATTAAGATAAGATGGGTGAGCTGATGGCAAGTTAGTGTTTTGTGGAAAGTGTGGGTTAGATTGCAAAGGTCATTGGTGCACTGGCAGCTCGAGGCGCAGCTGGCAACCGAGTTGTGGCTAGCGGCATGCCCACAGATCCAAGCATCGTCACTTTTGCTTCGTTAGAAGGTTGATACTGGAGATGATGTTCATCTCAGTTTCTGTGCTTGTTGCACACTCCAGCGATGACTTCACTCGTTTACAACTTCCGTCCTCTGCCATGATGCGGACCTCACTCCGGTTGCCGCACCTCACAGACAGGGGGCTCCACCCTTGAAAACGGACTGCGAAACGTTACTCTCGACACACGGACGTCCACATTCAGTACACCAACCCTTTTCCAGCCATAGCACATCTATTTTCCCTTCTCTCGTCGGCATCCTTCCGAGTCGTACCTGAGACTAGAACTAGAACGACGATAAACACCTCTCGGTCCTTCCTCACGACTTGAGCTATTAATATTCTTTCTTTTTCTCTTCGCCAAGCAGGTACTGGTAATACTTCGTATAGTACGCGGGTCTTTCCTGGTCTTGGTATGTGAAAGCGCGAGCGCTCTGGAGGGCTCTGGACCGGATAGTTTCGTGAGGTGGTGGTACGAGACACCGACTCACCTCCCGGCGCGTTTGTGTTGCTCGTACAGCTGATTATTCAGAGTTTGAGAGTCTCGGCTGTCATGTTAGATGCCGTGAACATCGAACACGGCGTTCTCTCCGCGCGCCGCTACTTAAGCATACAGCAACTCTTGCGCGACAGCGGGCGGAGGGCCAAACAGTTGGAGTTGTGAATTATCCTTTTTCTCACGAAACGCATGGCTTGAGCTTCCGAAACGGATCTCCATGTGCTAAGAAATGCCGCGGAAAGCTTGTGGGTGATAGAGCTCAGGGTTGCTGCATGTGCCGTTTCACGATGGTGGGTCTGTATACCCGCGGTTGATATCATATCGCGAAATCGCACGTTGGTTGTCTCTTGAACGAGGATCACGGAAGAAGTGAGTCATGAGAGTAGAAGTGGTCAGATTTTTGAGTATCTTAGCGACGGGACGATTGTCTTTATGATAACGTGGTATCGCGGTAAACGCCCAGACGGGGAGCTGTCGTTGGAAATTCCTGACGACATTTGTGACGAGGTATGTGGATTCCTTTGCGCTCGCTCGATTTTTGGTATGGATCCCACAGTGTCAGCGATAACTCATCGACGGTCCAAGGTGATATCGCGTCGCTGCAGCACTGTTTCTCGAGTCCCTCTTTCAGCTCAACCCAGGTATCCACAAAGCTGGGATCCAACCTCAGTATCTCCTTTCTCATAGAGTCCATATCTTTCTGGCGTCCACACTGCTCCAGTATTATCCGCTCCAACTCCCTTGTGAGGATACCTTTCCACTCGCCCTCTCCCACGGTTCCACATTGTCTCGCAAGTTGTTGACACTCTTCCTTTCCTGACATAACGCCCAAAAGCTCGACGTGATCCGTCCTTCCCTGATAGCACTCTTTCAATACCCTCATTCTCATTCTCATGATCTTGTTCTTCCCTTCCTCGAACCAAACCACACCGCAAAACCGGCACCAGTTCTTGCCTGCTATGATCCATTGATGGAGACAGTCTTGGCCGATGACATGCCGACATCCGCGCGTGAGGATCTTGATTGCGATCTTACAACTGCCCGGAGGACTAGAGCATATGTGTACATTGGTTTTGCCGCCCCATCTGCAATAGTTCGGCGGCGTGTCTTCCGTTGCGATGCGAGGATGGGAAGAACCAATGGAGGCATGCGTTTGTACAAGCTGTGCGATTATGTTCGATACATCTGGGTTCGGTAGGCATTTCATTGACAGTGAGAGGCTTGTACGCTACTGTGTACGGAGGGATCGTTCGATGAAGTCTTCCGAAAGCCTTCGTCGGAGATATGGCTGTGGTGCCAATACCTTCATGAGCCACTTCACCCTACCGTCGCATGGTTCGGTCCAGAAACTGCACACGAATTGCTCGCAGATCATGCAACGCTTGTTGAAACCCACTAGACCGTTTCTGCTGACGTTCCTGGTACGCAGCACAGGCCATACAGCGAGTGAGGGAGGTACATGTGGTATGTATTCGGTCACATCATGGCGTGCCCGAATCATGGGCGAGTATGAGTCGTGTGTCGAGAAGGACATGGTCTGTCTCTGCAGGTAAATAACGAATAGACTGATAGCGATGACCGTCCGTGGTAAGGACCAAGGGGCATCTCCTTGCGATAATGCGAAGAAAGCTATACGCAGAGCGAAGGTGAGTACAAGCACAAGAATTCAGAACGCGACTGCTTAGACACCCTCGAGACAACAAATTCTGTGCTCTGGTCGAAGTTGACTCTATTTGTAAATTAGGCAAGACCGACATACACGAAGGCAAGATGCATGTCAAAGGCCTCTCGTAAGCCATATCGTTCCTACCTTGGAATGCGTTCTCTGCGACGTATCCTTGTTCATGCTGCCCTTGTCTTGTATATATGTAAATGAGATGCATAACTTGCAGGTTCCATTGTAGGATTTCAAGGTAGCGGTTGCGCGGCATATTGGAGTGTAGGCAGGTCGTCTTCAGGCTCCGCATTGCTCATATTGTAAGGCATGTCGCGACGGACGGCGACGCGGCGGTGAGTCCTATACGACGATTGCTAGCAAAACATATGTTGAAGCTCAGCCTAGTGACCGCATTGATAAGGCGCCGTAGATACAGGTATGTAGTTCCTTCTCTTGGAGTTGAAGAAGCTGGTGACGGATGGGCTCGCAGACGCCGAGGTGGCTTCGCGTTCACTTGCCCTTGGCCTCGCCAAGAGCTGCCGTATCGATATTGACCCACAAAAAGCGTCATGAACATCCACACGATCGTGTTGTAACGCCATTGCTCTTACGCGCTTGATATTGCTATTGACATTACACGCAGTCCCCTCTGCCGTTCATCATGTGCCTCTCCGTCAACTCTTCTTACCCGCTATCCACCAGTAGTCTCCGCCTCCCCGCGCATCGTCAATCGCCCAAACCCTCACAATCCTCTACAACACAACCGTCCCATTCTCCCCCGTAATAAGCTCAATCTCCCCGGGAATAATCGTCCCATTCTCCACTGCTGCTGCATGCCCCCTCGCCACCGCTCCATAAACCGGCAAATACTTGTCCAAGTACGGCAGCAGCTCCTTAGCACCGGGCGTATTGCGCCAATCCCGCATCAGATCGCATACAATGGAGAAGAGAGAAACGAGCTGCACACCAGCGGCCTGCATGCGCGCGTTTGCCGTGTCGCGCACGAGCTGCGTGTAGGTACCGCTGGCTTCGACGTTGGCGAAGACGGAGTAGCCTTCTGAGCGGAGGGCAAGGGCGAGGAAGGTGGTGCATACGTCGGTTGTGATGCCGCCGACGATGATTTGCGTTTTGTTTGTTGCGCGGATGGCGGCGCGGAAGGCCTCGTTGTCCCAGGCGCTAGGGGTATGTTAGGAAAGGCGTTTTATTGAGAAGCGGGCAGTGTAATATGTTGATACAAGGTATAGGTGATGATGAAGAAGACGACTTACTTGACCTCACCCTGACGCCGAATAAGCGGTGCATCAGGATACATCTCCAGCATCTCCTTGGGCAAAGGCCCATTGGGACCTTGGTCCGCAGACGTGCTCAGAATGACTGGGATGTCGAAGACTTTGCCTAGTTCGGCGTGGGCCATGATGTTTTGCTTGTAGAGTGTCGGGTCCCAGTCTCTGGCAAGCTGGAAGAGACCGACCTGCAAGTCGAGAATGAGGAGGAGCTACTTGAGACGTTAGATGAGGAGATCGATTTGAGAGTATGAAGGCGACTTACTGCGTTGTCCTTGTCGATGCGCTCCCACGGTACAGCTGAGGCATGTTAGTTGCTGGGAGATTTGTCTTGTGGGACAATCGTACCGTCACCGCGAACGGTGTTAAGAAGCGTGAGGGCTGCAAGAGCAATGGTGGAACCGAACCTCATCTTAAAGACTGGTAATGCGACCGCTTGATCAAGTTATGCTACTGAAGTCTGAGAAGTATTTGATACTGTTGCAATGGTTGGTGACTTGGAAGCAGTGGGAAGATCTCTTTATACCCCTACAAAGCCTTAAGCCTCATCCACCTTACCCAGTAAATCCTGCTCAAAGTATGGTCTGTCGCATCTACTACACTGCGCAGATGCTTTGCCGCGCCTTGGCCCACAAGCCCACTCTCGCACAACATGGTTTAGGTCCATGTTAAGGCGGAGCACGTAACCAAGTCCTGCCTCGTGCAGACGCAGACTAACATCTCAATCTGGAGATTTTGTAGTTTGCAATGCTATTCAAGCAATGACTAACCATGTACCCAGGTTGTTTGCCAATTTCACTACCCAGTATTGGTTACTTCCACAACATAGCCCCGCATTCCGGGTCCTAGTCAAGATGTCGTGCATGGGCGAAGTGGGTCGCCATCAATGCCCATGTGTTGAAGCCTCATACACGACGGCGACGTCCTGAATAAGTCTTTGATAACCGGTGATAGAATAGGCGAAGACGTGTGGTGCAATACTGCCAATGGTGTTCTGAGATCTGCCCATGATGTTTGGTCTCGCTTGAGGCCGTCGTGCATGGGAGCTGCGGAGACGCCCAGCATTTCCTGCATACGAAGCTGCATAGTCAGCAACGACAGGCTTATTCATCAGCATTTGGTCACCCACGCTTGCGCTCAACATTCATCCAAGCGAGATCGCACCGGAGCGCTGCTGCTTGAGATCATTAGTTAATGCTTGGAAATTCGAGCCAAGTACTCAAGCATCTAAGTACCGATAATGGCATTCGACAGGCATGGTCAAGAGTAAGCCACATCAAGTACAGCACGCAAAGCTTTCAAAGACAATTCTGTTGCATGGTATTACAAAAATGTACGAATTCATTCTCCAACGCGCTAAGTCAAAGTATGGATCAAACTTGCGAGATGCCCGTTCGGCGCCCAACCTCAACTGAAGAAATGACGCGACAGAAAACACAGTACAACGCTTACTGCGCAGCAAGGCCATTGCTGGCCAAGAAGTCTTGCATGACCTGGTACCCAGCTGTGGCGTTGTAGTGGAAGTTTAAGCCATGACCAGTGTTAGGCTGGATGTATGACTCGAAAGCAGAGGCGTTGGGGTAGGCCATGGCAACGGCCTCGGGGATGTTGGAGGCGTTGGAACCCATGACCTGGCCGTAGCAGTTACCTCCACAGAAGGGAACATCGTTCTCGCCGGTGATGACGAGGACTGGGCCTGTGAAGGGAGATGAGCTAGGTGAGCCGCCGATGGTTAAGAGCTCGCCGGTAGTGACGGGCTGCTTGGTCTTCTCAGCTACAAGAGCGAGGCCGACGTCGTAGTTGCCGGGCTGGAGGAAAGCGTACTGTAAGGCAGTGAGGTCGGAGTGTGCCAAATATCCAGCCGGGTAGTCGTATTGGGTGACGGTCTTGTTGTATCCGTTGATCAAGTCGAGGACCTCGGTGGTCGCAAGCTCGTTCCATACCTCGTCGGTGGTCAGGTCCACACCAGCGGCCGCAAGGATCTTCTGAAGACTGCCGACGATGTTGTCGCTCAGGTCATACTTGCTGGCGATAGTTTCGATGACATCGTTGGATGCATTTCCAAAGCGCAGGGGCTGGTTGAGACGAGCGCTGTGTAGGTTCCATCCGGCAGTGATGTAGGCAAGGAATTGTCCGGCGACGGAGAATCCGGTGAGGATGACACCGTCGGTGTTCTCGGGGTATTTGGCGGAAAGCCAGTAGGACTGGACGCTGCCGAAAGAGTGGCCAACGTGGATGACCTTCTCGTATGCGCAGCTAATCTCTGGGATCTTGCCGTCACGCAGCTGTGTAGTGATAGAGTTGAGGGCCTCAACTTCGGCTTGTGCTTGAATCCTAAAGAAGAACAAGCCTGATCAGTATATGGTACACAAAATTCGCAGTGGAAACATCACTTACTCGTTGAAAGGGTCTCCGTGAGACGAGTTACCGATACCAAGTCGGTCAATCGCGAGCGTACTGTAACCAGCAGCCAACGCGACGTCGACGTAGCTGTAGTTGTAGTTGTCGTATTCAAGATCCCAGTAGGTCTTGTCAAAGCCAATGCCGTGGCTCAAGAGCTGGATCGTGTTTCCGCTACCGCTGGCTGGCTTACAGTACTGCGCAGAGATGTTGTAGGTACCTTGCAGGGTCTGGTAGCCCTCAAGAAGCTCCGCGCTGTAGTTCTTACCGAACTGGTTGAAGCTAGCTACGAATGCGCCGACGTCGAGGTTGCCTTCAATTGGTACTTCCTTGAACTGTCCCTGTCGTGAGGTGATGGGAGTCTGGATCATGAAGTTTGAGCATTGCCTGGCGGCAGCAATGCCAGCCAGGGCGAGGGGCAGCAATGCTGTGACTGGAGCCATGTTTGTGCTGAAGGATGACGAGTTGAAGTGAGACTCGACCTGAGTACTGGTGGTACATACGTGACTGAGTGTGGCTGCCCCGTTATATAGTACCGAAGGCACACGCTTGGCTGCTGCACCCTTACATTACGACCCTTCCAATACTGGAGCTACCAACAAATCCAAAGCGTGCGAACTCGTCGATCGAAGTTTCCATAGCGCTGCCGAACGGTTTATTCATCCGAATTGACGTTGTGCAACCAATAGTTAATTATCGGCCGTCTAGTCAATGTACCGCAGTGAACTCTCTGCATGTGAAATCAGCAGCTAAATCAAGTGCCGGCAAAGCAATATCCGGAACAAGGAGACGACGGGGTACTAAAGCAAGTAGTCCCGCGCCAAGCGCTGTTTTACCCCAGTAGTCAGTGGACCTCCGTGTGGCATCATAGGCTGGATTGGGTAATCGATGAAGTATGTCAACCGTTTCAAGGTTAGCTCTTGTATAATGAGACTACCTGCCACCATAGGTGGAAGCTACCATACGCAGGTACATTGGGAAGTTTGTCCCTACGCCTAGAACGCGTCCATAGCATACGTGTAAGGTCTATCAGGCCACGGAGATGTTTCGCAGCACGTCTTCGCGCGCTGCAGGTGAAGCATTCACTTGTGCTTTTGAGCGGTGGTCTGGCAAAGACGCACGGAAGCCTTGCGACCGAAGTTATTGTCGATTGTATTTGCCTATAGCCTCGTGATGTGGTTCGGAAGAACCAAGGTAGCGACGGTACACGACCTGCATGAAGGTGCGTGGTCGGGACCAATTCAAGGCTCGGGTCGACGCTGCGTTGTGACTGGACACGACATGCATGTGTAAGCAACAACATGTTCGCGTCTTGATACCTGGGCAGCAAAGACCTCGATAATGACGCGATTATAATTGCCTTTGGGTCGTGATTGAGCACGGTCGCAATGTCCGTGGTGTTGATCGTTGACTTGCGCTAAGAATTTGGAATCTTCGGCCTTGATCGCAGAAGGCGCGCCGCCCCCTAAACGTCATGGCCCGCTTTGAGACGGCAACGAGGCTTCCGTGACGATCACACGTTTCCTTCTAGAACCATGGTTCCCTGTACTCCGAGGAGAAATGAAATCGATTATGATGGTTTACAAAGAGGTGGGACGGTAGTGGAGAGTTCATAAAGTGAGGAGGGGTCGGTCCATGTTCCTCGAGGTCACCGACAGCCCCAAGACGCCGCTAGCCCTTGTTAGACTCCGCACTAATTCAAGGCTTGCTCATTACCACCTTTGTAAAGTACGTAGCCAATTCTTAACTACTTTGGTTCAGGAAGCCTTCTTCTTCAACATGTAATCTCCACCTTTGACCGCCTTGTAGATGCCATAGAGTCCACTCAAGAAAGCGTTGCTCTTAACGACGCGTTTTAGTATACCTTTCAGGCCTGGACCGAACTCCTCCTTTCTTCCTCGGTCTTTGACTTTGTCCCATATCGTTGGCAGGGAATCTGCGTTGTATTTGTTGCGTAGCACATCATACTCGCGCTTGTCGTAGACTTGCCACCATTCGTCTTCGGTGTAGAAGACCCGGCTGTATAGCCACTTCAGCCCACCCAGCTCGCGCATCTTTGCTTCGATCTCACGGTTTGCGCGAATGTACTCAATCTCGTTCGACGAGTACGGGCCCCAAATACCAACGCTGATGTATTTGCCGTCATAAACGCCCTTTTCTTTCCCATTGACAGGGCCTTCGAATGGCTTGGGGTGGCCCATTGAACTTCTACCATCCTGCCGCAGCGGACACAGCCAAATCGGATATATCGTGAAAGCTTGGTCCGAATACTGCAAGAAAGAAGCAGTATTAGCGGCTGGGAACGCGATGTCGTGGATGATAAAACGATCCGTATATCCAGACACGTGTAATGCATGATACATGATCCTTGTGTGCATGAAGTAGTCCAGCAAGAAGCGCGTGAACCACATGAAAGGGACCATGAACTGCTTGTAAGCATACATTCCCATCCAGAATGCTCCTCGATCATAGCGAAACAGGTAATCCTCCACTGGAACAAGCTCTTTTGTGATGATGCCTTTTGCCGCGAGCTTCTTTGCGCGTATCCAGAACCACTCGTCCCAAGGCCTAGAAAAGCGTTGGAGTGGCAAGTCAGGCGTATGGTCATTGTCAACAAGTCGCCCTGTTACTACCACCCCAGCACCCTTGGAGAACAAGACTCCGTCAACGTAATCGTTCCTTTCGTCGGTGGTATGGTACTGGATCTTATCTGTAGCGTTCTCGAAGGAGAAGGTTGGATGGTAGGTAACTTCAACCAGCTTCTTGAGGGGAACAAGCTGCATCTCCACCAGCGTGAGCACGCCAAGTGTCCCAAAGCTACCTCTTAGTCCTTCAAACAGCTCTTGATTCTCGTCCTGAGATGCCGTGATAAGCGTGCCATCTGCCAAAACCACTTCTGCGCTCAAGACTGTGCGGTCGAAAAATCCGTACTTGAAGCTGCTACTTTCTCCTGCTGTGCCTACGAAGCCTCCTCCTACGGTAATGCCTGGGAACTCCATGACAACAGGAGGCAGCAAGCCCGCCTTCATGGTTTCCTTGACCAAGGCATCCATAGGGACATTGGGTTCGACAAGCGCCGTTCTTTTTTCCCTGTCGATAGCTAGGACGTGATTGAGGGAGCTTACGTCCACGATAGCATCTCGGTCGAAATGAGCATGGCGGGTGCTGTTCGTGCTGCCATGATAGACGCGAAATGCAGATTTGGTGTGGTAAAAACGCTGTATGCGAGAACGTATTGTCTCTACAGTAGCCTGGTGACTGTCCATCGGGAATATGGTGTGGAACCGACTGCAGCGATGCGATTGGTGTTACTTTCCTGCGTGATGTGTGGCTGCGAGATGAGGCTGAAAAGGCTGCGCTAGTGGCGGTCGTACCTGCCCACGATTCCACGAGGTTGAACCGCCAATCTTTCCTTCCTACTTTTGCGGTCGCGACTACAGTATGCTCGAAACGTGTCAGCTGCCTCCAGGCTGGCTTAGTCGTATTTCGTATACAATACCCAAGCAAAAACCTTGGGGCTGGAAAAACCTTCCCTAACGCCGTACGTCAGCGTTCTTAGCGAGTGGATCGTCTTCCGCGCTTCCGGTCCCTATGGGGCGCCCGATCTCATCACCCACGATGCGGAAGGTGATGCTCGCGCGTACGGTCGCGATTGTGGTTATTCTGAAGGGCAAATAATAACAGCTCGTCACCTGATTGTACACGACGAAGGGTCTCTCACAGATGGATGCATACCGATCCTTCGTCCCACGCAAGAGCGGCTTTTGGTCCGGAGCGAGTAGTCAGATAATGACTTTAGCAGGATCCAACGGGTAGTGGAGAAGGCTCAGCCCTGCAGCTTATGTATACATCAAAAGCAACGCCACACCATGTTCTCTTCATCCCCGGACCGTCCGACAACATCGTTACATCTCACCGTATCGTTATCCGCACACAATGGATATCCACAACTCAACAGTAGCGACTCTGGCATCGCAAGTCGCTCGCTTCAGTGCCTCAAAGACCCCATTCCGCATTTACCATGGCTCTACACTGTCAACACGGAAGTCTTCTCGGGATCGCAATCAGATCATCGATGTCAGCTCACTCAACCATGTGCTCCAATTCGATGAGCTTGAAAAGACAGTTCTGGTGGAGCCGAATGTGCCGATGGATAAACTTGTGGAAGCTACGATGGCCAGAGGTTTCTTGCCGAAAGTCGTCATGGAGCTCCCGAACATCACAGTCGGTGGCGGGTGAGTGATAAGCAACAAGACGTAGCCCAGTGATCACTTTAGGCCTTTATCGGCTTCAGATTCATAGTGGCGAACACAAAGCTAAAGACATCTTGGCAAACTATATGGCATGGGCAACTGCTAACTAAAGTTGATAGATTCGCTGGTACCAGTGGCGAGAGCAGCTCCTATAAGTATGGGTTGTTCGATCGCACCATCTCTGGCATTGAGCTTATACTAGGAAACGGCGAGGTAGTATGGGCGTCGGCAAAAGAGAACCGCGATCTATTCTTCACAGCAGCCGGGAGTTGCGGAAGTCTGGGCGTCATTACCCTACTCAAAATGGAGCTGATTGACGCAAGTCGCTACGTTGAGTTGGAGTACATTCCAGTTTGCTCAACAAATGAGGCCGTCGAGCAATTTCGACGCTACCAAGACGATCTCGAGGTCGAATACATGGATGGTATTCTGTATTCGATGACGAGTGGCGTGATTATGATCGGTCGCCTGACGGATGCTCCAATGAATAGAAGCATTCAGAGTTTCGACAAAGCGACAGACCCCTGGCTATACATGCATGCACAAGACATTCTGAAGCGGGTTCAGGACGAGAACACAACACACAAGGAGCTTGTGCCTGTTCAGTCATATCTTTTCCGCTACGACAGAGGCGTCTTCTGGTCAGGACTGCGCGCGTTCAAATACTTCGTTACGCCCTTCAATCGTCTCACGCGCTTTCTCCTAGATCCTTTCATGTACTCTCGGACAATGGTACATGCTCTGCATCGCTCAGGTCTCGCATCCCGAACGATCATACAAGACTATGGTGTACCATACGATGCGGCGGAAGAATTTGTTCGATGGACAGACGAAAGGACTGGTATCTGGCCGCTCTGGCTGTGCCCAGTGAAGTCGGCGCCCCGTGGGGAGCGAAGCTTCTCCCAAGGGAACAATATCAAAGACGACATCCTCCTCGACGTGGGAATCTGGGACATGGGACCGAGTGACGCCCACGAATTCATCAAGCTGAACAGAGACTTCGAAGCCAAAGTCACCGAGCTAGGAGGCATGAAGTGTTTGTATGCGCACGCGTATTACACCGAGCAAGAGTTCTGGGACATCTACGACGAAAAGAAGTACATGGACCTACGGAGAAAATACCACGCCGAGAGCTTGCCAAGTGTTTTTGACAAAGTGAAAGTTGATCTGCAAGGCGTTGCCGGAGGGAAAAGCGTGATGAAGACGGAGACTTGGAATGAATGGGCATACCGCCAATTTTGGGATACATGGCCGCTTGGTGGGTTGTATGGGGTTGCGAGCGCAACGAAGGGGTTGTTTTTCCAAAGCGATTTCTTGTTGAAGAAGTGACAACGCATCGTACCGAAGATGGCTGGATATCGGGGAATGTGTGGGAGATCCATTGCATCGGCATACGCCTTAAAAGCATCGTGATGCACATCTGGGCCGTGTTGCCCTGACAGCTGCCTGCAGGTCTAGAAGAATGACGATCGGCGGACTAGAGCCTCAAACGCGTCTTGTGCTGCGTGAATGGCTTACGGTGACGTTGTGCGCATGGTATAATGGCAGGTCAGTGGCTGATTTAGATGGTGGTTCACACGTAACAAACCGGTTCACAGCCTGTTTCAGATGGGATTTGCTCTTGGTGAAAACGCGTAGAAGGCGCCAGTAGTCGCGTGTACGTCAGGGCTGGGTTAGCGTGGAAGCTTGACTACTCCCGGCCTCGACTCACCGCAAGCTCGCATTGACGTAGCAGAGGCTAGCCTCCACACCAACCACCCCATTTCGCCCACCACAACAGGCGCCCGTCAACCATTTTTTGAATATAGACAAACTTGGCCCTGTCTCTCCCCATACCCCACCACACCTGATCCCTCCGCTCCTTCTCCTTGTACCAACGCTGTTGCCAACCACGGGCCGATTGACGATCTTGCTCTGTTGACGAAATTTTGGCCAGGTACGCAGCTCCAGCACCACGGGCCGCGATCATTCACTGCCGCCTCCCGGAAGCTCCCGTTGTCTAATACTGTATCCAGAAGGTACTCGCAGTCGGAAAACCGTCCAATCGCTCAACCATGGCGCGCCTCAGTGGCCTACCATCTGAGCACCACCACGAGGGTCCCGGTGACGCTCCTCGACGCAAGCGCGGCCGCCCGTCCAAGAACCAGACACCCACCGAAGACATGTCTTCTGCCATAAAGCGAACCGCGTCGCCCTCTGCGGAGCTCTCGCAAACGAAGCGCAGCAAGCGCGTCCAGGTCGACGACGACGAGGACCAGATCGCCGAAGAGATCCAGCAGTCTTTCTCGCGGTCGCAGCAGGGAGACAACATCAATGTCGAGCAGAGCAGCACCACCACACGCCGCTACAACCGCCGACACTCTGAGCCTCCAGTCGCCGTCGACGAGGACGAGGATGAGCTCATGTTCAACCGCCCTGCCTCTACACAACCCCTCCCTGGCCTGACTCCCCATCTCGACCGCGTCGGTGCCTCCCGCAGCCGCTTCACCAACACCCGTCGCTCTCGCATGTCTATGCCAGCTCAGCTTCACATCGAACGCGTCGACGAGGTCGACGAGACCAACGGCAACCGCGTCCAGTTCGCACCCCTCACACAAGTTCTTGACGGCCGCGCCCGTCGCCGCCTCCGCCGAAGCCACTTGAGCCAAGAAGTAAACGACTTCGAGGACCACCAGAAGAAGGACAAGAAGATGTTTTTGGAGCTTCGTCGCCAGCTGAAGGCGCAGGACGACAAGATCAAGGACCTCGAGTACCGTCTGGAGGCCCGCCGACTTGGTGAGATCGACCTCGAAGATGCAGACGCCAATGATCTGCAAGTGGAGCTAGACGAGGCCCGCCAACAGATCGACGAGCTGCGCGCGTCTTCGTTATACAACGGCGACGACAACGAGCCAGTTGAGCTGTCCGACGATGAGGATGGTCTCGTCATGGTCAACCCCGACGAGCTGAACATGTCGCAAGATCTCGACATGGTGACAACTCCTACCGGCGAGTACTCCTCCCGCGCGCTGGAGATCTCCAGCCAAATGACACTGGAGTCTCTGCCGACCGTATCACAACTCAACCGCGACAGCCTGACTGAAGGCGAGGAGATCATATTGGACAAGATAGAAGACGAGGCTATCGAGCGCTACGAGCGGGAGCTGAAGCAAATGAGCAAGGCCCTGGGTGAATCTCAAGGTGCGCTGCGCTTGATCACCATCGAGCTTCAGAACCTCCGCTTCATCGAGGCTGGTGCTTCCTCCCGCGAAATCCTCACCGAATTACGCCATGGCTTCGAGGACCTCCGCGCTGAGATCGAGAAGTTCTTCCCCGGTACCACTGTTGGCCTTACCAACCAACAGCTTCTTCAGAAGGTCCCAGAGCTCTTCAGTGGCATCTTCTTCGAGCTCAAGCAGAAGCTCACGCTTATCAACAGCTCCCAGAAGACCGAAGTGCTTCTCCGACGACAGTACGAGGGTGTTCTGGACTTGCTTGGCGAATCAGAGGAGCGCGTGAAGCAGCTTGAATCCGAAGTCTTCACTCTCGACAAGGCGAACGAAGACAAGGCGCGCGTCATCCTTGATCTTGAAGAGCGCAACGCTGCCTTGACCACACTGTCGATAGAACAAGAGCGCCAGCTTGCCGAACAAGATGGTCACATCGCTGGCCTGCAAGACGAGAACGAAGACAAGGACACCTCCTTGGCAAAACTACGTGAAGCTCTCGAGAAGTACCGCGTCGACCTTGACACCGTTACCATCACCGCAGCGGAATTCGAGACGACCCACCATGAAACGATCGCTCGCATGGAACAGGAATACAGCGAGCGCATTCAGGCTCTAGAGACCGAACTCGGCATCGAGCAGGAGGGTCGCGATGCCGCAGAGGCTGATGTCACACAAAAGAATACCTACATCGAGGAGTTGGAGGACAGCATCACACGCATGGAGACCGATGTTGATAACATCACCACCGACATGGCGACACTGAGGGAGCGTTTAGCAGCCCAGACTGCCGCCCGCGAGTCCGCAGAAGGCGAGCGTGATGAGCAGATCGAGCAGGTGTACCAGCACGCCAACACCATCGAGAACCTAAACGAAACCATCACTGAACTCAAGGAGCAGCTTGCCGATACCCGCGAGAACCTGGCTTCCGAGCGGGCTCAGCGCGAGAAGACTGAGGCTGATCTCGACGAGGCGAATGACAAGATCGAAGATCTCAACACTCGTCTTCATGACACCGGTCTCCAGGCTAACGAGCTACGACTCAAGCTGTTCCAACTCCAGCAGGAGAAGGAAAACGCCATTGCTGACCTTCAAGAAGATGCCGATGAGCGCGAGCAGGATCTCAACGAGCAGCTTGCTGCTGAGTCTCAGCTCCGTCAGACGAAGGAGAACACCATCACCCAGCTGGAACAGCAGATCATTGGTCTCGAGAGCGATATTGCGACACTGGAGAACAATCTGGCCGACATGACAGACGCCCGCGATCAGCTCGAGCAAGATCGTGACGTTCAAGTTGCCGACCTTGCTACTCAGCTCAATGATCTGAAGAACAAGTACGTCGCGCTGGAGAACTCTACCAACTCTACCATCACGTCGCTCCAGGCCAACATCACGGACCTCAACAACCAGATTCAGCGACAGCAAGCCGAGATCAACGATCTCTTCGACCAGGTCACTGAGAGGGAGCGCATCTACTTGGAGGACACGACCGCTCTCAAGGGCAAGATCGACACCCTTGAGGACGAGCTTGCCCTCCAGAAGGGCGAGAACGAGGGCTATCGCAAGGAGAACCTTTCGCTTTCAAGACGTGTTGAGGCTGAGGCGAATGAGTTGTTGAACATTGTTGGCGCTCACGCCACTGAGGTCGACTCCCTTAACACCGTCATTAAGACACAGGAAGCCACCATTAGGAGCCTCCAAGACACGTCTGCGAAGCGCAGCACAGAGTACGAAGAGATGATTGAAGAGCGCACAACCGAGCTCACAGAGATGCGTCTTCTCGGCGATGCTCGTCTCGAGACCATCGTACTCCTTGAGGCTCAGATCGAAGAGATGAAGGAGCGCTTCCGCCTCGCCGAGGAGGACACCCGTGCCACCATCGACGCTCTAACCATCTCACAACGCCAGCTTCAGGAGCAGAACGAGCGTCTTGCTAATGACCTAAAGCGCCGCAACCAAGACGCTCTCCAAGCCATCCAAGAGATGAAGCTCAAGCGCATTGAAGTCAAAACCCAAGGCGCTGATCTTCACCGCGTCACCACTGGCAAGGTGTCCAAGGTCAGCGAAAAGGTCAAGATCGGAAAGAAGGGTAAGAAGAAGGTCACGAAGCGCCAATGGGATTCTGGCTTCGGTGTTGATGAGAACGTCGAGGATGATGAGCTTAACGGCGAAGAGCCGCTTGCCGCATAGATTGCTGCAACTGGCAATCTGGATTCGCACAACGACGTTTGAACATTCGGATCACGTTCAGGTTTTATCTTGTTGCTGTCACTGCAGGACAGTAGTTTTTTTCTTATCCTTTTCTCTTTCGGACCTTTTTGGACACATCACTTTGGGCAACAGATTGTTTCATTTGTCATGAAAGTACCCGGCACTGGCATTGCTACCTCACGACTCGACGGCTAGGCTTCATCGCTTTGTTTGTTAGGATAAACGGCGGTACGATATCGCGGTTGTATTGCATAGCGCACGGTGTCACTGTTACGGTAACGGGAAAAGAAGTAGTGTAATGACCTCTTTGTATCTAGTACCAGATTTCTCCTTTTCTTGTTCATCAATAACAGTAGCAATACCATCATTCTTCAAAACCCTTCCTTCGCATCCTTGCCTCGGTATGTGTGAATCATGTTGGTCTAGAACCTCGCGTGGACCCGAGTGAACGCGAACTATCAGCATGGATCTTCCCGATCTGTCCTCGTATCCATGAAACGGATCTGCAACAGCGTTACGTTGCCCTCAAATCGGTCCGCGCCCAACCCAACACCCGGAGGTTGCTTAACTCCCGAGCCAGGCACCTCATTTAATCAATGCTTTTCCTTGGCCCAGCTCTCTTCTTCTTCTTGCATCATAATCATCATCATCCGACGGCATCGCGCTAGCAAACCTACCATCAGCGAAACATGGGTAGCAAGAGCTTCACTCCTTCCGGTCCTCCTCCTCGAGACGACGAAACCGTACTCTTCCTTTTCATCGCATTCGCCATTCTCATCGTCCTCTTGCTCGTGCTGGTGTTGATATCGTGTCAGACGTGGATGCTGTGGAAGATGGCGAAGGCGGTTGTCGAGCAGGACACTCAGATCACGCGGCGAAGTGTTGGACATGGTGGGTCCGCGTATGGGAGCAGCGGGGGGAAGAGGAACAGTGTTAGGGGTAGTGTGAGAAGTGTTTATGCAGAAGATGAGGAGAGGAAGTTGATGAGTGGCGGGAGTAGTGGTGGGGCTGGGCCGGAGGGAAAGAGGAGGACAGGCGTTTGGGGGCAGGGAGGGTGGATTTAAGATATGAGCTTCAATAATGGCTTGAGGACTGGTTATGTGAGTTGCTCAGCTACAGGAATGCGAGATACAAAAGGGCAAGAAGAGGAGGGGATAGGAGAAGGAAACGCCGTACAACAACGCCCGCACACCTCATACCTTCGACTTCAACAACACATCCTTGAGAACACGATACTCCTCCCTCAACGCCGCGACTTCCTGTCTCAACGTCTTTTGGTCTTCAGCCAAACACTTCATTTCCTCCGCTACCATCCTCGCTTTGGCAGTCACAACACCTGACCCGACATCTTTCGCCTTCTCTGCAGGCGGCCCCTCAACAGCATGTGAGCGGTCGGGAAACATACGAGGTGTGGGTCGCGAGTAGAGACTAGTCGGCGAGCTGGTAGACATCGGCGTACCGAGCGCGTGAATACTGAGTTGATGTTGCGGTGCCATGGGCGCATTCAACGATCCTGACCGATCGGTATCTTCAATGACAGCATCGGCATGGTTTCCTCCTTTGGCCATGCCGGAGATGGAGCGAGAGTACACACTGCTCGGGGAATCCGCTCGTGTGTCGAGCGAACTCGGCGTGAGCTGTCGGTGCATTGCAGTGGCTAGATTGCGACGGCTCTGGGTTTGCACAAAGTTAATCCCAGCATGTGGCCGGGGTGGAAGAATATAAAGTATATCCAGCGAAGATGAAGAAGAGTCTGCAGCGATGGCGACATCAGCGCGGTTCAGTGGAGTATGTGGCGTTGTCCCTAACTCGCTTGAGCCTGCCATGTCGGTGAACCTTTGATTGGAAGATGTGTCTATGATTCTACTCGGTGTTGAAGTTGAAGATGAGCATATACCGCTGGGTAGCTCCTGGACTGGATCGAAGTTTGTCAGAGCGGGCTCCAAGATTAGAGTCTTAGACCCAACTGAGAGGGCAGGTCGCTGGCCAGCACTATGCTCCTTTGCCTTTCTTACCGGGAGTCTCTCCAACATCGGCGCAGTAGCCCGTGAGTATAGACTGCTCGGGCTATCGAAAGGCGACGAAAGTTCTGGTTCCAGAATGGTAACGCGGCGCTGAGCAACTTTTGGTACGATCACTGAACCTTTCGGTCCTTCCACCATTTCTTCTTGGTGTTTACCAGAGCCCTCTTTCATTATCCGGGAGATTGGACGAGAGTAGTTTCTACTAGGCGTATCCAAAGCAGTAGGTGGGGTTTTGGCAGAGGGCATCGGGCGTATGGATGCGAGGGTTGGCGCAGTCAGAGATGATTCTGGACTCAGATCACGCCGTGGAGCTTTCCCTTTGCATCTTCGCGTAGAGGGAGGTGTGAACCATTCCTGATCTTCATCTGAAAATTCGGTCTCTGGAGACGAGCTGGCAGATTTGTGGGAGGCCGAAAAGTGTTGCGCTCGCAAAGGCATCGGCACACTTGGTGCCGGATGTGACTGGGGCCATCTCCGGCTTTCTTGTACTGGAGGATCGGCTCTGATAAAGGATTGAATTACTTTGGCATCAGGGACGTCACTAGAAGAAGGACTGGGGGGCGAATCGAATGTCCCAGTGGAGATTCGCGGTCGTACTAAAGTCTTTTTCGTGGGTCTTTCGCGCACTTGCTCGACGCGTAGGGGTGAGCCTCGCAGCACATCTGAACTTCTCCGACTAGGAATTCTGGATCCGGCCTCTCTAGCTTCATCGGAGAACAGATCTGGCGATTGTCGCATAGGAATTGGCTTCCTTGGCACAGCTTGCTTGTGGGCCAATACAACCTTTTTGACTGTACCCGTGCCTTCGTCGGAGGATGTCGGTTGCTCTGCTACGACAATATCGACCACCGAGCGAGGCTCGGGGGATAGTGACGATGCGCGAATCGGAAGGGCAGAAGGTGCCGTCATATCGCCGACCCATTCGACAGCTGTAACAGAAACTTCCAGCGCGATTTCATGTATTAGTAGGCCGAGAACGTTGAAAATGAGAACTTTCCCCGCCTGCATACCGATTGCGATCAGTGTCTCAATGCCCTCGTATACCTCTCCAACATCTTCTGTCGCATCACCACTCAGCAACACCGCTCCATCTGCCCGACCTCTCGAATGTACTGGGCCTTTCGCTGAAACAGTCAAACAAGTAGCCGGTCCAGAGACATGCTATGTCCGGAGTATCTTTCCACCTCCTTCAAAGTCGACAAGTCGACATTTGCCATCATGCCTAATGCTGACAACCCGCGACTTGTAGCCTGATAGGAACTGCGCTGCTAGCATACCGCCCATGGCCGGCTTATGAAGCTTTTTGATAACACCAACTCGGATGGGCTGTAACTGGAAGAACTGCGTTTGGTGTGCATGCGAGTCCTCGGAACGCTTTCGTAGTGAAGGTAGAAACAGGCGGTACATCGCTAGTAGCCCATCTTGAAACCCAATCACGAAGTTCGTGTACGACAACTGTGCAGGACCGTCCGGCTGTTGAAACGCAGCACATGTAGCAGCCGAACGAGCGTCTGTCGGGCGGAAGTTTACCGCCGCGCTGCGTCCCCATCTTTGGTCCTGGAGGTATATAGTCGGCGGGTTAGGGGAGGCTGAAAGGAGGACAGTACCGTTACTCGATATCGCGATCACGTTTGGTGGAGACGGATGTGATGGCAGAGAAGGCAAAAGCTCGTCATTTGGTATGGAGTATGCTTGAACCGAGTTGCTCAGTGTTGTCGTGAAGTACAGGATGCGCGAGTCGGGTGAGAACAGAAGGAGCCGTGGCTCGCCCTATGCTAGTGTCAATTTATGGACCTGTTTCACCAGTGAACATGCCATACATCGCCGTTCTTCAGTCTGTACTTCCTATCTTTGCTTCGAGTGGCGTCGTGTAGTATCACGACCTGGCCATCTGCTACAGCAAAAAGACTACTGTTATCTTTTGAAGCACGAGCGTTGACTATGCCATTAGCGGTCTCGCACTGAAACAGCTTCTTCCCGGCGAGCTGCGACCTCAAGTAAATCGCGTTGGACGTCGCGACAAACAAGTTCTGATCGAAAGGTAGTTTTCCGGAATTCGCCATTGCTGGAAGTGGAGTAGTGATGGGTGCAGGATGCTGTTGTGACGAGGGGTAGTGATCGGCTCCAAGACCGAATAATATGGTGAGCGAACGTGCCGGGGCAGGTACTGCACGCTAGCACGTGGGTTCACAGGGCAAGAACAACAGAATGCAGCAGTGCCTCGAGATCTGGCTTGTTATCGTTACCGAGCGGTGGTGATCGTTATTGAACGGGCGAAAGAATATACATAGATACCTATCATTGCTAGGTTACCAGTGTAATCTACCTCTACTTCAACTTGGCATATTGCTTGCCCCATTTCTCCGCAATCTCCTCCTCAGTGAATTTCCGCGTCTTGCGCTTCAACATCTCAACCTTCTCGTCAAGCGTGAGCTTCATCTGATCGCCCATGGGTACGAGACATTTGGCAATGTGCTCGTAGTTCTTTCTGAGCAGATTGACGGTAAGGAAGAAATAGTCGATGTTGTAGAACACGATCGCTTGTTCGTCTGAGTACTGCTTCTTCTGCGAAAGGAAAGCAACTGGGTGCTCGCGCCAGTGGCGGAGCGGGTTGAGGTGATGGGAGGTGTGGTAGCCATCGTTATAACAGTATCGGTTGCTCTATCACGACGTGAGCGGGTGTCAAGAATGTCCATAGCGAATGAATGTAAACTTACGGGTACATCGATGAGGGTGATGCTTGACCTGAAGTCAGAGTCCGGCTCGACCTCATCAACGAAAGCATGCTGTCCCCAGTTGCCAGTCATCAAAGCCAAGCGCATGAAAGCGAGAGGGATCAAGAACACGAACGTCGTCGCGCGAGCATTGACAAAACTGTACATAAAGTACAGGAAAATGTAGTTGCCGATCTCGCATCCAGCAGCCTGAAACGCCAGATTAGGCTTGCGAGTACGCAAGAAGTACATCGGCAGATCGAGCCAGATCAGAAAGTAGAACCGACCGACGTATTGCGCAAAGTCCCAAACACTGTCCCTCTGGTAGCGAATTGTAGAAGAAAGGTCGTTAGGTCCGTTGCCTTCGACATGGTGATGCTTAACGTGGTGATAGTAGTACGAGTTCCATGTATGACCCATCATTGGGTCAAGGATGTATGGGAATAGCCGATCGACGAAGTCGTACTTCTTGCTGAGAACACCACGCATGTGGATATGCTGATGTTTCAGGAGAGTGTATGCTCCCATGTAGTAGCCCTGCATGACACAGTGGAGTACAGCGTGCCACCAATGGAAGTTGATGTACAAGTAGGTTGCCGACGGGATGCTGGTGCAGAAATACAGCAGCAGATGCGTGACCATAATGACATCGGTCTCGACTCGGACAACCTTCTTCGCCCATTGAATGTAGGGGTCGATGATCCATTGGCGAAGAAGAGGGTTCTTGATGTCTGGTTCATCTACAGAACTGAAAACACTTGTCTCGAAGCTGTCGGACTTGGGGTCGTTGAGCTTCTTGAGGTAAGCAATCGCCTGTCGCTCCTGGTCTGAAAGATCTGAGCAAAGTTAGTCATTCATCGAGTCAGAAGCGCATATCGACGTTGGATGCTTCTGAGGCACTCATTATCGGAAGAAAAAAAGTACCTACCCTCTGGTGACGGCGTCACGATCTCGGAATGTTTGACACCCGAGTCATCTGAGTCTTCCGCTGCGTCTGTCGATGATTCTGCAGGCTTGGCCTCATACAACTCGTACTCCTTCTGTAGTATGTTCAGAACAACCCTATCCGGCCCCGTAAGCTCTTTGTCGAGCGGAAAAGCCAGTTTGCCCATTTCGTTGATGATTTGATACGCTTGGTGCTGGTGTTGTCGCGATGTGTCGATAACGATAGCAACGGCTGGCGCCCGCTAGAACGAACAGGAAACAAGCACTGTGTAGTGCTGAAAAGGAAAGACCGAACTGACAAATACAAAGACTATGGTAAGCGACAATGGCACAAACGCATGTTGGTGTAGCAATGAGCTATGAGGCTGCTATTTGATGAAGCCAAGCGGCTGGAAGCGGTGACAAAACCACTTAGCGCGCCCCTGGTGACCCACAGTGGCAAACACCAGCACTGAAACGCGCACGCATCATTCCACATCGCCAATAGGCTAGAACGTCAAGCACCAAGACTGTTGCTGGGCTTCGGTATATGACCCAAGTAAGAGGGGCCTGAGAAAGTTGTAGTCGCAGCGCGTCACATGCAAAAGCGCCCATCGCATCCCTGGCATTCCCTGTCACGATTTCAGGGTCCTCGACTACCCCCGCGTTCGCCCAAGCGCCTCAGAAGAAAGTGGGGGCGCACCTGGACACGGTATCGACATTCATACCTTCCAAACAGTACACAGTTCTCGTGCAAAACACCTTTATTCTACTCATCCCAACCTAATGCTCCTTCTCCGCCCAGAACTGCAAAAAGCGACTCACAGTCCTCTCCTCCCAATAATGCGCCTCTCTAATAAAGTTCGGCTCAGCACTAACATTCTTAATCCCATAGCTATCCCAATGGTGTCCAGCCCCCGCAATCAGATAACTCGGATACTTATCACTACTGATCCTAGGCTGAGCAGCCAAATTGGAGTGGTAGCATAAATCGAGCCAGACATCTGTGTTGCCATCGATGAGAGCGAGGTTCGGAGCTTGGAGATCCCAGCCTCCGTATTTGTTGTAGTAGTGCAATGCCGGAGTTGCGGGGATGCTGTTGTGCTCACCGGCTGGGAAGGCCCAGCTACACCATTGTTGGGTGTAGTCGATTTGGAGGACTCGAGAGATGAGGGAGGGGCCGTTTGTGGGGGCGACTTGGTAGGCGCCGGACTCGGAACAGGTTGAGTAGAGGTATGAGCGCGCTGCTCCGTTCGTGGGGTCGGCGTAGTATGTTTGGTTTTGTGTGCCGAAGCAGCCCTCGTCTGTGCTGTCGATTCGGCCACTCTCGCAGTTCGGGATGAGCGTCTTCTTTACGTAGTCGGCATAGCCACCTAATCCCGTCCAAGCTTCGCCGTTGGAGTACTTGGAAAGCGCCATGTCAACGCTGCTGATATTTGCCGGCGGGTTGATTTGCGTTACGTTGGAGCAGAAGCTAAAGAAGTCTTTTGAACCGTAGCGGTCGGACCAATCTGTTAAGAGATCAGTTCCTGCTTGATCACTGAATCGTAGAATGCAGTTACTTACTGAGTTCTTGCCAGGTGTTCGTCGGATAATTCATAGGACCTCCAATCGGGAACGCAATCGTCATAGCAAAGTCTCTTAGATCTTGCAGCGCACCGAGACCAAAAATTTCCTTGAGTTGCTGGATGCCATCCTTATTCCCACTCCAGATGAGTTCATCAATCTTGTCAACGATATCGACGATCCTAGAAACGCAGTCTGCCGGGCCAAACTTCATGATGGGATTGTACCACTGAGGGTATTCGAGCAAAGCTTGGATAGTGGCGCTGCTACCGATGCCTCCAGCAAAGACGTCGTTGTATGTCTTCATGGTGAATGCAGTGTGAGCACCAGCAAGAGAGCCGCCGTACATGATCCATGGGGTGTCGGCACTGCTCAGACTGGCGTTGATGCCTGGGAAGGTAGCATGCTGTCTGAAGTAGGCGTTGTCGGCAATAGCTAAAGCGCGTCAGAACAAAGGAATATCTAAGCATTGAGCATCACTTACTCTGCTCTGTAGTCAGGAACCGCAGCTCATCTGTCGTACTAGAGTTGTAAGGGTAACTTTCGCCATAGTACCGATTCTCAAGAATCACTCCAAGGCCATTGAACTTTTCCATGAGTATCTGGATGACTATACCAACCGATCAGCCACCTGAAAAGAGGCATCAAGTGTATCTCGCTGTGATGACTTACTTCCAGTTTGCAAATTGGAGAAGCGCGACTCTCCGCTCGTCTCTCCGCCGATATAGAGAAACACCGGCCCTCCAGGCTTGTAGTATGACGAATCGAAAACTTAAACACACCATTAGCTCATGCTGGATATTTATGCGTCGTATTACACTTACAGTATCGTTGCGTGAACGTAGCATTGGTATGTGGAAGGTACCGATCGCTATCTGGAAAATGATCAATCTGCCCTAGCAATCAGCAAAGGCCCATCGATTGCGAAAAAGCGATGCGACAAACCAATTGATCAATGCTATGCGCCTCATAAGCCGGTGCATCACCAGCCTGTCTCTTGTCCTGCCATGGAGTCCAAGTCGCAGCCGGGCCCGCAGACCCCAAAGCTGCGAAGCTGCAAACCAACGTCATAAACCTCATTGTGAATGCCTCTGCTCAGTTGACGTACCGCAACACTTCGGAAGTACCGCATTGCTTTTATACGGCCCTCGAATTCGGCTTCTCGGAACGGACTATGCTATCGCGTCATGTTCCTCTGTACCTCAAAGCGGGGCAGGGCTGCACGCGTGCAGCGAGCGATGCCTAGTCAGGCAGGTAGACGCAAAGGCTTGTGCAGGCTTGGAGAAGCTTGTCGCTGCTTGGTATCTGCCTTGCTGCTTTGGAGCTATTTGCTTACTGTCTTATCGTGCGGTGAGGCTTTTCTGCGAGGTGTAAGCGGGATGGCTGGCTGTGTTTGTAAGCTTGGTCGGTGGTGCAACATCGCGGCTTCGCAGGGAAGAACTCGCACCTTTGACTGACTTCGGAGTAGGCAAAGAGGGTACACGTTTCTGAATGCATCGAAATATATGCAAATGTTCTGGTGGTAAGATCGACTGCGTTCTGCTGCCTAGGTACCCTGAGTGCTACCCCGCGTTCCAATCAATAGCCTCATCCGGTCACAGATACAGGAACGGTGACGCCACACTGCATCCCCAATCCTTCTCACTCTAACCCCTCACTCGTAGGCCTAACCAACATACCCGCTTTCTCATACGTCCGATCCGTAGCTTCCATCTGCCTAATGCTCTCCTCGCCGTCCACCCAAGCACCACTTCCTTCCCTGCCCTTGACCCTATTCACAAACTCCTCGAGTTGATATCGATACGATGTCCACCAATCCTGTCCCCGTTCTTCGCCGCCCATGCCCTCTGGCCACTTGTAGGCTTCTTTGCGTTCGGTCTTCTTCTCTTCCTTGACAATTTTTCCAGATACAGGGTCGCGCAAGGTGGTGGTTGTAGCAATATCGATGCGATGGTAGGCATGCGGACTCATGAAGCCAGAGAAGATGAGTGTCTTCTGGTGAGACTTTTCCAGACCGTTTTCTACACCAAGGTCTTCCGGATGTAGAGTCACGGAGATCCATGCAAGCAGATCGCGGAAGCTGGGCCAGTTGGATGTTAGCCATGGGAACCAGTAACCACCTCGGGCACCTAGATCGGCTGAAACGTGACCAGTGCCACCGTTGGGAAAAGTGTAGTTTGCTTCCATGGCTTGGTCGCAGCGTTGGTCGTGTGGCGCGTGTATGAGCCGAGGTTTTGCTGAAGTGACTTCTGTGGGCTCAGTTCCAAATACACCTCGTAGTGCGGATAGCGTGTAGTGTCCAAGGTCCATTGCAGCACCACCAGCAAGATTGTATTCGAACCTGATATCCGTCCCGGGGATACCTCCTTTCGGCACTCCAGCGCGAGCACTTGCTTTCTCTATATCATGTTTTTCGAATTGCGCCAAGAAGAAATGCCAGGCCGGGTGGAACCGATAGTGACTTGCTTCAACAAGGACTGGAGCATCCGGAGCGTTGAAGATTCGGTGGTGGAAAAGAGAGCGTGCCTCTTGTGCGTTAGAGACCGACGGCTTCTCCAGAAGAACATGCTTTCCTGCTTTGAGTGCAGCGAGCGTCCATTTATAGTGGAGGCCGTTGGGGAGGGGGTTGTATATACAGTCAATGGATGGATCGTTGATGAGTGCTACAATGGGTCAGTGTGACTTTGCGGTAGCTCGAAGGAGGCATATGTGATGCTGCTTGACCAAAGAGCTGCCATGAGATGGTCTACTTACCTTCATAGCTGTCATGAACGATTGGCACGTCCCATCTCTTCGCATAAGCCTCCGCTTTTGTCTTGTCCCTAGCTGCAACGGCAACGACTATGACCTCTGTGTGTGACCGCGCTGGGATGATCAAAGCTAATGGACTGTTCAATGATGTGTCTTAGCTTCAGATCTCATCTTGACGTCCTCATATTGACAAAGATAGCAGAGCGTAGACGTACGCAATCTTGGCTGCCCCCAATACACCGAAGCGCAGTGCATCCGACTTCTTCGTCACTGGCTTGCGTCCACCAGCCCACTCACCAAACTCCGCCATGGAGTTCAACCAATCGACGAGCCCCATGATTAACTATGCGCGCAATGCAAAACGCAGCGACTGAGGGGAATAAAGTGAAGAAGAGGGAGCACTGTATTTGTACGTGGAATGGTCTTCCAAGCGGACGCTGCGCTGAACATACGCCCCGCATGCAGTGCGCTGTATCGCAGCTGGACTTGAGCGCGAAGCAGACTGATTGGTTGGCTCGTATGGCAGGGACAGGAACATTACTTCGATCTTCATGTGGCGTCTGTGGCTGTGCATCAGAACCATGAACCATATCGCAACGACATTTCAACTTCAAAATCGCAAAGTATCTGAACGTGGGCGAGAGGTTTGCTTGATACTCCAGACTGATCCAACAAAGGTCTAGAGCAAGTATGCCGACAATCGATGATCAGCATATGCAGTTGGTGTGTAGTGAGGGCAATATACATCACTTCAGCCGGATACAGCATCTTGCATATGGAGCGTGGGGTGTTCCTTGCATACGTCCTCCAAGACGCGTTGATACCGTATAGTTCAGCTAGTCGAACTTACAGTGTGGCAGCCATGCTCGCGACAACACAACATTCTTTGATGCCTGAAAGACAGGCTGAATCTGACCTTACGCGCCTCAAACTCGTCGAGCCGGCTAATGACCATAGGCACCGCCTTTTCAGATACCGAGGCACCGTTTGAAGCAGAAACTCTCTCACACTCTACTCCGGAGTAAACCATGCAAGTCAGCAAGCAATGTCCGAGGCCAGCGGCAAAGGCGGTGATAGCAGGCGTGGCAATATTGAATCATGGCGCGATTAATGGCTGTAGTTGTTTCAGATGTCAGACGTGGTGGCGAGAGGATCCACTTTGCCGTATTGGACGACGTGCATGAACGGCATGTTCAAGACGCTGCTGTTTGATCGACAGAGCTACACACACACGATTGTGTGGAAAAGAGTGGGTGTGGAATTGTATTGTCCACGAATGCCTGGTTGCCTGCGAAACAGATTGCGCAAGCGACGTGCAAGGAGGACGACCATCCTTGTTTTGACACTCTATCTTGCAGGCATTGCATATCATGCATAGCGGTACGCAAATAATAGGAATATTGTCTATGGCCTATTTGGGTGATCTCCATGAAGTCGGCGGAAATTTGTCGGTGACGGTCATGGTGACGGAGGTATTACAATGAATATCGTTTTTGCTCGGCGAGCAAACATGTGGGAAAAAAAAAAGATTTCGCCGAGCTTGATCAACCGGACTGAACGTTTACCGCGCTGGGGTCTTCCTTTGAAGTCACTGCGAGGCGGTTCGCTTACAGCCGCAGTGCTTGGCTGGTGGTGAATCTGCGTAATGATCACCGAAAGGAGTGTGATGTTAGGCGAACAAGGCGAATATCGTAATTCCCACATCACAACCTTGCAAGTCACAAGATTGAAAATCCTCCTTGCACATGCTGCGTTGTAACCTCCACCTGACCTATACAGCGGTGAGCCATGTAAGGGTTTTACAGCGGTAGCCGGCAGCTACAGGTTCAACGGCTTTTCCCTTTTGCGCGATGGGATCCGAGAACCTGGTTGCGACATGGGACATCGGCCAAATTGCAACGGCGTCCGTGTCGCAACGGTGACAGCTTGGGTACACCGCTGAAGGTGAGTCAGAGCGAGTGACCGAGTCGCCGACGATCTACCAAGAAAGGCCGACTGCGTGGGTTGATTGACAGCGGACTTTGCCAGCGCTGGGGTGCGGTAGGCATCAAGGAAAAATAAGGCTGCAGGCTGCATACTCTGCCCGCGGACCCACGATCTGCAGAAAAGCAACGTGGTTTGTGGAATGCGGGCGTGAGTCAATGATCTGCCAGGGATTCAGCAAGCACTTGGACGCACGCAGAGGGCTTGCATGGGCGTGTGATTGATATGCGCTTGCGTGCGTGAAAGTTGATGTATCGAAGGACGACTGCAGGTTTCCACACGTCCACGTTGTACACACGGCAACGCGCAGCTTGCGTCAGCCCATGGCGTACATGGATGCCTCGCTTCTTGCAGGATGAATTGAGTTGACGTCTGACAGATACTGTCCACGTCGCTTTTCTTAGCATCATCGGTGTTTGCGAGAGCAATTTGATAGCTAAGCGATAGGCCTGTGTGCTTGCAGAGGACCGATTGCATGGTTGCTCAGGTCCGTATTCATCAGACCGGAATGCAGCCTTGTTGGCTTCTGCCAATGACATAGCATTGTAGAGGACGAAGGACGTCGGCGTTGCTCAAAGTCAATTCGCAAATCAGCGGTGCCAGGAAACCAAGGGGCTCCCTCCCAGTCAGCCCCTCGGGCAAGTGTAGACTGTATACGCTTGGGCCTGAGCCGTTCTTGTTCGCGCACTGCGAACGTCGGCATACTCATCCGAGTATCGAAGGTCAAACACCGTCAGGGTGATGCGCTTGCGACTCTGGTGTGGCTGCCCCCAACGTGGTGTGCCCGGACCCGCTCGGAGGGGCGGAGATTGGCGTCAATTTGCGGCGTAGGCACACAATGGTACTTTCTGTGTAACCGCGCGATGCGCAGGGTTGTTGATGGCGAGGATAGCAGAGGGGTAGTGTAATGCGACGCATACCGCTAACGGCTGCGCAGTTGCGGGCACGTCTTGCAGAGCGGTGAAGTCGTGCAACATGCGAAGCTGTTATGGTCAAGGACGGTGTTGGTTAGCGTATGGTAGTCGCAGCTCTGCGTAGGACTAGCAATGCAGCGGTGGTTGGCTATACGCGTAGAGGAGTCATCTGCCTCAGCTCGAAGCAGGGCAGGGCTCCTGGCAGCATGCACTTGTGCCTGAACGGATCTGTGGCCGTCGTTGGAGCTAGGTAGGCAGGCGCAACCGAGCCAAACCACAGACTAGGGCCCTGCCAATATTCGCTTTCAGACACCGCATCTGTCCTACTGATTAGCGTTCCAAGATGAAGCGGCGGCAAGTATCGTCGTTCCTGCACATGCCGGGGTGGTGCCGTGATTTCAAGGTGAACCGGTCACACGGAAGGTTTCGGTAGCTGCGGGACACCTGAAGACGCATCGCAGTTAGACGAGTCGACTTATTGGCTGTCTATTCGACCTGTCAAGCCTACGTCACACACACAGCCCACGTGTGTACCACCAAGCGCTTGTAATGTACAGGTGCCTGATTGTGGAGGTTGCATTCCTGGTCGCTCTGACACGCTGCAGCGCTTGTCATAGCCTGGCGGATCCTATCACCGCCATGTGCCTTAGCGGATAGCAATGGTGGTGTGCACGGGAACTATCGCGCGCGCTGAGAACTGGGCAGCGATATAGGCGGAAGTTGCCTTGCGCCCGGCAGACGTTGACTTCAGCCCCCAACGCGTCCAGTCTCGAAAGCCGGAGCGATTAGTGATCAGGAGGATGCTGTGTCGATGATTTGCACGCGGGTTTCACATTGAACAAGAATAGACGAGGTATGCGTGTAATTGATCTGAGATCAAATGATTAATGCTATGAGACAATATTGGGTATTCCTCCTGGCTGTGATGCCGCCTAACCAGTAATAGAACTCCAAAAGCTAATGATGCTATGATGCCACACAGCCAATCCCAAGCGCCAACTAATGCATGTTCCAAAGCAAGTAATACGCTCAATATTAGAAGGACTGCGGTGTGTATGTGCCAAAATGAAGTAGGCGTCTATAGAGAAAGATCGTTCCGGACACCCGAGCCAGCGTGTGTTGGATATGCAGTCGTAGCCATGCTCCGATGTGAGTCAGACGAGCAGGTCTTGGTAGATGCAGCAATGCCACATGGATGCATGCCGTCATGTGGAGGCTTGTGATGCAAAGCTGAAGTGGTGTGGGATCGCTCTCCAAAGACAAGCTTAGGATGCTTTTAACCGGAATTCGCGGCGGATGTCAGGTGAGTGACAGGGAGTTGTTCTAAGTCTAGGGCGCGTAGTGCGTCGAAGACCAGATCGTACTGGGTGCTGCAGATGCACTGCATGATGGCGGCAGACCAGGCGGCAAAGGTGCGGGTCGATGTCGAGTATTAGTGTGGGGTGCGACGGTGGATGCTCGGGTAAGGATGCGGAGTTGATATCGATGTTGAGATGCGCCAAAGCCAAGTGTGTAAGTCGAGCAAGACAGACATGTGAGTTGAGGTTCATGTCGATGTCTATTTGGATGGGACGGGAGGCAGAGGGCGGGTTGGTGGTGGGCCAGGGCAAGGAGGGAGGTTTTGCGATGCCATATTGGACTCGTCGTAAATGATGGCGGCCATTGTGTCGAGTGGAAGGTGAAGCTGTTAGGCTTGTATGGAGCGGAAGCGTTGAGTAGGTCGTTGTAGTGATGGTTGGATGGTGTTGTAGTAGTAGTAGTAGACAGTAGAGAGATGTACTCTTAGTGTTGTAGTAGTCTTCGGCTCTGGATGATGAAACGAACTCTCCGATGGTGGGGGGTCAACGTATTTATGTTTGTGCTCAGATTGCAGACCCCCAAAATGTCGGTCAGCTACGTACTTTGACGATGTGTGTAATAATGCTAGGCAGGGCATGGCACGGCCCAAGCGGTGAAAGAGGCGTTGGGCTGATGAGCAGGAAAGGGGTGGCTCCTGGCTTGTGCATAAGCTAAAGCACGCCGAAACATCGCTGATCCTGGTCACTTAATGAGCAGGGGGGAGAAGAAACACGAACTCGCGCGTTACCGCCTTGTCGTTTCATCGGCCTCGTGACTGCGTGAAGATCGCCTTGATCCAATCCTGTCGCAGCATTGTCGCCGTCGCGGCATGTCCTTCGTACAACGCATCATCCTTCAGGCAAGGCAGCAGGCTCAGCGAGGCATGATTGACCTACGGCACGTTCGTCCTCTCTTCTGACATCACCTGTTCCCTGACATTACCGGCTTATTGCTAGCAGACATGGCTAGTGCGAACGGTCGTGATGAATGAAACGTAGCCCTCCTTTTCACCTTGACGGTGCGCAGGGCTGGGATCAGTCGCCGCCTTGGGACCGCTTGCAAGAGGGTTTGCTTGCGAGCGCTTCAGGAACAGGCATCGCTCGGTTCCAGTAGCCGGTGCGTGCCAGGAGCAAATTCTGACACACTGACAGTAAATTTCCGTCACACAATTTGCGACGTCGCCTAATTGCCAACGTCGGACACCCACCGACCTCCAGCGCAGGACGAAGATCTAGCGCCTATGCCGACCTTCTCCCGTCCTTCTTTGACGCTTCTACCCAATTTCGAAGCCCCCTAGAATTTTCCGCTCCACAATGTCCACACTTGCTGGCGGCCGTGCTGGCGGTGTGAGGTCAGGCATGACTTTCCAGCTGCTGTCCTGAATCGACAGGCCGGGGTACACACGTTTGTTCGTGGGCAGCTAGGCTGAGAATGCAAAGCACCGCACAAAGGCATGTCATGATTATTTTTGTCTTTCTGGCTTGCCGTCTTCGTGCGACTCGTATTAATCCTGGCTCGCGCTTGTGACCGAGGTAGGAGTAGCTGCCGACGCCCAGTGTGCCCTGTTTTCCAAGGACGTCCGGCGACCACAACTGGCTGGCAGTGGCCGCTCGATAAAGGTTATCAGGATATTCGGCTGATCCGGAAGGACAGAGTTGAACGGACGCCATGCTGCCACTAGGCGCTCAGCACCGCAGAACACCACTGCGGAGTGACGGACAAGAGCACCGCAACTTGCATGTCTCAGCTGGCCAAAATCCACGTGGATGACAGGGTTTACGTCCGACTGCAGATAGGCGTTCCTTTGATTGAGATTCGCAATATGTATGCCTCCCTTTACCCCTGTAGCCTCCGCGATCAACGCCGCAGTTGTCGAAGCGTTTGCCCTGACGAGCCTGTGCGCGACAAGCAGAAAATGTTCCTTACTCACCAGAAAGAAAAATAGTGCGGCGATGCGCTCATCGTTCGACGGTAAGCGATTAGATTTACAGGGGCAGACGATGCGTCAGGCTCAACACAGCAAGTATCGTCCTCACCATCGCCACCCCCTTCGGTAGTTCAGTAGCTCAGTATCAACGCTTCCCAAAGAGCTGCTGTTTCAGCATGGTGGAGAAGGATTGCGCAGGTGTTACAGTCCAATGCGAAGACATGCGACAGTATCGGAGATCTGGTCTCATCCCAGTAAAAGACTTTAGGGCTGACAAGCGTTCCAACCAACTGGCCAGCGCGGAGAGACGACAGGAGACCGAGCGCCGTTAATTGACAGGCCATAAGATTGGAGCCACACTGGTAGAAGAGTTCCTTTCAGCTGCAGGGGCGGCCGCATGCCATGCAGTATGTAATCACGGCACCTTTAGACCGGTAAACTTTTCATCTTGAGGCTTTTTGAATCAATAAGCCTCTCATAGTTCCGACGGAGGACTGCTTGCAGCAAGGAATGCGGCGTCCACGTCGCCGAAAAAACAACATCGTATTGGCACTGAACTCTATCAGCCGGCTCCGCTTTCGTCGTCGTGGCTAGCCGGACACCGCGTCATTGTAGAGATGGTAGCGATTCTGCCATGCTTTGGCAGACATGGTGCGATAACGGCGGTGGATCAAGGCGATCATCGTCAGCAGATCAATAGCTTGGTGTGGAGAGGGCTCCAGGCACGCTGCTGCAGGTACGCGCATGATGTCTCGGCGCCGCTGCCGCACTCTGTGTGGCTTACGCTCCTTCACTTTCGCGCGAGAGCGGATTGAGCTGCGCCAGGCCGGCGAGCCCGAAGCGCTACCTGTGAAAGGACTGAGAGCAGACAAAGACGAGACTCTGGAACAAACTGGAAGCGTTGTGTACGCCGGAGTAACACCGAATCCACACCCGCCAAGGCAGTGGTTCCTCACATTTGTTTTCGATGAGCGAGCTGTGTCGCTGTGTCGCATTATTCAATGTCTCGATCGAGCCCAAAATCTGCATATAGATAGATACAATAGCACGCCTGGTCGTACCGAAAAGCCGTCTGATCTTCCCACCTTTACGAACGCATCAATGTTTCTGTGTGCTCTGTTTCAGATTCATTGTCCTAATCAAGTCCCCATTAGGATGTTTACCACGTTTGCAATAAAGATTAGGCGTACGTACACAAGATAGCGTGTGATATTCGTGGCGCATGTTGTACCCTCTTGGAAAATGGTACACTAAGCCAGCCACCTATTGCGCAGGGGCTTCCTGAAGGACCGCGCATTTATCCGGTGCGTTGGTTGAGCACAGTGCGTTCCACGTGGATAAGCCTGTCATGAACTCATCGTGTTCAGAGTCGGCGAATCGTGGCCGCCCTTATTATTTTTGTCCCTGGTAGTCCGTGATCGTATCAGTCCACAGCTGGATCCAGCTGTCATGATATGACTGCCGGCCAGCTAGTGCTAGCTTGCTGGATCTATTCAAACGGCGTCTTCATCGTCGTCAAGCTGTTCAGCCACAGCTTGCGTAGACACCCAATTTTCTAGCATTGCCTGGCTGGAAGTTGCGCCACTCGCTCCTGCCGGATTTCGCACGCCACGGCGCTTAACGACGAGACAAAGTATACGGCCGTAGATACTGAAGCCGTCATATGATGTATTAAGACCAAGCTTTTTCTTATCATCTGCTTGTGGCTCCTCATCAGTGGCCTGATCGTCATCCCTTGTGCTGGCCTTCGTCTTGCTGCCATTGGTAGGAGGTTCGGGGACAAAGAGATCCGAACTTTCGCTGTCCGTATGATCGCTGACTCCATCATTTTCATTGTTGCCTCTTCGGCGTTTTGGACGCGCTGTACGTTCAGGCTGCTTTGCAGGCACATCGGCTGCAGGGATATCAGCAAGATTGATAGGTTCGTCGTCTTCTTCCTCTCTGATGACTATCGGATCTGCGGCATCTTCGTTGATAACGACAGGCTGATCGCTAGTTCCGGTTGTCAGCCAGTTGGTGAGTTTGCCCGAGTTGCTCTGGATGCGGGCCTTGTCCTTGAAGATCTTTTGCTTGGTCAGAACGGAGTGGCGGGAGGATAGGTCCGTCAAGAAGATCGAAACCTCGAAATCATCTGACGTGAGGTTAGCCGTCTAAGTAAGACTGCAGCATATATGCGGGGATGCTTGTATCCTAGATAGCTCGGCAAGGCTTCATGCAGCTTACCTTCAACGACAACATCCTTTACTCCCTTCTTTTTGGATTTGGCACCACCTCGGCCTCTACCCCGCTCGTTTTCTTCTCGCAGTTTAGGCAGTACAAGCGGTCGTATGGCCTGAATGACGCGTGGCAGTGCTGGGTCATCGCGTTTCAACAGCCATGCCTCAGCGTCAGCAGGTCTGTCGAGATAGATGCGGACTTCGAGTACCGAATGCTTTGTGATCCGCAGGTAGCGTCGGAGTGGTGCCATATTGGAGTTGTGAAGGATCCCAATGTGGTGCTTTGACGTCGACGATGTAATCAAGCAAATGCGACATATAAAGCAATGATGATGCGTGTTCACGTGCGCGCGTTCCGACGCTAGGAACGTTCCGATCGGCATGCGCAGAAGTTGTAGAGAAGTGCGTCAGCGCCCTGCAAACCAACAGCGCACCGCGACGCCGCACAAGACATGGTGCTTGAGCTTCATGTATGGGGCCCAGCCTTTGGGCTCCCCTCAATAGAGCCCGAATGCATAGCGACGGTTGCCTACTGCCAGCGCGTTATTCCCAAGGGAGACTGGACACTCGTTGCAGAGCACAACCCCACGGTTGGCGCCACTGGTACAGGACTGTAAACCCATCTTGACTGAGATAAACTCTTACATAGCAGCAGAGAGCTTGCCGATCCTTTTTGATGACGATGTCGCGACCGCGTCCGGCTTCGAGGATATCGTCGCATACCTACGTAATCACCCTGCAGTTACCGATGACCTCGATGTCAACCTATCCAACAGACAGCGGACCGACAGGACTGCGTGAGTACCCAAAGACGAAGCACTAGACGTTTTCTGACGCATGCCTAGTTTCATAACGTTCCTCCAATCTACAGCGACGCCTCTGATCGACCTATCCCTCTACGTCTCTGCCGAAAACTACAACACCGCGACCTCGTCCGCCTATACTGCAATTCTGCCATGGTATGCCAACTACACCGTCCCTCCGAAACGACGAGACCTTGCGAGGGCCCGGACGGCGCATATGGGATTGAGTAGCTTGGATGTGGACACTACCACGGAGGAAGGCTTTGCGCCGGGTCGGGGAACTGCTTCGTCAGAATATGAGGCCGCAAAACGGGCAGCTGGCATACCGACCGAAAGTCAACCCAACGCCATGAGCATGGGGCGTGGAAAGGGTCTGGGCGGTCTCCTAGGTGGCCAAGTGTATGCTGCGCGTTTTAGACTGGATGCTCTGTCGGGTGAGCTCCTAGATCCCTTATCAGATCTATTGGGGAAACACGACTATCTCTTCCATGGAGAGCAACCTTCTAGTTTCGATTGCCTTGCCTTTGGGTATCTGTCCTTGCTGTACTACCCAACAGTGCCTCAAGCTTGGCTCCGGGAGACTATCCAGACCAAGTACCCACGCATCGGAGAATACATTCGCAGGTTGCGCAAGGAGTTTTTCAACACCGACAAGGTCGACCCTGTAGACGTCTGGTCTGTTTCTACTGGCGCGAAGAAATCCCTAAGAAGTACCTCTCTACCATGGACAACAAGATCAGAGACTCTCGCCTCCAGTACGCTAGCCAGTGCGAAGGAGATCTTGGGCAACATGCCCGGGCTGTCTGCCTTGTCCCGACGGCATAACGTCGTTGTCTCAGAGCCGCCGCTAGTGTCAAAGCGCGTCAGATCTGAGCTCCCGTCTCCGTTGTTCGTCAACACCCTCCTAGGTGTGACAACCGTATTTGCAGTGGGACTAGCATCGCTAGCTGTGCACCACCGCCGGTCACCGCGGGAGGGTGAACTTATCTTCTGGGCTCTGCGCCCAACCGCTGGCCTGGGCGAAGCAGGCAACATCCTCAGTGTCTTCGCCAACTCGCTGCATGAAGGAGCGATGTATTGATTCTAAGCATGATGTTTCAACGATATACCTCCATTGTTTTATGCACCAGTTATACATGGGCAGTGTAGACTTTGAGAAAATCAAGTTTCTGCCATTGGCCAAAGCTTGCCATTACAAGCGTATATTTGGAATTACGAAGATAATGACCCTACACCGTGCTGTACACATACGTCGCGGAACCTCCGGCAACAATGTCAAGCCGTCTAGAGCAACCTCTCCGTTGCCATGTCGTCGCTGTCCTGGCGACCTTTGAAAACTTGCAAGAAGTGCCCATCGGAACCTTAATAGATGCCCGGCCTACTTTATAGACGACTTGAATGGCTCCTTCTGAGAGTCTAGGGAGAGACGATTTCCTGGTAGCGCGGTTGTCATGGCGCCCATGGGTCCCGGAAACAGGCACACATCAACGTCACATCAGCCGGATTGAACATAGCCACTGGCGCCAAATGTTCTGGCCCAAGCTAGATGGGATCAGCGCAAGCAGGACAACCATTGTCTGACTGTGTGCGATATGTGTTGTCGTATGCGCGTGCAAACCACAAGAAAGGGTCGAGGTCCATATGCAGGTACTCAGGGTCGTAGAAGGATGCTCTATGCTGGTTTGGGCGTGCCAATGTCGCAGTGCGGAGGATGTGCATGATGTGAGGGTAGGTAGCGTGTCCGAGAACATGATCGCCACGGGGAGAGTGGGGCTAGGCAAACGCTACGTCATTGAAGTCCCCTAAACAAAACCTCCGTCATACCGCGACATCTCTGCGCCTTCCATATCAACACCGCGCCGCCTGAGAAAGTTCAAGCACAACTACATTCCTCCAATCCACACTCAATCAATCGCCAGAACACCACCGCCACTATGCACCGAACTTACAGCATGCGCCAGTCTCGCGCGCCTACGGCGTCGCAGATTCAGAGCCCCCCGCCCCCTTCGTCGTCGACCAAGAGCGGACGCTTCTTTGGCAAGGCCAACATCGGTACGTCCTCTAAAATTGAATTTGTCCTCTTCGTTTTTGTTACCAGTCCAGACGCGAATCATACGAGGAGTTTTGCGCAGTGCCATTTTTGCACACCGCATGTACAGCGCCTCGTCGCATGGTTCAACAATGACGACCATTTCAAGTGCCGAAGCTCCCGGATAGCCTCCAGACTGTTCAGAAAGTGTCTTGTTATGCTACAGCTGCTAACCTGGTTCTCTACCTTGCAGGCCACACCTTCCGCCACAAGTCCGCCGGTGCCTTCGGACCCGACCTTGCGAAGAAGCTGTCACAACTTGTCAAGATGGAGAAGAACGTCATGCGCAGCATGGAGCTTGTTTCCAGGGAGCGCATGGAGGTCGCAGTAAGCTCGCACAACCCCTGTGCGACTCTACGTAGTACTAACTGGTCACACAGCAACAACTCTCCATTTGGGGCGAGGCTTGCGACGACGACGTCTCTGACGTCACTGACAAGCTCGGTGTCCTCATCTACGAGATCGGTGAGCTCGAGGACCAGTACGTCGACCGTTACGACCAATACCGTGTCACCATCAAGAGCATCCGCAACATTGAGGCTTCCGTTCAGCCCAGCCGTGACCGTAAGTCCACTACTTGCGCGCTGTCGGATTGACGCTTACGTTTAAAAAGGCAAGCAGAAGATTACCGACCAGATTGCTCAGTTGAAGTACAAGGAGCCCAACTCTCCCAAGATCGTTGTCCTCGAGCAGGAGCTTGTACGCGCTGAGGCCGAGTCACTTGTCGCAGAGGCCCAACTTTCCAACATCACCCGTGAGAAGCTCAAGGCAGCTTTCACGTACCAATTCGATGCCATGCGCGAGCACTGCGAGAAGCTGGCCATCATTGCCGGCTACGGAAAGCACCTGCTCGAGCTTGTCGACGACACCCCCGTCACTCCCGGAGAGACCCGTCAAGCTTACGATGGCTACGAGGCTAGCAAGGCGTAAGTTTATCTACTCGTTTCAATGAGAAACCTTTGTTAACATGCCACAGCATCATCCAAGACTGCGAGGATGCCCTTACCAACTGGGTGTCTCAGAACGCCTCTGTCTCCTCCAAGCTCTCCCAGCGTTCGCGCACCCTTTCTCAGCGTCGTCGCAACCAGAACCGCAACATGGGCGAGGGTGTTGACCTCTCTGGCCAAGACCAGGCCCTTGACAGGGAGTCTGGCTTGTGGATCCCTGCCGAGCAGCACCAGGGTAACGGCTACGAGGGTGAAGATCTTGACGACGATGTTACTTCCACGATCGCTAGTGAGCACCAGCGTGGTCGGGAGGACGAGAGGGTTGTTGCTGCTTAGACATCGCACTGACGGCTTAAGCAGTATTCCACTCTCTGTCCACTAATAGTCCGTCTTCACAAGGACTGACGACTTATACCCCTGATGGAATGAGCGATGACAATGCAGTTTTCGATCCGATATATCCGATCAGTGTAGCTTGGGCTATGTGATGGAAAGCTTTCTGGATGACCAATCTCACTAGAAGCTGAAGTCTGGTTTTGCGTACACGGATATCATGACTTTTTGACGATTTTCACCGCGCGTTCGTAGGAAACTTGCAGTAATAGTGTAATGAGATAATCTATATGCTTCGTTGAAGATGATGCGACATCCGCAGTTATCGTTGTGTGAGTAAAGTCCAGAAGCTCTTGTCGTCTCAACGATATTTAAGTCTGTATGAAATATCTATCACGGCATACATTAACCCGAACCTGAAGCCCACCGGCCGGACACACTTCGATCTCATCAACAAGCCGCAGCATCTTTTCATCGAGCCGGCCCACCCGCCGATACTCAGTGTCCAATCTTCGTGCGGCCGGGTTCCCCAACACAGTCTGCCATCGGTCATTTGCCGACGACCCACTTTCGGCGGGTGAGGAATACCCCACCTAACCGGTTTCGCTCGTAGTGCGGGGCAACCAGGATGAATGTCAATGACCGAAGACGGGTCTTTTGCCGGCCCAAGGCCATTTTACCTGGGGAACGTAGCGGCGTGTGACGTTGGGTTGTGGGGTGATGGGAGAGAAGTTACGTGGTCGATGTTTTGTGACTGACATCTTGACTCCAACTCTCAACTTTAGACGTCAAATTGAGCGTATCGCGATTAAAAAAGAGCTAGATACTGGAAACAGCATAAAGAAGAGTAGAGCCGAAGAAACGTGCTCTATCTGTGGACAACGGCTTCCGTGCAGTATTCGTCCCGTCAACGTTCAACATCCAGCGTTGGGATAGGATACTTTGGAAACACCAAACCGGCCCTCCTTACACACCCAACGACTAGGAAAATACCACAAACACCACAACAATGTCGTCTAAACCCCAGATCGGCTTCTGCGGCCTAGGTGCAATGGGTATGGGCATGGCCACGCATCTCGTCAAGCAAGGCTACTCCGTAACCGGTTTCGATGTTTACCCTCCTTCGCTGGAGAAGTTCAAGGCCGCGGGCGGCACACCATCAACATCCCTTTCAGACTCTGCAAAAGACAAGCCATTCTATATTGTCATGGTCGCATCAGCTATGCAAGCTCAGCCCGCGCTTTTCGACAAAGACGGAATTGTGAGCGCTCTGCCAAAGGGGGCGACACTCTTGCTGTGCTCGACAGTACCAAGTGCGTACGCGAAGAGCGTAGAGAAAGACCTGGTAGACATTGGCCGAGATGATATCCTATTCATTGATGCGCCTGTCTCCGGTGGCGCAGGTCGAGCAGCAGATGGCACCTTATCCATCATGGCGGGCGCCTCGTCTGCGGCGTTTTCAAAAGGCCAATGGCTTCTCGAAGAGATGTCCGCACCTTCCAAGCTGTTCATTGTCGATGGCGGGATTGGCGCAGGCAGCAACATGAAGATGGTCCATCAAGTGCTTGCGGCAATCCAGATCCTGTCTCTCAGCGAAGCATACGGGTTCGCTGCTCGACTGGGCTTGAACGGAAAGGATGTGTACGAGAAGGTGTTGGGGAGTACGGGGTGGAGTTGGATGTTTGAAAATCGTAGTCAGAGGACGCTGAAGGAGGACTATTTCCCTGGAGCAAGTGCTGTGACGATCATTTTGAAGGATACTGTGAGTTATTCTGTTTCTCTTCCTCAGTCTCGGTATTAGGGAAATACAACGACTGATCTCATGCTGACAATATGGATAGGGAATCATCACATCCATGTCTCGCAGCGTAGCCTTCCCAGCCACCCTCTGCTCAGCCGCAGAACAAGTCTACTTCTCCGCACTCGACCGCGGCTGGGGCGCAAACGACGACTCCGGTCTCGTCCGCCTGTGGACCTCCGAGCCCGTTACCAGCATCCAAAGCAGCCTCTCATCCGAGGACAAAGAAGCAAAGCTCCAGCTCGTCGTCAACCTCCTTACCGGCATTCACCTCGTCTCGGCAGCTGAAGCCATCTCGCTAGCCAAGCATGTCGGTATTCCATTAGCGCAGTTCTACGAGCTGGCGTGTGATGCGGCGGGTGGAAGTGCCATGTTCAAGGATGCGGGTGCGAAAATGATTTCTGTGCTGGAGGGTAAGGAGGATGGGAAGGGTAAGGTGCTTGGTGGCTATGCGGAATCGTTGAAGCAGGCTGTGGATGAGGCGCAGGCGATCAAGTGCCCTGTGTACCTTGGTACGGGCGCGTTGAATCTGTTGTTGCAGACGGGGAGTGAGCTGAGTTTGGGTTCTTTGCTCAAGTGCTATATGCCTTAGAGTGGGTAGGGCAATACGAATGATGTGTATATACTCCAGGGGTGGAGAAAAAACATGCTTTTGCTCATGATATTGATGTATTCTTTCAGGAATACGTTGAATGATCCATCTACGTCTCGTCATTTAGAACAGTTATCATATCGTCCTTTCTCAAGCCTTCAGCTCTTACTGTCAATATCGACAGACCTTGCTTCTGTCCTGTTCGTCTTCGCCATAGCCAATCAGTTCGTTTACTGCATTCCGCTAGCAGTGACTTGCAATTTCAGCAACTGTCCATGCGTCCTCTGGACCACAACTTGCGCATTTGTCTCCTCGACATTTGTGATTTTGGTTTGCTAGCATCTGCCTCCTGTACGGTTCAGGCATGCGTGGCTCTGACGACAGCCCTGCTCGTGTAACTAAGCGTGGTACTCGGACCCGGTGCTAGCAGCCTGTTGCTGTTGTTGAGCTCGTGGCGCGGGTGGGTTGGTGTGGCGATAGATGTTGACGTGTTTGGAGCGAGCATCTATAACATCTCGAGGGTATGCTCCTCCTTCTAGCGTCACGTCCTCATTTCCATCTCAAGATCCCTAGTCTCTCTGCTCAATTCTTGAACATCGTCTTGAGCCATGATCTGTGCGCTAGCATCTAGATCCTGTATAACGTTCTCTAAGCCTCGTACTAGGGCTTCTATCTCGGCGCGTTGTGCGGTAACGGTCGAAAGCAGTTCGGTGTTTGACTGCTGAGTCTCGACGAGCTTCGTGTTCATATCGGTCGCTTGCTTTTCGAGGAAAGGCATAAGATGCGCCAAGTGTATTTCGGCTGGAGTAAGTGTATGCGGTCTATGTCATTGAGTCAGTATTCGAGGGTGATGAAGAGTGGGCGCATTCGCAAAACTCACGGCACAGGCGTCTCTACAGGCCCACCATTGGCGCTCGCTTCGGCGCGTTTTTTCCTGAGTTTCGCATCTTCTATGCACTGGTCCAGCGAGTTGAGGAGTCTAACAACATTCCTCCTCTCCATGATGTCCTCGAAGTTGCTCTTCCACGTTCGGTCTAACTGATCCACAATCTGCCCTCGCAAGTTGTCCAATACCTCTGGACTATACTGCGCAGCCGTTGGGAAACACGAGGCAAAGTTCTTGGCCGAGCATTTGTCTAAGGTCGCTTTGGAGGCTTGGTTGAATACATTGATCAGTCCTTGCGCGCGCGGGCCAGGTGCATCTGCGATGGGTCGGGCGGGTGTGGGAGATGGAGAGCGCGATTCTGGGTTCGTAGCAGTAGGCATGATAGTATAATCGCAGATTCCGACGAATTTTGGTGCGCTGCGAAGTCGATGAGTACAGGCTATAGCGGGCGCATTATCTCCATCGCTGTTTACTCGAGAAGCGCGCTAGTCGATACACGTGATCGCGTGGGAAGCCCCACTTCTCCACAGTCACTTGGGCACAAACAACGATTTTGAACTCATTCTGTTTGTTGACAAGAACCTGTCAACACTTGATCATTATATACACTAACTGAGCACAACTTACGTGATCGACTACAGCGTTACAGGAATACTTGTGAAACACAGCCAAAAATCAGCTGCTACGAAGCCCTCACTCTCTGCTCAGATGTCACCGCTCAAGTCTGGCGACGCTACCCAAGAGAGCGCTGAACATCGAGCAGACAACCCTGGAGCTCGAGATCTTACTCTGGATTTGTACGACATGACTAACCTACATACGTTGTTTCTACATTGCTTCTCTTTTGCTTGCTTCTACATCGCTTCTTCTACGTCGCTTCTTGGATCTTAACTAACCTTCCGACTAACCTTGTAGCAAAGAGCTTCAGATCACGGCCCCTGTCAGCCCCGAACAGCGCAGAAGCTTGCTGGACCTACCGCCCTATGTCTTCTGTAGAATTGTCCAGGAAGTCGACTACCAGACCGCACTTCGCCTCTGTCAGACTCATCGCCATTTCCGCGCACTGGTCGACGTAGGATTCTCCCATGGCCCCAAGCTTTAGGACAAAATAGCATTCGTAACAAGGCGCGCTTATGCCATATGCACTCCATACACAATCCACCCTTACACCGAAGGCCAGGGCTATCGCGGCTGTCGGTTGTGCTATCAAGTCTACCCTGTCCAACCCAACGACCCCAAATCCAAGGACGAGACTCTTGGCATATGTAGAGACTGCGACCCAAAATGCGGTGTAGGGCATGGATACAACGACCTCTTTCGGGGAATGAAATACCGACTCTACTCAAACCGAGCTGTGCGTTTCTGCCTGGTTTGTGGACACTTTGTCTATCAAGATCCTCGCCAGAACCGTCCGACCATCTACTGTCCCTGCATCAAAGACTTGATGGGCGTAGACGTGTCGCTGCAGTGGCGCGAGGCCAAGGACACTGAGCATCTTGCTGCAGTCAAGGCCTACGAGGAGTGTGCAGGTGAGTTCTCAACGTGTCGTGCAGACTACATGATGTTAACAGTGTGATGTAGTTCATCTCTTGGAATACCTACCAACCTACATGAAGACGTTCGACGAGCACAAACCACCTACATGGCCCGCGTTCGAGAATATAGACGACCAACGCGCCTTCCAACCAGATGAGGTAGGTAAGCAAAAGGACGACGATGTCTCGACGGAGGAGTTTTCGGCAAAGATGATACGCATCGAAGTCGGCAAGCTGGAGCGACAAGCTCAAGAGAAGAAGCGGGCGTTAGCTGCCGACGAGATGAAAGCATGTCTTGAGAAGATACGTGCCAGGCAACTTGAGCTGAAAAAGTCCAAGGCTCAAGCCAAGATCGACAGGGGTATCATGTTCACGGTCGAGGAGGCAATGGACTTGTATAAGAAGCAGGAGGAAGAGGCTTTCCCGTTGGATCTGCAGCTGAGGAGATCTCGGATGGAATGATTGCCCATGACGAGGCTAAAAAGAAGAGTTGAGATGGTATGAGCAGGGTTCATGTACGATATATGGGAAGTGTTCTCACAAAAGATGACGTTACTCACAACCAATGCCAAAGGCGTCGTTGTTTTCCCTTCCATTCAAAACTATAGAGGAAGAAGAACAAGCTTTGTTTACAAACGGTGTCTACCATGAGACAATAATAATGAATGGTAACTATCGACGATAAACCAGCAGCTATCCACACGAACGAACAAGCGCCAACGTGCAGACATCTACTCTTCAAGGTAAGAAAGCTTGCGCATCTCACCCAACCTTGTCCTAGCCTGAGCAAGCGAGTTCTCGAGTTGCAGAATCTCGACCTAAAATTATCCGTTAGCTTGCATTCTTCCCCAAACAGTGTCTGATGAATACATACCTGCTGCTCCATCTGGCGGACCTTGAACTCGTGGTCGCCCAGCTTGCTGTAGTCGACAACCTCGCCCTCGTCCCTGTTCTTCTGGGCGATAATCTCCTGCACTTGCCTGACGAGCGACCTGCAAGCAGCAGTCACAGTCTTGGATGCGCTCTCGAGCCTGTCTTGTGTCTTGCTCATGAAGCTAGCCTTTACACGACTGGCAGCCACCAGCTGAGCGGTAGAGGCAGCAACGTCGTTAGAAGCGACGATGAGCTGCTCGGGTGAATTGCGACCCGAGATGACGCCGTCGGCGGTCTCGATGAGCATGTTTGTCGATGTGGCGACGGCCTTGGCGGCACTGATGAGACCTTCGGTCCAGCGGTTGTGCTTCTTGTAGAACTGGGTCTTGGACATGCTGCCTCGGCCTTCGCGGACAATTTCTTGCTGTGAGGCGGTTGCGGCCTTGATGAGCTGCGCAATAGCGTTTGTGACAGCGATGGCGGCTTCGAGGATGGAGTCGTGGATCTTGAGCTCGTAGGTGGAGTACTGATCCCTGGGCTTCTTCATCAGCTTGGATAGACGTTCGGTAGCCGCGTCGATGGCGTTGGCCGCCTTGGTCAACTCGTTATCAACCAAGTCACCAAGATCGCCAGAAGCGTTGGTGATCTTGCTCTTGGGCGCGAAAGCATCCGCAAGCTTAGACAAGCTCTGCAGGTTGCGCACGACTTCTGTGCTGTTGTTGATGACAACGTTGATCTTCTGCTCCGCGTCCATGTCGTACATGCGCACTGACTGGACGTTGCGGAAGAATCTGATGGTGGAGGTTGCAGAAGCTCTCGCGCCGTTGATGAGCTGGTCAGCCTTGTTCTCATCAGAAGCGAACCGCGTCAACCCCTTGGTGTTCACTAACACATCGACGATAGCGCCGCCAAAGTTACTGACGGCATTGATAACCTCAGCGTGTTTGGCGTTCGGCCCGTCAGCAATAAAGTTGTTGAAAGCTGTCGAGAATTCCATGGTGCATGTTGACGCCTTCTCGATTTGCGAAAGCACGTACGCGCCGGTGGCATTTTGGTTTCCAGCCTGCATAGGAGAGTCGAGCTCATACAGCGCATCATCAACACGCTGTACACCGCTTTGGAGGACGGAGTCGATAAGGTCGTTGATCTTCTGGAGGCTGTCTTGAATAATTGTGTCCAAATGACCGTCCAGGACATCATCGTTGGTACCAGCGTTGAGCTTCAACTCGTTCAGCTCGAGTAGCGTCTGATCCATACCAGCACGGAAGATCTCCAGCTCCTCCTCCTTGTCACGCAATTGACGTTCCAAGTCAGAGTCACCTTCACGATACTTCATCTGGAACTCGTCTAGCGCGCGGGTCTTGTTCCGCAGCGCTTCCTCAAGGTCTGCGATTTCTCGGTTATGTCTTGAGAGCATTGCCGAAAGTTCTGAGCCCTTGCCACGCTCGAGATTGTCTGCTCTGTCCAGGGCAGCGCGAAGTTCCCTCTTCAACTTCTCAGTCTCTTCGCGATGACCACCGGTATGACGATCCTTCTCCATGAGCGCTCGGTCGCGCTCGCGGATCATGTCTGCCAGTTCCAAGTTCTTGGTTTTCAGCTCTCGTTGCAGCTTGTCTCGCCCATCAATGGCTTCCTGGGCGGAGTTTGCCTTGAGCTGAACCGCCTTGAACTTTTGCAGCAGCTGGAGATGCTCATGACGCAGTTGCGAGTAGAGCTTGGCCAACGACTCGTACTTTGATCTCCATGTGTTGAGCTGCTCCTGAAGTGCTCTTATCTGATCGTCTCGCGAGCCCATCTGTTGCTGGAAATTCTGGTTCATCTGGTTGATCTCCCCCTCCAACGCCTTCATCCTCTGGTCGTATTGTTGCAGCATCAACTGGTCGCGTTCGTACTGAGCGCGCGCGTTCAGGTTCTCTCGTTCAAGCTCAGCAAGGCGACCCTGTGTCTGTTGTTGATACTGTTCGCGCATGAGTTGTTCTTGCGCCAACCGAGCTTGCTCTGCCTGAAGCCTCTGTTGTTCCTCGAAGTCACGCTGTGCCTGCATCGCTTGCTGCTGTTGCTGCTGTTGAGCCTCCTCCCATTGCCGCTGGAGCCTCTGCTGTTCAGCCTCGTATTCCTCTTGCTGCCTCCGCTGGTTGTCTTTCCAAAACTCGTTGATTGGCTCTGGGTCAACTGATGGAGCGCGAGCGGGTTCTGGCTTCTCGTTGCGGGGTCGTGCGGGTAGCGCGGGCGCATTCTCGTCTTCAGAGAGCAGGTTCGGTGGTTCCTGTGGCAGCTTTGGTACTGTAATGAGGTTGGTCAAGTATCGAAGATTCGAGCATTCGTAGTAGAACTTGACGAGACGGTAGTGCTGGGCATCGTATCTGCCGCGTAGAGGAGAGAGCGCTTCGTCGTCACCGAGTGCTACAATGGTTAGCTGGATCGTAAATGAACCGAGCCTCTAGTCCTTACTGGTGTGCATTGCGCGCAACATGCTGGTAATGAACTTGTAGATACCGTAGGACTCCTGAACCAGTGGTACCAACGCCGCTATCCTACATTCGTTGTTCGCACCGCTCCGGAAATGGGAGAAGATGAGCTTCTGGAAAGCATCGATCTGGTCTTGTAGGGTCATAAGGTCCGAGATGGTCTCGTATCCCTCGTTGGGGTCGTTGATCGACTTCAAGCTGATGTACTCCTCGTACTCAAAGGTTCCTATTCCAATCAGCCAATTGTGTATGCCCTACTGTCGCTTATCGTACCATTGAACTCCGGATGTTGTCGGTGGAAAGCAAGTTTGGCCATAAGATAGTAGATGTACTCTGAAATGAGCGGCGCATATCCTCGCATGCCTTCTCCGCCTGTGGAGCCCCGTGATAAGCTCTCAAGCCAGCTGGTGTTCGATTGCGCCTCCTTGAGAACGATAGGATGGCCTTCCTGGAGGACCTTGTGGACGGTAATGAGCGCTTTGAATGTCTGTACTTCGTCGGCAAGGATTGGCTGCCTGGAGTATGATATTAGAATTTGGGCGGATTGGGCAGCATGGGTGCGCTCCGGCTAACTTACACTTTCATGCCCTGCCAGAAAGACGCGGAACTCTTGTGATCCCATGTGTAGACGATGCATGCTCGCACGTGTTTCCCTGCGCTATTGTGAGTTCCATGCGCGTGCTGAGGAATTTCGATACGTACGCTTGGGGGAGACCTCTTCGATGCTCGTGGCTTTGCGAATGTTGATGGCAAGCTCCGACTCCTGCCTGTTTTCATTTACTTTAGCCCATGCCACATTTTTCCTGTCGAAATCTCTCGGCGTGCCGACAGAAGGTGCTGACATAATGGTGGTGAGATACGTACTTGCCCATATCCACGTTGCGCGAGCTTCCGTAGAGCGCCATCTTGGTCGCCGTGAGCTCTTTCCGAGCTTGCTGATCGTAGTTGCAGGTAGTTGTAGGAGGGAAAGGCTGATTGTCGGTGTCGAAGAAGGCGCGCAAAAGCAATGCGCGGGAATGAGGAGGTGTGGGGTTGAGTTATCTGGTTGCGCTGTTGGGTCAGTCAACCATCATAGGAGCTCCTACTACTCGACCCCGGGAGGTGGTTCGTGCTGCTTGGCGCTTCGTCATCGCCTTCACCCCCGACCAGGTCTAACCCTTGTATCTAATACTGAATTCTAGATTTGCTTGCAGGCAAATCCTCTTTATTCAAGCTAGAATCTTCCGAGCCATGCAGCTAGAAGCGCATTGTTGCTGCATCGGGTGCCGCGAACTCCTCCACTTGGGCTGTGCATCCTGGCCTAAACTGCTGCCTTCGCCATGGACTAACAACGCATACGCGGCTGCATGCGCAACCGACTCGGGTCTGAGTTGGCATTTGTGATGGAGGGCGACAAGATGCGTCTTCACTAACAGGGCTGCATGACTTCGCTGGATGGACCCTTGCTCTGTGAACTGTACCGATCACGCATGGCCAACGCAGCGATCATCAGGAACTACTATGTCATTTTACATGCTATCTTAGATGCGACTCCAGGGTATGATGAACGCCATGCAATGCTACGAATACAATATTGATGCCCTATGACGCCGTCAAGAAAGGCTGGACACCTCAAACCGCTTCACTTTTCCCTCCCTTGCTGAGATATGCAGCCATAGGGTCCGCGGCCATTGTCCTCTTGCGGCGATACTCTTCCATTTCCTCCTCGTTTACGCCTCCCGTCATCTCATCGAGAGCTCGTTTCCGACTGGCAGCATCATTCTTTGCTTTTTCGGCACGGTCGGGTGCATTGGGTACGTGTTCCTCGAGGACAGCCTCTTCCTTCCATGCCATCTCCTTGGGTACTTCGTCCAGGTCAGCACCGGTGCGCATCCGATCTGCCAGCTCAAAAGCCTCCTTGCCTGCCTCGCCCGTGCAGTACGAGTTCTTGACTGTCGAGTGACAGCATGCAAAGCCCCATTGGAAGTTGGACCACCAGCTGCCCCAGACTGATGTGTGATTGTTGAGAAGCACATCCTCTGGGTACTTTGATTTTGCCTTAATCTTTGGTGCACCCTTTATGCCACCTCGCTCGTCGTACTCGACATATCGTTCATTCTCTGTAACGGCTGTCTTTCGAAGTGTGTCGTCGGTGAACTTTTCTTGTGTGCCGTACTTCTCCGCCAAGGCCTTTTTCCTGGCTGCTGCCATCTCCTCAGCCTCTTTGAGCTGCTTTTTCCGCATGACCTCGCCAGACGTAGGGTTGGCCTGCAAATGTAGCTTGTTTTTGTCCCCACGCTCCTGTGTCTCCCAAGCATATCGCTGCGCCTTCTCAAACTCGGCGGCATCTCCAGACGCCTTCATGAATCCCTCTTCTGCTACCAGTTGAGCTGCGTTATCGGCTGTCGCGCCGCTGTCGACCATGGAGCGCGTCTTGGGGTCGTATTTGGCCGAGTCGAGATCCAGGTTGAGCAGATACTTTGCCGTGTCTTCTCGTAATCGCAGGTTCCGTGTGGATGTGGCCTGTTTCCTTCCCATGTCCGTCTCGGCATCGTACTTGTCGCCCTCATCCTCGTCATCGGACTTGTCACCCTTCTCGGCTTCTTTTGCCTTTTTCCGGATCTCCTCCATGGCGTTGTACTCCTCGATGACTTCCTCAAAATGCGATGCATCGTAGCCGTTCCATCGATCGCGTTTCGCGTCGAAGCCTAATTGTACGTCCTGAATGACCTCGTCCGCCTCGATATTCTTGCCCGTGAACTTTGCGCCTGCCTTACGCGGCCGGCTCAAGCAGTCCTTTTTCTTGTGTGTCATGGCGCCGCAGTTCTCGCATGCGCCTTTGCGGAACTTGGTCGCAGCCGGGCCGACCTTCTTGCCTCGATCGTACCATTTTGAGTCTTGCTCCTGCTTCTGCAGACGCTGATGCTCGAGGTAATCGGTATTGTCCTCGCCAGTCTCGTCAACGGCGTAGAAGGGCTTCTTCGAGATGAACGAGGGAATGTATTCGTTGCGCTCTTTCGCCGCGGCGGAGACGTCGGGCTTCTTGGGTTGCGAGGGCGGCATGTTGGGCGTGGTAGGATGCCTCGGTCGCGTTGAGTGGTGAAGGTGGTCAGTGTTGGTAGAAGCTTTAGATTGGCGGCCAAAGTGGACCGCCGACTAGTGGCGTAAGGCTGGCTGCAGCGTCGATCCGGCATGTCACGGGACTACGCGAGTCCGGTCGCGCTTGTTGTGCCTCGCGTCTCTTTCCCTCCATTCCGCCACCGCTACCCTTGTAGCGTGCGATGCGCGGTCTCCGACTTGAATGATCTCCTGAACACGATGCGAACCTCCAATTCCGCACACACTTCCTGGACACCGGCTGTGTCGCCATGGATACTTTCCGCTTTCGCCTGAACTGCATCGACAACTACCAGGCGGCTCCAACAGACATCGACCCTCTTCTTCGGCGCAATGCCGGTCCTGCAGGCCGACTGGGCGCACCGCAAGTACCGGTAATCCGAGCGTTCGGTGCGACCGAGACGGGGCAGAAGGTGTGCGCTCATATTCATGGAGCGCTGCCTTACCTATATCTCGAGTACAATGGTAGCCTGGAGAAGGATGTTGGTGCGTGTGACAGTCGTGCGATTGGTATCAAGCTGACGCCTCTTAGTCAACGCGTACATTCTAGACCTCCGCGCCTCGATTGACCACGCACTCGCCGCCGCCTACCGCAAAAATGCATACGATGGAAAGTCGATCTACGTTGGCCACATATCTCTCGTCAAGGGTGTTCCCTTCTTTGGATACAGTGTTGGATACAAGATTTTCTTGAAAGTCTACATGCTCAACCCTATGCATATGACTCGGTTTACGGACCTCTTGCATCAAGGAGCAATCTTGAACAGGGTGTTCCAGCCATACGAGAGTCACCTGCAGTACCTCCTACAGTGGATGTGCGACTACAACCTGTACGGGTGCGACTGGATTAACTGCGCAAGAGTACAGTTCCGGGGACCCGTTCCGGACAGCGAAGAGGTAGATACCACTGTCCACAAGTGGCACGATGCGTCTATCCCCGATGAACTCATAGGCGATGAGGATCAGTACCCACGCCAAAGTCACTGCACCCTCGAAGTCGATATATGCGTCCAGGACATCCTCAATCGGCACGAACTACAATATCGACCCATACATCACGACTTTCTGGAGCGATCGAGTCAAATGCCACGCAATCCAGACGACAAATTCGTGCCGTCCATGGCTGGTCTCTGGAGAGATGAGACGCGCCGGCGCAAACGTCGCATGGGCCTCACTGATCCCTCGAGCAGTCCTTTTCCTGCTGAAGTGCTTGTGTCCATGTCGGCTGATATGCGGAACACTAAGGCCGGTGGATGGATTCACGAAGAGGAATACCGAGAACTCATCGAACAGCTGATCATCGAGGAAAGACGGGGAGAGGGCGAGGCTAGGTTTGACGGTTTCGTGAAACCCATCGCTGGCCAGGAGCGTATCAAGACTGCTATAGATAGTATCGAGGATCTCTATCCCGAGGTCTTGTTTACACAGCAGCTTCCAGATGACGACATTGAGCAAGATGCCGGTCCGTTAGAGCAAGGTGGTGCGCTCGTTGACATTGACGCTCAGCTTGCGTCTGACGAGCCAGAACCCAGGCAGCATCACAGTGACGGTCTTATTGGGGACTGTGAAGACGACGATCCAGCAGACGCCGACAATCATTCTGACACCGAGGAACAGCAATCCCTGGATCCCCTAACAGTATCGTTACTCAAGGGCTCCAGTGATATGGAAGCAGAAGATGCACTTATTGACGAAGGTATTGATTTAGTTGACCCTGATGATGATGGCCAAAAACCAGAGTCCAGCAGCCCGATCAGCCAGCGGAAGCGCTCTCTCGAACCCACAGATGAGGAATACAACAAGCGTCAACGAATCTTAGCAGCAACGGAAAACACCAGTAGACGTGTCTCATTTCGCAACGCCCTGAACAAAAACGAGGACCCGCCTCATCCCGGTCAATCGTCACAAACGAGTATCAAAGCTCAAGGCTTAAGGGGGCCGACTACTTTCTCGTTCCCTGTAGTAAAGAACCCGAATGCACCGGAGACGCTCCTTCGCTTGAGTCAATCGGGGTATTCGAACTCTCAAGAAGGTCCCAAGACACCTGGGCCAAAGCATTTTACGACCAAAGCTTTGCAACGTCCCCCTGTGACCCCGTGGACGCATCAAAAGACTTCGCCAATAGCGCGGAACAGCAGAACCCCGGAAGCTCGCTCCAAAGTAATATCTCTAGTGCGACAACTGGATACATCATTCAAGCACAAACATCGTACTGTTTACTACGGCTCGTTGCCTCCACCGGCTGAGGTCGTCAAAGGCACCATGATGCATGCGGGACTTCCACCGGTAATCTATCAGGACGCCTACTACAGTGAGGAGAAGGATGTTCCAGATCGGCCAAGAGAGTATGCAGGTCGCGAGTTCAAACTACAAAGCACCACATTACCGTATCTTCCTCCTTTCGACCCCACTGGTAATTCTCTTGCCAATATTGGAGAGTATCCCACAGTTGTGGTAGACAAGAATAAACAAGCCGCAATGGATCAAGAACGATCACGTCACTGTGGTTTGCGCCATTGGGAACTCTCAAGACCTCCACCTACTTTCAAAGAAGTGAAGAGCTGGACTAGTCGTCACGTCAAGCAACGTAAAGTCGCGAAGTCTAAAACCAAGGCAAAAAACGAGGCGGCAAATATGCCGGTGCGCAAATTCAACCCGATCAGTCACATTTCACAGATAGAAGGTCCAACGCAGAAGAACCCTCATGGCTTCAAGTACTCACAGAAGCAAAAGACAACTAGTGTTAAGCACGAGTCTCAGTACATGAGCATCATGAGCTTAGAAGTACACGTCAACTCAAGAGGCTCACTCGTACCAGACCCGGCTGAGGATGAGATCCAGTGCATTTTCTGGAGCGTACAAGGCGAAGAGAATGCGACTACTGATCGACCGCGTGCCGGTATACTGTGCTTTTCCGAAGAAGATGGTATCGCTATGCGCATTGCTAAGCAAGTTCCGATTGAAGTTGAGTACGAGGAAGACGAGCTAGATCTCATCAATCGCGTTGTGGATATCGTCCGCCAGTTCGACCCGGATATACTCACGGGATACGAAGTACACAATAGTTCTTGGGGTTACCTCATTGAACGCGCGAGGATGAAGTACGAGTACAATCTTTGCGACGAGATCAGCAGGATGAAGTCGCAGTCTCATGGCAGATTCGGGAAGGAAGCCGACCGCTGGGGCTTTACGCATACCTCTACTATCCGTATCACTGGCCGCCATATGATCAACATCTGGAGAGCCATGCGCGGGGAGCTGAACCTGCTACAATATACCATGGAAAACGTGGTCTTCCACTTATTGCACAAACGCATACCGCATTACCAACACTCCGATCTCACAACTTGGTATACGAATGGAAAGCCAAGGGATCTGACAAAAGTGATTCATCATTTTCTCACACGCGTACAACTCAATCTCGACATCTTGGAAGCAAACGAGATTGTGCCTCGTACTAGTGAGCAAGCTCGCCTGCTTGGAGTAGACTTCTTTGCAGTCATTTCGCGAGGCTCTCAGTTCAAGGTTGAATCTACCATGTTCCGCATCGCAAAGCCGGAGAATTTCATTCTTGTATCACCGAGTCGGAAGCAGGTCGGCCAGCAGAATGCGCTCGAGTGTCTACCGCTGGTCATGGAGCCGCAGAGTGCATTCTATTCAAGCCCGGTTCTCGTTCTGGACTTTCAATCGTTGTACCCGAGTGTCATGATTGCCTACAACTATTGCTATTCCACATGTCTCGGACGTATCGTCAGTTGGCGAGGTCAGAACAAAATGGGTTTCATGGACTTCAAGCGCGAACCGCAGTTGTTGGAGTTGGTTAAAGACCACATCAACATCGCACCTAACGGCATGATGTATGTCAAGCCAGAAATGCGGAAGTCACTGCTAGCGAAGATGCTTGGTGAGATTTTGGAGACTCGTGTAATGGTGAAGAGTGGGATGAAGCAGGATAAAGACGACAGAACGTTGCAGCAGCTATTGAACAATAGGCAGCTGGCATTAAAGCTGTTGGCGAACGTCACCTATGGCTACGCATCTGCATCATTCTCCGGTCGTATGCCATGCTCTGAAATAGCGGACAGCATCGTCCAGACTGGTCGCGAGACCCTGGAGAAGGCGATTGCAATGATACATGCTACAGAGAAGTGGGGCGCTGAGGTTGTCTACGGAGACACTGATTCACTGTTCATCCATCTCAAAGGACACACCAAGGACCAAGCCTTCACCATCGGCGAGGAGATAACCGCTGCTATCACCGCTGCGAACCCACGACCCATCAAGCTCAAGTTCGAGAAAGTGTACCATCCTTGTGTGTTACTTGCCAAGAAACGGTACGTTGGCTTCAAGTATGAGCACCGCAATCAGAAGGTGCCGGACTTTGACGCGAAGGGTATCGAAACAGTCCGTCGCGACGGTACACCTGCGGAGCAAAAGATCGAAGAGAAAGCCCTCAAACTTCTTTTCCGCACCTCAGACCTCAGCCAAGTCAAACGGTACTTCCAGGAGCAATGCGCGAAGATTATGGAAGGTCGCGTCAGCATTCAAGACTTCCTTTTCGCCAAAGAAGTCAAGTTAGGCACATACTCTGATAGGGGTCCTCCGCCACCCGGTGCTCTCATTGCTACAAAGCGTATGCTCGCCGACCCACGTGCCGAGCCTCAGTATGGCGAGCGCGTGCCATACGTAGTTATCACCGGGGCACCTGGAGCGCGCCTCATTGATCGCTGCGTCAGCCCGGAGGCCTTGCTTCAAAACGACCATCTCGAGCTCGATGCCGAATACTACATCAGCAAGAACCTCATACCACCACTCGAGCGCATATTCAATCTCGTTGGCGCCAACGTAAGACAATGGTTCGATGAGATGCCCAAAATCCAGCGCATCCGCAATATTACGATTCCCATGACCATCAAACACGACAAAAGCAACGCCCTCTTCTCTGGTGGCAACGCATCCCTCAAGAAAACCCTCGAAAGCTACATGAAATCTTCAAGCTGCATGGTCTGCCGTTCAAAACTACCTTCCTCTCCACCCGCACACCTCCCAGGCAGCGAGAACAATCCCTACGCCATCCTCCCACTCTGCGCAAAGTGTCTTAAGCGCCCAGCACATTCACTCCTCTCGCTCAAATACCGCATCTGGGACAGCGAAACACGCGTCGCAGAAGTCGATCAGGTATGCCGGCGCTGCTCGAATCTCGCCTGGGGCGAAGAGATCAAATGCGACAGTAGGGACTGTCCGGTCTTCTATACGCGCATCAAGGAACACTCGAGATTGACTGCGCTGAAAGACAGTGTTGGGCCTGTTATTGAGCTCATGGAGAAGGTGGATGATGAGACGGTCTTGGACAGGGAAGATAATAGAGGGAATGATGAGAGTGAGGGATTGGCTTGGTGAACGGTTTATTGCTACTTTGGATATAACGAGATTAACGTGAATTACTTTGGATCGAGGAACGTGTAACATGCTTTAATCTTTCCGCCTACTATGGTCACGACATCCTCACCCGTTAAACCCGTTTCTCCACTGCTGGCTGCTATGATGCCCCATTTCACTTTCGTCACCCAGATGTCGTCTTTGTCGTCGTGTTTGAGACAATCGACTTCGCCTACAAGTTTGATGAGTTCATGTCGTCATTTAATGTGTCTTTACGCATCAAGAGCTTACCTAAAGCAACAAATTCATCGCCCTCTCCACTCACACCCTGTATCTTCTCCACCATCTCACTGATTGCCTCATGCGACTTGAACACACCCAGTGCATCGATGAAAAGGACGTCTGAACTTGGTACCCAAAGATCGGCGATGGCTTTCATACGCGTAGACCTGTCTTTCTGACCGAAGATGTCGGTGAGGTTGAGGAGAGTCAAGCCAATGGCCCGGGATTGAGGTGTTGGCATCGCTGCGGGGGAGTTTAGAAGAAGTATGGATCTGAGGGATGTTTATGATAAGAAGAGGGGCATCGAGCCAAAATATAGAAGCTGATGCGTTTATTCTGTACTGTAGTGGTGGAAAGGAGCCCGAGGTGAGTAAGCACAAGCCATTCGCGCTAACGGTATTAGGAAAGAGATACAGCGTGCTTATGCAGCGACATGTCTGCTACAGCTGGAAGGTCTAATCAGAATGGTGAGAAGGCGTTTCTTCTAGTTGGAACATATGAGAGGGTTTAGTAAAGGATCTATACCACGTAACAGCCGTTCCCCAACTCCACCATCTCTCCATATCTTTCTGCCTCAACCGCTTCCTCCGCTTCCACCATCCTCTTCCCTGCCTTCGTCAGTACTCTATCCAATACCTCCCCTAAAACAGCCCAATCCCACTTCTGCGCAATGACCCACTTCCTCAACTCCCTCAGTTCCTCGTAAAACTCCCCAGTCAGACCAGCTACCTCGTTATCAGAAAGCAAATACGCAAACAAACAAGCCTCATGGAAAACAACGGAACCCTGCAACACGAGTACCGGTATCGAAACTACCGGAACAAATCTCTTTGACGACGCAGAAGAATGTATGTGTCTGGTTTGGTGGAGGTGACAGATTGCACAACAGTTTTTGATCGAATCAGGGGTGGTGATGGGCGATAGGACGCAGTAGAATTTGTCGTTAGTTGGAGAAGGTAAGGGGATTACCAAGGTAGAAGCACAATTCAAGGGGAAGGGTGTTGCGGTGCCGAAGGATTTGCAGGAGTTGAATTCAAAATTGGAGTGGCCGAAGCGGATTAGCTCTGGTGGGGGAGTAGTTGGCTTACAAGCGGAAAGGGGCATCTTGGATTTGCTTCGTTGTACCATCGATGTTGTCTGTTTTCTGATGTGATGAGGGTGAAAGGGATATTGATAATGGTTTTCCGGAGGCGCTACTATGCGCCGGAAAGACTAAGAGAAGTCTTTGCAGCTGGAGGAAGTCTGAGATGAGGGCAGCGTGTTCCAGCTGTCGTAATCATTGTTTGTGAACTGTCTTTGAACAAGCCTTCGTTTGGTTCTACATCAGATGATGAAATATATGAAGGACATTGTTCAGGCAAACACGATCCAGGAGGTTTGTCTGGGTAAGCGTATGGGTCTTCCTTGACTACGATGGACGCTTGTAGACCTCTTCCACCAACATCTCGCGGTTTCGCTGTCGTTGGGCTCTTCCGCGTCGAAGGGCTGCCCGTTCGCTCGGTCGCAGATTCTCGGTCGCACGCAGTGCAGCCAATTCGTTCTTGGGCCCATCGTGCCCAGCTGGCTTATCGCGTCTAGCTGGTTCATTCTCTTCAACTGGTCCAACGTCCTCAACTGGATCGTTGACAGGGCGGGGGTTCCGCAGCCGCAAGATTTCGTCTAGACTCGTCTTGGATAAGCCTAAAGAACCCCTCAATACGTTGATTTTACTGAGAAGAGTTGCTATTCTTGGGTGCAGACTCAGCTGTTCGTATTCTTCCATTATCGTCAATGGTCTTGGTGGGGATACTGATGGCGTCGGAAGGTCTGTTGATGGTGTAGCTAATGAAATTGTCAATTCGGCTTCTTCGATAATTTGTGCGCTTCGCTGGAAGATGAAATTGAATCACGCAATGGATATACTTTACTTTCATTGCCCGAATTTGTACTTGATGTTGTGGATAGTGCAGGTGCCGGCTCAAACGTGAGGTAACCTTCCATACTTGTAGGTGGTGATATGGAGCGTCAGGAAATTATCTCTTGGTACTTGAGGAAAGACTTGTAAGAGATACACGCAGGAATTGGACTTCTTAAGTAAATATTCGAAGTTGGCGAACTATGGATAAGATATGGCAGACATGGTACTTACTTCTGCTCGTACCAAACTAATGAGGGCCACCCAGGATTGCCGGAACTCGAGTCCATGTTGCTGCATACACGTTGCTAAAACTTGATGAGTAAGTACTTTCTAAGGCATTGTATACCTCTACCATAAAAATTGTTTTCGTAGATTGCGTCACGAATTGTAGCCATCCCTAGTTCTGTACGCCAGTCGTCAATCATCAACAGCCTCGTCGTCCTATTCGTCCACCTCTACCACAAAAACACTCAAGTCAACATCTTTTATATACGGCGGAGGCGGGCTTGAATCAACTGCGGAATATTCCGGCACAGGCTCGCCTTGCGCAGGGACGATCAGCCACCTATCAGCTCCAACACGGAGCGGTTGATCATCGACCACTGCCATCTCATAGTCGGTTCTTTTTTCCCTCGACAGACGCGATAGTTCGAATGCTAGGCAGGAAATGAAGATGTAAAGGAAGATGAGGGTGAAGATGAGAGCCGTATCTGATATGCTGAATGGCATTTCGGAAGTGTCTTTGTGGTCAGAATAAGGCTGCATCGTTGCGGAGGTGTCGGAAGAAGGGTTCCGGGATTCCTGGAGTGAATGGGAGTGCAGCTTCCGGTTGGTGGCTCTGATGCCCCGGTGGTGGGAAGTATGAACTAGCGAATCTATAGCTGTGTCGCGGCATTGTGAGCGAGACATTGTGCAATTGCAAGCTGACTTTCATGGAGATAGTAGCATCGTCAAGGCGTAAGCCCTGGAATTTGCGATAGCTACGCACTGTGAGTATGGAGGAACAATGTCGGCTGTTGTTATCTTGCATCATAGATTGATCGTACACGTCATCGAAACAGAATCTACTTACACCTCTTAGCAGTGGTCACCATCCCCACAACGTCTTGATTGTGTCGCCAATTGTCGCTTGACCAGCTTCCTTCCTCTTCATACGAGCTACCCGCTCTTCGACGAATGTCTGTTCCAACTGCTTCGCTACACCAGTCTGCGCCCTGATCTCACCAACTATAGCCATCCTCTCGATCTCGCGCTCTTCCGGTGACAGACTCTCAAGCTTCTTTTGGTATTCTTCCCGTACTTCTGGCTTGATCTGTGTCCAAACGTCGGTATCATCAGGACTGCTACTCGATTTGCCAATATCAGCTATCGGCACAGCTGATTTTCCTGATGTTGATATGCCGCTCATGGCTTCTGCAACATTCCGTTTGGACAATATGCTTTCGAATTTGGGCACTGGCCGTCCCTCTGCCTTGGCCTTCTCCATTTCCTCTTCCTGCTGTATCATGCGCTGGTAGAGTTTATCTGCGTGCATTTGTATCCGCTCGTCTTCTTCTGGCGACCGCTCGTCCATGGTCATGTATCCCAACGCCTTCAGGAACTTTGACTGTATGTCGTAACAGCGGTTGAACTTGCGCGACTCGCCAATACACATGGTTCCTGCCGACCACCATGATTTGGGATTTTGGAAGCATTCGAATTGGTTCATGTATTCCAGAGCACAGTTCTCCATGGCGACTCGTCCGATTGAGGCTTTGCGATCGTTGTAGGCGTCTACGAGGTCTCGTAACTTGTCTTGTTCCGACTTCCCGCGGTTGTTGACGACGTCTTGTGGGGTGTAGGTTTTCCAGAGGTCGGCATATCGGCCATCCTGGAATTGCGATTGCGGTGGCACGAACGGCTTTTGGGGATCGGTCTGTGTTTGCGCTTGCGCTTGTGTGGGTGTTGGCGATTCGGCGGGCTTCTCTTTGGGAGCGGCCGGTAATGAAGGTTTCGGGCCAGTGGGCGCTTCTTTTTTGAGGAAGTCGCGGAGAGATGGATCTAGTTGGTCTTGCCCGCCTGAGCTATTCCCGCTTCCCCAGAGCCAGCCCATGGTTGCGTCGGCGTACAGATTCGAATTCGCGAGGTGAGCAGGTGAAAGTTCCCAAGTTGCGGGGACAGTGAACATGGGTCGGTGGTCTGAGCGCTCGATCATGTCTTAGCGCGATGGCCTCAGATGCGCCCGGGCATAACAACGACTTGATTACGCGACGGCGACGACATCAACTCGAGGAATTGTTACGACACACATGGTTATGGCGCCCGTCGGTAGGTTCATTCATCTGCATGCTCTGTAATCCCAGTTTCATGCTCACAAGTCTCTAGATCGCCGCGAACATCGACAACAGCGCGTGCGCGGTGCCGGGTAAGACACACCAAACTCCTGAGACATGCAAACGCTGACCATGGCAGGCCTTCATCTGTGCAGGCGTCTTTCGGCTTCAACTTCGGCGCTCTCAGTTCGCAACCGACCAAACAACCCTCTCTCCCACCCCAGCAATCACCGCGACGAACACCAGCCCAGAAGACACCCAGGAGCGCGAATGGCTCGGCACAACGGCCGAGAAGCGCGTCAATTCAGCGTAGCAGTATTTCAAAGCGGAAAGCTACACCAAAAGAGAACACGGCGGTAACCCCTCAGTTGGGCAAGAGGAAGCGGGGCTCACCAAATGCGCAAGCAGGCGCAGACGACGCGGCAGAGGATGAGCTAAGTCCTGACCGAGAGGATGCCGCGCGCTCCATCGAACAAAGTAGGAGGGTCGTTGGGACGATTCTACCCATACGCGAAGAACAAGACAATGTACCAGACGAGCTATCCATATTGGAGGAGGGCGCCAGTACTGCACGCGAGACAGTCTTCGCCAAGTCTACAGTCATCAAACGAACGCCTCCACAAGTATCGTCACAAGCACGCGCGACCCCTGTCAGTGCCCGCCAGAAGACGCCTACCACCGAGCGTGTTGAGCAAGCGTCAGCTGTATCGCAGCGGTCGACACAACGGCGATCGCGTTCTACAGATCCTGGTCCTGCTACACCCAGCGTGCTTCCAAACGGGCAACCCAGAACTTCGTCCGCTTCACAGCTCGGCGCTATTCTCGAGACGCCAGCCGCAGCCGAAGTGGACGAAGAGAGCGAAGATGAGCTATCGCCGCAGCTCAATGGATCTACACCGCGAGTGGTTGGGAGCGAACCACGGCCGCAGCGAATCGCTGAAGAAGATGTTGAAATGGGTGCAGACGAGCTTTCCTCACTCGGCCAACCGACACCGATTCAGCAAACGCCGGTAGCGAATGGTGCGACACCACAGCAATTGAAAGAGCAACAATCTGAAGAGCAAGCCACTCCGCCGCAGCCAGCCAAACGAGGAAGACCGCGCCGGGTAGTGGAGGAACCCAAGGAGGATGAGATCTCCGCAACCACCGCGACGAAGCCTGCTAAGCGTGGCAGACCCAGAAAAGAAGCTGCAGTCCAGGAAAGCGAACTTCAAGCAGCGCCAGCTGTACGCGAGCCAGAAGTTACAAACAGCGAGGAGCCAACACCGGAAGAAGTGGACGAGGTTTTTGACAAAGTCTCCCTTGAGCTTGAACAAACATCTATACACTCTCCTAAACCTACACCACGAAATCAGGACGCTTTGGAAATCTCTAGTGCAGATGAAGAGTCGGACGTGTACGAAGAACCGGAGCCCGAAGAGGCAGAACTCACTCCACGACCCAGAACGAGAAAACCATCTCCCAAGCAGACACAACGCGCCGAATCTACGACAGAGAAACCGCCCCGGAAGCGTCAGAAGTTCTTAGGACCGAAGCATACCATCTCTGTCATGCGCATCAAGGGCTCTGCTGTTCGAGGCATCACAGTCGCAGACACTACGCGTACCATCTTAGAAGAAACCATCGATCACCGCTTGAGCCGTATGACAGAAAAGCTACAAGCATCACAAGACTCCATCCGTCGTAAGGAGTTTCGGAGCGAGATCAATCTATCGCTCTCTTTCAAGGAGAGCCTCAACGAGAAATTGCTCGACTTACAGGACGCCAATGATCTCTTGAGCACCAACTTCAAGAAAATCAAGTTGTTTAAACGCGACAATGCTGAGCTACGCAGGCAAATTCTCAGCCTCCAGGACAGCAGACAGGAGATTACCATCGAAATGGACGATGTCCAAGCGCGATACAACGCCGAGAAAGCCGAGGTAGATGCCAGAAATACCCTCAGTGATGACATGTTTGAGATTGAGGCTGCAATCAAGAACGGTCGGAAAAAGGCACGCAAAGAAGGGAGGGAAAACGAAGGCCCTGATATCCCACTTCCCATGCTGCTCAAATCAGTAGGTAATGACGTCACTTCTCAAAGTGGTGGGCTTTTGGCCAATGTAAAGGGCTTTAACGGGTTCTTGGAAAGAGCCGCAGGCTTTTTAGAGGGAAGAGCCTGATTGCACAGCGAATAGCTGGATGAAGTTTCTTATGTGTGTACTTTCGGAAAGATACCCGGCATTATCGCCACCTTCAATATGATATATTCCATTCTCAAACTTTGTAACCACTTCAACCTTCAATATACCTGCGGACGCATAATAGCATCTGCAAAGCTGATCATAATGTCTCATATACGATCGGGTGTTATTTGGTAAGAACACCTGGGGTAGTCGCGTGTCGTCTAACATCGGTCAAGCGACTAGTCTGCATATGCCAAGACGCGCCCGCTTTCATGCACGGTTACGCAAAGGTGCATCATCTAGATGATACTGGCGTGCTAGAACTTGCCTGTGCGCATCACAGGGTCCATGGGCTACGGCCTTAACTCCTCAGCCAGCCGGTTTGCTCTCGTCTGACAGTTCTACCAAACCTTTGTCCGGTCGCTGAGCCATTGTTGCCAATACCGGCGCTCTTGCCTTTCCAGAAACCAAAAGGCAGGCAACTCAACCGACGTAATCGCAATCCTACGCCCTGTATCTAACAGCGAACTCTCTTACCAGAAAAAGTAAACATTTTGTAAAATTACGTGGTTGAGCGTGCGCTTCGTTCTAATCAAAACCCTGTTACATTGCAAAACGGGAACCGACGGGAGTTCGTTACACGACAAACTAGCTTGTACCAAACCCGGGACTGTCATCGGATATCTGACACAGTTTCTTTCACTACTCCTACAGCAGCTCACCAGATCAACATACCGCTCAATTGACGTAAGGTGGTTGTTCGTCACGGTTCACTTACCAAAACTATGACTCGCGGATCTATCACCTGCGACACTAGTGTCCCAAAAACACCGACGACGCCGCCAGCACCGTCCACGCTGATAACCTCGGCCGATTTCAAGACCCCTAAACCTCCTCTCACCTCGCAGATAACTAAATCTCCACGCAACCCATCAAACAAATTCTCGTTTCAAGAGCAGCGGCGCAAATCGTTCTTGGAACATCTGAAACGATGGCACTTGAGCCACGAATCGAGTAATTTCTTTCAAGGAAAACTCAGCCTACTACCTTCTGAGCCTGAATACAACGAAAACCTGGAATTGGGTAGAAGTGTAACTTGTATTTTGACGGATTCGAGTTTTACGGACTATAGGAAGACAGTTGCTATTAAGCTTTTTGGACCGCAAAAGGACAACGTAAAGGGCAGAACAAGAGAATCGGAACGAGACATTAAGAGCAGGAGCATGGCTTTACTCAGCAGCGAGATGAAGATGGCGGAAGACAAAAAAGAGGAGGCATGGCCGTCGTCCTCAGGCATATCCGACTCATCAAACAGCTACTACAATCTCGTCATCCGCTTCGGTTCAGGATGGCTCTCAGCACGCGACTACTTCAACAGACTCTACTTCCGACACCTCGCCGCCCGTTTGCCAGGCCGACATAACCACTGCATCGCCAACACAGCCGACTACGTCTTCCGCGTCCGCTCTCAAGCTCTCGGCCCACCACCCTCAAAACGAGACACAGTACCCATCCAGCCTCTCTTCCACCAATTCCAACGCCTACCTACAGAACTCCAAGAAATGATCCTCATGACAGCCGCCGGACTTACCCGGGACTACGACCTCACCAACGACGCCCGCAGGAACTGCGCCAGAGCATCCGAAAGAGCCATCAGTCTATCAACCTTGCTACGCATCTCACACAACATTCACGACACAATGCGTCCATTCATCATGCGCAGCACGACCTTCCATTTCGGACTAAGCGGAACGACAAACTTCCTCTGGCAATGCGGCCCGACTTATCGTCCCCACATTAAACGCTTAGCCTTCCATTTCGGGAAGAATGCTCTACTGCATTGCGTGCGCTGGTTAGCCGCCGATGCCATTTTCGAGTTCCTTGAGCCGCCCCAGCCGAATGGCGGGACTGGGTTACCGCTGTTTTGGCGATGCCAGTTACGTGCTCTGGCTAAGGAATTGCATTTACGCGAACTTATTATTGATATTGAGGGTATACCGAAGGCGGATATTGCTATGGTGGTTAGGATCATGAGGGAGGCGTTTGGGAGTGTGGAAAGGGTGATGTTTGTGGAGGGTTCTCCGCCAGGGAAAACGGAGGTTGTGGAAAAAGACTACGAGAGATTAGCTGGTGTGGGTAAGGAGTCTTGGAGGGAGTTTGTCAAGGGGTATATTGGGAGGTATGAGCGCCAGATTGGGTGGCATAATTGGCATTTCAAGATGGATCTGGTGGGGTTGAAGGAAGATGAGGTGGATGCCTTGATGGATAAGGAGACGGAGTTTTTTGATAGTTGATAGAAAGTGAATGCATGGTGATGGTTTTAACTGTGTGTTCTGGGGCTTGGGAAAAAGTAGGAATAGACATCTAGCATGTTTATGATGAGCTCAATTAACAGTAGAGCTATGGCTCCGTGATCTATTGATAGCACTTGAATGTACGAGACATGTTGCCGAACGGTTGATGATACACGAACATGAAGGAAACAATTGCACTCTCAGATAATAAGATTAATTAAGTCTAAAACAGACGTAGTAGTAATAATAGTTGTAACAATGATTGTGTTACGGACGAAAGTTGGATGAGGTCGGCGGTTATGATGTCCAATGTAGTAGGGGTGCCCTGCTATGAACGCGGGAATAAGGACTCGCTCTCGTACAACTCCCCGGTTCGACGTCGCCTCATCTTATAGTTTCTTTTTTCAAAAAGACATTCGTTAGTACGTTGTTTCAGAGGAATGGTGTTCATAACGTATTTCATTGTTTCGGCAGTTGACAGCCAAGGGTACGTGCATCTGGGTGCGCAAATAGTGATATTGGTAACTTCTTCGTGAAGTCCATAGGGTTACGGTACGCGTAATGGGCCCGACCTTTAAGGTTTGACACTCAAGCTATGCTCCATCCCATCGCCAGCTGTCAGACCTCATTACCGACTCTCCGAGGCCTCTCGAGTTCGTGAGGCGACGGGTGCATGTGGCCACTGCGAGAGGCTAGCGCAACGGGTCCCTGCACGGAAGCAGCGGCAGGCGGAAGGGGGACAACTCTAAATTTATAGTTCCCGGAATCTTCTTCTTTTGTCTCGACATCAGATTCCCCAGAATACTCGTCCGCATGGTAGACTTTCGGCGTGCTAGATCATGTTCATGACGAATAGCCGCCGTTGCTTTGGTTGCTCAGACGATCACGCGGGTGAGGTCACAACCTGGAAAACTTCGACCTGACAGCATGGGATGCGGTGCAGCCACATTTCTTCTGCGCTACAGTAAACGTCATTCGTCTGATTGCGAAGACATGGAAGTCATGCAACACGAACTCATGGGCGGTGAAAGACGACCTCGTCATTTGCGAAATCAGTTGGATATGATGTGAAATTCAAATTTTCAATTGTAACGAGCGAAACTGAGTATATACTCCGCAAGTGTGTGTAAACCTCCTCTCACGAGATTGTATAGGCAACTGTCGTCTAGAATCCCCACTTGGAGATCTTCTTGTAAGACTTGTGCTTGACGCTGGCAGTGCGTTTCGCAACGCTCATGCGCTTCACGACAGCGCTCTCGTCCTCGTCCACGTCCACGCACCCATCAACATCCTGCGAGGAGCAGAGCGGCGTTAGAGTCTTGGAACCCATGTCACAGAAGTTGCCATGTGCGTCGACAAAGTCTGGTCCCAAAGACGTGGCAGATCCACAGAGTGCCTTCGCCGAGTGGCTTGCAACATTGGACACGACAAGTGCCTCAGTCATCCACTGGGGGCGCTCCGAGACACTCCGCTTGGCGCCAGGTTGATCTGAACACAAACGTTAGAGAATTTTCTCGCGCGGTAGGCATAAAGGGATGACTGACCAGCGATAGGGCCACTGTCTGGGCCAAAAATCGTGTATGTGCATCCTGCGTTACTGCTTGCGGTGTCGTCGACGTTTTCACCATACGCGGAGGTGTCAAACTTCAGAGAAGCAGCAGCAATATCGTTGGTATGGTCTATACACGAAGTCAGTGTATGCATCACATGTGTTTCACGGCCAAAATTTACCTGCATCAAGCCAAGTGCACCTGGGAACGTAGTCACTGCCGTCGTCCAGGCGTCCCGCTACCTCGACGCTCTCGTACCAGGATTGGCCACAAACTGATCCAATGTCGCCAGTCCATGCACCACCGAACGTGCCGTCAAACTGCGTCACGGTGACCCAAGCAATACATGTCGCGTCATTGTTGTTCGAGATGCTGACGTATTTGGCTCGTTGGCCCCCAACTCCCGCGTCAATGGTGCGGTCGCAAATTCCCCCAGAACCGATATCACAGCCATCGGCTTGGCCCTGATATCCGTTTACCTGGGAGAAAGAATAGACCTTGTTTATCGAGCCAGACTAACCTCTTATTAGCAGCGCCATCGATGTTGTTCATACTAGGGTATAGCACTCACTAGACTGTCTCCATCGTTCCCAAGGTCGGGTAACCCGGCTACAGGAGTAAAGACTGCATTAGCGAAGATAATGAGGAGAATGGTTTTTTCGAAATGCTGTACCCTTAATTCTGACAGTTGCGCCCTCTGGTGCGTTTCCCGGAACGTTGGCTTCGAAGAATCCAACCGTAGTCAGTGCATCGGCAACGAGCCCAATAGCGGGAAGAACTGCAGACATGTTGAAATTTGCGGACAGATAAAATCTTTGATAACTGTTCGAAACCTTTTCACTGGGAGTGAGGTGGTCGGTTTGTGTGATGGCCACTTGGTTTGTTCAAAGAAAGACTTTTATATCTATTCAGCTTGAACAGTGCTTGTTGCTATCCGTGGCATTATGGAGCCATGGTGACGATGCTCCGGAACTTCGGCATGCCATCGCATCGTGTCTCAACCCAAATAGCAAATCAGAACCTCGTTGGCAACATGTGTTCAGCCCCCAACTGTTGCCAATACTTTATCCACGCGAAGTGAAGGTTCGGCAGGTTCACTTTGTCAGCCTTTACGAACACTAGGTATGGTGCCTACGATATGGCTGACCCCTGATTTGTCGTAACCTACTGGGTCTCTGATCCTTCTAAGACACTGATGAGCGCAAATATCAGGACCTTCCCGAATTGTGAATTTGAATGATGTCGTCTTACCGGTTAGACGACTAGCCTGCCTGGTAGCTGAAGGATTGCTAGGAATCCGGGGACTAACGACGTAACTAGGAAAAAGCGACACAGATGCGCCTTGTCATCTCCCCGGAAGCGCCGATGGAAAGCAACTAAGTTGTGACGGAGGCCGAATTGCCAAGTCCGCGGGACAGTTATAACCCGTCTCGCCCACCAACTCAATGTTCATCAACACCTTTCTCTATCAGCTCCACTTCTTATTTCGAGACAAGATCAACCACTCGACCGCAACAAGCCATCATGAAGCTCTCACTTGCCCTAATCAGTACTCTGCTTACGAGCTCTCTTGCACTTTCGATTAAACGACAAAACGATGTACCTTCCTGCGTCAACGGCGATGTTGCTGACAGCAACGGCGGCCCATACGAGGGTGGTATGTAATAGCAACTGCCGGCCTCGGTCCTTTAGGTTAAACAAGCTGACGCCCTACATTTTAGGTGCTGAATGTGAAGAAGACTGCTACCTGACCGAACAGGAAGGGGACAGAGTCGATCAGATCTGCAAAGGGTACTGCACGGGAACACCACTTGTGACTGGAACTGTTGTGTACAACTGCTATGGAAGCGGATAAAGCGTTTCTGGGGCAGAGTTGTTGGAGACCAATTCTGTCAAAGAGTTACCTAGATACTTTAACCCTCCAACCTTGAATGGATGACTTCAACTTAAGCACCGCATGAATGCTTGTCTTCCGGGCGTACATGCTTGTCCCTCGTGTGTATACTCAGCATAGCTATGTGTCAAGACTTCATCTTCTCGCCAATCTCTATATGAGATTCATTCTTTACTATGACCTCGTGAGGCTCGACCGGCAATACGGCTTACGCCCGAAACTCATCGACGAATGACAAGGCGCATGTTTGAAGCGAGATCCCCACACAAAACGCCCTGCAGAAGATTACCCCGGAATACACTGCGGACGTTGAATCAAAGTGTCGTTGCTTATGTTGGTTGAGGTTAGCTGCCGCCGTGACTAATCGAAGCAGGCACGTGGTGGCTGTGGGGGCTACATAAGGCGCCCCGAGGCGCCCCGTCCGGGGTCTTGGTAAACACCAATCCCAAATTCAGACAATAATCGGGACGACCGTGCTACCCAACCCCGCCCTAGCGTCGTAACGCTAAGGAGAGATATATGCGTTGTTATGACTTAGCGATGCCGTTTGGGGCGTACATGAGTCGGGTATCAAGAGAGGATGGATGACGACAGTGATGAAAGCAGCTGCAATCGACGAATCTACGCGACCCGCGACAGCTTCAGACAATGGAAGCGACAAGGAACGTTCCGTTCCAACCGATTAGCCGGTGAGATGGCCTGAGCCCTTACATGGAATAAGCCGCAATGTGACACATGACGAAATCTCCCATGAGAGAGTATGCCTTACTCTTGGCAAGAAGCGGAATGCCTTATTATGCAACGCCGTCTTGAGATGGAGTACAAACACCCTGGTTGCCCCCCCCCCCACGCTCGCATCTACTGAGATCGAGCTCGTTCTGAACCTCATCCAGATTTGAAAATTCTTACTGCTTTTGAGAGTTTCCCCTAACCTTTTGTTTTACCGATTCCAATGCAGCTCCTTCAGATCATCAACAGATCGGCGTTTCTAGCCTTGCTTTCCTCTCCGTTCTATACACATGCACAAAGATCTCAAAACGCAGATGCGGAAGAATTAAGCCCATACAAGTTCGTGCCCTACCCATGTATTGGCACAAGTCAACTAACCGTCCGATAGTCAGAACCTAACGCTTCGCTTCTTCAAGGACGGCCATGACGACACGTGCAACTACTACAACTCCACCGACGCCTTGACCTTCACTACCAGCAGCATCCCAGTCGTTCAACACTGTTTCAGTCTTGCAGACCTCTTTGGCGGAAACGCCACGCAAGGCTTTGTAAATCAGACATGGAATCTCGGTTACAACAGTTTTGGCGACCAGGAAGCGGGCATACACTGGACGCTTCTCAACGCCGACAAGTACGACAGATCAGCCAACTACTCGCGGGTTCTGTACCGTCACCATGTAGTGCAGGCCTCCGACGACCTATGGAAGGAGGGCCATCTATCAAACGTCTGGGTCACTATCGATGGAGGAGAAGATTGCTCTGAACTCGATCCTAACGATGACAAAAACTTGCTGAATTGGTTTGGGTACAGCTGCTGGGGTGCTGATGAGGGTAATTGTGGCAATACACCTTACCCCATCAATAGCTTCAACGTTTACCCAGGCAACCAGAAGTCAGACCGCAAGTGCTGGTTGCATGCGGAACTGGGCGCTGCTGTGCATGGATTCTCGTCTTCTAGGGCGGTGATGGGAGCTTTTGCGAGTGTATCTCTAGCTTTGTGGCTGGCTTTGTAGGGTGTAGGAACATCGGTCACGATAATTGTATGCTAACATATCTTAACAAACGAGCTTTCCATGCCTAGGATTGAAAGAGTCGGTAAACTTTTGCGAGTCGACAAGATGGCGTGATGAAGGTAGAAAGTTTGAATTTACATTACGCCTATGTATGCCCAGCCTTTTGAACCCTACGTCCAAACGCCAGGAGAAGAAGAACAAGTAGACAAGACAGATATACCGCTGCCGCTGCCCACATCAAACGCCGTGACTATGCAAAAAGCCCAACTCGGGGGCGAAACGCCAAAAGCATACACCATCACCATGTCACCAACTACCCACTCCCATGACTCCTCAACTTCCTCCCAGCCGCAAGTCCCTGACCAACGCTATTACCAAAATTCGTAATATTCTCCCTATCCCCACGATCGCCAGCAACACCAACCGTCTTCCTCGTCATCTTCTTCATCGGAAGCTTACTCGCATCATCGCCATTGGTTCGCGCCTTCTTATTCGGAGGGGCGCCGTTCAGCGAATCGCAAGAAGACTGGGATGCGAGATGGGGAAGTGGCTGGGTATGAGCTTCCTGCGCCACCACATTAACATCTAGCTCCCGCAGGGAAGAAGGGTTGCCTGTGGGGAGGTGCGATATGGTGTGGGCGTGCGCACTGATGGAATGGGAGAAAATAGGCTTTTTGCTCGTGTCGGCGAATATGTCGGTTGGAGAAGAGAGATTGAGGGTTTGCGTGTCGTCGTTGAAGATGGGTTGTTTTGAAGGGCTGCGCGTTGTGGTGTCGACGGGTGCGGGGCGGTCTCGAAGACGAGAGAGGATGTTTTCGTGTGCTTCGGTGCGTGGGAGGGTGGAGGGGATAGTGTAGGAGACGCGCTGGGGTGTTTCGCCAGTGGGGTTGTATTCGATCAGGTTCTGGGACCCGACGACCTCGCGAAGCTCGTGGAGTGGTGCACGAATGTCCGCATCTGCAGCAAGAGCTGGTAACGTCTCCTTCAGTGTGTTTGCTTGTGCTGACATGTCCGATTCGAGAGACTGGACGCGATCGAATGAAGTGGATAGATGATCGCCGATGCTGGAGTATGAAGCTGCCACTGTTGACGACAAAGCGGCCAGCGATGCTGTATGGGCGGTGTGGTGGGTGTTGTTCTGTTCGCGAATTCGGGCTACGATGTCATCCAACGATTGGAGTTGAGTGTCCAGGTGTGCCATCTGGGCCTCCACTGTCTTCACGGTGCTCTCGTGAACGGAGGTAGTCGTGTCCTTAATCGAAGTGGAATGCTGAGTCGCGGCTGCAAAGTCTGACTTGATCTTAGTCTTGACAGCATCTCTTGACTTTGATACACCCGCCAGTATGTCTCTGGACTTATCTGACCATGCGATAACACCGTCAGCATAAGCATCCTGCTTCGTCTCGAACGCAGCGTTGGCAGCATTCATCTCCTCCCGCACAGCCGAGAGCTTCTCGTCTAACCTCTTCTCTTGCGCGTCGGCGTTCGCGTTGATGATGGCAGTGAGCTGGGAGAGCAGTTGTTGACGGTCATCGGCAGACTTCTGTTTCTCCTCATTCACAACCTTCTCGAGTTGGCCCTGAGATGTCTTGTTCGCCTCGACCAAAGCAGCGTTAGCCTCCACGATCTGTTGGTGAAGTCGTTCGTTCTCGATTTGCTGGTCGTTCAGATCCTTGACTAGATCGTCAAAGGTGGTCTTGAAGTCGCGGCCTAGCCCCGCATAGGACGCGTGGACTTGCGTGTGGAAGGCGTCGAGTTCTGTGATGATGTTCGCTGAGATTGTCTCCGCCGCTGCCGAGAGTTCATCGAGGCCTGCACCGATCTTCGTTTTGACGTCCTCTCGAAGAGTCCTGATCTCCTCCAGGACTTCATTCATGTGGTCGCGCGCTTGGGCTGTCTGTCCGTTGACCTCTTGTTCGGAAGTCTGATATGCCTCCATCTTCTCCTGTAAGAACGATTGCGAGGCGCCAAGCTGCTCAAGCTCATCTCTGACAAACGCTTGCATACGTTCCGAGATCGCATTCATCAGCTGTTCCTGCTGTTGCTGTAGTTCCTCTATCCGATCTTCGACGATACGTGTGGTATCGACAACCTGGGTTTGGGAGGAATTCCAGTTCCGTCGATTCTGTGATTGAAGTTCTGACTTCCGTCGAATCTTGGACCGTAAGCCGTCGATGGCTGATGTAGTCTTGCCGAGTGTTGAGATCATCTCTTTCCCAACCTCTGCGAGCTCTTGCTCAGTCTTTTGGTGCGCCTTTCGTAATTCCGCCTCTTCAGCAAGATTTTCGCGCGTGTGCTCCAAAACAATCTCCGTCTTCTCTAGGATGCCCTTGGTGCCTTCCAAAGCTAATTGAGTTTGTTCGTTGTCTTTCTTCAAGGTCTGGAAATTTGTCGTGAGTTTGAACAGATCCTCCACCTTGTTGCGCAGGTTGACCTCCATGGTCTCAAGGCGGTCGCGTTGTTCCTCGCTAAGAATTCGTCTCGATTCGCTGACTGTCGTGATCTCCTCATAATTCTCCTGTGTAAGGTAGACACCGTTGCGCTGCCGGGTAGCTATTAACTCGCTCTTTAGCTTCTCGATTTCGGCGGTGTACTCCTTGAGCAGGGTCTTCTTGTTGATGGCCTGGTTCATTTGCGGCTTATTGCGGATATTCTTCGCGCGAAATGCGTAGTCAAGAGTGGATATTGTTTCTTCGAGGTTGCTCTTTGCTGGCGACAAGGTCGCAATAATGCACGTCTTTGTTCGACCGCCCAACGAGTCTTGCAACAGGCGAGTGAGTTTCGATTCTCGGTACGGGATATGTGAGCTGCGTTCGACGAGTGCGTTGATAACGCGACCCAGTGTTAGCAAACTCTTATTGATAAGACCGGCCTCTGCTGCGCGCTTGTTCTCAGCACCGCTGCGCTGAATGTTCTCACTACCCGCAAGATCGACGAGGTTGAGCTTTCCGGCGCTCAAGTACTCCTGGCCATCTTCTGTTGTTCGCTTGATGTATACGGTAATGGTAAAAACGGTATGACTTCGCGAACTGAGGTCGTTGCACTTGGTTGCAGCTACTTGTCGCTTGTGGCTTCCGTTGCGCAGCATCGTGATACCCTCAGCAGCAGTCTTGAGGTGGCATTCCTCCATACCCTGGACCATGGTTGTGGTGGAGCCCTTCTTGCTGTTGTCATCGTAGATCTTGAGCTTGGTCGCATCGTCTGGTGAAAGCAAATCGCGGAGTTCTTCGTTGTAAAGTTCGATGAAAGAACACTTGACCGAGTTCTCGATTTCGTCGGTCTCGAGGCGTTGGAAGAGCGCGTACAGGACGCGTGGGATGATACCGGCAGCGTCTGGCAGAGGGAGGACGTTGGAGATGTCACCAGTCATGGTGTAGGTTTTTCCTGTGCCGGTCTGGCCGTATGCGAAGATTGTGCAGTTGAAGCCATCTACGACCTAGATTGGTGTTAGTGGAAGTAACCACCATCCTCTCGTTCCAACTCACTTCGTCCAGAATAGGCGCGACAACTTCGTCATACATCATGGCCTGGTCGGCTGCCGGAGAAAAGACCTTGTCGAACTGATACGTTTTGTTGCTCAGCGCACTCGGGCCCATAGACAGGTCTACAGCTGTGCCCCTGATTCCGTTGGTCGACACCACGACGCCGCTGTTCTCGCGCACTTCGCGGTCATTGCGCCCTCTACACCGAACGACTACGTTGATGTTTGTCTCTTCTCCTCCCTCGCTTTCGAAATCTATCTTGCGCTTGAGGGGCGATGACCGTGGAGCTCGCGCCGAAGAAGCTACTGATTCTGCTCTCGATGAGCGGCCGTCCATGGCGGGTGTTGCTGAACGGCCACGCGCCAGATGGGGTGGGCGCGTCGTAGGCGGTCGCATGCTCGTCGTATTCCGCTTGACCGGCGGTCCTGGCCGCGGGAGTCCAGACATGGTGACGTTCCGGGAGTCGTGAACGTGGATATGCGGGTTAGGGTGACATGCGTCTGGTGTTGCGGAACCTGCACCAAAGTAAACAGTCAGTAAACACGTTCATGCAGGGATCCTGCTTAGCACGCAAGCACGGACCATGCGCTATCAGCCATCGCGAACACGGCGCGCTACGTCAATGCAGCATGCATGCACATCTTCATCCATATGTCCGTGTACATTATGTGTTCATGTCTTGATGACTGAGTCGATGCAATACATTCTAAATGACATATTACCAGCCTCATCTCATGCAAAACGTTGAAGCTCCTAGTCAAACAAACTACCTGCCTGCGCGCCTGCCCCGCCACCCCTCACTCACTGCGATCTTGTTGCGGTTTGTACCTCATTGAATAGCACCTTGTCGCATTACCGGATATCTTATCGCATTGTACTGGCTTCTTGATCTTCATTTTTGTGTTTGGGGCTGCATCGATAGACCCGGCGCGTTGTCCTCGTGGACGCAGCACGCGCCTATGAGCTCCCTGCTATCTACGAGCTAGGCAGCACATCGATTGACAGACACACTGCGTTCACTCACTCCACTCATACACTTACCACATACTCATCATGGAAGATGGCATCATGCAGCTACAGCCTGGGCGCAGTGTAGGCTTCATGAGTCCGTTGCGACCATCCTTCCCGGTTACCAAGCTGACTGAAACACAGCCCTCGGTTGCTCCCTACACGAGGTACTGACGACGATCAAAGCCGAAGTCAAGGCTTTCCCACGCTTCCAGCTCTACCACGACGAGTTACGACCTATCTCCTCACCCGTCCAAGTCGTCCTCCCTGACAACGGTCTGCGACTACAGTTCGATGGACCCGACCAGCGCCTGCGCCTCATCGAAGTGCTCGATTTCGCAAAGGCCAAGTTGGTATACAAGGACATCGATGTGTACAAGCCTGGCGAAGGAGGCTTCTCGGGCGGCGTATCAGGCCCAAGGTTTCGCCATGTCTACGACAAGCTGCTGGGACCGACCTATGGTGGAGAGTACATACCCCCGAAATCCGAAGACCCAAATGCAAGCGGCACATACAACCTATCGTATCCGGGTATAGCGTTCAACTTCCCGGTTCAACACTCCGCCTACTCTCCAAAGAAGGACTTCATCTCGCTTTTGTCCTCGTCAGCTACTGGGTCTGCAACATCCATGGCGGTCTTCAACGGCGAGTCGTGGCAGAAAGCCCGTGGAACATTGTTCACAGCAACACCGCCGAATCCGAGGTCCTTGGCCCTAGGCAAAGCAAAAGATGGCGGCCCAGACGAGATCGAAACGGTCAAGGTACATGGAGAGGGTAGGATAGAGCTTGTCCGGCGCTCTAGTCCGCCCTTCTGGATCATTCTCAGCGAGACAACGCCTCAGGATTTGATCATGGAGCTTGGCGCCCCAGACTCCATTTATCGCAAGAATGATCATCGTCTATCGATACACAAAGATCGGAGGACAAGCGACGCGTCGGATCTTTCGCCTGGTGGGCTCACTCCAGACGATGACTCAGACCACGGCTCAGTGGTTAGAAGCGATGACGAAGATGCTTGGGAAGATGATGACGAGGCCGCACTAGAGGCTCAAGAGCGAGAAGTCGCAGCGGCTGAGCACTTCTACAACTACTATCACCATGGCTTTGACATTCTCATCTCCCAACCTACACAGATCTCCCCGCCTTCTCCTACCGCGGAAAGACGAGAGTCAGAACTACATGTGCATGGAGAGCTCAGCGCGCAACCACTAAACCACCTTACTGCAATCAAGATCATATTCCACGGTAACGTGCCTGGTTCATACCAGTTCAATCGGCACAGACGAAGCAGATGGACGCTCGAGCACGTCCCATCAGCCATGTACCGCGATCCCCTTAGCTCGGAAATGGGCTTTGGAGACATTTCAGGTCGGCTGAAGGAGGTCTTCAAGCCATATTACGACAATGAAGAGCAGGAGAGATTACAGCAACGCGGCATGGCCCTGAATAGAGGCTGGGGTGACAGTCCTGGTAGTAGCTGCGAGCTTCTTGGAGGATGGGAAGATAGTTCTGGGAAGAAGAGCAAGTTTGCGAATGCGGGAAGTGTCTTGATGGAGGGCGCTGCGGATGTTGGAAACGTGGAGCTGTTTGGATTTCCGGGTATGGTGTTTGAGGTGCTGAAGAACGGAGCTGTGAGCTCGTTGACCGTGTACTGATTCAACATGTCGACCTTCAATCTCGAGTCATGATTCCCGTCGCCATCAGTCTTCATACATGATATAAATTCAAACTATTTATCATTAGATACTGCTTCTCAAACTCATCGTCTCACCAGCCGTGTTGAACTTACGACCACGGCATCATGACTAGACCAGACACTATCTCCGCGTTACCGCCGATATCAGCCGAATCATCACCGAACCCAACTATCGATCCAAAAATATTGTAACTCCAACACCGCTTCCCCGCCGATTCGCCCGCCCATGATGCTATTATGCTAACCCCAACTCGCATCCTCCGCGCATCATGGTCAAACACCCTCCGACTGCCAAAATCTAGTTTTCCGCCGCGACCGTTAGCGTCAACGAACCCAACCTACTTGCAGCGATGCACCGATGACCTGTATTCATGGCAGGCGAGCCCCGAACGCGTTCTACGTTATGGACACCTGGAGAAGCGGTTGAATGGAAAGAATGGCGAGACGCAAGGCAATGCGCCGAAGGAGACCTTCACTCTGCATGATGGGCCGCCATACGCCAATGGGCCATTGCACATTGGGCATGCATTGAACAAGATCACCAAGGACATCATCTGCAGACACCAGGTCGGACAAGGGCAGAAGGTGTCATATATCCCTGGATGGGACTGCCACGGTCTACCCATTGAGATCAAGGCTCTCCAGGCGCAAAAGAAGGATGCGGCGCAAGCCGACCCTGTAAGCGTGCGCGATGCTGCGCGCGAACTTGCGACCCGAACAATTCAGGAACAGAAGCAGGGCTTCAAGGAATGGGCTGTCATGGGTGACTGGGACAACGCGTATCAGACAATGGAGCGAGGTTTTGAGATCAGACAGCTGGAGGTGTTCAAGAGCATGTTCGAGAAGGGCCTGATCTACAGGCAGTTCAAGCCCGTCTACTGGAGCCCGAGTTCGAGAACGGCGCTTGCAGAAGCCGAGTTGGAATATGACGAGGGACACAAGAGCTTGGCTGCTTTTGTGAGATATCCGGTACATATTTCTGAGGCCTTGAAGAATGGAGCGTTGAAAAACGTAGACCGTGATGTTAGCGTAGTCATCTGGACGACCACGCCCTGGACTTTGCCGGCGAACAAGGCGATTGCGGTACACAAGGACATGCAATACTGCGTAGTCAAGGATGCTGAGCACGACGGCGAACTGATCCTGGTCGCAGCTTCACGAGTAGCGGAGTACGAGAAGATTCTTGAGCGGAAGCTCGAAGTAGTGATCGCGGATGTGCGTGGCGAAGATCTCGCCGGTCAAGTTCAGTACGAAAACCCGTTCCAAAAGGCAAACGGATTACAGCCGATAATTCATGCCGACTTTGTCACCGACTCCTCGGGTACTGGACTAGTCCATCTCGCTCCTGGACATGGTATGGACGACTACAACGTCTGCATGGCGCTCAACGTTCCAGCATTTGCTCCCGTAGACGATGCTGGTGCCTTCACCAAGGACGCGTTTCCGGAGCAGCCCGAGCTCCTGGAAGGCCTACTTGTTGCTGATGTCAAGAAGTCGGGTAGCAACGCCGTGTGCAACTATCTCCAGAAGCTGGATATGCTTCGAGGCAAGCAGAATTACCGCCACAAGTATCCTATCGACTGGAGAACGAAGGAGCCCGTCATTACACGCGCAACTGAGCAATGGTTCGCCAATGTAGAAGGTATCAAGGACGCGTCGATGAAAGCGATTGACAATGTCAACTTCATGCCTGAGACTGGTAGAAGTCGTCTAGAGAGCTTCATCCAGGGACGCAGCCAATGGTGTATTTCACGACAGCGTGCTTGGGGTGTCCCTATCCCTGCCCTGTACAAGGTAGAGGGTGATACTCTGAAAGCGACCATGGACTCTGAAACTATCGACCATATCATCGAGATGATCAAAGAACGTGGTATCAATGCATGGTGGACGGATGCGCAGGACGATCCAGCTTGGAAGCCGAAGCATCTCACCGGAACATACGTACGCGGTAGAGATACCATGGACGTCTGGTTCGATAGTGGTACCAGCTGGAAACTTCTTCCACAACAAAAAGATCAGCCCGTTGCCGATGTATATCTAGAAGGCACTGACCAACATCGCGGCTGGTTCCAGTCATCGCTCCTTACCCACGTCGCTACTCAGCCCTACTCGACCGAAACTGTCAGAGCACCGTACAAGACTTTGATTACCCATGGCTTCACACTCGACTCCGACGGCCGCAAGATGAGCAAGTCTCTCGGCAACGTTATCTCACCATCTCAAATCATGTCCGGCGAACTTCTCCCACCCGTCAAGCGAAAGAAGCAAAAGGGCGTCAAGCAAGACCCAGCAGCCAAGCACACACCAACATACGATGCCATGGGCGCCGATGCTCTCCGTCTCTGGGCCGCAAGTAGCGACTACACGCGTGATGTCACAATCGGGCAGCCCGTCTTAATGTCCGTGAACCAAGCACTCCACAAATACCGCGTCACCTTCAAATGGCTGCTAGGCATCTTCTCGCTTCCCTCTTGCCCACCACCCTTCACCTCCTTCAACGAGCTCACACCCACCATCACCGAATTTAGCGAACTTACTGATCGCCTCGCCGTTCACCGACTGGTGCAGGTCAGCGCAGAAGTACACAACTACTTCGGCAAGTACGAGTTCTTCAAAGGTGTCAACGCGATCAACAAGTACATTTCCATGGATCTGAGTGCGTTCTACTTTGAAACTCTCAAAGACCGGGTGTACACTGGCGACACGAAAGACTGCGAGACACTTCAGCGCGTTTTGGGACTCATCTTTTACGAGCTGTTGCAGATGCTTGCTCCAGTCTGTCCGTTGCTTGTTGAAGAAGTTTGGGATCATGTCCCTGCGGAGCTCAAGGAGAAGAGTGCTCATCCTGCTCGTGCGGTCTGGTCGCCTCTTCCTGCCCTTGGCGAAGCTGAATCTGCCAGTCTGGAGTCTATGAGTGAGACTACTAGCACACTAGGCGCAGCCATCAAGATCGCACAAGAGCGCCTCCGTGCCGAGAAGAGGATCGGTTCAAGTCTCGAGAGCGCAGCGACGGTTTACCTACCCAAAGCAACCAACGCCGAGAACTTATACGCCGAATTCTCAAAATGTATGCAGCCTACGACTCCCACGCCAACGGATCTCGAAACCCAGCTCGCTGGCCTCTTCGTGATCAGTGAGGTCAACTTTTGGACACCGACTGTATCGTGTTTTGCGAACAACGTTTTCAGAGCGCAGGATCTGGATACGATGAAGAGGCAGTCGCAGTGGTGGGAGGAAGAAGCGCTTTCGAGTGACGCGGGAGTGTTGGGGAAGGCGAAGGTGCTGGTGCATCCGCCCAGTAGGGGGAAGTGCCCGAGGTGTTGGCGTTTTGTGAAAGGGGAAAAGGAGGAGATATGTGGGAGGTGTAAGGGTGTTGTTTCGCTGCAGGGTAGGGTGCAGATGTGAATGTAGCTGCAGCTGCTTTGTACAATATTGTAACACGTTAAGAATCGTCGAACATGTGAACATCACTGATAAATATACAAACTGAAGTTGGTGTATGTACGGGAAATCATGATGAGACTAACAACATATGCGACATGTACTAATTTATTTAGCAAAGTTATAGCGGTCAAGTACGTCTCCTGATGAACCTCCTAGAATTATTGCATTACTTCGTGGCCTCGTTCGGCGCTTGGAGGTTTCCACTTCCTGTTGTGTAGGCATTGCAACTCGGGCTTCCTTGAACTTTGGCGTGATTTGATCCCAAGAGGTGTCTATCTCCCCCTCGTACTCCTCGCTCAGACTCTCCAGGCTTGTTACATATCTTCTTGAACTTGCATGAAAAGCATTGTGGTCAGATCTCTCAAAATCCGGATCAGACTCAGGAATCGACCTCGTTGAAACTACGTTTGTCGAGCTTGTGCTAGACGATGCGCGGACACCTTGTCGTGCAGCGTTGGATGATGTGTCATCTTCTTCCAGAGCAGCCATGTAGTCCGTTTGAGGTATGGCAAACAAGGCGAGTTGTTCAAGATGTCGCGCGAGATGGGTCCTCAATTTGTTCGCATATTCGCCACATAAGGTACAAGTTCCTGAATTCACATTGGTGTGTCGCTGAAAACCGCGGCGCAGGCTTGGAACCTGTGTTCGATAAAGGGGCTCCGAATGAACTGTGCGCATGTGATTGAGGAATTCTTCGGTATCGGAAATGGATTCGTGAGACTCTGTGTTGCACGACCACTCCACGCGATGTGTTTGAGACTCATGGCGAAACCAGTCACCAAGAGATTCGAACATGTAGTCATGTAGTTCGCAATCTGGATATGTGCAGACGTAGGGCTGAAGGTCGGAGAGAACGTGTTTCCTAATGCATAGAGATAAGCCAGATGCATCAAAACTGGTACCAGGGATAACTTACTTCCATGCACGGTCAGATGTGATAAGGAGAGCTGTGGAGCAATAAGGACATATGAAATGTCCTGATGACGTCCCCCCTTTTCCTGTTGGCCGATCCGGGATTCTGATCGTGATAGCGTTCGCCGTCTGCTCCGATGCGGTGGAAGAGCCAAACTCGGAAATTGACGGAGCATACAATCCGATCGCCGGTGAAAGTGCTGCTAGGGGTTTACTGAGTTTTACAGTTGTCGCTTTTGTAATTTCCGTGTGTTGACTGGGGGCCCTTAAGCTAGGCGTTGATCCGCCAACCACACCACTTTCGATGTGTATAGGCACGGGGCTGGATTCAAATTTGGGAAACTCAGTCATCTTCACTTCTTCTCCTTGCAAGGCTTTTGTGTGATCTTGACGATACCTGATAAGTTGCCTGCGCCTCGTAATCATCTTCGCCAGTCTTGCAGCAACTATCTCGTTCAGATCAGGGAACTTGTCTCTGACATGCATGATATCATACGGCAAGTAACCCGCCGTGTCAGTGGCGTGTTTACTCTTCATACGATCGATCGGTGCCGGACGCCGAATGGGTAACTTCCAAAGACAATCGATGATGAAGTTGATGGAGTCCAGCAAACCTGGCTTCCCTGAAAGGTGAGGTTGCAAAGTTCGCATATTTGAAGTTTTGCGGGGAAGCTGTCCTTTAGGGGATTGCTCGATCTCGGAGTCGGATGAAACCTCCCATGTGGAGTCAGACCAGTCTGATTCATCCATATCAGTACACGATGGCTCGAAATTCTCAGCTAGACCATCATGAGCTGCTACACTGTTATCTCCAAGCGTACTCGAGGCTTTGCAATACTGCAGTTAGCTAATATCTGATGGTAATCCTGGTCGCACGACTATACCTCGTTTTAGCTAAGTCTCACGCTCGAGATTAGCCGTCGTTCGTTTCCAGAATAGTTGACTATATAAGCGGGATTTAAAGAGGGCGCATGTCTTACACAGCTCTGCAAATCGTGCATCAACTTCAATACCTAATAATGTTGTAAGTCTCAACGATTTGAACTGCAATGGCTGATCAATACCTGGATTTTGAAAAAAGATGCATCCCTCAACCGATGATCTAGAGATATTCTACCACTGTGTATAGCACCAACATTTCCAGCCCAAAGCTTGTATCTATCAAAAGTATCTTGTACCTCGTCCTGGTGCTTTAGGTAAGAGGATGGGTCATGACGGGATGCGATAAACGCAAGAAAGATGGAAACGCAATCATTGTGAGCTTGTGAAATGGATGCGTTCATCTTTCAGATAGATTAAATATGAAAGTCCAGGAGAGAGAGAGAGTGTGGCGATAAGAAGAAAAGGCTGAGATGACGTTCATATAGTTGCGGTTGAGACCACGTGGTTCAGCTGACGACTAGAGCTCTTTGAGCTTAGCCACGAGGCTGAAAGCCGCATATCCTCGAGATCAAACCTTCATTGCACCCTTCTCTGTGCAAACATCTTTACGAAACCACACTACCTGTCAGTCTGAGGGATCTTGTCTTTATCGGCATCTTCCACGCCAATTGCAGGTCATGTCACCCACATACATAGCCTTGTAACTTCCCAGTCTGATAGCAGGTCGTCGTCAAGTCCGCACAGTACCTCACTATGTCTGGCCTCGAGGTTGCTGGGGTGGTATTGGGATCTCTCCCATTACTAGTAGTGGCCTTGGAACACTACGTTGAAGGGGTACGTCACGCGCCTACATGAGAGGTCACAACTGACGCGATTCTAGCTCTCAATGATCAAGAGTATGCAAAAGTACGAGGAAGTATTTGAGTATCTTCACGCTTCGTTTGTAACTACCACTTGTATCTACAGAAACTCTTGCGAAGAGCTTCTGAGCCCATTGGCTCTCTCAGATGCTCGAATGAGTCAACTACTGGAGGATCACGAGGATTCGTCGTGGGATGACCCGGAGTTCAACGATGCTTTGCGCAACCGACTGGGAAACAACTACCTACCCTTCAGATCCTCCGTCAAGCAACTGAACAAGAAGATCAAACTCTTTGGTGCAAAGCTACAACTATGCGATAACTTCCAGGTATGTAAAGTGCGATGTGAGAACACTACGTTGGCTAAGCTTTTCTAGCCGCCTTGGATTACAGTCACGGGAGCGGTTGATATTATAACACGGAATAAGTTCTTCAAAGACCCTTGGCTGCGTATAAAGGGAGGGTTCAAGTCGAAACCTTACAGGCAACTACTTTCATCGATCGAAGAAGACATCAACCGCATCTCTAGCCTTACTTCGGGGTCGATCGCCCTTGAGCCATTGCGACTCCAAAGAAGAAGAAAAGCCAATGCGGAGTATCTGCTGAAATTTAGACAGCAGGCAGAGAAACTGTACGACGCTTTCAACACACGGTGGTCGTCAAGATGTACATGCCAGTTTACACATCAAGCGAATCTGCGTCTTGACATTCAAAGAGACGATGAAACAGGCAACCATTCCAAATTTAAGCTGGTATTTACCTTTGGAACGTCGCATGCTGGGTATGCGATGCCATGGAGGTCGATACCAGTAGAGATCGAGGCTGTGGACGTGATCGACACAATAAAACCCGACAATCGCTCACCACTCCCCAAAATCGTGGTCCACTCAAACGAGAAAGTGCACGACCACTGGAAGTGTCTCAAAAGAGCGCCAAATATCATAGACCTGTGTGCGACATTGCAACGATGCCCGGGTCGTGACTGCATAGGAGTCATGAGCAGTAAACTGACCAAACACCACATTCACACTCTCCATTTACCCAACGCAAGCACCAATGATCAGCGGGTCAGCTTGCAACAGATGATGGCTACGCAAGGTGCTACCTTCCAGATCAAAGAAAAATGTACACTCGCTCTTACACTCGCCTCTGCAGTCTACCATCTCTACAACACACCATGGCTAGAGGAGTCTTGGGGCTTGGATGATATCTGCATCTTGAGCCAATCAGTACTATCCGATCAACCTTACATATCTCGAGACTTCCCAGCCACAGCAACACCACCAGCACACAGTCAAAGAATGCGCATAATCAAGAACAGCATTATCTTTGCTCTCGGTGTTGCATTACTGGAGATCTCGTACGGCAAGCCACTGCAAACCTTCGTGACTAAGGAAGACCTCGACGATGCGACCGGCAATCGTACGACTTTCACCGAGTATCTCATAGCAGTTCGGTTGGCGGAGGGATTGCGTACGCGGGAGTTGACGAATTATGCGGATGCGACACAAAGGTGTATACATTGCAATTTCGAGGCTTCGGTGTTTAGTCTGGATGATGATGATTTTAGGGAGAGGTTCTACCAGGGCGTCATTATGCCGTTGAGGAAGGACTATGAGTATGTTGTTAATGCGTGAAATGAAAACCCTCATCTATCGTGAATTGAGCCATCCAGGTTACTCTGCTTGTCTGATATATGTCGCAGTACCTTTCAGCACCCAAACGTGCCCGCTGGGGTAAGAAATACAGGAGCCCGAATATCTCGGCAATCCAGTGCTCCCCACATGAACGCCGGACGAACTACGGTCCGAACAGAGAGGTCAACATAGCTGCGCCTCCCTATCTGTGACAATAGCTCCAGAATCGTTCCGAATGCAGAGAATGTCGATAGCTATGCGAAGATAGACGGTAGTTCAGGATCGAAAAAGTCTTAGTGTCTTGACGCCGGCTGCCGAACATTAGAGAGTCCGTCAGGTACCAGAATCAAGAGTTCTGAATATCAGCCCGACTCTTGGCATGGAATCTGAAGACTGTCTACTGTATGTAGGTCTGTAGGTCGTTGTTCGGTATCACGAGAATTCCTACAAAGTCTTGACCCACATGATAGGTGAGCCAAAGGACATACTCGTGGCATCACGCAGTCACCGCAGAAGCCATATGCTTAGGTAGATTCCTATATGGTGAGATTTTGTAGGAAGCTGAGAGCTCCACGATGCAGTCGTGGCGATCGCAATTCAGATAGCTTTACCTCAATATGAGCGCGGTGTAAGATGTAGACGAGATAGACGGCGCCATGGCAAAGATAGTGAACCATGTGTGTGGTACATGTAACTGACTCAGAATTATTCGATTGGATGTCGCGCCCTATTGCATGTCAGCTGGATGAGTTGGTTCTCAAATCCCAAACATAGTCGACCGTAGTCTGTGGCCTAAAGGGCCGTTGGTGGATCTCAATTGCGAACGGTCTCTGTAGTACTATGCGTGCCGTCTACTTGCAGGGTCGTGCGATGTACCAACACAGACGAACGCGCCGCTTGCAGTCATCTGCACGCCCGCAGCCTATAAAGAACCGTCCTATTTGTGGAGGTTAGCTGCCTATCAGAGTTGCGCCGGGATCGGACTGAGTCGTGCAGGCAGAGCTTGTCACTACTTGTCATGTACTGCAGGCCACTGCCGTGTGGGTGTCAACCCCGGATTCCGCTGACCAAGAATTAGATCAGCAGCCTCACGGCCTTATCATGTGTTTGTCCGGCAAGGTCAAGGGTTGGAGAGCGAATAGCCTTGTAGTGGGATGGAATGGCAGCTCCTTGCTGAATCCAGTGTATGGAGCGAGTAAGGCTGCGAGGTGGTCACGGACCAGGCTGCTTACGTGGATAGCGTGCCCGAGGCATCGGCAAGTAGCAGCAGGGCGTGACAATGAGTCGTCACTTGCAGTTTCCAGAATATTTCTGCATGGGGCCGTGATGGGGTTGCTCGGGCAGATGACGACGCTGCGTGGCAACAGCGGGGGTGTATACAGGGCATACGATGCATGCTGCAGCAATTGAGACGGGCGTGCGATGCCAGCGCACAGCGAGTAGCAGGTTGAGAGGGCTGGGACAGGCGTGCTGTATGTAATCTGTGCAGCGCACGGCGGGAACTGGGCCGCCCCCGGGGAAGCGTTTCAGAGTGAGCTTGGCTCTCTGGGTTCGCACTTCACAGCCCTGCCGGGACAAGAGGCAGAGATAGCTAGTAGGCGGGCGCGTCAACGTTGGCACCAGCATCACGTTGGGGAGGCAAATGAAAGCGCGCCCTAGGCCAAGCGCAGGTGCAGGGCTGACGTTGACGCAGCGGAGCTTTTGTATAGCATTTGGCTGTGACGGGGCGAAAGCTTCCAGAAGGCTTGGGGGCTTCGAGCCGGGCGGTTCGTGGATAGGCTGGGCCCACCAGTGCGCCTGCCTCTTTTTGTCGAGTATCCCAGATCCAATCAGCCAGACAAGGCCCGCTGCTCTCCTCCACCACACCACACTCGATTCCTATAGCCGACTTCTGCCCGTCTCGTCCACGCCCTCATCACCCTCGACGTTGTGCGCCCGATGCTGCTCAGAGTGCAGCCCATAGCAGTGCCGCTCATGCGACACACCGAGGACCGCTAGAGCCCCTGCATGCATCTACAACCCTCACCTGCCGCCCTGAAGACGCTCAAGACGCTCCCCAAACACGCTGCGAGCCATCGCCTGAGGACGCCCGCTGCGCTGCTCGAGTCTCGACACGTCCCGTTGCGCGCGCGCGCCGAGTGAGAGAGACCAAGAGGCAGCCGCGCCCAGCACCCTCCCGCCGTCGCGCTTTCCCTCCCACGTCGCTTCCCGCCTTCCTCGTCGCATCCACCCGTTGCGCTTTCCTCGTATACAATAAACACTGCACTCTAGTGTCGTGTGCACTGGCTGCCGCTCGCCGCCTCGCTGGGTTCCCTGGGGCTTCCACCGACGTCGTCGTTTCAGAGTGCATCTCAGACCAACCGGCGCACTCCCGCCGTCCCATCTCTGCGCTCCCCCACGCTTCCGGACGCTCGACTCTGTCCGCTGCTCTCCTGTGTCCGCTGCCACTGCGCTCACGATCGCCAATTGGCCCTCGGCTGCACCCCATCCACCACGCTTCCGCCTCGCATCCTCCCGTGACGCTGTCCGACCCGTTCAGACGTCTCACTGCGACCACCCGTCCTCCCCATTTTGCGACACCTCCCCAACAACCTCCCCTCTGCGCTGGAGACCAGTGCTGTCTGGTCGCCGCACATAGGCGGAGACAATGGAACATGGCGCGTGCAATGTTGTCTACATTGACCGGCGGGCCAACGACGAGCACGTGCGGAAGGAGACGCTGTCCAAGTCGCTCGTCGCGAGAACCACGACTGGCAATGTAGGACAGAGTTACTTTGCTATCGGCAAGACCTCGCCGCGCGAAGTGCACGACAACGTCGAGGCGATATTGTCCATTTCCACCGAAGGTAGTCCGTCCTCTTCCCGCGCCCACACCTTTGCTAACCCTCTTCGCAGTACACATCTGCAGCACCGGCAGGGCCTGCTTACAGAAGATCACCCAGCTTGTCGAGTCCACCAAATCCAGCATTCCTACGTTCGTCATAATAGACATCCCATACGATGAAGAGCAGCGCATGAAGCGCCTTTCTCGCGAGCCGCGCACGCCCTCGCCCACATCGTCGCGCCTCACGCGGTTAGATACGAGCGAACCCGATGACATATATGCCATGCACCTCCTCACCCACATATCCTCCGAGATCTCGTCGCGAAACTTCTCCAAACTCGTCGTACCTGTAGTCATGTTGTCGGGTCTGGGCACTGAAGAGCCGTCCTCAGCTGGTCCGCTGCCCTCGCCGGGGCTACAAGTGTCGTTTTCGCTCGGCGACACTGTTCGGTTGACACGATACCTGGATGCTGGCGCTGTCGACGTCCTGACGAGTCCAATGTCCAGAGACCGCATGCTTGGCTTAGCCGTCCATGCCTATCGGTTACAGAAGGAGTTCTCTCGAGAAGAGGCAAGCTTTCTGACTACTAAGCGCAATCGGAAGCTGTCTTGGGTTGGTGTCGACGATACAAAACCTTACGCATATCTGCGCGAGGCTATGGTGTCGAATCTCATGACCGGTATCTGTAATCCGGAGACAGTAGGCGACTCGCTTGAATCTACGTATGTATAAACGGTGACTTGGCGACCTGCCACTGACATAAGTAGGGATTTCCATCTCGACGTAGATCGCCAAATTGTCGTTGAAGCTGCCATCGGTACCTGGGCTTTCTCCGCGCACGACTACACCGATGACGAGCTTCTCTATGGCGCTTTCGTCATGCTCAAGCATGCGCTACAAATGCCTGAATTAGATAGATGGGCGATAACCGAAGGCAAGTGCGGCTTGTGCCAGAAACCTGCTACTTGCTGACTGATTCGTAGACGAGATGATCGTCTTTCTCTTGGCCAGCCGTACTGCCTACAACGAGTTCGTCAAGTACCACAACTTCCGTCACGTTGTCGACGTGCTCCAGGCTCTCTTCCACTTCCTCGTCCGGATCGGCACTCTGCCTCCCTATCCTTCGGATTCGTCCAACACGTCTACCCCGAAATCGCCAATCGCTGAGCTCCTCAAGCCCTTTGACGCGCTCACCCTTCTGATATCCGCCATTGGACATGATGTTGGTCATCCAGGAGTCAACAACGCTTTTCTAGTTGCATTGAACGCACCGCTAGCGCAACTGTACAACGATCGATCCGTTCTAGAATCATTCCACTGCGCAGCCTACTCCCAAATTTTACGCCGTTATTGGCCGAGCGCGTTTAATGATGCTGCGATGCGCAAACTCATGATCAACAATATACTTGCGACGGACATGGGCCTCCATTTCAAGTACATGAGCGATCTGGGTAACTTGCAGCAGAAGGTTGCGCATGACAAGGGAGTGGTAGACGGATGGAGTGCCAAAGTACAGGAAGAACAAAAGGACCTGACATGTGGACTGCTCATCAAATGCGCAGACATCTGCAACGTGGTATGTTCCAAGTTCTTGTATTTTTGGCGTACTGCAAGCTGACATACTTTAGGCTCGCAAATTTGACACCGCTGCCAGGTGGGCCAACATCCTGACGGACGAATTTAGCAACCAAGGACTCATGGAAGAGGAGCTGGCCATGCCATCATGTCTGTTTGGTGGCCCACCTGTCCGGGAAGACGTCATCAAACTCGGCGAATCCCAAATTGGTTTCATGAATATCTTCGCGAGGCCGCTCTTCGAAGCCGTTACAGACATCTTACCAGCGATGCGCTTCGCTGTCGACGAGATCCTGACCAATAAGGGTGTTTGGGAGAGTAAGATTGATGAAGAACGACAGAGAAAAAGGAAAAGCAAGAGTATGAATCTTGGGTTCCTAGCATCTGGTTTCACCGTCGATCCGAGCCCAAGTCCTTTGTCTGGAGGGCCTAGCAAGCCCGCTGTAAAGATACCTCTGAGTGCCATTAAGACCATCTCCCCCGAAGAAGCAGCTCGACGAGGATCGACAGGCTCCATCCGCTCCATTCAAGCTGCGACAGCTGAATCACGAAGGTCCTCTTCGATTATTGACAAAAGCTCAAGGCGATCTTCAACGACCGCTGTTCCTGGCCAAAGAGCCATGGGCTCTGCTGAGAATGCCACTTCGTCGAGACGAGGAAGTAGAGACCCTAGCCTCACTGCGATCTTGGTGACTCAAACACCAAACTCGTCCGAACAGAAAGGGCAACCTTCAGGTTCTGATGATCGGTCAAAGACTGATCGCAAGGACACTTTGACGAGGTCTTCGTCACCAAAGAAGGAGAGGGAGTCTCTTGGTGTTAGGCCAGTTACAGCTCCTTCCCAGGCCAGGCGTAGTCAAGGTGAGTAACCATCACTTCAGACCCGTCATGGCATATGAGCTAATTATGGAAAAGTTCTCGACCCTTACCCCACGCAACAGCCGTCGTCACAAAGCCACTCCCAGGTCGATCTCTCGCAGGCGACAAACGGAAACTTTGATGGCTCAAAGCTGCAGCAATGGGACACCGGCAATAAATTGAGTGCTGACAGCAACGCCACACGCTCAGATGTGTCGCGCGACTCGAGCTGGTGGCGACACGTGAGCACCAAGCGACGCCCTCGGGATGTTAGGAACAGCGACGCGGATGGACGGGCACCGCTGAGGGAACCCATACCGGACTCACTGGTGCCTCCTCCGAACAGCGATTCAACTACTACCTCGCCTACATGCTCTAGTCCCGGCAGGAAGACCACAACGGGGAAGATTATGAGCTTCTTCAAACGAAAGCCCAACAGCCATAAAGAGCCCGAGAAGCAGTTGTCCAGCTTTGGCAGCTCCTCCCAGCTGCGGACACCACAGACGAGCGATCCTGGGCGATCACTCAACAGCGACGATTGATTTCACTAATACCTTTCTACGCCTCTATTGACCTTACATTAATGACCAACGCCGCATCCGATACCACGGTATTTCCTTTAGTCTCAACATACCACTTCAAAAGCAGTCCTGGGTCTCTGTGGCACTTGCTTTTGGGTTTCCTTCGTCTCTGGCAATTCCTGGATTTGATACCTCTTGCGCATGGCATGCCATCGGAAAGCGTTTGTGTACCAATCATTTGAGGTTCACTTATTTCACCTTCGGGTAACTTTCGGCGAGTCTTCAACCGTATCTTGCTCCAGCGCGCTTGCATCTGAGATACCAGGCTCATCTCTACATTTTCTCTCTTCCTTTGTCGGCTACCTTCATCTCGGTGGGGCGCTGATGCATACTGATGGCAGCTGCTGCTTGTCGGGCTTTTTGGCCTATATAGTTAGGGATGTCTGATTCTATTGTTTCTTTTCCGCGACCAAAAGGACGCATTTGTTTACGCAGCTTTGTGGTTGTTACGAGCAGGAGACGGTGTCGGACATTGTGCAGGGTATGGGATGGTGTAACCACGACACTGTCGCATAAGAACACTAGCTGGAGAGTTGGCAGGAGAAGAGAGTATATAGCTGACTCCTCTCCGATATTCGTAGACATGGACACAGCGGCGATTGTCCTAAGCTTGGCTGCGCCGCCCAGCGAACTGATGACGAAAACCCATAATGAAATGTATATTCTCAATTCTGACCTCATTTGTTGTACGCAACCATCTTTGTGCGCATCGCCAGGCAAACGAAAGCATCGTCGTCAGCTCGTCTTATTCACAGAGCATGACCATCGGCAAACGCCGACGCCCTTATCATGGTCACGAGTTGCTTCCGTAAAAGTGGTCCTCGTAGCACATAACTACCTAATTCGGGCCAGTGCAAGCGGTGTAGTGCGGCGCTAAACCCCACTTGCCTGACAACACCTACTCCTCGACATAACGGATACCTACAAACTTCTCTTCATCCTTGAGCAACACAAACATGGACGACAAAGTCAAATACCTGCTTTCCCTTTCCGCGGTGCGAGAGCGTGCCAAAATCGTAGGAGAGGCTGCTGAAGCAGGCAAGTTGAGCCACTTTGATGTACACGAGGAGCGTTTGGGCGAAGCAGCGGATTATGTGACTTCTGTCATCAAGGTTTGTTCTCCAATTCTATCAGATTTTATGTGATGAGTATGCTGACCTGAAATCCACAAGCGCGACTTTGGTCCAGACAAATTCCACACCATTCCACCTCACGGGCGCTGGCAGCATTTTGAAGTTGGCGGAGTTCCCCGCATTGCCGACCTTCTCGATGAGTGGAAAAAGAATGGGTGCGATGAACTTGAACTTACGCGTCGGCTGATCGATCTTTTCTTCGTTTCGGTACTGTTAGATGCTGGAGCTGGGGACCATTGGCGATATGTGGAACCGGGTGCGGGTGCGGAGTATGAGAGGAGTGAGGGTATTGCAGTAGCGAGTTTGTATATGTTCAAGAGCTTGGGATTTGCTGCGAAGAAGGATGGGGGACCGATTGTTGATGGTAAGTATCCGATGTCATGCTGAGGTGGTTGAATGGGACTTGGCTGACTGAGCTGCGTATAGGAAAAGGACTGCAGGACCTAAAGACAGAGGCCCTCGCAGAGGGATTTCAAATCTCCTCCAGCAACCCTATGCTAGGCGTCGACTCCCGAGCCAACCTCCTCCGCAGTTTAGGAAAATCCCTCCTCTCCCAGCCCGCCATCTTCGGCGAACAAGGCCGGCCCGGAAACGTTGTCGGTACGTTCATCTCCCCCTAAATCACCACATCAACTGCTAACTACCCATAACAGACTACATGAGGACCACCACCTCCGACCCCTCGAACCTCGACATCCTAACCTTCTGGGACGTCCTTCAAAACCTGCTAATCCCCATCTGGCCACAAGACCGCACCGTGGTAAACGGCCAAGCCCTCGGCGACGCATGGCCCTTGTCCACACTGAAGACGCAATCCAAGGATACCAATGCTGACGAAAGCACCTTCATCCAGCCCTTCCACAAACTAACCCAATGGCTCGCATACTCCCTCACCGTCCCCTTCACACGCATCCTCTCCCTTTCCTGGAAAAACATGTCCTCCATGACCGCCCTCCCCGAATACCGCAACGGCGGTCTATTCGTCGATCTAGGCGTTTTGACACTGAAACCAGCGTCTCTGGAGCGCGGTCTCAAAGCTACGTCGGATGGAAGTGGACTTCCTTCTTTTGCTGCGGGCGACGATGCTATCGTTGAGTGGAGGGCTATGACGCTGGTGCTGGTGGATAAGTTGTATAAGTTGGTGCTGGAGAGGATGCAGGGGGTTGAGCTGAGTATGGCGCAGTTGCTGGAAGCGGGAACGTGGAAGGCGGGGAGAGAGGTGGCGAAGGAGAAGAGGCCTCAGACGAAGAGTAGTCCGATTGTCATTTTGAGTGATGGTACGGTTTTCTGAGCTGAGATTGTTAGCACAACACAGTCGTTGCTTGCTAGAACGACTGGAAGCAGTAAAAGACCGTTTTAAGGGCAATGGTCGTGCCTGATTGGAAGAAAACTATATTACTTAGAAGAACCCTCCAGACTCTTTTCTCCCTCTAACTTCTCTCATCTCAACACTCCGCCCATTGACCCTGTCCCTCCCATCTACTTCTTCATCAATCGCATCCAACACACCCAGTCTTTGCACTCCACCATCTACCTCCTCTTTGTCTTTCCCCTCCCCGCACCTCTCTTGTCCCGAAGCATTTCTATTCGTGCGCATGTCTTGCAACCCCCAATCCCTCGGCGCCATCCAACCTTGTCGTTGAGTCCCACGTCCACTACCATCTTTCCACATGCCGCCTAATACCGGCGACTCCGGTCCTGCACTATCCAACTCGCTCCTCAGATCATCACCTGGCAGTTCAGATGGCCCCCGAACATCTCCGTACATCGACTTACGAGCCTTGGTTAGCGCTGATGTGGGGAAGGATGCTGAGACCTTTGTGAGTGGCAGTTCCTGGGGTGGCGGTTGCCAGATGTGTGGGTAGGTTCGGTGTTGTTGATCGTAGTATGTGGGGGTGTCGATGGCATAGTTCGGATCGCGGGGTGCATATGCAGCGAAATTCGTGTCTTGGGAGTAGACGGAGGAAGGAGGGTGGCGACCGAGTGGGGATAAGGGGCTGTAGATGGTGTTGTCGACGCCTGGGGTGGGTGGGGTATAGGATGGTGGTGCTGATTTTTGTTTGTTAGTCAGACAGCTCATTGAGTATTGTTGGGGGGGATCAATCTGGGTGGACTTACCATCGGTCACCTCTGGCTGCCGATTATCCGCCATGACGCAGATGGGGAGGATGTCTAGACTTTGCTCTGCTCCATCTCCGTTCTCACGCGTCTTGCCTTTCTTTCTTCTGGAGTATAGGAACCAGATCACGAATCCGGCGATTATAGCGAGTGCAAAGGTGCCACCTGCTGCACCACCTGCTATAGCCGCGACGGATGGTTTATCCTCGGCTGTAGACGAGGCAGTGCTTGATGGAGATGCGGTGTTTGATGAAGATGCAGTGGTCGACGTCAATATAGTAGATATCGTGGGCATACCCGCTATTGTGACTGAAGCTTCATTGCTGTAGGTGAATGTGGGCGATGGGCTGGAGTCTGTCGTCAAGCCACCAGTCGCATGATAGGCGCTGAGCAAGTCGTCGCGATTGAGGATTGCCGGTTCAAGGTCACCATCTGGACAACCCGACTGGGCGCATGCATTCGTTTTACAACATCCCCAGAAGGTCTCTACGCTGGGTTAATATGGCGTTCAAGCAACACAAATTCTTCGCTAGTTGACTGGAGGATCTTCCATAGATTCAAAGCCTAGTGATATTTGTTGACTTACCACCAGCGGCGCAAGTGTAGAATTTACTTCCAGTTCCACACGTAGCGTCCGGAAAATCTCCATATGATGTTGGATCGAAAGCACCGGCATACAGGTTCCCTTGTGCACAAGTGATGTCGCATGGATCTCTTGCGCAACAGCCAACGAAGAAACTGGAACGGAGTTAGTTCTTGGAATCATTAGGAAAAGACATGATCACTTACGTTCCGTAGCCGCACGACCACCACGTACCTCCAGCAGGACAGGAAGGCGAAAACACCTGTCGTCCAGTAAATTCGGGTGACATGATTCGGAATAACGAAGCTGAAAGCTGCGCGTGAAAAAACCTCGAAAGCGAGTACAACCAACGAGCAACAAGTTGAATAACTTCGAACCACGTATCCACAGCAGAAAGTAAAGACCAGCAGGAAATTACACCAGAACCTGATCCGGGCCCCAAGAGCACATACATCAGACCAAACTGCCGCCCTGCGGCTCAGCCATCATTCTAGTAAGATGCTACTCTTAGCCGAACTTCTCACACGCCACATCTTTTATTGTAGTATTCAGGGCGAAGATACCCAGAAAGGATGCATATGCAGTCATGTAGTAGGGGCCGGTATTATTCGGGTGTTACCTGAGAGTAAGAAATCTGACGTTGTTCACGCGTGTTTTCTTGGCACTGCTTGCTGTGCCAGACACTTGGCCGCTACGACGGCGCGCCATGCTGACCGATGGGGTGAGGAAAGGTTTGCAGAATTGAAGATGAGCAGATCTTGGGGCTGATGTTTATAATGGAAGGTGTGATGTGGCGTGAGGGATCGCCGGGTTAAGTCGGTGGCTGCCGCGTGGTCGCATGCGCGCCGGCGAGATGCATCGTGAAACTGGACGTTTAGGTCCAGGGAAGAAGCTCGTGCGTTGTGCATTTGGACCGTACACACTACGACGTTTCGTGGTGATTGCGGGGTAGTAAAATGAAACAAAATGCTCAAATAGTTGCAGAACGCCTGGTTACAGGATACGGAGAGGAAGGCGGTCTTGGTGTTCTATATGTGGCGCGGGTGGGCTGCACGTGTGATGAGGTAAGAGTAAGCCCTGGAGCGGCCTTGTTTTGAAGAAAGGAGATGCGCAATCTCAATATACACTATAACTGTTTCTCTGCGTTTCCAACATCATTATTGTTAGATGGTATATATACATTTAGTGGGTAAGAATAGGTATGATATGCGAGTATAGATTACAACGGGACCTCCCAATTACAACAGCATAAAGCGAATGCACATCATCTTCCTTCTGATAAAGGTTTCTTCACGCGACTAAAACCTCGACGACGACGACGACGGTTCCTCGGTCATTACCCCCAGTCCTTGAGCTCGGCTCGCTCCCTTCGTCTTGTCGCTTGAGAACTCGCCTTGCACCGGCATAGGTGAAATCTGCGGTGACTCCAGCTCAGAAGGACCAGGCCTTGTCTCGGCAGGAAGTTCGGAGAATCGCCGAGTGTCTACAACATCCGATGCGCCTGCGGGAAGTTCAGAGTATCGGTTGGGCGAAGAAACCTCTGCCGGGAGCTCTTGGGGTTCGCTTGCGTGGCTGGCGTATTGAACGTATGATTGCTGACCCTTGGTTGGGTAGTTTTGTTGGTAAGGATCTTGGACAGGAGAGGTATACGTGGGAGGTGCTATCGGTGATGTTAGCATACTATGAGATGCATCAGTGAGGAGAACGTACGCGATTGGCCGTCGAAATGTGATGAGTGCCTGTTGCGGTCGTGCTTCTCGCTGTTCATCATTGGGACCATGGCTGCTGCGCCCATATCGCCTTCGGTAGACTTCCTGTTGCGTCTTTTACGGAGGATAAAGAAGGCGATTAGTCCGATAATGGCAAGAGCAACGACACCTCCAACAACTCCACCAACGATGGCACCAGTATTACTCTTCGAAGGACTTCCAGCTGATGTCTCGCTTGGGGTTGGGCTCGAGGCACCTGAGGCATAGACGCTGAACTGCTCTGGTCGATCCATGAAGGCGGGCACTAGGTCTCCCGAGGTGCATGTAGCCGGTGGGGTTGCTACGCATGGATTTGTTTTGCAGCATCCCCAGAAGGAGTCTCCTGCGTTGCATGTGTAGAAATCGCTGGCAATTCCACAAGACGCGCCTGGCCATTCGCCATAATGTGAGATGTTGTAGGCACCGGCACGGATGTTTCCTTGCTGGCAGCCGTTGACACAAGGATCAGTTGTGCAGCATCCAACAAATTTGCTTCCAGAAGAGCAGGCATACCTATAGCTCGTCAGTCGCTGCGCCGCTCTGAGCTTCAGGAATTTGTCTTACCACTTGCCTCCGGTCGGGCAGTGAAAGTCGTAGAATGATGAGTTAGACATGCTGAGTATACGTCCAATATTAATAAAGACTTTGGATATATCTGTCTGAGGGAAGTGTATTATTGTAAATCCAACGGCGCAGAAGCAAAGCGGAGATCAAGCGAGGGTAAACGCAGTCAACACTAGAAGGAAGACAGTGGATATGGCAAAGAACGGGGCAGAGCAGCTACTTCAGACATGAACAGCACACGGACTCCGACAAGCATGTATCTCCATGTCTCCAAGCACGCACAAGGAAAGCCTGAACGAGGCTTTACCTGATCGGTGGCACCACAGGAAGACATCGCGCACAACACCCACCAATCGAAGACTGCGCGTGATCTAATGCGGCACGGTAGACCCTCTGCCCTATGGTGGCTGGCGATATGTGATGTATTTCGGTGGCATGTCAGAAGCTTGTTCATACTTCGCGTTAGCAGCTGAAAGGAAGTAAGCGAAGGATTGACGAGCCTAGAGCCCGACCCGTACCCCGTGGCAGGGATCGATCTGAGCGTCAGAGCCTCAGCACAGCCTTTTCCCATCGCGGGAGGAACGGTGTGTATGACGGAAAGTACACGCGATGCTACGATGGCCTTACCATACCCGCGACAAGACATTATGAAATAAGAGCTCGCTGTCTTCCTCCTCTCAAGACACTCGATCAAATGACCGGCAGTAAACCTCAGGCCCACATAAGGTGGCGGAGCTGAGTTGCAATCGCAAATCCATCTCCTTTTTAGTGGCGTCTTTAATCGAAATGACAACCACGCCGCGCCTAGGGCATGGGGCCGTTTCTCAACAGCAGCCCGCGGCGACCCCACAAGATGTCAGCAGGAACCAACGTTGCCCCGAGAGATTTCTGAAATCTGACTGGGGTCTGAGAAGTCGTTTCCGCAGATACGGATTCGCGACATGATGCGACAAGACCTGTCTACGCCGAGCTGGGAAGACGATGCGGCTGCTCGGGTACCTCAGCCGCAAAGGGTTTGCTTGGCAGGTTCGTTCCGCTCCGGACGGCTGAGGTGAAAGTTTGTGATGGTACTCCAGATGCCGCGGGCATCAGGTAGAGACAATATTACGTAGTTGGAACATCTGAGTCCAGACTGATATCCATGTGGAGCCCTGAGCAGTGAACAGCGCACCACGCTTACCGGAACAGGCTAGGACGCCAAGCTCTGGAGCCGCAGTCGACACATCAGTCCAGGCTGGCTGTGTCATCGGAGTTGTTCAAGAGCAGGCAGTACCTTGATGGTACGGCTTGCTATGAGGAACTGAAGCGTGCCGTCGTGGCTACCTACGACCAGCCCAGTGTGTACTGTCTGTGTGGACGCGGTCGGCAGTATCAAATCAACACATTTGCTTCGGCACATGCTTTCGCACAGCGAACTAGCTGCATGTTTGGAAAGAATACTAGAGTCGGCCCTGAGTGAAGCGTTTGTGATTGCTGAAGACTAGATTTGATTGACCAGGACGGCAGGTGAAAAGGGCGTGCAGGATCATTAAAGAAGAAAGTCAGCGCAACAATTTGTCGCAAGATACTCAATGGTAAGAAATGGAGCTAAGAAGCGTTGCTTGATGTGTACCGGGAACCATGATGGAATTCGCCGTGGGGATGTCGGGTTGAAATGGACTTGTCGCGCGCACGAGCCTCCCGGTCTCTTCTGAGGCTGGCCGCTGGCGCTAGTACATCATCGTCGCGGGGAAGCATGGAAGCTATCTTGAGTGACAACACAGCAAGCATACCGCAACATGATCCGGCGAATGATATGTGGTAGACGCGAGAAACTTGTTCATTCCCGGTTCCAACAACTACCTGATACATGCGTTGCGCCAATGTGATCCCAGCCGTGATGAGACCAGCCTCCGCATATTCGGGTGGTTGGTAGACAGTTGCACGCACCCGCCATCTCGAGTAGAAAACTTATCCACCCCCACCGCCAGAATATCTTCATAATGCTACATTCCTGAACAGCTCCACTTGATTAGTGTACCGAAGAAGATATGAGTGTGGAGCCTGAATTCCAACTCAAGCAAACCAACGGTAGGTGAGCTGCACCAGCCATCCCAGACACGCATCGTGCTGACAGAGGAACCAGTCTCGCAGCCTCAACTATCTCATCAAACCTCACAGCAGAGCGTCGCTGCTTCCCTCGCTGCTTCTGAGGGCTACTACAGCGCGTCAGAGCACGCGTCTAGCTCGAGCGACGAACGCAGGCCTCTCTACCAGACACCGCCTTCCTCCCGAACACCGGCACAGAGTCATGAGCAGTTGGTGCCACACACTGACATCCCGATAACGTCTCTGCGAGGTGTTGGTGTCCCAAGACAGCAGCCTCAGCCTTCCTTCACACACGAACGCCCTCAATCACCTGCTGTGTCTACCATCGCAGAGGAGTCGAGACCAGACACGCGAGACGCGAGGCGCTCCCAACTATACAACATGGACGCCGAATCCCAGGTGACCACACCCGGCCAGGACACCACACCTTACATTCGATTCGCCATCGACCAACTCACACGAGACGAAGAGGTCCGAGGATCGAGGATATACCCAGAGGTCCGACCAGAGGACGACGAAGATGACTACCCCGTCGACAGGATCGTCCACGACAATGGCCTGGGATACATGGCGCAGGAACAACGGACACAGCAAAGGATGTCTCAACAAATACCACGGAAGCCATTGAGGAATTCGTCGACACCGCTTGCGAAAGCCCCAGCACCCATGGCCACCACACAGCCTTACGATCCACATCACCCAACCCAACAGTACAGGCCCCAGCATTCGCCCTCTCCTTCCCGGACACAGAACGACGTCTTCGTAGCACATACCCAACATGCGCCACTGCACTTCCTCCCGGCTATCCTTCGCCCATTTTGGCTAGGCCTTTACATCTTCTTGTGTCTTCTAATGCTTGCAGCGTTGATCTTTTCCGCCGTCTACTCCAACCGCAATGGCGGCTCCGGCCTATGGGACTACAACGCCTTTGGTGACAATCGCTACTTTGTTTTCGAATATCTCCCAACCATCCTAGGAATGCTCCTACTCCTATGGCTCATCCAGATCCAGACCGCTACCCAGCGTCTCGTACCCTTCATCTCCATGGCATCAGATTCTTTCCACAAGCGATCCGAGGCTGTCTTTCTCCGACTGTACCCGATGCAGTTCATATGGCCCAACTTGGAGCACTTCCGCGCCGGACACCCCGGTGTCGCTGTCTTCTACTTTGTAGCATGGCTGTTCACTTGGACGATACCCCTTCTTGCTTCCGCTTACAACGTACGATACGACGTAGGCCGCAGTGTCTGGCGATGGGTAGCTGTTCAGGGTGTTGTCTGGACCGTCGTTGTCCTTTACATCCTGCTAATTGCCACATTGATCTACCTGCTGCTCTTCCTGACCCGTAACCCGACTGGTCTGAAATGGGATCCTCGATCCCTCGCTGACATTGTATCGCTTCTCGAGCGCTCAAACAACCTCACGGATTACAACAACTCCGAGACGTTTGAGAAGGGCGACTGGCATCTTGTTAGCAACCGCGCAGACCGTATTGGATACTGGACGACTACAACGAGACCCAGCGATGTCTTCTATGGTATCGGCGAAGAGGGCGCTGGAATTCGAAGATTCTCAGTACAAGAAGGACGTATCACAGAGAAGGGCGCAGAGCGCACTAACCTTGGCCCGACTCAGGGTAACGACTTCACGATCCGCACCGACATTCGCAACCCTAACGTACGACTACGATTCCTTCCATGGTATCTGAAGGATACTTCAGTCATCGCGTGGATCGTCATTGCCGCTGTATTGCTGGTTGCTTTCTTCGTTGTCAGTTTCGTCAACAGCGCCGTCCGCCTTGGTTTCCTGCCTCAAGTCTTTGCTCGTACAGGCGCAGATGGTTTCTCCGCGTCAAACTTCCTCTACTCCTTCATCCCGGCTCTGATCGCCAACTTTTTCTTCCTAGCTTTGTTATCTCTGGATTACTCTCTCCGGGTTCTTCAGCCCTACATGGCGCTCTCCTCCAAAGGCGGAGCCACTGCTGAGGCCTCTCTTCTAGTCGACTATGCCTGCCGCCTACCTCTGTCCGCCACCTTGGCAGCACTCGAGAACAAACACTGGCAAACAGCAGTTCTGTCCTTTGTATCGTTGACATCTTGCACTTTGCCCATCCTCGCTGGAGGCTGCTTCTGGACGCAATACTACGGCAACGACGACGTCGTCCGTGTCGCAGCGGAGCTCGCAGGATACTACGCCCTCTGCTTCTTCCTAGCCCTCTACGGCGTCAGCCTCCTCGCTCTCATCCCAGGCCGTCGCCGAGCTGCCCTTCCCCACCGCAGCAACACGCTCTCCGAGATAATCAGCTGGGTTTACCAATCCCCCATCCTCGCCGACCGCGCATTCTCTCGTCCCCAAACGAAGCCCGAGCTCGTCGCAAGGCTAATGGGAACCACCTACGCGGAACGCACATGGGCCCGGTCCGCTCTCTCGCTCGTCCGTCCTTCCCGCAACAACCTGCGCAGCGAGCCAGCTGCGGAACCCGCCCTAGGCGACAAAAAGACGAGGAAGGAACGCAAGAACGAGAAGCACAACTCCTACACCGATCCTGACAAGATTCGTTACGGCTTCGGTATCCACGTCGGACGTGATGGTCTTGAGCATCTCGGCATTGACCGCGTACATCGCGGTGGAGAGAGGAGTGGTCGCGAACTTGTCATTTGGGAAGAGCAGCAGAACAGCAAGAGGAAGAGCTGGACGAGTCAGGTATAGGGTTCTTTCCCTTCTGGCAGCAACCATCGTATACGACGAACGAAACGCATTTCACGATCACACATACACACTCGCATTTCACGAGTTTCACACAACAAAATCGACTTTTAGCATCGGCGTTTTGGAGGTTTTTTCTTTTTACATGACGGATTCATGGGACTCACGGCATTTGGGCACGACGGCGCAAAGAACTTTTTTGAATAGAACAAAGTTCACGGAATGTATAGTATGGTAATAATGAGAGCGATATAGACGGGGGGTTGTAGGAAGCGGAGTCTTCCTCCTCAGAGGTCCATGATGTGTATACGGAAAGGCAAGATTTGAGCCTAGTAATCTATGAGGACGATGAATGAATAGAGAGATGAAGAATTGCACATCTCACAATACCATTTGAACGAAATCGGTCTTCAGTGAAATCGAATTTGAATTTCCTTAATGTCTCCTACCTACACAGCAACAGCCGCCTCGGTAAGTCTACTAATCTCCAACTCGCCATCGCCACCCAGATTATCCAAGCCATGGAACCCCTCTTCCACAACCCATTTCTGCTCATACTTCATAAGTACTTTACACGCGTTGCCCACAACCAGGAGGCCAGGCGGTCTGCTGCCCTCCTCCTCAACCGCCGCACAAACGTGTTCTAGTGTCGTTCTAATAACTCTCTGATCAGGACATGAAGCGCGTTCTAGAACGGCGACGGGTAGATCGGCGGGGTATGCTTTGCCGACTAGACTTTCCACTAGGGCAGAGAGACGGTGGAGAGACATGAGGAGGACGAGGGTGCGGGAGGCTACGAATTCGGGTGGATCGAGGGGCGCGCCTTTGCGGCCGGTGCCGGTGCAGATGAGGACTTGGTCGGCGATGCCACGGTGTGTGGCGGGTATGGCGGCGAAGAGGGGGGCACTCAGGGCGCTGGTGATGCCGGGGAGCACGCTGGGTATGAAGCCGTGCTCGCGGAAGAAGTCGTATTCTTCGCCGCCACGGCCGTAGATGTATGGGTCGCCTTGCTTTATTCGCACCACTACCTTACCCGCCTTGAGGCCTTCCAGACCTAGCTCCAGGAGCTCTTCTTGCGCTTTGTCGGCATTTCCGGGGAACTTTCGCGCGATGTGGACGGTTGCGCGGCGGGGTACGAGGTCGAGGATGGGTGCGGGGACGAGTTTGTCGGCGAGGATGAGGTCGGCTGAGAGAATGGCTTTGTGCGCTGCGCGGGTAAGGAGGTCAGGGTTACCTGGGCCGGAGCCTGCGAGAATGATGCGACCTGGTCGTCGTGCCGCTGTGGTGGCGGTGGGTCCGACCTTGGAGGGGCTGCTGCTGGCAAACTCGCGGAACAGCATGTCGACATCTGCATCTGTGATGCCAGCGAGACGGCGTAGAGGCCAGTACTCGCATATTTGTGACAGCCAACGCATGCGACGTCCTCGTGCAGCTTCCTTGCTCTCCTCCAATATCAGCTTATTGAAAGTCGCTGGCTGCCCGCTGTCTTCTTCTTCTGCCTCTAGATCTTGCGAAAGTTCCGCCGCATGATCTTCTTCCCATATGCGTCGCCGCAATGTGCCTAACCTCTCCACTGCATCACCCAGCCGAGGTGGGAGTGACGCCGCAATCTCCCTCCTTATCCTTGCTGAGAGTTTACATCCCTTTCCAGATGTTGTGATGCCAATCTGCAGAGGGCCATCGGAGTGTGTAGAGAGGAGGGTGAACGAGCAGAGATTCGGTGCGTCGGCGACGTTGACTGGTATACGTAGTCTCCGGCAAAGACTCGAGATGTGAGTTGCTGTGGCGAATTAGAGGGGAATCTGAGATATTGAATCAGGCCACCTACCTGATGTATGTTTTCCGCCCGCAGTAACAAATACAGCATCTACTACGCTGTCCACCTCCTCTCGTCCAAGTGTAGTCAAGTCGTCGTCTTGGAAACTCCGCTTTAACCACTTTACTTCGCCCGCCTCAATTCGCTTGACAAGACCATAGTGAAGTGTGGAGTCCTCGGGCGCGAGCAGTATCGGTTTCGCGCCGACTTCTATTGATCGTGCGCATCGTGCGCCCGCTAGTGGGTTGGACCCGACTATAAGGTGAATGTGGGATGTGGCGTCCACCGCGGTAAGTAGTGCTGGTGCCATGATGAAGTCTGGAGAGGGATACATAGTAACAACTCCAAATTCCACGAAGGAGGGGCAGTAATATGAGTAGAGGCAATCGTCGATGCGGTTACTCCTCGGCGGTGTTGATAATGCGCGTGGCACATTATTTGTTCCGATAGCGACGAGCCGATATGGCGCGATCGCACTAGGGCATTCCCGCGGAAAAAGGCGACATGTGAGTGGTGGTTCCGCCCAATGGTCGATGGTGCAATTGACTGCTGTCAAACTTGCGCGGAGTTAGTCCATTTGCTCGTCTCGACCCATGACAATGTTGAGCGCTTTTCGGCTCAACATCACACTGTGTCCCAGAGCGTTGAGCTTTGCCGATGCGGATATCAGAGCGGGGTCTTGGCTCTCCACTCGAATTTTCTCCTTGACGCGGACGTCGTGGTCCTTGTATTTGAATGTGCGGTCGGTCTCATCGTGCGCAGGTGCTCGTGCCCCGCCAAGTGCTGATGCAAAGGTGTTGCGGATGCTGAAGCCAGTGAGCGACGTGCTGTCACCGGCGTTGTGTGGCTCGAGGGTGCGAATTTCGAGAACGAGGGCGGCATCGAAGACGAACAAGTGGAAGGACACATTCGCTGGTAGTGGAGGGTCAAATGTCTGTGATTGTCAGCAGTGCCCGTGTTGGATATTCAGGTGCAGCCTACCTTGTCGTCGACGGGGTTCTCCCACCACGACGGCTGGACATCCGAGTAGCCCTTCAATGCAGCCTGCGCTTCCAGTATATGATCGTGCAGCAGTTGTAGTTGCCCGGATACGAAGTTGGCATTGGTTGCATCGCCGCCCCAGGTAGCCACGTCGATGACGTCGAGGCAGCTGTTGATGGACGTTCGAATGGAGGTGAGCTGAGGCACCACGAGCGTAGGCGCATGCGGAGCAGAGGATATGGCGAGGTCGTAGGTCAGAGAGCCTTTGGGTGGTGGGAGGCTTGCCAGACGGAGCTTGACGTTCTGCACGGTGTGAGTTGCTGCATGGGGATGGACAGTGCAAGACATACGCCTTTGGTGATGCGCGTGCCAACACGAGTAATGAGGCCCTTTAGACTCTCGGAGCGCACCGAAGTCAGCACAAGTGTAGAGCCATTCTCCGACGGCGCGAGCAGGGCAGCACACTCTTCCAGGCCAGCCTTGAGCGACTGCAGCGTCTCGCGGAGTTGCACGAGCAGCCACTCGAGCTCTCGCGCTTGTGACTCTGCCTGCTCGTGCAAGAGGCGGGCGTCATCGATGGGCGGCCATACAGCAGTCGACATGGCGGTGATGGCTTCCAAGGCACGATGCGGCAGATTGTTGGTGTCGGGCTGCCCGAGCTCGATGGCCAGGATCCACTACTCACGCAGCGCATCTCGCTACTATCCGAGGAAGGAAGCCATCCCTGCATCTCTCCGCCCATCTCTTCACGTGCCGCGAACACATCACGCACTTGCAGACACATTAAAGCCCTCCGTCACGATCCGTCGCATCCGCCAGCATGTTTGCAGACAAGCCGCGGACCCTCTGTGTGATTCGGCGTGTCGAGCAGCCTCGGGATGATGCAAAGCGCGCGCGATAGTGCCGTAACCCTGTGCGATGATGGAGCTAGTCGACGACGCCAACAAAGAGCCGATTCACAGGTGCACTACGTCACCCGCTTGGCTGTAGCTCATAAACAAGCTTGCCAGGCCTCTTTTCGTCGCGCGTTTGATACGCAGCTAGCCACGTCCAACCATCCTACTGTAATCGCACCATTGTCGTGCATCCTAATCTTAATATCCTAAACCCTTGCGACGACGACTTCTTTGGCTACCATACACCATGGCTGTAGCTAGTATGTTGCTGCTCGTCACTTCCTCTTTCGGTCGCGCATCTGCTAACACCTCTACGCAGGACCTCTTCTCGCGTTCGGCTCGCTGATCCTGGTCGCTGGAGGCCTGCTCTTCCAATTCCTGACCATCCTCACTGGCGGCGTCAACAAGGCTCCTCTCACCAAGTTTTACTTCCTCGAAGCCACCACGGGCGGTATCCCCAATGCACGCAATCCGTCGCGATGGACCTTCTTCGCCATCTGCGGCGCCGACCCGGACTCTGGCAACAATGCCAACTGCGGCTCACCTGTCCCAGCGCTGCCATTCGACCCTCCTAGGAACTTTGGCACTCAGGAAAACATCCCCGAGCAGTTCATCGGTACCCACATGTACTACTACCTGTCTCGCTTCATGTTTGCTTTCTACCTGATTGCTCTCTTCTTCGCTGCCATCGCTCTCATCTCCGGTCTCCTTGCGCTCTGCAGCCGTCTTGGAGGATACCTCTCTTCCCTGATGACCTTTGTCGCCCTTTTCTTCCAGACGCTCGCCGCAGCTCTCATGACGTAAGCCTACCCATATGTATAACTCAAGTACATCAACTAACATCCATCAGCGCATGGGTAGTCAAGGGCCGCGATGCCTTCCGTTCCGCCGGTTTCGAAGCACGCATCGGCAGATACCTCATGGGTTTCACCTGGGCCGCCGTCGCCTGCTACTTCCTCGCTACGGTTATGTTCTGCCTCGGAGGCCGTCTCGGCGGCGACCGCTCTTCCAGCATGCGCCGAAGCCGCTCTACCAAGTCGAACCGCAGCCGGGGTAGCTTCTTGGACACCGAGTCCCAGCGCAAGCCCAGGGATTACTCCCCATAGTCTGGCGTTGGACTAGTGAGAATTGCATGAGGTCCGAGAAGGGCCACATGGAAGAAACCTGATCTTTTACGCGACGATATCCACGATTTGATTTTGTAAAGCACGAACATAATACCTTGCTATAGCGCGCGAATGACTTAATGCTAGTAATGTACATATGCACATATAGCAAACACACTTTTTACTAAAAGCTACATACATTCAAATTGCCCATGCCTTGCAATTCCTTGATATAGACGCAAGTATTCATACACTACGCTGGCAGAAACTGAACCCATCCATATGCCCGCAGAAGTCATCAACCCTCATCCCCCTCCCACCAAGTCTCAAACATGCCCCCCAAGTCAAACACCTCCTCACGTCCACGTCCCCGTCCTCCAACGCCCTTCTCAACCACAGTCCATAAATTAAATGGTACTAACTTATCCTCACTATCCATCACATCCTCGTCCTCCTCATCCTCATCCTCATCCCCCCCACTAACACCCACATACGGCGTAACCCCCCTACAACTAGCCACACACTCATCCATCAAATTCCACTCACCGGCCGGAACCGCAAGTTCCAATTGGGGGTCGCCGAGCCCCTCGTAGCGCATGATCGGAGGCGCGCCATTGGATAACGTGTATGTTGTTTCACAGCCCGTGAAGCGCGAGATGTACGTATGGGGCTCGCTACGCTTGGAAGGAAGGACGACGGTGTGTGCTTCGTAGGCTGCGAGGGTGGCGTTGTACTGGGCAGGGGTAAGTTTTTGTTTGGTGTAGAAGGAGGAGGCGAGGAGGCGCGAGCGTGCGGTGTGGCCTTCTATTAGGGCGATGGCGGGGTGGGGGATGTAGCGTGTTGTTATCTTCTCTTCTTCTCCTTCTGCGTCCCCATTTCCATTCCCGTTATCTTGTGAAGTTGGAGTCGAAGCAGCAGCAGACCACGGCGCCGCAACACCCACTCCTCCCTCCCCCAAAAACTGATTCCAAGGCTTCACACCACTAACCCAAGGACCCGTGTCGTACTCCCCAACGGGACACATAGCCTCACCCCTCGGATCATAGATAACCTGGTCCCCTGAATCTGACGCTTGTCTCCGGCCCCAGATCGTGACTTCGAACAGGGTGATGGCGTCTCGGACTGCTTTTTCAAACGCGCGGGCGCGCTCTACGTGAGGGAGTGCAGCGCTATGCTGGATGGTTTCTTCAAGTATGAGTTCGTAAGGGAGAACGTGCGCGCTTTCTTGCCAAATGTCGAGTAGGTAGAACCAGATGGATTGCATGAGGGGGGTGTCGATGGGGTGGAAGTCGGCGAAGTAGTCGAGGAGGGTGGCGGCGCAGGTCCAGTATTTGGTTGTGAAGGTGGTTTCGCAGGTGGCGCAGGGCCAGGTGTATTGGTTGCGGTGGTGCAGGCATGGTAAATAGGTGAGAAGGGATTTAATTTGCTTGTAGGCGGTGGGGAAGCATATGTCGTTGCGGCCGAATGTGTAGCGTGTGGCTATTGGAGGTGTAGTGGAGTGGTCTGTTGTCAGAACGATGGGTGGCGGCGGCATTGCGATGGGCTTTAAAGAGCGAGAAGCCATCGCGCTGACAGTTAGTTCTATGAGGTCTGAAATCAGTCAGTAGTAAGAGTATTGTTTGTGGAGGACGAGTAGTAATCGAGGCTGTAAGAGTAGTGCCAAGACTGCCGCCTTGCATAATATTATTAACGTGGGCAGCTCACAATAAGAGCTGTAATAGAAGTGAAGGAGATCCATCGAGCCGAAAGACCGTACCTGGTAGCTCCCACTACGCTTACCACTTCGACATGCGACTAAGTGTACTCATCCTCCCATGTTGCATGTTGCTCAACAGCGCTTCCTCTAGGGCCGACTGACTGATACCTGCATCTGTCCGATGTGAGTAAATCATTCTAAAGGTGAATAATCCCACGACTCACCATCAATGTCGCTGAAGCTGCTGCCCATACTCGGCGTGCCCTCACTACCTTCCTTCCTGGATCGCAGCCCTCCACGTCGTGGGCTGCCGAGTCGGCCTAGCGCGGCGCGGTGGTCCGAGGCTGGGCTCATAGGGCTCTTTGCGGCTGAAGGAGGTCCGCCGGAGCTAGTCATTGACGATGCTGTCTCGGTGGTCGCTATCGACTGCACGTCCATAGACGCTTGTCTAACAGGCGGAGCATTCCTTGCGCGATTGGGTTGCAGAACCTTCTGCTCGGGCCTGCTACTGGTACGAAAACGTGTGTCCTGCGCGTACTTGCTATTGCTGGGTTGCGTCCTGGCCGAAGTCGCAAAAGGTAGACTTGTCTCATGTGAGCCTGAATCATCAACTTCTTGGGTTCCGTCTCCCTCCTCGAACGTCGAAAGCCCTCGCGGTTTCTTCTGCTGAAAACGCGGTGGACGCTTGAAGAGCTGGCTTCGATGCGCTGGATGATCAGTATCCGATAGCGATGATGAGCTCGAGGACGACGAATCGGGAATGTCTGGAGAGCCTGCTTCGTTATCTCGATAACTTGGTGGTGAGATTGGTGCATTTGCTCGGTCGTCGGACCTTCTGCTTGTCAAGTGAGGTCGTTGAGTCGAGCGTGTAGACAACGTTCGAGCTGGCGCCTGAGTAATGGCCCGGGATTGAGTAATCGTGGTGGTAGACGGTGTCCTTGAGAGTGAAGGTTCTGAACCATGTAAGAAGATGTACATACTACGGACCTCAATATTCTTGTCAGAAGACTTACCAGGTATCACTACCTCTGCGCCACGCAGACTCGGACTATCCCTCGAGCGTCCTGCCAACGCAGATGTAGTCCTCCCAGCTACGTGTTGTCAGTATAATCAAATGATAGTGGTGATTTACATACCTCCAGATCCGGCACTGCCACCCCTTCGCATAGCAACACCACCAACAGCAGTCATCGTGCTACCGCCAGTCGGCGAAGATGATGGAGCAGCATTAGAGATGCTGACCTTCTTCATCTGATTGCGAACGTGGTCGAGATGTCTCTCGTACAGCCATGCGGCTTGTTGAAGAAGAAAAGTTGGTGGAACTTGGAACTTGTCGGCTCTGTCACATGGTCAGCAAGGCTGATGCATTACACGGCATGCATGTACATACAACTCGACCCCTACGATACATTAGTACTCGTTTGCGATTTTACAAGGAAAGGGTATCTAAGTACTCACAGTTCAAATCACTGGTCTTCGAGGACTTGGAAATGACCTTCCATAGTTGGCGGTCTCTTTCAGCATCCCATTGTGCCTATGTCGCGGTCAGATGAGCGCCAAAGACGCGGACAGACGCCACTTTACCTGCGGAGGATCTTCAAAGTCACCCCGGATGAACGGGAGACGTATCAGAGCTGTGAACTGAACCGACGACATTAGAGATGATCTGGTCTAGCTGCAAGGACGTAGAGTGATGAAGGGGTGGTTGGGTGAGGTGTGGTGATGAGGCTAAGCGATCGAATGAAGTAAGGCGTGAATCGATCTACGCCCGGGCTTGTGACCGATTAGGCCGGAGCAGCAGTCACGTAACAATGGAAGTAGATGACTACTCCAAACAATCTTGAATTCGTTTACTTACGATTGCGATGATTTTGGCTCAATCTTACACTGCCAATCGTAAAATAATACCTTGTGCTCCAAGGCAACCATCGCAACCTAAATCATGCACCGCCACACCTTCCTCGAGAAAGCCACAGCGGCCCCGCTGCGACATAAAATACTCGACGCGGGATCGTGCATAAATCCCCACCAAACAGTCACTTCCCAAACTCAACACTAAGAAATCAACTCACTGGCAAGATGTCGACTCGAGCAGTAACCACCATCGACATCCAAGGCAAACTGCCCAAGATTGCCTCTGGAAAAGTGCGCGATCTGTACGCGATTGACGATGACACACTACTATTCGTTGCGAGCGACCGTATATCAGCGTATGACGTGATCATGGAGAATGTCAGTTCAACTTCGCCAAAGTTCTAAGATACTTGAAATGGAACCAAGAGCCTCAGTCTAACAACCCCATAGGGCATCCCCGGAAAAGGCGCCCTCCTAACCGCCATGTCAATATACTGGTTCAACTACCTGCCCACCAAAGTCCCCGGCCTAAAAACCCATTTCCTCTCTTCAGAACTCCCTTCCGCCATCCAGGACCAAACCTCGCTCAAGGACCGCAGCATGCAAGTCCGGCGTCTGCGCATCCTCCCCATCGAGTCCATAGTCCGCGGCTACATCACCGGATCAGGCTGGTCCGAATACACCAAATCAGGAACTGTCAACGGAATCAAACTCCCCACCGGACTTATCGAAGGCCAGAAGCTACCGGAACCACTCTGGACACCGAGCACCAAAGCGGAAGTAGGCGGCAAGGACGAGAATATCAGCCCTGAGAAAGCGCGAAGCATGATTGGTGATGCCAAGATTGCGCAGCGCGTTGAGGAACTGTCACTTGCTATCTACAGCGCTGCTGCGGATCGCGCAGAGGAAGTCGGTATTATCCTCGCGGACACGAAGTTTGAGTTTGGCGTTGATGAGATGGGCGAGGTGGTGCTTGTTGATGAGGTACTGACGCCGGATAGCTCGCGCTTCTGGCCTAAGGAGTCATGGGAGAAGAATCTGGGAAAGGCGCAGCCGAGCTATGATAAGCAGTTTTTGAGGGATTGGCTGACGGGTGAGGGTTTGAAGGGGAAGGAGGGGGTTAAGGTCCCGGAGGACATTGTGGCGAAGACGGCGGCGAAGTATAGGGAAGCTTGTGAGAAGCTTACGGGAAAGAGTGCTTGAGGGGTGGTTGTAGCTGCAGTCAGACTCGCGTGGAAGTAGTCGAGATGTGAACAGATGGCGCGTTGATGTCACGTCTGTGCCAGTCATATATATCATAGCAGCAATGGAAGATATTTGCAGATCAGAGCACCTGAGCTGTAGTGATTTGTGTATCTAACAGAGCCTTGCACATATGTTTACTAGTCTCTCCGACCCTGTACAAGCCCCTCCCGCTCCTCCTCATCCTCATCGTCAATATGCTTCCCTGGATGCCTGTACAGCACGTAATGCTGTAACATGAAAATGATGTCAAACACAATAGTAATGTTGCCCAGTCCAAATTTGACTGGATTACCAGTGACACCACTCCAATCATTCTCCAACGCAGAATCAATGCACAACTGTGCAAGCGAAAGCCAGCCACCCGCAAAGTCCAAAAGCATGGGGTATATACTCCAGCCTAATGTCGACTTGCGCTTGTAATTGACCCAGGCCTGGGGTATATACTTGAGAAAGACAGTAAGGAGTTTGACGTAGCCGAGCGTGTAGATCTACTTCATATTAGTATAGTCCCGTAAGGTTGAAAGACGTAGGACTGGAACTCACGACATCGATCCACGCCCAGCCCTCTGCATCATATCCCCGTTCACCTCCATTAATCTTAACCAAAACCACCACAACCCCAATAGCAAGCACACACCCCCACCAAACCCCCAAAATAACCCGACTAACCTTCTGCCTCTTGCCAATCTCAAAGCCCCAAATCCTCTCAAAAAACTGACTGTATATAATCACACACATGACCGCGCCATGTGCCGCGAACAAGAAATCGTTGAACCGCACCGTCGTCTTCGGCGCGTCAGGATGGCGAGCCGCATATTGCGATTTGATCGTTGGCGAGTAGAGGAAGCAGGCTGTGGAGATGGTGTAGCAGGTAAAGCCCAGGACGTTGAGGGTGGGGAAGTCGATGGCGAGACCGAGCGTGGATTTGCGCAGGTAGTTCGATATGGGTTGGGGGTAGAAGGATAGGGACCTGTGTTGTGGGGTTGCGTTAGTTTGGGGTGAGGGGAGGAGGGCATGCTGGGTGGTAGGTGGGTGGTACTGACCACGACAGGAAGTAGGCCCAGCCCAGTACGCGCGATATTGCTCGCGCAAAGGCTTCGAGCTCGGGGGTCATCGTCATGATGTCGGAAGGCGAGGTGTGCACATGTGCGATAAGGATTCTGGCTTGCTCACTATGGAGCGATGAGACAGCCGGGGACGCAGTAAGTGGGAAACGAAAGAATGTGTGCTATGATAGACAGCCAGAAAATAGAAACATGTTGCTGAGACAAGTACTCATGGTGAGCGCCTGATGCTGCGGCGTGTACTGCACATGTGCGATTGCGACAGAGGAGATGCGCGCATGCCCGCGGGATGGATGACAGGGATGTCGGAATGGCTGCTTTCAACGCCGAAGTGCTCATTCGCCGTCGGGTTCATCTCAACCATGCCGACTGTGCATCGTGCCGGCTTTCAATTCAGCCGTATTATCGGAGTTATGGACATTTTGTATTACAAGGACTTCGGCATAGTTAGTGATCAAGTGCTGTAATATCCCAACTCTACAGACTTATTAACCCTCAAGGTATAACTTCAGTCCCTCTGCCTGTGCCTCGAAGGATTCCTGCAGACTCTCTCCAAGTGTCTCCTTCAATACTCCAGCCAACAACCCATTGAACACCTCTATCGACTCATACAAGACGATTCCATTGCCGATATCGCTAAGCGCCTGCCACCGTGTTGATGTGACAGCGATTTCCGCCAAGTAATCCCACGCCAATCTTCCCAACTCCGGCTGCACATGAGTTATGCGCTCAGCGGACAACTGCGTGTGCAAGAGATTATCGGGCGTGTCTTTGTTCACGGGCAACGGAAGCGCAGGGATCTGCACGCGGAAGAAGAGGTAGTTGCCCTCGACTGGTCGCTGCTCAGGTAGGGTGATGTTGCCCTTGGCTGAAGTTGTGACGGCATAACGCACAAACGGGTTCCAGGCTGCGTAGTTGGGGAAGTCGGTGAGTACGTCCCAGGCGGCCGAGACGGTGGATTTGATTTCTATGCGTGCGGTTGCGTTGAAAACGCCGGGTGCTGTGGCTGGGAGGTTCGTGTATTCGGACTGGGCGAGAGCCGCAGGGAGGAGCATCAAGGAGACGAGGCTGAGGAACTTTGACGCGAACATGGTGGATGGAGTGTAGGGTTTTCAGCCTGGGAATTGCATACTTTTGTACCGCAGCCTACCAGAGGCTTCTTGCTGCATTAGCCACATCGCTTAGGAGGCGATGCGAGCGTTATTTGGGATGGCCGTCGCTTACCCTAGAAATGGTAGGTCTTCATAAGCTTTGGGGCAAATCTCCTCTGGGCGGATTACTGGGCTTGAAAACCAATATCTCTAATGCCTGTCCTTGTGGATGGGACGCATGCCGAGCGAGTATGCCTATGTACTGGAGGCCCGGGACTTGTAGATCGTTGACATGAAGCTCACCGCTGGACACTGGCTATCATGGCAGTGAGGTTGGAGGTGCCAGCACGTGCAAGGCGCGGGACGTCTCGCGGCATGTGGGCCATGATATGCATGCAGAGGACGTCACTCCAGTCTCTCGGAATGCTTCGCGGAAACGCCGCATGTGGCTGCCCAACAACCTGCTCAGGCATCTACCGTGCTCGCCGCAGTCACTTGACATCACTAGCAGCGCGCCATCTGCGAATGACTAGAGTCAGCCAAAGAGGGGCTAGATAGCAGCGCAAAGGGCGGTGCCGGCGGCCGTGGTGTTGTGGGCGAATGGAAGGGAGAGGGCGCAACATGCACCTGCATAAGCTATGAGCTTGCCCCTCAGTACCGCGACCTGGCCAGCGACACAACTAACTGCACTTACGACGCCCTGCATACAAACCTCAACACTTGGAAGCTCAGATAAAGCTCCAAGTTGACTCACCTCTGCGTGCCTATCCAGACTTCTCTGCATACGCGCTGAGGGGCCCCCATATCCTAGCGTGCCGCGTGAAGCTCCAGCCCCGCGGTTCAAACGACAGCCACCACGAACCTCCCGACGATACCGAGCGACGACCAGATAGGCCCCGATAACGCGCCGAGTCAGGAACAAGGCACCAGTGTTGTTGTGTATAAGTGTCTTGCTGTGCAAGCACGCGCCCGCCACGTTCACGAGTCCTGGTCACGGAGGCGCATGACGCAACGCCCGTCTAGCATTCATCCCAAGTCACTCGCCGCCGTTCTCATCCGTCGCTACCCCCACAACCTCTCTCACGCCCACGACACATAGCACCTCCTCACGACTGAGCTAGCGCTCCAACAAACCCCTCTACACGCTCTTCCGCAGGTTATATGAGCTCATCGCCCGACAACGCCGCCGAGCATACGACGCCCGTCTCCAACCTCACCTACTTGCATAAGCAGCAGCGCAAGGGCACAAAGGTACAGGATACACCACAAGCTCGTGGCCGCAACACGTCGAGAAATGAGTTGGGAAGAAGAAATAAAGCGGCCGGCAAGGTTACGCGCATATACCCTAGAGAGATGTACGTGAAGCAGCACTGCCCCTTCTTAGATGGAAGGGGCGACGGCGACTCTTGTTTGTCCACAAACACGACTGACTGTCACAGAACCAAGTCACCTTCGTCAGCAAAGCGTCTGTCATCCACGTCTCCGCCTACAAACTACCATGCCACTACGTCTCCATTACTATCGGCGATCGGTGCCACTCGAAACACGGCCGCACAATACACCAACGAGTGGGCCAAGTCAGTCCCCTTCTTTCCAAACTCGGGCTCACCGGGTAATGGTGGCATCGCTATAGCCAGCTCTCCGCCTACCTTTCATAACTCGCCTGGTGCACGAGACGGACTGTACGCACAACAGGCCATGTCAAACTCACCTCCAGGTGCACGACCCTTGAGCCACCCCAACCAATACACGAACTTTGGTGGACGCGTACAAAACTCGCCCGGCAGGGATCGTAGAGCATCTGTGTACTCTCAGCAAGGTGTTCGTCCACCCTCGCAACAATTCATGCCGAACCCGCCCCTGCCGCATCAACCTCAAGCACACTACTATGGCTTGCCAAACATCGACTTTGGCCTCAACAACGGCCAGACCGATGGCATCCAGCCAGGAGAGGGAGGCTACTTCTGTGGCTTCGACACTTTGTCCATGGCGGGAGACGAGGCGGCTCGGTCTACAGAGAACGTGCTGCTTGTTGGGTCACAAGGTGGGCTCGACGTCTTCCGCGTTGAAAAGAGCAAGATGGATATTGTAGGTAGACTAGAAGGCCTTCGGGGCGCTGTTATAGGCGCCAAGATCTTGCCTTGGACCTCGCGGCGCGATCCCTTGGCTGCTTCCCGTCCACTGATTGCGCTCATCCTCCACGGTCCGGTCGTCAAAGACAGCAGAAGCTCCAGTGGAAGCGGCGCATCCTCCGTGGCTGACGATTCGGCCTCTGAGTCACCCAGCAGGCCGTCTTCACGGCATGGCAATCGAGAGGGGCAGATCAGTGGCTACCAAACAACGGTCGAAATTTACTCACTCAAGGAGAAGCGGAGAATGGCTGTCCTGTATCGAACTCCCCTGATACCTCTCACGAGTCCTATCGATAGCCCCATGTTTCAACCTCCCCTTCCAATAGGTGACTTCGTTATTGATGCGAAGGGGAAGTTTGTCGTCGTCGCGTCTGGTGCAAGTGGGGAAGTCTTTGTATTCGCCCCTTACCAAGAAGGTCATTCCGAGTACTCTGAGCGATTCCGCTGCATCGGTAAACTCTGGACTTCTGTTCAAAACCGAGAACGGGCCGTGCATTCAAGCGGTTCCAGTGCCGTTGACGGCAGCCATGACGAGATTCCTCCCGAGAAGTATGGCTTGCCTGTGTTTTCCCTCTCAGATCGTTGGCTTGCCGTTACTCCACCAGCTTCAAGTGCGCTCTATCCTGTCAATGGTGTAGCTCTGACTTCACCTTACTACGAGCGCGCCCCAGGACTTGCGCACCACAGTGTACCGCCTCAGCCGTCGCCCAACTGCGCTGTCGATGTACCCAACGAAGCAGGCTTGATCGATAGACTTACCAGGGAGGGAACGCAGGTTGCAATTAAGGGCGCACGCTGGGCCACCGAGAAGGGAATGCAGGCTTTCAAGAGCTACATGAACAAAGGCCAGCAAGGAGCCAACGTGCCGTATGGTCAAGATCCCATGCAGCATTACTTCCCACCGACTCATGGCCACAATCAGACCCAGCCAAGACAAGAAGCATCTGTAATCTCCGTCTACGACTTGCAAAGACTGGTAGACGCAGAAGAAACGAGGAACAAGAACGCACTTCACCCAGTCGCCACTATACCCGCGGCTCTCGGCTGCAGCTTCATGTCGTTCGCTCCCAGCGGTCTTATGCTTATGACCGTCAGCAAGAAGGGCGACTACCAAGATGTCTGGGATCTGAAGCGCATGAACTTCCGTCGAGCTCGCAAGACGCTGAGGGAACAACCAACAGGACCTTATGTACGACAAGTCGCTCGCTTCACCAGAATGACTGTTGCGAATGTTATCGATGTCATTTGGTCTGCCCCTCGAGTCGACAAACTGGCAGTCATTACCGACAAGGGGACGGTACACATGTTCCCGATGCCTGCGTCGGCCTTTCAATGGCCGCCAGCTCGGCGAATCCGTCCCGCTGCACCCTCAGCTCCGCCAAAGGATGTTGCATCGCCCACAGGCCCTGCTAGTGTGATGAACTCAGCAATGCAGGCTGTCAATAGCGCTAAGCCTTGGTTCGATGCTGTTCGCGCAAAGAACAGCACCGGCGGAACCCGATTCAGTCTCAGTGGCTTGGGTGTAACCCCTGCCGCTGGCGCAAAGTCCGGAAAAGCCGTCGCTGCCAATGTAGGCAAATCCATCAACAACATCCGACATGCGGGCGACAACAAGATGACACTTCCGTCGTCACCCAGTGGTATCAAGCCTTATAGCGTACGTTGGCTTTCCGGTAGAGGCCGTGGCTCGATCGCACTAGCATCCGGCGGTGTACTTCAGATCTGGCGGGTGCAGATGAGAGCTGCGACAGGCAAGGGCAAATCATCACATACTGCTTCTATAACCAAGAAGAAGACTGTGGAGTTCGGACTTGCTCCCATCCCGGATACCGCACTGCCGCCCTCCATTACGGAGCAACTGTTCCCGCAACCCGGTGACCCAGAGCCAACACTTGACTACTATGGTGACTGGCTCCCTCGCGCCTTGCCTTCTCGAAAGCCTACGGTGCCATCCCTCGCACCACTCAGCTTCTCCGAGATTGAGACGAACCCTCCTTACCAGCCCTTCTACACTGACAAACGTGTCACACGTTTTGTCTACTCCAGACAAGCACCCGAGGTTCAAGAGAGTAGCAGCGAATACCAGCCTACGTTACCGGCACTCATCTCCGATCTCCACCACGAAGATAGCTCGTCATGGCTCTTTGGTGAGAGCGTCGAGGCGACACGTATCTCCACGCCAATCACTCAGGCGTATGACTCTGGAGAGGATGATATCACAGGCGTTGCCGCCAGGATCGAGAACAAGCTTGTTCTTCGAGACGGGGAAGAGGAGGTAGAGCAGGTCGTCGTTACTACGCGGCGTCGGCGCGTGAAGAAGGAAGGTATCGACGGCGACGAGGAGGGTTTCTTCGAGGACGATTGCGAGGTATTGGATTTTGCGGAGGACAGGGTGTGAGCGTGTACATTCGCTTTGCCTCATTTCCATTCAACATGTCCTTTCACACACCGACCCTACATTCGCTACCACATTTGCATAAGATCGGGCGTTGGCATCTTGGGTAAGGCGCAGCAATAGGCGCCGGCGTTTCTTCTTTTTGGTTCAGGAGGAACTCGCATCATTAGGATACCACGCAGCCGACAGCGGCCCTCGGCTTGCAACATCACAACACAATTTAGATAGTCAATAGATGGATTAGGAATACCAACTACGCTTTATTTCATGCAACGGGCAAGGCTAAGTGATGTGCTTACAGTCTAGCCTCGCTTCGTATACAAAGATCCGCTGATGTTGTCTTTACTCCATGATTGTGTGTTTAACTCCGTTATCCCCGTTCGCCGACTAACTCCACCGTGTTGGACGATCGGGAGCGGATGGTCGGGGGCAAATACTAGGTCTTCACCGGGGTATCTGGGGTGCTCATTGGGTGGATATGTGTTTGATGTACGTGGCTTTTGCACTGCGTGAATGTGTCTGCACTGTCAGGTCAAGGGGAATGCATGCTTAGAGCACATCAGCCGCACGTTACGTTGGACTGTGCAAATAGTCTATTGCATTTTCGGATACGGAACCGTACGTAATGAGTGGCGGTCGGGCCAGAATTCGATCCCAAGAAGGAAGCTACCCGTGCTGGTAAAGTTGAAGGTTGGGCGTGAAGACGGAAGGCAGTAGTTGGAAGCCTAGGACAGAAAATATAAAGAGAAGGCCACAGCTGCTAACAAAACAGCATTAAGCTCACATCAGCACGAAGAAAAACAACAGTTCCGCTTGGAATTCTTGTAGGCCAACGAAGAAACATCAAAATGTCTTCCACGGACCAAACCATCGTTCTCATCACCGGCGGTACGCAAACACCTCTCTACTTCCTACTCCATATCTTCTTCCCACCTCCCTCCCTCTTCTCGTCACTCCCCATATCCTTCTTTCAGACCCCGACTAACATGTCAACCCAGCCAACGGTGGTATTGGCCTCTCCCTCGCTACCCAACTCCTCGACGACGCCAAATACCACATCGTCCTTGGCAGCCGCTCCGCAGAAAAGGGTGAAGCCGCCGTTCAGCAACTTCAGGAGAAAGGATTGCCTGGAAAGGTGGAGTTGTTGCAGATTGATGTGAGTGACGAGGCTAGTATCGAGAAGGCGAAGAATGTGGTGGAGGGGAGGTATGGTCGGTACATTTATTCCCCCCCTTTCCTTTCCCCTTATCACCTTGTCCACCCCCCCCCCCCCCCCTCCCCCCCGTTCCTCTTCCCTCACTTTGCCCTGCTAACGACATCTCCACCAGCATCGACGCCCTCGTAAACAACGCGGCCATAACCGGCGAAGAACCCGCCTCCTCCTCGCTCTCCACACGCATGACATCCGCGTTCCTAACCAACACCACCGGTCCCGCTGTCATCGTAGAAACCTTCGCTCCTCTTCTCGCGAAAAGCGCGCAGATGGGGAAGACGCCCCGGATTATTAATGTGACGAGTGGAGCCGGGAGTATTGGGTTGAGGAGCGATAGGGGAAATCCGCATCAGGCTATGAAAGTCGTATGTTCTTTTCCTCCACTTCCTTTCTCTGATTGTGGGCTGGTGTCAGTGTGACGACTTTGCTGATATGAGACAGTTACCATACCGCACTTCCAAAGCGGCGCTGAATATGCTTACTGCGTGTCAGGACTACGAATACGGACCTAAGGGGTGGAAGGTGTTTTGCTTCTGCCCGGGGTTCACGGAGAGTAACTTGGGGCCTAGGGTACGTTTGCATCGTTTTCTGGCTTCCCTCGCTGATGTGGGTTGATGTTTGCTAATAATTGCGATAGAACAAAGCGGAGCATGGGGCCAAGCCTACTAGTGAGGGTGCGAGGCCAATGGTTGCTATCTTGGAGGGGAAGAGGGATGGGGAGTGTGGGGGGTTCTTGAAGGCTGAGGGGGGTTGGCCTTGGTAGATGGGTGGAGGTTGATGAGACCGTGGCCTTGGGATGGGGAGTCTGCACGTAGTTGGGAAGATAGTGAGTTGTTGTGAGAAAGTGAAAGGGGTATTTGCATTTGCTCATCCATATCTTTGTTTCACCACATATCCTTACACATATCGCCTTTTGCCTTCATCCTTCCTGCCCATCTCATTGCCTCAAGAACATCTTGTAGCTTGAGCTATCTGTGACCTCCTTGTACGGGTATCCGATATCCTTCAAGAAGCTGGCTAACTTGCTGCTGTCCTCCTCCTTGCACTGTATACCAGCCAGGATCTTTGCAACGTCGCCGCCATAGTTTCTGTAGTGGAACAGACTGATGTTCATTCCCGGTTGCAATGTGTTGAGGAACTTGTACAAGGCGCCACCTCGCTCAGGGAATTCGAACATGTACATATGTTCATCGGCGGCGTTGCTGCGTCCTCCGACCAAGTAGCGGATATGTGACTTTACAAGCTCGTCTTGGGAAAGGTCTTCAGCGGTCATGCCTTCAGCGGCGAGACGTTCAATGAGGTCCGGTAAGTCATGAGCTCGTGTTGCAGCCTTTAGTTCGACACCGACAAGGATTTGGGCTGACTCGGGGCCACAGTAGCGGTAGCTAAACTCTGTTACCGCCATAGGATGAATGACGGAGACGAGCTTAGCAAATGAACCAGGTTGTTCGGGGATAGTAACAGAGAGGATTGCTTCCTTGTTTTCACCAATGGCGGCGCGCTCGGCGACGAAGCGGAGACGGTCGAAGTTCATGTTCGCGCCGCTGGCAATAGCGACCAGACCACGATTGCGATCCGGTGATGGGTTGCGGCTCACCCACTTCTTCAGACCTGCAAGGGCAAGCGCGCCTGCGGGCTCGACAATGGAACGGGTATCTTCGAACATGTCCTTGATGGCTGCACAGGTCTCATCGGTTGTAACCTGGACCACCTCATCGACGACCTCTTGACAGATCCTGAACGTTTCCTCTCCTACTGTCTTGACCGCAGCTCCGTCAGCGAAGAGTCCGACGTCCTTCAAGAAGACGCGCTTTCCGGCTTTGAGAGATTCGACCATTGCATTTGCGTCGTACTGCTCCACTCCTATGATCTTGACGTGTGGTGCTATCCGCTTGATGTACACGCCTGTGCCTGCAATGAGACCACCACCACCCACGCAGCAGAAGACGGCCTTGAGATCTTGCAAGTTTGTCTGTCGCAGCAATTCCATACCAACCGTACCCTGACCCGCAATGACATACGGGTCGTCGAATGGCGGAATGGACACAAGCCCATGCAACTTCTCCAATCGCGCAGCCTCTGCCTTTGCAGCGTCGAAGTCAGCTCCGTGCAGAATGACTGAGCCACCTAGCCGTGAAACGTTCTTGTGCTTGATGTCAGGCGTTCCCGAAGGCATGACGATGGTTGCGGGAATCTTGAGCTTGCGCGCAGAGTACGCCACACCTTGCGCATGGTTTCCGGCGCTGCACGCGACAACGCCTCTCCACCTGTCCTTGGGGTCCAAATGTGCCATCTTGTTGTATGCGCCGCGCAGCTTGAAGCTGAAAACGGGCTGTAGATCCTCGCGCTTGAGCAGAACATTGCATTCTAGCCTGTTGCTGAGATTGGTTGCGTGGGTGAGGGGTGTTTCCTGCACGACTTCGTAGACGCGCGACGTGAGGATGAGGCGGAGGTAGTCGGGGTAGCCGTTGGGCAGAAGGAACGCGTCGGGTATGACATCGTTGGTGCGTGAAGTTGTCGATTCCGAGGGCGGACTCGGGTTTGCGCTGTACTCGGTCAGGGCGAGGCCGTTCTTGGGTGTGCGGGGCGAGACGAGGCCATTGGGACCATTTTCGGGCGTCGTCGGCCGTGAGTAATCGGGTACGGTCGTCATTGTGGTGTTGTGCCAGAAGCGCAGCTTGTTGAGCTTGTCTTTGTAATTTTTGGGCGAGTCATCGGAGGCTCGGTCGGCCTGCATCGGAGGCAGGGGTGCGTCTAGCGTCATGGGGAGCTATGGTGGGGTAGGTAGCTTCCAACCTCGCATCTTCATCTCATCTCGCGTCTGAGGATGAACCCTCCGACATGTCGCGCCCAACGTCTCCTTTTGAATTTCTTCCTGCGGTTCCTACGCGTTCTTCTCGCGTCATGTGCTCCCGCTGTCATCTGCATCTACTAGCTTCGTTTGTCTCCACGTTTGCCTTCGATGCCTCCTGACGGTCTTTGCGTCATCCTCTCTCAGTATCTGGCGTCGAATTGACATGCCACGAACTGCAGGCTCCACTGATGCAATCCAAGGCTAGCATCTATACGACCCCCGTATGCTTCAGAGCCTCGCGCTGGTGCTCGGACGTGCGCGTGGTGTGACGACGTATTCCCCGAGGGAGGCTGTAGTAGTCCGCTTGTCGGGGTGGTCCTGAATGACTGGGCTGCCCTCTTCCAGCTCCGTTCTGCATGTACGAGTGCGTTGGCGGCTCGTACGGTGACTTACAGGAAAGGAAGTGGGGAGCGTTGCGGAAGCACCCACGCGGGCGGCTGGGAATTCTCTCATGTCCTCGTTTGGGCTTGCTGTCAATGCTATGGGAATGTAGGCCGAGGTAATTTGTATGTGGTGATTGAATTGTAATAGGTGTTCACGGTGGCGGTCGATCCTTAGTGCGGAAAGGGCTGAAGCTTTGTCGGTGGCTCGATTTGAAGTTCACAGTCCGTCACGACCCACAGCAACTTATTTCTCCTTCAACTCAACCCAACCTTTCTGACCTTCCTTTTCTGTTCGAGCAGTTGGAAGACCCCATATCCGCCCGCTCCGTCTGCAAACAGCAGGTGGCAGGATAGGCTGGCCGCCTTCTGCACCCTCGAGCGGAGACGGCTTCGCCAATTGCTAACGAGAGCAGGATCTCGAGTACTCTTATAGCGAGTTCAGTGTCGCGCCACCTCATGCTTTCCTGGTATTCCCATCGTGGGCGCATTGTTCGCGGGCTTGGCTTTGAGAATAAGGCGGACTTGACCTCATTGCCGGCTATCCTCCGCTCGACCTCCTCCGCAATCTCAGCACACCACAGAGCCGCAGTCTCAAGATAGCTCTTCTTGTACTGCTTCAGTGGTCATGCAGTACGCGCTGCACTGCAATGGGAGCCTGGCGTTGCCGTGATGTCTCAGCGGAGCGATCCAATCCTCCGATGCTCGGGCCAAACAATCTGCTCTTGCGAATAGGCTCTCCATCTGCCTCTTCAACCATGCTCGAGGGTATTCTCTTCGATCGATTCAGTGGAACAAGGCTGGTCATCAAGCGGACAACTCTGGGTATGCGCTCCCACACCCTACGAAGGGGCGACCTTGCTGACCGAACACGATCCTCAGGCCGCATCGAAGGGCTCCTGTACGGTACGAATTGCCTCCTCTTTACCGCGTATCGACATTCGACCCTCGTCCCAACCACCATTGTGATCGGCGTTGCCCTCTCTACCCCGACCACAATTGCCACCCACACTAGGCAGAGCGTCATCGACCTCATACTCCCGTGGAAGAGGAGGTCAAAGAAGTAACAGCCAGGTCCCAAGCCCGGCGGCTTCAGCGGTCATATCCATCACCATGGGATAACTCTGGCACTTGTGCCGCAACTTCAGAACGAACAACTTATATTGAGGTCACGCGGACGGACTGCTCACAGATCTCGAGCGTTCCAGTCGAGCACCAAGGTGTTGCTGTCGGTCTTTCTGCCTACGCCCCTCTTGTGCAAGTGTTGGAAGATATCCGAGAGCCATTGCCTGGAAAGCTCCCTTGCATGGGTACCAGGATCGAACTTCAGACGAAAGGTTCGCACAGCCAGGTGGCCTCCGTCATGCAAGAACAGTTGGTTGTTGATCCATTTCTTAACGAATGTCCGGTCGCAAGGAGCGTCGATATCGAAGATTATCTTGCCCGTATTGTGGCTGGCTCCGAGATGAACTACTTCTTCGTAGTCAAAGCCAATTTCATCCGCATTTCCGAACGGTTGTGCCAACCCATCTTTTAAGATGGGTTTGTAGCGAATCTTGAAGTCCACCAGGTTGTATCGGTCCTCTCTTACAGATGCGGATATGGCCCACACGTTTTGAGACCTTGAATCTTCCAGCATATGGTTGTCGTACCACAAGACGAAGGTGTTCTGGAAGAAGATGTCCTGGACCATCTCGCCCCCATACGCGGCAGACGCTACGAAGACCGAGAATCATAGGGATCCTTGTCTGGGGCCTATTGTGCTTGTCCCAGTCCGTGCCGGCTTCACCCCTGATGTGGATACGGTCGCTTGGAAGTATGAACCCGCAGCGGAAGGCTTTAGGAAGGTCTTCCAAACGCTTATCATCCAGTGCCATGAGAACAGGGCCTTGGAACGAGCCAAGATGCTCGAAAATCCCTGTCAGCAATTTTTTTGGTAGATCGGATATACCCTTCGCGATCTTTCCTTGATACATGCGGCTTTTTCGAGATGTATGACGGTGCATCGCAGTACAACGGCTTCTTGCGATAGCGGTCCGTTGTGAGCAAACCCTCTTCACCAGGCGCAAGAGCCTATAAATCTCTTCTACCACTTGCGGCAGCCTCCGATCGCGAAGGCCATCCGCGAATTTTGCCTTCGAGATAACCCCACTGGGGAAAAAGGCAGTCGTAGCCATTTGTTAGTCCAGAACTGCCGACATAGAAGTCTCCATATAGTTTGCCCCACCATGTTGCTTCTCGATAGAAAGGAAAGTGCTCTTCGGATTTCTCGCCCATTCCGTCAATACAAAGCGATCGTTGAGGAGACGTCAAGAGCATCAAGAGCATGAGCTGCGCGACACAAAACCTGGGCTTGGTGTTTCCATCGCTAGAGGCGGCATCCCACGTCTTACGCAAGTACGTGTCTGGGGTGGACATCTCCCTAACAAACCAGGGGGCGTCCTCGTCGCCCATGGATGTAAGCCGCAAACCTGGGAAGCGGTTATACACTTCTGCGACCTCGCGTCTACCGTCGTCTATATCTCGCCAGAGGCGAAAGGCGTCGTCCAGCTCTTTCTCTTTCGATAGCCATGCATTGTAGGTCATCGCATCCTATCCATCTCTCCAGACTCGTTCGTCTTCTGTTGTAGTAGGGTGGGGAGGCTTGTGCGGAGTCGCGGCGTCCAGTTCGTTCGGGTCGACGTGAGACGCTGCATATGTTAGCGACAAAGCGGTTTTGCCAGGAGACGACTTACGGGACAGCACGGGTCGAGTTGCATGCTCGAGAGCCGTGAGCCTACCACGTTCCAGGAGGCCGCTCATCCTTGCTCTTGGCTTGAGTCCGTGGGGAGCTGTTGAACTGTCTCGTTCGCGGAGGACGGGCAGCAACCAGGCTCGGGGAGATGAACGCTTGATGGTCGGGCGTCTGTGGCGTAGGAGTCGCAAGCAGTCAATGCCTTTGGTGATTCTGAGAGGAGCAGAACTGCGGCTGTAAAGCGATGGAGAGAGCCGGGTGTCACGTCCTGGGCTTTGAAACCTGACGGCGCAACACGAGGAGGTTTGTTGTGGCCTTCGCGGCGTCAGATTTGCTCCTGAGTGGCCTTCTCGGTGTCCGATGTGTTCCTGAGTGTGCTTTGAGAGCCGTCAGGAGTGCTTCCCGAAGAGGGTGACTAGTTTCGCAGTCGTCCTCGATCTGGGTTGGCGAGGAGGGGTAGTCGCAGACGTTGCAGGTAGCGCCGTTGTCGTTACTGGTATCTTCTCGAGCCCGGCGTAGGTGTGCGAGTCGATGAGAAGAGCTGTTATCGTGGCTGTCACCGTCTTTAGTTGTGGCTAAAAACGCGATGGTTGTGCGAGGCTGCGGAGGTGGCCGATGGCGCGGAGGTGCCTATGGACGTCTCGGATTCGTTGCACTTGTGCCCGCCACTATCTGCGTGCAGAGAGCTGTCGACGCAATATCTGAGAAGGAGGACGTGATTGTGTGTGGCTGTCGTGTGGTGAAGCAATCAAGAGTTCGGAGGCAGGAGTCGTGAGAGACAGACGTAGGCGAACATCAAACCTGAGTCGCCTCAACAGAACGTCACTATAGAGTTCAGACGACGACAGATTACCTGAGCTGTCGGGCCAATCTAGCTTGTATGCAGCAGCTACGCCAGCGACACGGACTATGGTTTTGATAACAGCCATGAAGGATCACAAACGACCTCCTAGCTTCATCTACATCACATATGCACGACTAATCTGGAAACAAGGCTTGTAACAGCGGCTTTCTTTAGCTGAGCTGCAGCAGGTCAACCTACACGCCTATATGCCCTCTATTACTCGTCGCCTCCTCCAAGGTGTTGTATTGCTGTCAGGTTTACCAAACTACAAGCGCATGTCTCCTGGAGACCATCGCGTCACCTGCGCTTTACATTTCCTCCAACGACGTCTTGTTCCTCTAACTTAGGTTCAGAACGAATTCGGAGCCAGGGGGAACATCGGCTGAGCGCCAATCTGGGTGCTGAAGCAGGATGAAGAACATTTGGATGGTCTTCTCGCTCCAGACACGAGGATAGAATGATGTCCTCTCGAAACAACCTGTGAACTGGATACCCCGGACAACAAGACCATCATGCTTATGGATAAAGACTCGGGCAGGTTCGTGGGCAAAGAGACGTGCGCCAAGCTCGTGTATTGTCGGCAGATGAATTTGCTTGCTCAAAGCCAGGTCCATACCCGTCTTCTCACACTGTATGTCCGTCTCAATGTCCATACTCGAGGTGGCATCCCTGGGCAGCTTGTAGTAGCGGGCCTTGATTGGTATACGGCGTCGGACGAGCTGGGGTTCAATTTGGCATGGGAGAAACCACGTAGGCTTCATGCCATGGAGATCCGACACGCTATGCTGAAACACAATAGGGCTCGTGAAGAAAGCGTCGAGCGTGCAGCGTGCAAACACCTTGCTCACAAGCCGAACTTGTAGGATTTGTTGAATATACCCTGAGCCGATGGAGGAGTACGGGTCCGTGTAGCTCTCGCGCTCTTCGTCTTCCCTCCAGGATACTAGGGAATGCTGGATGATATAGAACCTGGGAATGCCTGGAAGCTCAAAAGAGCCTTGGTAATGCACAAGGAGGACACCTTCGATCTGGTTGTTGCAGTGGTACTTCATGATCCGTAGTACTATCTCATCTGGCAGTTTCGGAGAGAATTGTTGGATCACTGAAATCGATCCGTCGTCGGAGACCAGTGTCATCGCGTTGGATCCGGGCGGTTCGAGGTGCTGAGCGCGTTCAGAGTGCTGTCGGCAACTCTGGTGCGGTCGTCGTGGTCTAGGCGGGAGCTCGTAGGTTGTCGGCGGGCTCGACTTGGAGATGACGATCAACCTGCGAGAGGGATCTGGTATCGTAGATCTCGAATGGTTGTTAAAGAGGCGGTGGTGCAGTCTCTGTGTATAGGAGCCGATTGCGGGGTGTGCTGATCTGCCTGAGCGCCGCCGGGGGCAGTACACAGCGCCGATGATGTCCCGCTTGGGAAGAGCACAACGGCCGCTCTATGGTCTGAGAAGAAGAGCGGGGGACATCGAGGATCGTTTCGTGCGTTGTGGTGTGGTGCGCAGATAGTGGCGCGGTTGTCGAGAAGAGTGAGACACAGACGCGCTGGACGAACAACACTGCTACGCCAAAATTCGAGGCCCGAGCGCTATCTTCTCGCGATGTCGTCGATGCAGACGACTTCGTGTTCTCAGGGGTTCGAATGAGATATGATGCGGGCATTTGGACGCACTCCGGGCAGATGTCATGATACGTCAATGTCGATACCTGGAGAGTCGAGAAAGACACCTACAGCAGAAGTGGCGTACATTACAAAAGATTCATGAACACGTTTTCAAGGAAGGGTAACGGGAGGACATGTCTCCGTATTGCTTGGTTTATCTGATACCGAGCGGCCTGCTCCTCCATCGACAAGATGTCTTCTGTCGAGGGCCCAGCAACCACAAACGCCGACACTAAATGCTCATCAACCCAAAAACCACACAACCCCCTTCATCCACTCAGCTTCTGCATCACACCCTGGGTCGTCGCCGCCATGGTCAGCGTGCCGTTGCCCAACTGTCCAACACCCCAGAAGTTCTCGGACGCTGGCTGGCCCCGGTAGACCAGAGACCTACCCGAGAAGATCTCACCTTCGTCCTCCTCGCGGAAGACACCAAAAGGTGCCTCCCGAGCGATGACGTATTTAGCCATCGCCATTCTGGACCTGAAGTTCGCAGGGTTGCCGCCGACGTCTTCCACCATTTTCTTTAGTCGCGGCGAACTCGCAACTGTGCTCGGGACACGCTGCTGGAAAGCTGCCCAGCGGAGTCGACCGTCCGGCTGGGGCATATAGACCCGCATGCCGTCGGCCTTGTCATCCTTGAGGACGTCGAGGTTCGTGGTGCACTGTAACATGTTAGTCAGTCACTAAGTGATATGGAGAGGGATCAGTACTTACACCAGACCTGGCACCATACGACCAGTAGGTATTGGTCGCGTTGACCACGTTAGCCCGCCAATAATCCCACACGCCCTTTGTAGGCGCCGGGGGAGCCAGGCCAGACAGTTGATGATCGGGCAGGGACCAGCGAGGACCCAGAGAGTCAGTGTACACGAACCCTTGGCAGATGAGGAAGTATTCTGTTTCGGAGAGAGTATCGATCATTGTGATGATGATGTGAGAGTGTCGTTGCTAAGGAGAGGAAGAGGGACAGAGTTGTTGTGCCTTTTGGCCTTGCGCCGAGACTGTGAGTGTGCTAGCGTAGTCAGCCAACGGTCACCCAGGCAATGCTCGAAGAGAAATGAGGAAGTGACGGTGAGAGGGGCGGCTTCCGAGCCTCTACCGTTTGACGGAAGCTTCCAGACACGAGCAGGGTCGTTCTCAGACTTTCCGAGTGACAATCCGAGGAAACGAGTTCACTTGTGGAAAGTTGGATTACGGACCACTACAATGAAGGTCTCTGGCTATTCCGAGGCGTCATTGTGCAGTCTTAGGGCATCATGGAGAAAGAGGAAATACTGCCTGACTGCAGCTCATGCATTGTTCTAATCTACCCGGGCGCCTTCACACCCCTAATCTTGCTCCATAGTATCCTTGAGCCAGGTTGCCTGCGCCAACAGCCAACCTGGAGCTGGCGGATTGCACGGCTGCTCATCAGACCTGAAATCGACCGTGACTTTCTCAATGCCACGCATTCTGCTGAGTCCACGAACTTCAAGGGCAACGCGAAAGACCTGCTCCCAAGATATCTCCCCAACTTCTTGTCTATGCTTCTGGAGGTAGAACTCGAACCAGCGACCGTGGATTGATATGCGTAGTCTCTTAATCTTCAATTGCTCTCGGGACAAGTCAATCCTTGCCGGCAAGGGATCGATTGTGCAGAAGTCCCCGAGCTCTATCTCAACGTTGTGTATGAGGGCCCGGAAATCCCGCTGGATGCCTCTTACCCAGCTCTGGCGGTAGGTCAAGTCGAAGCAATTCTTGCCAAAGAAGACCTCCTGCGATCGGAGGGGGAAGTGCGGAGAGATTGCTATCTGCCAAGGTACTCGATCAGTCGCCGCGGCTGGATTCAAAGATGGTGTGGTATGCTTGGTAGGAGAGAAGACGCCAGAAGAAGGGAGATTGTGAGTGATGTTGAAGGGAGTGAAGAAGTTGGTGGAGAGGCTGCGACTGAAGTTTTCGCGGACAGCTTTCACGACGACGGATGACCGCGCCGATTTAAGGGTCACTTTTAGCGTACGGATGGAGCGCGGCCTCGAACGCTTACAAAAAAAACTACGCAATCACTTCAAGACGCTGCGAGAATAAATTCGGGCTCAAGGCAGATCGAAGTGCCCAGCATCTTGCCGCAATATCCAAGAGCCTCATCCCGTTCAACACGGGAGGATGCACATCCCACAATAAGAGAGCAACTGTCTCCGTGGATCTGGAGTGTCTGCTGTTCATCATTCATTCACAGTCACTATCATATCACGATTGGGTAGCATAGAAGTTTCCATCTATGCTCAGTAAAAGACAGAACGTTGAGGCTTATCACAAGGCCAAGAGGCCATACATGTGGTTTTATTATAAGATACGGTCTATCTACATCAGAACATCGAGAGAGCGCTGCACAGTCAGTTGCTCCCGCTACCAAGCGAATGCTCAAGGCTCGTCCGGTTCATCTGGGTTCTTCCAGTCGAGCCGCCTCAAACGCCCGAGCTCTTCTGCCTTGGAGATCTTGGTCTTGATATTTTCAGGATTCAGACCGTAGGACTCGAGTTCAGAGTTTAGTTCTGACCAAAGCCTCTTCACCAGGGTGTGGCTGCTCAATGGGTGAAGAGCCAGAGCTGGGTAGAGATCTGGCTGATCGTGCCTGCCGCGCCTCCCTTTCGGCTTCGCCAGACACTGTTTCAGTCGCCTGATCCTGATGACTTCGAGTGCGAACGAGGCCTCTACCACCAAGTTGTCCACCCCGCGAAGGCGACTAAGAAGGTCAAGCCCAGGCATCTGACGGAATCTCCGGTGTTTTTCGACAGGTGAAAGAGATCGGATGTCTGTAGTGTCTCGCACTTTGATTGTGACTGACCGCAGCATGTGGCTCTTTCCAATTTCTCTAATCATCTCCTCGGTATTTATCCTCCTCTTCGACGGGTAGGTTACCGGGCCCAAGTAGAGGGATATTTCGACACGCGTTAGACACTCTCGGTATTGTCTAGGTAGACCCCTGATCCATCGAAGGGCATTTCGTCGAAGGACATTGCCGATGGTAAGATCAAAGGTGTTATATCCAAAGAATTGGTCTAAAGCGAGGCGGCGGAGTTGTGGATTCGTTGCAGCTACGGCCAAAAGGTCTCGTAGAGGTGGCAGGCGGAGGTCCGTGTGCCTGGGTTGTCCTGAAATCCCGACCTGGAGTACAGGTTCTCCAGTCGGGTGGTTCGAATCGCTTACGCGGACCGCTTGGCCTGGAAATACCAAAAGATGCCTGAAGATCTCTAGCATCACTTCATTGGGTATGCTATCGATGTCGAAGCCAGGGCTGGCATGTGCGTTGATTGGGGTCGGAATCGCGTTGCCGGTCGTCGACGAAATTTGGTGAGAGGTGGTGTGGGAATTGGTGAGAGGTCGAGGTGCAGGGCACACGTCCAACGGAGAGTATATGTCCGCCGCCAGTACAGACATGCCAACACGCGGATCGATCACTGTTGGATTAATGGTGAACCTTGGCTGCTCGTACTAGTTGCTGTCAGTAAGACGTAGGAGGCCGACCATGCTGTTGACTCACAGTTTGGGTATCTTCAAGGAGGTCTGAGGCAGATAAGTCCGAGAACTGGACCCAACGCATTCCTCCTGTATAACCTTGCTGCTGAGGCTCATCCAAGTCGCAAACGTCGTCATCCTCTGGACCCGACAGGTCGGCGCCTCGGTAGTCCGCGAATAGTCCTCCGTATCGTTCCTGGAACTCGTTGGCAAAGGAGTACGGCGTGACCGGTGATTGCCAGACAAACTCGAGCTCGTTCATTGTCAAGCCCAACTCGCGAAAGGGGAAGGTGGGGAGGTCTGGCGGCGCGTCGGGAAGCTCGTCGAGAGTAGGCGTTGAGATCGGGGTCGTGGCAGTCAGTGTCCAGCTAGGAAATATAGTCACCGGGCTACCATCAGGTGGAGTCAGGAGGTCGGCGACCGCCTCATGATCACACGAGGAGCTGACTGTTGTTAGGATCTGCGCTTTTTGTAAGCTGGAGGACTTCCGATTCTACAAGGCTTGACCGACCTGGACCGACTCAATGAGAGACGTGGAAGCTGTGGAAGCGATCCCAGTTGTACCTACTGGACGAAATCCCAAATGCACTGGCCCCATCGCGGTAGTCTACGACTTGTGAGTTGCGACGTTCACGTCCGTCGCGGAGGATTGCATACCGTGGCTGTAGAGTTGAAGATCGCGGCTTCGTCCGTAAACGGCGCCGGGCCTCGCTGCAAAACCGGGTGGAGATCGTGGCCAGCAGGGGAAAGACATGTTGCAGCGAAGAACAGCAGCAGTAGCAGTAAGTGCCTGCCGACCGCCGCCTTGCCCAGGTGCAGGCGTCCTGGGCCGTACATGGTTGACTGGAAAGTGACTAGAAAAATGTCGGTAAGTCAAATGTCGCACGAGAAGCGCTGGCTGATGTCGACCTACCTGAGTCTGAGTCTTTTCAATATACAAATCTTCAGATATGGGTGTCGCGGAGGGGGGATGGTAGAGGAGTGGGGTTGCAAGGCGAAAACACCTTCAGTTTGTGAGCTTATCAGACACGTGCGTTTTCACTTTTCGGTGACGCGTTACATGAACGCCAAAAGGTCGCCTCCATAAAGAAGGCCCTGGGATGCGACTAGTAAGTCATAGCTCACTGGAAATGTGTTCAGCGATCACGGAATAATGGTATGTTTGTCCATCTGTAGATGCCTATCCATCTGCGTTCCAGAACCGACATCACAAAAGGTTGACGTCCGAGCCGACTGCCAATAGACCCATGTTAAAGTACAGATGTACTGCGAACTGCTGCACTCCTCATTCTATGTAATTGGGTAGTCTGGTCTGGGAACTGTTGCACGTCAAACTGCGCATCTCACGTCGTCCTTCACATGTCAGGCACCGCACGCGGATGGTAAATATAATGGAAAAGTTTGGCACACGAAAGAAAAATGTGTTGTCATTATCGATGGTTGCTACAGAGTCTGGAAGGGGAGTTGCTCTTACCGAAAGAGTGGAATCAAAGCACACTATGGGATAAGGATGCAGTTTGCAAAGCTGTTTCATGAGTGGTCCGACATCTTCGATCAATACTGGGCAGCTCATAGAGATGCTAAACCTCGTTGGGGTCGTACAAGTCCTTGCGATCATTCCGTGACAGCACGTCATGGGAAATTGCTAAGGCCACCAGGAGCTTGAACGCCTCTGTACTCCCAAACGGGAAATCATATGCCTAATAGATGTCGTTCTTCACTGTCCTTTCAGGGAAGCAAGCCGATCTTCGGGACAGGGGTACGTCGCGTGCCTCAACGAGTGAGGGCTTACTCAAGTGGCTAGGTAGAGGACGTGCGTGGACTTTGCCTGGCCATGCGACAGCGACTTTTCAGACTCATATTCGGGGCAGGCCACCCCAAGATTGGACTCGCTTCTCAGACAGACCACGGCGATTACCCTCAAGGCTTTGAACGTACGCAGAATAGCCCATTTGGCAACCACGCCTGCCTGCGAGCACTTGGTGCATTGACCGCGTAGCTCTGCGATTAGCGGGGTATACGATCAGCATCGCACGAACAGCTGCCTCGAAGATACTCTGGGATCTAGCAACCAATTCTGAGATAAGCAAGAAGACACCGTACGGCAGACATCTGCTCATTTGGGATGTCACACTAATTCCCAGCCAGTTGAAACGCGTACGCCCGCAGGAGCCACCATCACACACCTCCTCCGCAATCCCATAGCCGAGGAGCCCTTCAGTATGGCGTCAAGTCAAGACCTGTTGGTCCAACAGCACTTTACCGCCGAAAAGTTCGACCATTTCCTCCCGGGCGCGCCACACGAGGGTGACTTCCGTGCAGAAGCGCTGAAGCCGAAGTCTCGATTAGGCGCTTTTCTCCACGACATGTATTCCTATAGAGGCAAGGGCATATACTGTACGGCCAGTCAAATGATCACTCTCATACTCCTACTGTTTAAGTCTCGCAAGGCGACCAAAGCGCAGATCTTCCACCATGCTGCTCAACTGCTCAACTTCCAACGAGGATATTTCCGAACCCAAATAGCAATAAAGGCTTACTCCAATCACACAATCACGGAGATGGAAGTGTACTTGCTTGAAGAGCGTTCCCGATACGAAGTCAAGTTCCCGCCCGAGGGCCATGATCAGCTACGACCAGAGCCAAGCACTCAAGCCAAGAAGAACAACGACACCCTCTGGCCAGTCTGGGCACGCGGAGTTGGCGCTGAGATGACAGAAGAGGAGAAGGATCCAGAGGGCGAGACGCGCTACAACTACGATTATGGCTCACTCGATGTTGATTGGGCTGATCAACATGACGCTGAGATGGATCGTCGCCTAGAGGCAGGAACTGGACCGGTTCAGTGCGTCTATACACTACCGCCGGGGATGGAAAACGAAGTCTTTGCCTTCTTCTACAATGCAAAGTTCAAGAAACCCAACGCGAACCTCGACACAGGATCTTCAGACACCGCACGCGATTACTTCAGCGCGCTTCCAGTAGAACTCAAGACCAAAGTCGCTCGACTGGTGCTGAAATTCTCGACCAGACTCAGGATTGCAGCCACCACTTTCACCAATGAAGACTGGACAGAAGAGCAGTGGAATCAGAATCTGAGCCCGTCGGAGATCATGCCATATTCTACATACAGATTCTCGTCACTTGTAAAGGTGCCGAAATTCATGGTTCCTTCCAACGCCGCCACAGTTCAGGGACCTTATCACTACTGGAAAATGGAAGCTCCTGCGACTATGCTGGCACTGTTGGCAGTCAACAAAGAGATGCACGCAATTGGAAAACCCGTATTCTACAGCGAAAACTACTTCGAGATTAAGGATGGCATCATGGGTCTTCTCTATCATCACTTTCAGGAAGGAAGTTCCGTAAATGGCACCCAGCTGGCGCACCGCTTCCTTGAGCTCATGACGTGCTCGGAGGCGCACGATGGTACTCCTCGATATGGTCCTCGTCCGCTGGAGTTCATGCGCAATATCAATGTTGATATGGAGCTTTTCCCAAATGATTGCGGCGACGTTCCCGGACAGTACCCATGGCATTTCGAGCGCATAATGAACTCCTTGATCACGATACCCCGTCTCCGGAAACTCGTCATCAACGTCCGCATGTCATTCTTGGACGCTCTCAGAGAGATTTCGCCAGACGAGAAGACCGTCAACCCGTTCACCAGCCCAGAAGTGTGGCCAGGATGGCGCAAGCTACCTTGGGCAGCATCCGCAATTCCTGTTGAGAACGGAAAAGATAGGAAGTCAGCGGCCGGACTTAAGGTCTTCGTCCCCGAAAATCGCAAGGTGGAGAAGTGGCTTCAAAACCTCATCGACATGCCCGACAATTCGCCAGCCAAGATTGTTCACGTTATATCCGAGGATTGGTCTACAGAGGAGTGTCCTTCGGTGTTGATTACCCAGGGCTTGCTGAAAGCTGAACAGCGCTGGTTGAAGGCCTGCAAGAACGACACGGTCATGGAAGGAGAAGAAGAGAGCATTGAGCATGGTACCGACGATACTGAGGAAGTTGAGGGTGTGATCAGCGTGGCATAGTGAGTCTAGGGGCGAGTACGAGCAACGAAGGGAGGATTGGTGAAAACCTCTGGGGCAAATCTATAGATAGCGGAAAAAGATGTACAAGTACTAGAGCCAATCGTTGAGTACATCGATCGGAGAATGTAGGCCGACAACAGCCTCGTAGTCAGACGTGGTGTTTAGCCGTTATTAGACTCTGTAATTCAACCTCACCCTCGCCGTGCAGCCTCGTAGTGCATGTATGTCGCGGCTGGCATGGTCTTATCATTCCAACATTGCCTAAACCGCCCGAATTGTGCAGCAGGCGCGTGTTGCCACTGCCATCTTCTTCGCAATGTGCCGCCACTCTTGTGCGTTTCGCGCCGATTAGGCGTTCGCGGTCGATGTTGCTGAAGGTCCCTACTCCCGGGGTTTCGGTTGCGCAGAGAGCGGGTGCTCTGCTGGTGGGGTCGTGCGGTTCGGACATTCGGCATCTCTGTACACCGTCAGCCTCCATCTAGATGCCGAGTACACACCACCAGCCAGACTGCGTTGTCTCTCGACGCAGAACTTTTCGCATGGCAATGCCCAAAAACTGGCTGTTCTTTGGCGGATGAGCGGTGAGGCTGAGTCAATGCCTTGATATACCTAGGTAGTGTCTACTTGCTACACCTGTATATGCCGTTTGACGACCGGATAGTCAGCGTTTCAAGGCCACATATTCAAAAAGCAGTGACAACCTTGCGAAGATCATCGGCCTAGATAAAGAAGTTTGCGCCAAGATTACAACTCGGCTATACGTTGCGAACAGCCACTCTAAAATCAAGAAAGGACTTATTGTTGTGCGAAGATGACAATGTTGCGCAGAAAGGTGCGTCGGGGTTGGGTGAACGACCCAGCTATGGACGGCTCTCCTGTTTCGTGCCATTCTATTGCGACCTAGAATTTATCGCTCTTGGAACGCTGCTTGACTAGATATGCCAGCGATGCGCTGCGCTAGCATCTCATGTCGCTCTGGTGGGTCTCGGAGATGTGGGTAGACAAAGTAGTAAGACAGGCACTAGTAAAACGTACGACCCGGAAACCAAGCTTCCGGTACAACATCTCTAGGAACAATCAAGCCTACCCAGGTATATAACTGTTAGATACGTTTCAAACATAATAGGACAACGGTCGACATCGAATACTGGGCCAGACACCTTAGTCTTCAAACTCATGGCATATCTTATTGCTGGGGTAGTGACAATAGCGTCACTATTCATCGTTTCCCAGCTATGGCACTTCACCAACAATTATCGAGCAGCTCGCGCGACTGGACTACCCATCATCTTATGCCCTTATGACCCCGATAGCGTAAGTTACCGCTCCTCCTCTCGCAATATGTACTTGAAGCAACCTGCACACCCTTGTCCGTCTCTTCAGATATAGCTATCTGAAACTGATCATACCTCTAGGCGTTCTGGTCCATATTCTGCGTCCCTCTTCGCCCCATTCTTCGCTTCGTCCTCCCCAAATCTATATTTGCTATCGTGGAACTTAGCATCTGGGGCTGGGAGTTCCGGGAGAAAGCAGCAGTTCATGAGAAGCTTGGTCCCGTCTTTGTCGTTGTTACTACAGGACTCAATCGGCTTGTTTGTGCGGACCCGTCTATGGCCCATACCATCATGTCTAGAAGGAGAGACTTTGTCCATCCAGACATTACCACTGGGTCTATGGGGTTTTTGGGTCCAAATATTGTGACTGTAAGTGGAATGCTCACGCTGTAAATTATAACTAATCCATCGGTCAAAGGCCAAAGATGAATCCTGGTCCCGCCAGCGTCGTATCGTCGCCCCGTCTCTGAACGAACGCATTAGCCCAGAAGTGTGGAAAGTGAGCGTAGAACAAGCATCGTCCATGGCACACCTTTTACCCTCAGTCTCCCCAGCTCATACTTCCCAGGGGCCCGCGAAGATAGTTCTTGGTCTTCGTACAATTGCGATGAACGTCCTCGGTCGTATCGCCTATGGGCATAACAAGCCATTCGCTTTATCTCAACCGTCTACCAAACCGTCAGCAGACATCTCATACGTGGATGCTATTTCTTTGGTGACTGACAAGCTCATCTTCGCTGCATTTCTTCCTGCCAGCTTTCTAAGCATGCCCTTCATGCCGCAGATATCACAGCGATTAGGTATAGCGCTGAAGCGATTGCCAGGGCTAACACAACACATGCTCGATCAAGAGCGCCAAAACAGTGCTTCTGCATCGCCGCATGTGAGGCAGACGACCGAGAGTCCAAATAACAGTCGAGGCACCATCATGGAAGAACTTGTCCGCCTCTCAGACCAAGAGAAGATCCGGACGGACACTTCAACACCAGAGTCATTGGACAAGGTCACTAAGAAGTTCCTCACAGAGGAAGAAATCGCGGGAAACCTCTTCATCTTCACCGCTGCTGGTTTCGACACAACTGCAAACACAATGTCCTACGCCGTCGCACTGCTCGCAGTATATCCGGAGTGGCAAGTCTGGATTCAGACTGAGATCGATACTGTGTTTGGAGGGCCTGGCATGCCGCCAGCAGACTATGCAACTGCATTTCCGAAACTTTCCCGATGTTTGGCTGTCATGGTAAGCTAGCTCAACGCCAACATACCTTTTTTCTTGAACGGCATGCTCCAAGGACGGCTAACTCCCTAGCCTCTACCCCATTCGATGCCCGGTGCTGACGTTTCCAATCTAGCTCGAGACCCTACGCCTCTACCCACCCGTAACCCTCCTTATGCGATCCATAACCACGAGTCAGAATATTGCCTTCGCCGACATATCATTCCAGATCGCGGCTCCGTCTACCATTTACGTCAACACAACGGCATTGCATACTTCACGCTCAACATGGGGTTCTGATGCTCTGTCCTTCAATCCCGCACGCTGGCTACGACCCGACACACCAGAGCCCACGCTCATCACACCACCACAAGGAACCTTTATGCCTTGGTCTGTTGGTCCGCGCGTATGCCCTGGGCAAAAGATGTCACAGGTTGAATTTGTAGCTGTTATTGCGACACTGTTCCGTAGATGTAGTGCACGACCAGTTGTTCGTGAGGGGGAAAGTACAGAATCGGCGAGACAGCGCTTGCTCGATTTGTTACAAGACAGTCAGCCGGTGTTGACGCTGCAGATCAATAGGCCCGAGGACGTTCATATACACTGGGCTAAGCGATGAGCAGCATAGTGATGGTGCGTCGAGAAGAAGACCAGATGCGGCGTATGAGCGAGATACATGATATATTGGTGTTTGTTGTAGATAGTACCGAAGTAGACTTCTCTTACCTATTTTCGCAATAGGTTGGGTAAGAAGATATGTTTGCGCTCATCAAAATCTTGCTCCTCGCGCACCGTGCAAAACGTTCCGGGCGTGACATCTATGTCGGAAGGTCCGAAGCTAACAAAGCTTCGAAATGCAGCCGTTCCAAGGTTGTTACAGCTCTGCTGCTGATACAGGCTAGGGGCTGACTTTCTGTTCATCTAACCCCTTTGCCCATCTGAGGAAAAGAAACACGCACGCCGAGATCGTGAACGCCTGGGTCGCGATCAGGGTGGCTTTTCCTTTCAGGGTACGAAGATTCGGTCGCGTCAATACACCGACCACATCGTCAACCAGCGCGACATATGCCGTAAGATTGAGGGTGCGATCGACAAGAAGAACGACTTGTTGCAACATGGGTGTATCGAAGGATACGAAGAAGCGGACTATCCAACTACCAAGTATCCACGTCAGAGCGATCAGAAATTCTGAACGCCTCTGTCTTGTACCCACGGGACGTTCCCCAATGAATTGATCGGCGCCATAACTGAGGAGTATGTCTACTAAGTATTGTATGACGTTTGGTGGTGTACCGAATAACCGACCGTAGGTTGCGATAACGCCTGCACGGTAGAGGTCGTTCTTGCGTGTGAATCGGATGGATTGCTTCGGACTAGGTTCGGGTCGGTTCGACGGGTAGAAGGAGGATGCTGCAAGGTACGTCGGTATAGCGAAAGATACTACAAGTGGTAAACTGTTCCCGCCAGTCGTAAAGCCAGTGGCCTGAGCGATGGCTGGTGACAAGAAAACAGCAAAAGGGCTAGCAATCAAGGGGGCGTATAGGTGAGCATATCGGCGCCACCCGGCAATGGCATAGTCTGCTTCTCCAGTGTCTGGTACATGTGCTGTTGAAGTACTTGGAGGCTGCTGTGGCAGTCCATCACTATCGTGGGTGTTCATGGCGAAGGGGATGGAACACGATGCGGTAAGCTTCGTGTGCTGGGCATCTCTTGGCTTGGGAAGCTTCATCCCGCACAGACACAACTTTGGAAGCTGCCCCTTTCGATGAGCAGCCATCCATCGCGACCTTGCTGCTCCAACAGAGTTCACATGCTGCACATATGTCGAGGAGCATCTAGTTATTGACCATTCTCTTAATGCGCCGCCTCTTGCAGGTCCAGTTGATGTTCTGTACACATACCCCGCGATACGGGCCCCAATCCCGCAGTGGCACGCGCGTGGATGGCATGCATATGACTACTTTCCCCCAACGCTTTTATCAGTATCTGCCAGAGCACACACAAGATGCTCATGCAAGTAACATCTGACGCGATACGGTGCGACCCCACCGTAGACCATGAAAGTGCCGACAGGGTCTGAGATCACCCATGAACCCGGGATGCTTCAACAGGCAGCTGCTGACCACCGAGGCATCGTTGCAACGCCAGTCAAGCCATGTTCATTTCTTTTGAACGCGATGACCAGATCCATGGTAGGATGTGAGGTCGAAAATCGCGCATCATTATAGGCTGAGCTCGCAGAAGCTTGATTTCGCGTGTGGTAGCGTGGCTGTGTAGTTCTACGAAAATCGCTCATGGCTAACCGTCAACAGCTCAGACAAACGCAGTCGCCAATGGCACTCCTTGGACGCGTGGGAAAAGGTCCGACGGGATACCTCCGACGCTTACGGTTTACCTGTTGCAGGATCTTGGCCCCATCTTGGATTGTATGAGGTATTTGTGCGTCGAATCGCTTCAAGATGACTATGACAAAGACGAGGAGGTCCTTGTACCATATTCATGGTGTCACTCTACGTAGCTATGATTACGATGGAGCTTTTACGGCATGGAAATCCTACCAAGGCCGCCCAAGCACGTGTTTGACGCGCTGCTAGAGCTTTCGAAGGCACGCTGCTCGTAAAGACGGCAGATAGCTTTCGTCTTTCTCGTAGTATAAGTCGCGCTTCACGCATCACTCAATCTTGTGCTACCTCTCCTCGTACTTCTCAGCTTATCCGGATCTTTTTTGCACACTCCCCGGTCGCACTTCCCGCAGTATCGATCTGTGTTTTCCACAGGTTCGCACATGGACCAGGAAGAAAAGGTCGCTCCTCGCGTCCGTTTTGGAGAGCTACGCCTTCCCGACGAAGAAGATGGATATGCTACCCACGAACGTCGCCATGAGCGCAACCTGTCGCGACGATCAAGTGTGGGCAGTCTTTCCATCCGCAGTGCCGGAGGAGCGCGCACTGTACAGCCAGAGACTGCACTCCCCATCACCTGTGAGTAGCTGCCCCATATGACTTGCTTATGAGACATTCACTGACTCCTGATACGAACATTCAGACCGTACTCTTTCCATCGAGATCGACGAGGATCAATACAAGAAACAGGACGAGGTGAAGAGAGCGAAGGAGAAGGCCGCCGTTGGTGAGTCTATTGAAGAGAAGTTGAGGCAACGTGTACTAATGCCCGCTCTACAGATCTGGCGGACCTCGAATGGCATACACTCGCCGTCCATGAGCTGTGTCGCCGCCTCTCCGTCGACATCGACCAGGGCCTTTCCGACGATCAGGCCAAGCGTCGCATTAGCGAACACGGCCAGAACAAGATGACACCTCCCCCATCAGGGCTACTCAAGAAGATAATAGGCTACTTCTTTGGTGGTTTTGGTAGCATCCTCGTGGTTGCTGGTATCTTGGTGTTTGTCGCATGGAAGCCTCTCGGTAAACCGCCAGCGGTTGCAAACCTGGCGCTTGCCTGTGTACTGATCGCTGTTTGGCTCATCCAAGCTGCCTTCAATGCATGGCAAGACTGGTCCACGAGCAGAGTGATGGCATCCATTGGAACGATGCTGCCCGATCAATGCATTGTCGTGCGCAACGGGTCGCATGCTAGCATCTCGGCCTTGGACCTGGTGCCTGGCGACATTATCGTCATCAAGCAGGGCAACAAGCTACCCGCCGATGTTCGATTTGTCGACATATCTAGCGATTCCATGTTCGATCGCGCAATCCTTACTGGTAGGTAGTACGCACACACACAACCTGAGCATGAGGTCTAACGTCCGCCAGGCGAGTCTGAACCTGTCGCAGCTACCATCGAAGCAACAGAAGACAACTATCTCGAGACCAACAACATTGGTTTACAAGGCACCCATTGCATCTCCGGCGCCTGTCTTGGTGTCTGCGTTGCAACTGGCGACAATACTATCTTCGGTCGTATCGCAAAGCTTACCTCGGATCCAAAGACTGGCATGACACCTCTTCAGAAGGAGATCCTGCGCTTTGTGCTCATTATCTCACTATTCATCACATGCGTCGTTATCCTCATCGTTGTTCTTTGGTACGTTTGTGGCTGGTCTCGAGCAACATGCCTATGCTTGGCTATGTATGAGTTGAAGGATTTGTACTTACGCATCCCAGGGCTGCATGGCTGAGGAAATCTCACCCTACTTGGATTGACGTACCCCTTCTTATCGTCAGTTGCGTCTCGTGCGCTGTTGCATGTATGGACTACCCAGCATATTCTTTCTGTTACACATTTGCTAACGTCTCCTTCCTCTAGTCATTCCCGAAGGCTTGCCGATCGCACTTACCACGAGTCTGACCATCGTTGCGAATATCATGCGCAAGAACAAGATCCTTTGCAAGTCCCTCAAGACCGTTGAGACACTTGGTTCCGTTTCGGTCATCTGTTCCGACAAGACCGGAACATTGACGAAGAACAAAATGGTGGTCACGGACATCTATGCAGCAGGCGAAGAGTACACTACGGATGCGGCGCGTGATATGATGGCAGTCTTTCGATCCGAACAGAACCTCTCCGTACTCTCCAAGGCTAAGACAAACATCATGGATCAAGTCCGCATGCTTGGTGGTCTCTGCAACTCCGGCGAGTTCGATGCCGCTACAATGCATCTTCCCATTGCGGAGCGCAAGATCAACGGCGATGCAACTGATCAGGCTATACTTCGACTTTCAGAGTCTCTTGGGTCAGTGGCTGAGTTGCGTCGCGACTGGAAGAAGGTTTTCGAGATTGCTTTCAACAGCAAGAACAAGTTCATGGTTCGCTTGATGACACCGGCGAACCAGACACCGACGAGCAACAACGCCACTCTCATGATCAAGGGAGCCCCCGATATCCTCCTACCTCGATGCGATCTCATCCTGAACGAGAAGGGTGAAGAGATACCGCTTACCGACGCACAACGCCTCCGTATCGACACCGTCAAAGACAGCTGGTCCCGCCAGGGCAAGCGCGTCATACTGCTCGCTCGCAAGCCGACTATCGTACCCTTCTCCGCCAACCATGAGAAGGAAGTATTGGTCGCAGCCCGGGAAGGCCTCACGTTTGTCGGCATCGTAGGTATCGTAGACCCACCCCGTGATGAGATCCCAGACGTCGTTCGTATTCTTCGGGGAGCTTCGATCCGTATCTTCATGGTCACTGGTGACTTCAAGCTCACTGCTCAGGCGATCGCCGAAGAGTGCGGCATCATTTCGAACTCTGCTTTGGTCGATGACATTAGCGCTCTCGGCCGCGAAGGCAAGATTGGAACTACGAAGCAGTCAATCGTGTTGAGTGGGCCCGAGCTCATCACGTTGAACGCGGCGCAATGGGATCAGCTTTGCCAGTACCAGGAGATTGTGTTCGCTAGGACGACGCCTGAGCAGAAGCTTCGTATCGTCAAGGAGTTCCAGGCTCACGATAACATCGTCGGTATGACAGGTGATGGTGTCAACGATGCGCCATCGCTCAAGGCTGCCGACATTGGTATCGCTATGGGCAGTGGCTCCGATATCGCCATCGAAGCTGCCGATATGGTCCTTCTCGATTCATTCGCCGCCATCATCGAGGCTGTTCAGTACGGTCGCCTGGTCTACGATAACTTAAAGAAGACAATCGTGTACTTGCTTCCCGCCGGTAGCTTCAGTGAGCTGTGGCCTGTCGTTACCAACGTCGCATTTGGTATTCCACAGATCTTGTCATCCTTCCTCATGGTAAGTATATCTGGTCTCGAAACACTGCGTCCGTTAGCTGACTTTGTCTAGATCATCATCTGCTGTCTTACCGATTGTGCTGCCGCCATCACGCTTGCATATGAGAAGCCAGAGGCCGACGTGATGCTTCGCCCTCCCCGCAATCCGAAGAAGGACAGGCTGGTCAACGCTCGGCTCATCTTCCATGCCTACTTTGTTGTTGGTCTACTGCAGTGTTTCCTCGCCTTTACCATGAGCTTCTGGTGGATGCAGCGCAGAGGAGTTCCGTTCACGGCGATGTGGTTGAAGTTTGGTGTCTACGATCCTCAATACGACCCGGAATTCGTTACCGAAGTCGCCAACGAAGCTTCGAGTATCTACTTCGTCACACTCGTGATCATGTGAGCATAATCTTGGAAGTATACTGAGAAACTAGCTAATATTAACGACAGGCAACTATTCAACCTACTTGCTACTCGCACTCGCAGACTCAGCATCTTCCAGCAGCCGCCTATCTTCAACAAGGCTACTCAAAACTGGTCGCTCTTCCCTGCTATGATCTTCGCTATCGTTGTCGTCTTCATCTTCTGTTACATTCCAGCTCTCCAAGACACGATCGACACAAGGACGGTCTCGGTTGAGCACTGGTTCCTTCCGGCTGCTTTCGGTATGGGCTTGCTCGTTCTCGATGAGTCAAGGAAGTACTGTGTGCGCACTTGGCCCAACGGCTTGCTCGCCAAGATTGCTTGGTGATTGTCTTTCCCTATGTCCGAGGATATCAATCTTTTGACATGTTTTCTTGTTCTGCCGGGGCCGTCCAGTTCAGAGGCAGGTGGCCCACTTGCAACAGTAGCGTAGTTGAGGAGGCTTGCCATGTCGGGTCCGAACGAGGCCCAACCTTTTCCTTCTATTCATCAGCAATATGATCCAGAGCCACGCCTCTTTTCCACATGTTCAGAAGTCCCACAATGCAGTGTGTCACTTCCCACTTCAGCCGCAATATCTGTAGATGCACAACCCCTGTCATCGGCATTTTCCATGCGATACCCCACACGGACTTTAATGCGCCTTGCATAACGAAGAACCTCGTGGCTCAAAGACGAAATGCCGGTTATTGAGAGCAAGGGGTCGACGTCAGCCGGCACCAATCGTATCACCTTGCAATATGAAGTTCCTCACAAGGGACAACTGTAGATGCAGGCTTGACCACATTGGGCGCGGCTAAAGGTGACCGTTCCATGTTCGGCTTTGTGTGTGACGAAGGATAGATGAGTACAGGAACAGAACAGGAACAGCGTGGTGTCTGCGGATGATTTTCCACGCGACAGGAAAGCGTCAGTGCCTGCTCCGTAGCAAACCTTGGGAACGCCAAGCGAGGGCGCCCCGCAGACTTCGCCAAACCTTGCTTCGACGACCTCATCCCTCCTCAGGTTGGCACACCGGCGATGACGCGCTGCTAGGAACCGACGACGCCATGGCAAGTCTGCAACACGCCACGGATCTCGATACAAGACACCCCAGACACCTAGAGCTTCGCGTTTTTGATGAATGTCCGCCCAAACGATCCAGTGCTGTTTAGAAATGCTTGCAACGGGATGAAAAGCCCGTGGCAATGTTACAAGTTCATAGCATATAGTATTTTCTACCCGGATACCAGATGATTGTGGGTAAGGCTCAACCTCTCCAGCCTATCGTCACACGTCACCGCCATATGATGGCATCAACGTCCTACCGAAGCGCCTGAGGGTACCATGGAGGTCCAAAGGCACCTCCCACACGATTTGATATCATTAGCGTGGAGTTCCAAATGCTTCTCTATTTCGGTCAGTCTCACCGCGACCTGAAAGCCATCTTTGTAAAGGGTTTGAAGCTGCAGAGCGTTCAAGCGTGCGTGCCACGTGGGCGGCATGGCCCAACGGCGGTTGGCTGACTTCGTTATTTGGACGCTGATGCTGATGATCATACCACGCTCGAAACTTCTCAGACTGCAGCGCTTGAGGCTTTTGGGGTGGGTGCGAGCGGCATGGTTCAACCTAGATAGCGAGTACATATCGATAGCGATGAGACTCACACCTTCTCGTGCTCGACACGGCCCCTGAATTTCTGCAGCCTCCTCTGAAGATTTCGCATGAGGAATTCCATAACATCTTCCTAACTTCGGTGGCTATAGCTTGCGACAGATGCTCGGCGCTCACTGTACCGCTATCATACCCGCCACATGAGTAGAAGCCAAGTGCCTTGGAAGATGCAGCATATGGGCGCTTTACCTCCAATGTCACGGGCATAATATCTTGTGCGGCAAAACCAGAGGCCGCATCCGCAGCTCCGGGCTCCTTGGTGGCCAGATCAGCAGCATGATTCGACGGCGGGCGTGACAAGCTGCAATGACCTTTCCAGCGCACATTCCAGAGTTCGCCATTTTTTGGTTCATCATACGAAGTGGGCGAACAATTTGGGTCGCAAAGCACTTCAACCCAATCATCATACCAGTTTAGATTAACTCCATATTCCGCAGGAATGATCGATCAGGATTTCCCCGTGGTCCGGCAGTTGTCCTCGTGGACATCACTAATCCGGCGAATACTTCGGCGGTCTCGTTATAAGAGATGTTATTAGGAGGCATGGTTGATGCCTCGGATTCTGTGCCTCCAGATTCATCATCACTTATTCCCTCCAGCATCACGTCCATCCTCCAGAGTCAAAGACTACATCACCATTACTAGACACGATGCAGTGGGCTACCCTCCTCGCTGCGGCCACGGCCTTTGCGGGCAACGCCGCTGCCCAGAACATGCTGCGATTTGCTTGCTCGCAGCTCGTCGTCGAACGAACAGATCCTCTTGTCAACCCGGGCGTCAAGTACACACCACATCTTCACCAGATTGTCGGAGGTGACGCTTTCAACATCACGATGGACCCTTCAAACGACATCGCACAGCTGTCCAAGTGTACTTCCTGCAGCTTTGTTCAGGACAAGTCAAACTACTGGACCGCCGTTATGTTCTTTAAGGCAAAGAATGGAACGTGAGTGCTCACAGTACTATATGCACTTCATGTGAGACACATACTAACCTGCTATATTCAACTTCAGATACATTCGAGTACCTCAGGTATGTAACCTCATAGCAAAAATACCATAACTTAGAAAGCCACTAACCCTGACTCAAGATCGGAAACGGTGGACCACAAGGAAAGCTCATCAATGACGGCGGTCTCGACGTCTACTACATCCCCAGCGGGAAAACCACTGCCTTCAAGAAGGGCTTCCGTATGCTTGCCGGCTCAGCCACCAATACCGACAACAGCAAGGTTAAGCTCTCCAACATCTGCCATCGCTGCTGGACCTCTCCATCCGAGAGTACCTTCGTCGGTGGTGCGCCTTGCTCAGGCTCCGATACCGTCGCCATTCCCAAAGATCCCAAATGCAAGCTCATCCGCCAGACTATCATCTTCCCCACCTGCTGGGATGGCAAGAACCTCGACTCACCAGACCACCAAGCCCATGTCGCTTATGGACAGGGCTCAGGCGCTAATGGTGGCGGCGCTTGCCCCTCTACACATCCCGTCAAGCTACCTCAGATCATGTACGAACTCATGTGGGATGTCAGCAAATTTGCCGACAAAAGCTTGTGGCCCACCGATGGCAGCGACCCCTTCGTATACAGTATGAATATCGGGTAAGCCTTGTTGTCTTCTTCATGCAAATTTCACGTCAACGAACGACCGGATTGCTAACTCCGTACTTTAGTGGTTCTGCTGCACATGGTGACTACGTCTTCGGTTGGGAAGCCGACTCCCTGCAAAAGGCCATGGACAACAATTGCAACCTCAACACCGCTTGCCCCAAGGCTGGTCTCACCGTCCAGCAGCCCGCGCAATACAATGCTTGCAAGAAGAAGCAACAAGCTCCCGAGGATGTTGATGGCTGTAAGTTTCACGTACTCGGCTATCACTCATGCGCCATGAAGCTGACATACACAAAATAGGGCTCAAAGAGATGCCGCTCGGCGACATGGCCATCAAGGCATAGACGCTGTTCATCCACACCGACTCCTCAAGGATTGTGTCACTCGGTCGTTGTTGTATTCGTCCTTCGGTAGAAGGGTATTCAGGTGTGGTGCTTTTAGCTTAGCACTCGTTTGGCATTGCGTTGTATAAATCTCTAGATCGCAGGGGAGAATCTAAGTGCGCTTTAACGTGGCGAACATCACGCTTTTGGCAATGTAGCATGCTCGTGATGCTACTGAACAATGGAGACCGGTCACATTCCTCAACTTCTCCACTTCTTATCTTTCGCTTCTTCATGACTGGAAGGATTTATCATCGTTGGTGAAGCACCGCAAGCTTATCTCCAACCATGGTGGATACCGAAGTCCCAATCTTGTCTCTTCATTTACAAACTTGGGATTTACATCAAGTCACTGCCTCATTCAACGCTTCGCGTGCCTACCCTACACAGACCCTTACACCAAGCAAATCTTCTCGTGGATAGAAATACAATACCCCATGGCTTCAGCGTGCAAGAGCTCACAGGCATGTGCACATAGCAGCATTCATCATCTTCGGAGAAAGATACAACTCTAACTTTCTATAATGTATACTCCACGAAAGCCTCAACGATATCTACAAGCCCACTCTCAAGCCCACCGCGTTCTCTCTGCATTCACCCTTCTACATCATCTCCGTAGCATTCCCCGCGCCCCCCGTACTCGCAACCCCATTCCGAGCCAGCAGTGCGTCAAAGTTCTGATTCGCACCCGCACTGAAGTCGTGCGTGATGTAGTTGTACACATCATGCACAGGAATTGATGCGCTAGTCGAAGACGGGTTGGATACTTTGCTCTGCGAGCACGCGAAACCAAAGCGCTTGCTGCCGCTGGGATCAATGCGCACAGCGCCGGAGGAACCGGTGTAAGTTGTGCAACCAGTGCATTTTACGGTGAATTGCCAATGCGTGTTGTTGGACTTGTTGCCGGTTGTGAGGGGCGTGTAGGTTGCTGAGGTGTATTGTTGGGGTGTGGAGTGGCCGCTATAGGACTTGTTAGTATATTCGCGGATAGGTTTAGGGCTTAGTGACTTACGTGGCCCATCGTGAAGATACGGTCGGTTTCTGGCCGTTGGGATACGACACTGTAAGAGGGTTGCGGATCATGCTTCCGCCCCATGCGAGACCAACCCAACCGAGAGCGTTGGGCGCGACAACTTGCAGAACAATGTCGTAGGGTTGTCCCGCTGGCACGTTGGCGGGTTGCGCTATACGGTAGATAATGTTAGATGAGAGAGTTGCTGCCGCCTTGGTCTCAGAGAAAGTGAAACCAGTTTCCGAGTCTACGACGCTCACAGCGCGAGGCACTAGATGTTGTGCTTCTGATGTAGGCCACGCTTGAACTAGGAGGTGTCAGCTGAAAGCGCTGTTTGTGTTGTATTGCGCTACTCACCGAGGCCAGCTAGAGCCGCAAGATTGTAGGTAAAGCGCATCTTGATCAATTGTCGATCTGTGAAACTGCGCGTAGTCACCAGCAGCGTTGTCGCAGAGTATGCAAGCTTTGGAGGTAAAAAAAAAGAGTGAAAGATGTTTTGCGTGTCACAAGAAAGTTCCAGAGCAACAAGATACCTTAATAAAACCTATCCAGACTCGCCAAGGTGCCACGCAGAAATCCCATCCACTCCGAACGCACAGCGTAAAGTACACAGCGGCGATATACAAACACGCGTGCAAGATAGACTAGAATAGCACCCAGCTTATCCAGGTTGAGACCTTCCTGCCACGCGTGACTGACTTCATCGCAACCCGGGTGTAAGGTTCCAAGGCTTCTGGAATATGGGCCAACGTCCACAGGAATGCTCTTGATTACTACTCCAAGCCAGCATCGAACTTTCTTTGGTGGTTGTGACCATGCGAATGCGGAATATACGCTGTTTCTGGAAGGTCGCAAGTGGAGGAAGGAGGCGGTTGTGTTGGCTGTGAGAGGTTCGTGTATTTACCCGCATAGTGTGTATAGTGAAGATAGATGGGTTTGTGTATCAATCAAGTGGAGATGTGTTGCCACTTCCCGGGAAGCATGAATACGATTGTGAAGAGGCCTATGTTCCGGGCTGAGCAGAAATCGAGAATGTAAGGAAACGCGACGATGGATTGCACCGAGAAGACTGGAAGACAGAAGCACTGCTCATGGAAATGGGTAGGCGAGATTATTGGAATATTGAGTCATGCCGACAGGATGTACCCCAGATGTAACACTTCGAAGACGGATGCAACTGCAAGCGAGCGCCACTGTATGCATCTCACTCCGAATCGCTTCCCCACATCTCGCTTGTGGGGCAGGACATCCCCGCGGAGTTCACGTGGCTAGTCGCGTGTGGCGCGGCCAAGCCCGTCATACCATGAGACCTTCATAAATCGCGAGGGGTTGTCGAGATTGGTACCCGCTTTGTTGATACAAAGATGTAACTAGAGCGGTGTCTGCCGATCCATCAAAGCTCTGCCTGGACATCTTTCCACCCTGGTGTTGAAGCCGCTGGCATCGAAGTCTAGAAGGTAGAGTAAAATTTTGGAAAAGTTGAGGAGGTTATGCGGAAAATGTTGGCATTTATTACTTGCGCGAAATCGCTTTCTGTGCACTTATGATGATTGTTAGTTTAGATGAAGATGTACAGTATAGTAGGAACATATGATATTACAACTCTGGCACAAGTCTCAGTTCATGATGGTATCAGTACTGCTCAACCTTCTGTGAGCTTCTGCAACTTCTGCGCAACGACGCAGATCGACCTCATGATGCCCATTTTCGCGTGTTGTGCGCCACCAGATCGCGCGAACCAGAAAGCGGTACCAGCAACAGAAGCCAACACCAGACCAGCAACGCCATTGAGGATCTTGGCCTGCCTCTGTGCTGCTTGCCGAACCTCGGAGTATCGCATGTTGCTGAATGTGACCCGTGAATACTGCGTGGCCCAGCCAATGCTCGGAACGTAGATATAGAGTTGCTCCTCCACCCATTTTCGCAGTAGATATAGCGGCTTCTTGACGTCGCTTGCCATCTCGCGATAATTACCGTCGGCAAGATCGTTGATGGTATGTGCGTCAGGAGTGCGCTCCTTGGTATATTCATCTAGCGCCTTTGATCGGTCGTCGGGATACCTGTCGATGAAGTCGAAAAGAACGCGAACGTCTTCCAGTCCAGCGTTCATTCCTTGGCCGTAGAACGGTACCATAGCATGGGCCGCATCCCCTAAGATAACACCAGAATCTCCGTAGTGATACGGAGTACATTTGATCGAGATCAAAGGTAGGTGCTGGTTAGATGTGTACTGCTTGCGAAGATCGTCTTCGGTGATGAGATCAGGAACCACACCTGGGAACCTCTCATTGAAGTACTCGACTACTTTTCCAGACGCGTCCAATTGCTCAAAGCCTTCCCTGGTCAAGAAAAGCGTTGATGTGAACGTCTTGTCTAGGTTTGGGAGAGCGATGAACATAGATTCGTCCTGGGGCCAGATGTGTAGGTAGTTTGGAGGTATTCTGAATTCGCCGTCCGGTGTGGCTGGAACGTTGAACTGGCACCAGAGTTTGTCGATGTACTCTTGCTGAAACGACATGGGGACAAACTTCATCAAGTGATATCGCACCGCTGAGTGTGCACCGTCCGCACCGATCATGAGATCGAAATTGATTTCGAATTCGTCGCCCTGCTCTTCAGGAGACTTGGTACGATGCTCGAACCATGCGGTCTTCTTCCGGAAGTCTGCGCCGACCAATTTGTGATTGAACATGAGCTTGACGTTAGGCATGGCCTCGAGATGGTCAAGCAAGGTCTTATTGAGACCTGTTCGGTCCATAGCTAACAAATTCTACTCTAATTAGCGTGGGATCAACGACAAGCGGCCATGCTGTACTTACTCTCCCTCTCGCATCATAGATCTGTGGCTGTCGAACATACTCTCCATTCTTTCTTATATGGATCATGCGACCATGCATGGGGAATGTCTCTGCCAGGACTGCATCTGCAAGGTCGGATAGTCCGGTCTTGCGAAGGGAGTGGATACCTCGCTCCGATAGAGCAAGGTTGATAGACTTGGAGAAGTTTAATGGTGTGGTGTTGGGGTCTCGAAGATCTGGCTAGCGTTAGGGCACTCGCTAGCACCTAGATGGTTTACAGATCATTATCTCACCTGCTCTTAGCTCGTAGACATCTACTTCAAACCCACGTACGGCTGCATAAAGCGCAGCCAAAGAGCCTACTGGCCCGGCTCCGACCACAACAACTCTCTGCGTCATGGTGATAGGGAGGTAATGTGAAAAAAGATGGAGTAAAAAGATGGTTGGTTCACTGGTCTGTGCTCAGAAGCGGCGTGGTGTGAGTTGAAGAGTAAGAGGGGAAAGAGAGAAAGAAGGGTAGAAATACATGGTCTGTAAGGAAGGGAAATGCGAGACACGGGTGAAAATTATCAAACCATTACCAGGAATCCAAAGAGTCAGATATGATGGCAAAGTAGGGCAGATGATGCACGTCAAGACTGGAACGGGTAAGCGCGACCTCTGGTTCAAGTTCGCTACTTAGTAATCGGTGATCGGCGGCCGGCGGCCTGGACCCCTGCAACGAATTCCGGCTTGACGATGCAGTGGTGCGAATGAAAGTAGGAATCCACCACTTCCTCCGTGCGCAAACCGTTGCCTCGCACACTTAGGTTCCTTGCGCGCTGTACGTTAGAGTGCACGTGAAAACCAGGCCACCTCCGCCTTGACCACGCCCTATACACGCCCTATACCACCGCACGCGATGGCCACAGACGCCCCGCGCAAGTGCGCAGGCAAGGACTGCGAGAACGATGCGAGCTCGCTTCAATGTCCGAACTGCCAGAAGCTCGGAAAAGAGAACTACTTCTGCTCGCAGGATTGTTTCAAGCGCAACTGGGTACATAGTGAGACTGCTCTTAAACTACAGACAAAACAATCTAACGGCCCTCTAGGCTGAGCACAAGAAGGAGCACAAGTCACAAAGTAGTATTCTCCAAAGTATCTTTACGCCGAAAGTAGTTTCTCACCCGGATCCAGCCACCGGCCACTACAACCCGTTCCCCACCTACTCGTACACCGGAGCCCTCAGACCCGTATACCCGCTCTCGCCGCGACGCGAAGTCCCGAAGCACATAAAACACCCAGACTATGCGAAGGATGGCATACCGCGCTCGGAGCAGGTGTTTGTCAACAGGAATAAGATCACAATTTTGAACAAGGAGGAGCAAGATGCCATGCGCAAGGTGTGTCGGTATGGGCGCGAGATTCTGGATATTGCAGGAAGAGCCGCAGTGCCTGGTGTCACCACTGACTACATCGACGAGCTGGTTCATAAGGCTACTGTTGAGCGTGATGTAAGAGCGGCAATGATAGGGAATCAGAAAGTCTTGTTAACAGCAATAGTCTTACCCATCACCCCTCAACTACTGCCATTTCCCCAAATCCGTATGCACGTCGCTAAACGAGGTCATCTGCCACGGTATCCCTGACCAGCGAGTACTCAAGGACGGCGACATTTTGAACATTGATATTTCCGTCTACCACGGCGGTTTCCACGCGGATCTGAACGAGACGTTTTACGTCGGCGACAAGGCTTTGGCGAACCCCGATGCTGTACGCGTCACGGAGACAGCGCGAGAGTGCTTACAAAAGGCCATTGAGATCGTCAAGCCAGGCACATTGTTCCGTGAATACGGAAACGTCATCGAGAAGCACGCAAAGAGCAAGAACTGCAGCGTCATCAGGACATACTGCGGGCACGGCGTCAACCAGCTGTTCCATTGCGCACCCAACGTTCCTCACTATGCGAAGAACAAGGCAGTTGGATCGGCAAAGCCCGGCATGTGCTTCACCATTGAGCCTATGATTAGTGTTGGTTCGCATAGGGATAAGACATGGCCAGATGAATGGACGAGTGTCACACAGGATGGCTCTCTGACGGCGCAGTTTGGTAAGCCCTACAGATATGCGTCAATGTGACTGCTCATGACTGACTTGCTGCAGAACACACCCTACTCGTGACAGAGGATGGTGTGGAGGTTTTGACTGCAAGACTGCCAGATTCGCCGGGTGGTCCGGTACAGATGCCGGGGGCTACAAACGGTGAGGCTAATGGCGAAGCGAAGGCAGCTGCTTGAGGACGATTGGATACTTGGGGATAACGTACCTGTTTGATACTTTCTTAGACTACGCATGGCGTGGTTCAAGAGCACGAGGCTTTTGACATTGTTCTGGGTTCCATGGCATGCTCGTGATGGCGGTCTGTAGTGATGTTCGTGTTGTTGGCAGTCATGGCTCTGCACAACTCGTTTCGTTGAAACGAAACAATGCGTCCGTCTGTGAGATCACTAACCTTCGGTCAAGCTTCGGTCGGACGGTGTTGGCCCGCTCAACGCACACCTGCAAGCGAAGCGAATGACGCTAGTGGTGCCTGCCCGCCGTCCAGGGAAGCAACTCGTGTCTCCGCCTCAACGTCATCCAAACATCTCTGCCCAACGCCCGCCAGAATTTGAGCGACCTTGTCAATCGACGTTATTACTCAGGATTCCACCATCGCATCACCGTCGTGTAACTCCACCGCCCACCCACGTCATCACAACCTCTAGCCAGGCCCCGCGCACGAGCTAGCTTCCCGCGTTCTAGCTCGGCAGCCTGCAAACACACGATCGCATCCGAGTGCTGAACCTCTGTCGACCACCTGTCCATTCGTATCCAGGTGTCTACTGGCGACATCGCTAGTCTATTTTAAACCCTCTCTCTACGCCAAAGCCGTGCTACGCAGCACACGATACTCCCACAATGACTGGTGAAGCATGGTTGTACCTGTTGGCGGTGCTGATAAATGCCGTCAACCTGTTCCTACAAGTCTTCTTTACTATCATGTACAGCGATCTGGAATGGTGAGTGAGCCCCAGGCATACAATGCCATGGCGTAGCAATCCACGCGATACGGCCCGTACCTTGATCGGCACATGCTAATTTTGCGCCAGTGACTACATCAATCCCATCGATCTCTGCAACCGCCTGAACACCTACATCATCCCCGAGGCCGCCGTTCACGCTTTCCTGACCTTCCTGTTCCTCATCAACGGATACTGGATTGCGTTGATCCTGAATCTGCCTCTGTTGGCATGGAACGGAAAGAAGTATGTAGCATGGTCGGACGATACTAAGAAACAAGGGCAATGCTGACAGTCACAGGATCTTCGAGAACCAGCATCTGTTGGACGCAACGGAGATCTTCAGGAAGCTTAATGTGCACAAGAAGGTATGATGAGAGTACACCGAGTATATGGCGATAGGCTAACGGCCACACAGGAGTCTTTCATCAAGCTGGGCTTCCATCTGCTCATGTTCTTCTTCTACCTCTACAGCATGATTGTCGCCCTCATCCGCGACGAGTCTCACTAGGTGGGGATCTCGGTAGCCTTGTTGGTAGTTGTGTTCGTGGCTTTGCTACTCACAGCGAACTACGGCTAGCGACTCCAGAGACGATTAAAGAACGATGGATAGATACAGTTGATATCCGGCTCGGGGAAACGAGCCACGCGTGCGCATATTGCTACCGGGAGGACATGTTGCTTGGTCTAGGATAATGCGGGATACCTGGAGCGACAGGTCTGGAGATGGGAACTGCATACAGGAAGAATTGAACGAGTTATGGGGTATGATAGCGTTATGTTAGTCTCCTGTAAATGGACCATAGTTTTCACATGTAACTACGCAATGCATGGGCGGGCGTGGTCCGTGCGCAGTCACCCACATTTTCTGGTGAGCTGGGAAGCTTCCATCTACAACTTCGCATCCGACACGCCGCGTCATTCTCTCCCAACCTTGCCGACCCTGCTTTTGGAATCGTCGCCAGTTTCCACACATTACGCGACCCTTCAACCAATACCACCAGCAGCCAGAATGCCCGCCGGAGGCTCGGGCAGGGTGCCGACGGGGTTCGCTGCCGAGACGTACATCAGCGACCATACGTTTCGCCAGGGTCAGCGCGCCATCGAGAGCGGCGCGGGGTCGAAGAAAAGAAAGCGAGAAGGCAAGGGCGATTCTAGCGTCGTGACTGGCGCTGGCGCATACAAGGGACCATGGGCGAAGTATGAGGAAGAAAGGCCAGACGCTGCCTCGGATGACGAGTTCGGGTCGGACGTCGAGGTGGAAATAGTTTACGAGGAAGACGAGATCGTCGACAACGCTGCGCCCGCGCAAAAGAAGCTCGCCGGCACAGACTACCGCGATACCGAAGCCGAGGGCGAGACGAGCGAGTTCGTTGGCAGCCAGCAGTACGACTACCAGGGACGGACGTATATGCATGTGCCCACCGATCTCGATATCAAACTCACCGGCGATTACGAGCCTAAGAACTTCATACCGAAGAAACTGATCCACACCTACAAATACCACACCAAGTCGATTACCCAGGTCCGCTTCATGCCTGACAGCGGGCATCTCCTACTTTCTGCCTCTGCCGATTCCAAGATTGCGCTATGGGACGTCTACCATCAACGCGAGCTCCTGCGAACATACTCTGGGCATACAAAGTCGGTTGTCGACATTGACTTCAACCCCAGCGGCACACAATTCATATCGGCTAGTTACGATCGGTTCATGAAGCTATGGGATACGGAGACAGGAAAATGCCTGAACAAGTTCACAACTGGAAAGACACCACATGTGGTGCGCATCAACCCCAGTACACCACACGAGTTCTTGGCCGGTATGAGCGACAAGAAGATCCTGCAATACGACGCAAGAAGCGGAGAGATGGTACAGGAATACGACCATCACCTGGGACCCGTCAACACGATCACCTTCTGCGACGAGAACCGCCGCTTCATTACCACGTCAGACGACAAATCCTTGCGCGCCTGGGAATACGGCATTCCCGTACCTATCAAGTTCATCGCCGAACCCTACATGTTCTCCATGGTTCGCTCCTCGCCCCACCCCTCAGGCAAATACGTTGCCTTCCAATCGTCCGACAACCAGATTACCGTCTACAGCTCCACCGACCGCTTCCGACAGAACCGAAAGAAGAGCTACAGAGGGCATAATGTGGCTGGATATGCACCAGACGTGGCGATCAGTCCCGACGGGCAGTTCATCAGCTCGGGTGACAGTGGAGGTTTCTTGTGCTTCTGGGACTGGAAGACGTGCAAGATGTACCATAAGATTCCGGCGAGCGATGCGCCTGTGTTGTCAGTACAGTGGCATCCTAGGGAGTCGAGCAAGGTGGTTGCTGGTGATTTGAACGGTGCTTTGAGATTGTATGATTAGGCGTGGAGGTTGAGGGAGCGGATATAGCGATACCCAATGCATTCGATACCAATTGATGATGATTTTGACTCATTGGCTGCTTGTGTATGCCGGGCTCGATAAGCAGTCCAAGTCACACGTCGAGAGTGCTATGCCTCCGATGGTTCACCGACTCTGCGTTGGCAGACTGAACATTGACAATGTCCTTCGACCCACCTTACTGTGCATGCGCCGCGTAGTTGGCGAGAAGTTCGGTCCTGACTTCTTCAGCAGTTCACCGGCTATGCGCTGGCAAACACCTGGACCATATGCGCACTTGCGCAATTCAGAGCCGTACAGTCGCCACGCAATTGTCCGCTTTGAGTCAGTGCTGGATGAACACCCACGTGAAAGGCCTTCAGCCTTGCAACAGCCTTACTCGGATCGATGGCCTCCGCCGCGCATCCACCCCGCCATGCACCAGGACCCTCTCACTGCGCCTCCTCCTCTATCCCACAACACCGCCTTTTGCCTTGACATCTCTGCCCTTTTTCTCATGAAACGCCCACATTTTCCATTATCGGACGCCGCCGATGAGCTCTTCAACGTTGCATCGCGGTGAGTGCTTTGCAATGCTGCCTGCAATGGCTCCAGGCACCTACATTGCCCTCAGCCCCCACACCCCATCTTCTTTCGGTCAACCGGTGACTTTCTCGTTCACCAGTCTTCTCCGCTTTGTCATTATCCATTTCAGGCATCGCTGTCGCCTGGGGTATCAGGCACGTCACTGGATAACGCGTCTCTGACAGATTTCCTGCTGCCTTCTCATAGGTTCGTCCCGCTTGATGTGCCTTGCAGGAGAAGATGGCTGCAACGCGTACGCTCTTTGCGCCATGCGAGTCACCACCTCGACCCCTTCTAGCCGTGACCCGACCTTAGTCCAAGCCGATTGAACTGGTTCCTTTGGTAAATCCGCACTCGCCGATGATGACTCTTCCTCTTGGCAGATCGAAAGGTGAACGGAAAGTGCAGCCTAATCGCTGATTCGCTCCACACGCGTGTCCTGCCTAAGGATCTGTCCCGAGGTGAACATAGCCACGCGTGTGAATCATCGCAATCGCGCAGTCATTCACCTGGTCCACGCGCCTAGCCCAGCTATTCAGGCAACGGCGTTACATTGAGCGTTAGGAGAACTCCGATGGCGAAAAAGAACAGTCAACGGGTGCGAGTGGTGAGTGTTGTAGATTGGCGGCCTCAGGACCTGTCTGCCTGGAATAAATAGTCGTAGGTTGAGGTGGGTGATTGCTTTCTTTCTTCTCTTCATCAGTCAATCGATCAATCATCTACAATCATATCAAACGTCTTTCGAGAAGAGTCATAATTGTCCTCGTGTTAGTCCTCAGTCAACAGTCTACCTTGGATTACAATCACGAAACGCCCTTGTCGTCTCGTATACACCCGATACAACTCTATTACCGTCTATCACACAACACACGCCGATCACTCATCTGATCCTCTCGAATCACGACTGGCTACTCAACGCCTCCAACACCCTCAACACCAATCAACCATGTCGTCAAGCTCATCTTACGGCTCCTACGGCCAGAACAAGGGTGCCTACGCATCTCGTCCCTCGACATCTTCCACATGTATGTTGTCAACTCCTATCAGATCACCCCAAAGACATGACTCTAACATATTTGCAGCCTACTCTGCCGCCTCATCCAGCCTATACACAAACTCCGGTAGCTCGTCACGGAGCAAAACATACAAGAACCCACCAATCATTCACAACGGCGGTGGAAAGATCAACGACCCGAACACGTCCACGTCCGCGCCGAATGGGACATACTACAACTAGGCGAGACAGTGGTCGTCTGATAGGGTGACTCATGCCTTGATGGAGATCACGATGTCTCTTTGCGCTACTACTGTTTTCCTTCGGAGTTTTTACGGCATACCATGGCGTTTCGACTGGCATTTATTGACTACTAGATGGTCAAGGCTTTGGTACTAAGGGCGTATAACACTGGCTTGCTTGCTGATACTTCTTTTCGCCCGGATATTGGGGCCGGCATTTCCTAGATTTTCGTACTTGATGGTGGGTCGAGGTCCTTTTATCGGGTTGTATCTCCCCTAATCATTCCCTTTGGTATGATTCTTATCTAGCATTTGTACAATAGATAGTCCAAACAACAAAAACACACACACATTCTATCTTAACCTCCCTACTGTAATCATATGGCGATCGGCGTGAAGTTTCAATGAGCAGGTCTCCTACTGGCCAACAGCCCCATACCAGCCCAGCCCCAAAACGGCGCCTATAATAATCGCCACGGCGGGCGGCACACCAAACCAAGCAGTCTCCGCATATGCCAAAGCGGCAACAACAACCCACCACGGCTCATCCGCCAGACTCCTCCCATCACTGCTCTCCGGAGTCAAATAACCAATCTCCCAAAGCCTATACACAGCTGTGAACACTAGTCCCACGGCAGTCGCATTAATGCCTCTTAGCAGACTAGCCACCCAAGCCTTGGTGCGCATACCCTGCCAGATAGACTGCACACCGACTGCGAGCACAATACCAGGGAAGAAGATGCCAATGAACCCCAGGAGAGCTCCCACGATGGTAGGCATATACGTAGGAGCCGAGGCGATAGCCAAGGCACCGAGGTATACGGCGAAGTTAAAGTTGGGGCCAGGGAAGGCTTGGATGATGGCGAGACCGAGGAGAAAGTCTCGGGGGGATACCCAGCCAGGATCTACGACGTAGGAGCGGAGGAGGGGAATCACTACGGGGCCGCCGCCGAAGATTATGGTACCGGCTAGATACCTGTGCGGTGTGAGATTGGAAGGGGAGGACCGGGTAGGTAGACGGGGGACTCACATATTAGAGAAAACATCGAAGGGCCGGGTGCTAGAGACGGTGCCACGGATAACCATGACGACGATGAAGGAGACGAGGAACCCCATGATGAGCGACACGCCAACCTTCACAGAGATATTGTGCGTCCTCACATCAGCCACAGGCTCATTCGTCGCAGTCACATCATCAACAATCGAATGTTCTCCAGCGTGACTCTGGCCCGCCTCTTCCCGCTCAGGCACAATACGATCAGTCGAGCTGCCCGTTCCCACCCTCCTCTTCACAGCTTCCGGCCGCTGAAGCTCAACAGGTATGGTCTGCGTGGTAGCCTGAACGTCTTCCGCATCACCCTGTTCGTTCCTCGCTCTCTTCCTCTTAGCCTGATACGCGGCTCTCATCTTACCTACGCGCCGACCCAGCCAAATGTCCCACACCACCGTCGTCAAACCACCAATAACAATCAACACAGGGAAAAACCAAATTGCATTATAACACAACCCCGCACACGCACCGAAAATGACCAAGATACGTGTTACCCGGTCTTTGATAGCTTTCTCGGCTAGCTGAACAGCAGCTAGTGCGACGATGCCGACGGTACTGGCGTTGAGACCGGAGAGCAGGGCGTACACGATGGGAGGCAGGCGTTCGGGCATCTTTTGCACGCCGAGCGAAAGGCCGTACATGCCGATTGCGCCGGGGAGACTCCAGAGGAGGAAGGCGAAGATGGCGGATACGATACCCGCGTGGAGGAGGGCGATGCAGAAGCACATCTTGGTAGAGGCGGGGCCGGGGAGCGCTTGACAGATTGCGAACAATTCTTGATACTGAGGTTTGGGGTGTTAGCTGTGTTGGTTCCTGTGGTCGATTTGGTTATGAGTGGTATATCTCTTCATCTTCTCATCCGGTCTCAAGGAGAATTCCTAGCTCTTTCTTGCGACACAACTCCATAGTACCAAAGCCCTAGTACCTCCAAATAACCATCTTCAAATTACTTACAGTCTGTTCATCCAACCACTTGCTCCCACCTTGGAACCCTACTCCCTCGACAAACCTCCGATGCAGAATCTGGAAATGCACCGGTGGTCCTCCAAAGGCAGTGAAGCCCAGATCCCACATGCGAGTAAACACTTCGACGAGACGCCATTGAATCTTCTCGGTATTGGCTTGTAGATGGGCTGGTGGAGGTGCGGCGCGATGACTGCGCCGCCGGAGCGAACTTATGAGCGATTGGAGTGGCATTGGTAGTAATGGTCAGTTCATGCGTGTGATCGTGATGTGGGCAGTTGTGTTGAGGAAGAGACGCTTATATCCTCCAGAGAAATTGATGCTGGGCGCGCATCATGCACAGACAGACGCACAGAAGCCAAGACACTCCATTCGCGAAGAAGACGTGATGGATACACATTGTCCAATCATCATGCGCATGTGTTGCGACATTTGTGGCTTGCCTAGGTTCGTCGTGGCCAAGACATGGCGGTTGCGTTGGGGAAGACGCGTGCAGAGGAAGGAAAGTTTAGGCGGGTTTGTCACTCCATGGCTATGATTGGCCACTGCTTGGATGGCTAGCGTAGAAATGAACTTCCTAATCGGGCAGGTTCTGGGATCTGTTGATCACGGCATAGGTGAAGATACCACGGAGGCCTCGAGCGGCGTCGGAGCCCAGGTGATGTTGAAGTGTATATACTTCGCATGGCGCATGAAGTTCACTGATGGCTTCTCCTTTTCACTCCCAACAATTGAAAGTAGCTCAAGTAGTCCTGGTTGGTGTGGTCATCCTGGCCGCAATCTAGTCCAGCGCAACAACCCGACGGCTTCGTCTTCACACCCCTTGCCCTGTGCTGAGTAGCTTACAGAATGATAGTACGGCACTTATGCAAACTCTCTTGATCTGTACAGTTTCGATTGTAGTATGTATCTAACGATTGGCATGCTATCACAGCGATACTTCAAAGAGACAAGAAAATACCTAGGTAAAGTATATAGCGATTGGACAGTCCACCGGACCAAACACACCTCAGCTTTCAATCCACCATGATGGTAATTCGTCTTCGGGTCTAGCACTGAACGCTCCAGTTGTTCCACTCGAAGTCAGGCTGGATGTCGCGATCCTGGTCCGTAGCAGTGTACGACATGGTAACCTCACCATCCTCACACTCATCAGCATCCGCATGGAAAAAGATCTCGCAGCTACCCATTTCAGAGATGCGGAAACAGCCGTGCGGTTCCGCCGTATCCTCACACTCTACATCGTCGTCCCCCTCGTTGAAGTCAGTGGAAGTGATGCAGTCTTCTTCGAAGACCTCGAACTTCCAGGCTTTGATGAGTGCCGGAGCGAGGAGTATCAGAGCGGTGGCGAGGGTGAACTTCATGTTTGCTGTTCTTGGGTAGGCAATTCGTTCTGGGTATCTTCTGTGTTGGTTGATTGGGCGGCTTCACGTAGCTCTTTTGCGTATCGAGGGTGGTAGATGACTTTGATGTGCTCGTTCTCCCACTCGACGACTGATGTACCCTTGGTAGATAGGTGGTACTTGACAAGCGAGCGTCGTAGTTGTGGCTCTTCTATCTTTTCGGGGATAACAAAGTACAAGTCTTGCTTCTTGTGTGGGTTGTAAAGAAGGTATTTGATGGGATGGGGAGACTCGTCCTTCAGGTCGTAGACGTATTGTCGTCGGAGAGTGTCAATCCAATTGCCGTTTAGATTGCGTGTTGTCATTCTGAGAGGTAAGAATAGGATGTCGAGGGGTATTTATGGGTTTTCCGTTGGCTATCTTTTCCAACCTCTGTTGATCACTATCCTCGTCGTTGTCGTCTATAGGCGTCCTGTATGTTTCGTATGTTTCGTATGATAGGTCCGGTCGTTCAGCAGCCGCAGTGTGCTCCGCGGCGTAGTCGTAATCTTTCTGCTCGTCCTGCCTGGGTGGCCCTCACCGTGTCTCCTGGTAAGCGGTAGTATCTTGTCGCTCCTACTGGCTCGAGCTGGTATGTCAATGCGTTGTTTGGTCAGTCATTCCAGATGAGAGGCATGGATAGTTCAAAGAAGGCACGATATCCTTACAGGGCGATTTCTTATGTAAGACTCCGACTCAACAAGCAGACGATCATAGCAGAAAACTGATGAAAGACCGAGACGACCTGGGTAATAAAGACTTTGCTTCTAAGAAAGGTCCATCTTCATGCACCAGTCTTGACATCACATGTTCCGCGATTGGTTCGGGACGAAGCGCTTCGGCTGCTGCTTACCTCATGTGGGGGCGGGAAATCCGTCACTTCACCCAACGGGGAACGAGACCTGATGGTAGCATTACACATTTGGCGACGCTTGTAGCTAAGCAATTGTTCGTGCTGCGCCTGTCTGCTGAATTATCGTAGGATCACGCCCAGAACCAGCTTGGCAACAGGCAAGCAATGGAGATGATAGGCCCAGGACCATATAAGCGCGCCAGAAGACCTCATGCAAACCGAGACACAGGCCTAGTATAGCCAGAAGCTCGCTCTGAAGAGAACGTGTATAATGCTAAGCCAATACAAGCGTCGGAGCCTTCATGTGGGCAAGCGATGAATGATGGTGGCTCAGCCGAAAGTGGTCCAGCGTTCCAAGACTCAGTCAGACGGGGCACAGTGAGCTTGGAGACGACATCTAAGCAGTGCCCGCAGGGTTTGGAAGAGAGCAACATCGAAGGGGAAGTCTTTCCGTTGCCAGCATAACGTTGAAGGATCCGCAGGAATAGTGTGGACAGCGTGATAGGCATATTTCAGGGATTGGCCTAACATCGAGCTGGCCCTGCGCTATGTCAAAGTCGATGAGATGGAGAGTAGAGTTTGCTGCGTTTGAACGCTTCCAGACGCCAAGTTCAACATGTTACGCCCGTGGATAAACTCCGTCGATTACTGTGACGAGACTGCATATCGACGTTCAATGGCTCGCATGCTTCCACATGAGACGGCTATTACTGCATATGCGTCAGTAGTCTAACAAGTCTTACACTTGAACATGATTCTGTTTCTTGTGGAGTATGCACTTGATGCACGGAAGTGGTGGACACTCAAATCAGCAGTGCGGATGGAATTTCCTGTGCTGCGACAGCTGTGGAAAGCTGGCCGAGATGGACCGGTCCTGCCGCGCAATCGTCCATTCGAGATGACAGCCGCGTCATGACGAAGATCGTGAATAAGCCAATGCAGATAAGACTGACGACTGCGCAAGTTGCGATGCAAGTCCCGTAGGAATCGGTGAGGTAAAGAACGGAAGAACGGTTGCCCGCCTGTTGTGGAGCTTGTGGAGACGCCTGAGCTTCGCATCGGCACGGCAACATCTCACAACGACACCTCACACCCCCGAAAAGCTCTTGTAGAATTTCTTGATTCTTTACATACTCTCGAATGAATCCTCACATGATTCGTCGTGGTAAATCTCTATGATTCCCGACATGTTCCAGATGACCTTGTCAGATCTCCGTTCAACCCTTCCCTCGTAAACGCCTCCGCTTGTCGCGCGGGAGCCGTAGCTCAAACATCGATCGCATCGACCGTAACGCCCTTGACCCAAGAATACTGCATAGCACGAGCGACCTCCAGAGCCGAGTCGTGAGACGCCAAAGAACCCACCAAGTACAGACTGGCATCGAGCCCAGCAGTCACACCGCCAGTGGTGATGACGCGCATACCGCCCAGGGGCATGGAAGCACGTCGAGCGATGGATTCGCGGCGGCGAGAGTCGCGCCAAGCATTGCTGCCCTTACGAGCGATCGACTTCCTACGAGCATGGCCCATGTTGGTGCCCTCGGGAGCGCTCGGCGGCTCACGCGACTTCTTGATGATGTATCTGCAATGGTGAGCGATGCATGCCAGTCAACTCAAAGCCTACTTACGGGTTGTCGTCGGGGTTCTCGCCTAGGTCGAAGCGGGCGTTGTTGACAACGTACCGCTCCTCCATGACGTCTGTACGCTCCGACATGTCGCGTCTAGCCGCATCTTGACAGATGGTCTCGAGACGGACGTAGTAGTCTGGATGGGTTGTAGCGGCAAGACCCTCGAGCATACCCTGCTGAGCGAGGAGCAGGGCACCGACGTCGATGGCGAGGATGGTGCGTTCTTTGCTGGGACTCTTCTCCTGGAGCTCGACGTACTTGGTGAGGAGGCCGAGAGGCTCGGACTTGTTCTTGAGGACCTCAAAGACACCCTCACCACCGGGGACAATGACGACGTCAAAGTCCTCGAGTTCGTCGTTGGCGTCCTGAGATGGATGTCAGCGCAGGTTCTTTGCTGCTCACTGGTATGCTTACATCGTAGTCCATGTCCGCTTTGATGGTGAGACCCTGGACGGACGTCATGGCAGCCGCAGTGCCGACAAATTGGCAGTTGAAGGCCTTGCTAGCTGTGGAGTGTCAACAACCAGTTAATTGACCGAGCTTCTTGACTTACACTTGTCCTTGGAGTCCTGGAGAGAGCGACTGAGGACCTCAAGCGGACCTGCCACGTCGAGCGTGTTGTAGCCCGGGAACAGGGCAAACAGCACCTTGACCTGCTCGACAGGGCCATCGGTGCTGTCAGCGATTGCACTCATTGTGAATGTTTTGAAGTAGGATGTGAATTGAAATGGATTGAGTAGATTGTTGAAGTGAGCATGAAGTTGTTGGAGGAGAGAGTAGTAGGAAGGAGCGAAGCTGTCTCAGCTGAGAGGGGTAGCTACTATAGTCTCGTGCCCAAGCACCGCGTCACGTCTGTAGCTCTCCTTCCCCAGATATGCAACCCCGCTTAGCACGGACCGTTTGTCGCTGCAAGTAGTCTAGTCGGCGGGGCAGGAACGTCGATCGGAGCTCCCCGCGTGCTGACCCTTGCTGGGCTGCCTCGATCGCATGCGTCCCTGAAACAGCCATGATGAGCCATCAAAGGACGATGAATAGTGTGAAGTTACTTGGAACTTGGGTGACTCAAGATTGATCTAGGAATCCAAGGCGAGGGCCAGAGAGTCGCTCCATTGGACTTCACCCAGACTAGCCTGCACGGACCAGGCGTTCATGAACAGAGCATCGAGAAAGCACGACCTGGGCCCGCGTTGCTGTCGCTAGACATTGAAATGAGAACAGTAGATAGACCCATGCCATTTCCTACGCAAGTTGTCTGGCCATGGGTTTATGTTAGGAGGCTGCACGCCAGAAAGTATATGCGATAAGCTGAAACTCAATTGCTCGTTGCAGCTCGGCCCGCTTCACTACCAAGGTACTGCTTTCTTTTCCAGTGGCCAGATCGACGAAGCTTCTCAGCTGACAGACAACGCGCTTTCTAAGCCTGATCAGCCTTGCTTGCACGCATCTTCTCGCATCCGACCCGAGCCAAGAAGCCGACCCTCAATAGGGTACCTAGGCAACGGCCAAAGGTCATAACAGTACCCAATCCTCGCCGTGCCACGACGCGAATTGCAACCGATTCTGTAATCTGAAAGAGTCTCAGGCCCATCATATGAGGGCAACATCCATGAGCAAGGTGGCAGCCTGTGTGCACCTCCAAACCTTTAGATCATCGGTAGCCTGTAGTAGGCCGCCCATCAATCAGAATACAGCATTGATTAATTCTTGCACTTCATTCAAGGAAGAAACCAAAAACCCTAGCGCCTACGTTGAATTTCAGCCACCTAACTTGCAAGTTCTCGTCTTAGTGTATGCTGCAGACCTGTTCAGGTTTTTCGTTGTATATCGTGCTTGCGTTGTGCTGATATTAGACGGGAATTTTTGAAGCCAAGGCGGACAAGGAACGCCAGTTAGTAGATGGAAGCGTCGTTGACTGCTGCCGTGTCAAGCTAAGGATAATAGTGCAATTGTGTAGCTGTGAAGTAGCGGAGATGTCTCGTGAGAACGTGGATGGTGGACCCGTGAACGCACGGACGCACCGTGTGTTAGCGCGACATTGCCCCAAGTGACAGCATGGAACAAGTCAACCGCAACATGGCGGCACCAAATCATTCGGACGCGTCGCTGGCGGCCGAGTTGGAGCCAACGTCCGCTCAGTCGCCTTCGATACCTACCGCTGCAGCATTGACTAAGCAGCCTCCTCCCGAGACGAAAGAGAGCTTATGGCTGCGACGCCTGTCCATCCTCTCCTTTTGGGTGGTCGTGGTGTTTCTGGGCCTACCAATATGGCTTAAGACAACCGCCATCTACAGGGCAGAGCTGCCGCTGCAGGAAATGACGGACTGGGCCGAGGGCAAGGTAGAATCTCCCAAAATATTGCATCCTGTCCACAATACGCTGACACCACCATGGCAGGTCTGTAAGCCAGTCTTCCCTCTGCGCATAGCTGTAGAGGCCCCGATCCCTTCCAACGATGCGCAACATCTCCTCCGTACTACGCAGCATGCCCTCGACGATATCAATGATTTTTCTGCCCACCACCTCCGACTGATGCTCGCCGACTCTCCCTTGCAGCAAAACGCCTCGCAGCAAGTCATTGTGGATGGAACCAGCATCCAGAGCGACGACAGGGACGTGGCTCTAGTCATCCGATTGATACCTGTCGAGACGGGCGCGACGCCACGGTCGCAGCTGCAGCCATATTCGCCAACGCTAGACGTATACTACTCGCCAAACCAGATCCCATCCCAGTCTTCGACTGGCTCCAGCCTCGCTACATTCCTCGCTCAGGAATTACACAATATATTCGGGGAAGAGCAGGCGCAATTGGCGCACGTGTTGTCGGCTACTTCTGGTGCACATGCCGCCAAAGTCAAGGCGCTTTCCCCAGAAACGTCCGCAGAGCTTCAACGCCAGTCCACACGCGCCCTGAAGTATGCTCCAACATACCACCTGACGTTCTCCTTGTTCAGTCCCTCATACGCTCCTTCCCAGTGGGACATCGACACTGCACTCCAGACGTATATGAGCTCCCTCCTTGACGCCTTCTCCGCCATCAGCAACTTCACCGTCGATACGCAAGTACAGCTCTACGCGACATTCGCTCCGTCCGTCCGCCAGCCGGAATACGACGAAACTGCAAAGGCATGGACTCTTCGCAAGGAAGATCTTAGTGGGTTCGTGAACGCGGCTGAGTGGCCCCTCAGTCCCAGCATTGGCGAGGGCCCAACAGTCAACTTCATTTTGTATGTACCGGATCACACGCAGTCACCGCTTCTGGTCAAAGAGAACGCAGGTAACAGCTGGTTGATTCCGCAATGGGGTGGCGTGCACATTCTGAACCTGGAAGGCGAGGCAAACACGCCGCCTGCTTTGTCTGCTGAAATGCTCGCCCCAGCGATGCATACGTTCTCGAATCAGCTCATCTCGTTGTTCGGTCTGCCACAGAGCCCGGCTTCGTTGCCACTTCGTATCTCAACCCTTGAACGTGTCCGAGTTGCATCTCTTATCTTCTCGGCGTCTTCCACATTGGGAGCCTTGGCTCAAGTGTACCAGAAGCTTCCTTCTATCCCAGTACCCGATAATGTGGCCCAGTCTACGCAGGAGACGATTGCACATTTACAGCAAGCCTGCGACTACCTTCGAGATGGCCGGTTTCCAAGCGCTCTGGAACACGCCCGAGCTGCAGAGGTGGAGGCTGAAAAGGCTTTCTTCGAACGCTCCATGGTTGGACAGGTCTACTTCCCTGACGAGCACAAGGTTGCTGTGTACCTACCCCTACTAGGACCCGTTGCCGTGCCTCTTGTCATGGCTGCTTTGAAAGAGCTGAAAGCGGTACTAAAGCGAGGCTGAAGGCTGCATCGCTTAGTTTAGTCCCAGTACGCCTTGTGGATTCCACAAATATTTGTACCCAGATCCCACTGGGTCGTCTCAATCGCTGATGATTGATGCATAATTTGAAATATGTTCCGCGGGAACTGCAGTATTACACAGAGAGAGCCATGCAGTCGCTTCATGAGTCCTGTTTTGTGGTAGAACAATAGGCTTACGCGCACGGCACACTATACTAGTCCGTCAGGTGTGCACTACTGTACGAACCTGGGAATCGTCCAACTAATGCCCCGCTGCGGGGTAGCATAGTGCGGAGCGAGGAACCTCTATCATCACTGCTCATGCGACTCATAGGTCCAATATCAACAAGTCAGCGTCTTAAATGTTCGCCCTGGTCGGTTATCTTGTGTCCGATACCTGTCATTGGTCTTCCGCGTTCGCTTGGCCTAGAAACTTGCTCGGGCGTTGGCTTACTTCTACCATAAATAGTGCATATAGTTCCACTACTGATCTCTGGATTCAGCGTAGCATGTGTGATGCTGGGGGCGGGATATTGATACCCTCGGTACATAGCACAGCTTCTATAAGATACCTCTGTTTCACGATCAACCTGCTCTGAGCACCCTCAGAAGAATTCCCTCTCATTATGCCTCTTTCAACCAAAGCTGTCGAAGATATCAAGAGCACACTAGATGCTTTCGTTGGAGATGGCTCGCCGGGTCTCGCCTTCCACGCTATCGACAAATCGGGCAAAACACTTGTCGAGCATGCTTCAGGTACACTGGGTATAGACTCTAAGGAGCCTATGAACACTCAGACCACCACCTTTTGGATTGCTTCTTGCACAAAACTGGTTACTGCAATTGCTGTGCTGCAGCTTGTTGAGCAGGGCAAGATACCTTTGGACGATGCTGAATTCATCAAGAAAACCGTGCCGGAGCTATCAGAGAAAAAGGTCTATGCAGATGGCGTCAATGGTGTTGAGCAGGAGAAGGGCATCACGGTACGAATGCTATTGAGCCATACCGCAGGATTTGGATACCGGTTCGCGGATCCGAGACTCGTAGCGGATGGCATCGAAGGAAGCAGTGGAGACAAACGCGACATCCTCGATGCGAAGCTCGTAAACCAGCCGGGCAGTATGTGGGAATATGGAGTGAGTTGCATCTACATTGTTCTTTCCGTCCCAGAAATTGATAGAACCGCAGCTCAACATGGACTGGGCCGGTATCGTTCTCGAACGCGTCACGGGGCAAACACTAGGGGAATACTTCCAAGAGCATGTCTTCACGCCCGTAGGCATCGCCGCAGAAGGCGCAACCATGTTCCCCTCCAAGGAAGCGCAAAAGAACCTAGCACACATGCACCAACGCGAGACCGATGGCACCCTCCAAGAGCGCGAACATCTCTACAACGGCCCTCTGTCTTGCCCCAAAGAAAACCAAAAAGACTTCCTCCAATCCGGCGGCGCAGGACTCTGGTCAAGACCTAGCGAATACGTCAAGATCCTCGCTGCTCTATTGAACGACGGAACCAGTCCACAGACTCAAAACCGCATCCTCAAGAAGGAGACTGTCGATCTCATGTGGGAGAACCAAATCCCCTCCCAACCCGACTTTGCACGTGCCAACGTCCCACCCCCGAACCCTTTGCTCGTCAACCAAGCAGCGGATATGTATCCTCAGCCTGGAAACCCTCCTCAGGGATGGGGCTTTGGTGGTTTCATTACCATCGAGCCTGGTCAGTCTGGTCGTGGGGCTAACACGCTGTGGTGGATGGGCTTGTGCAACTGCTTCTGGTGGGTGGACAGGGAGAAGGGAGTTGCGGGTATGATTGCTTCGCAGGTGCTTCCCAACGGCGATCCCAAGGTCATTCCGGCTTGGTTTATGGCTGAGAAGGGTGTTTATGATGGGTTGGAGTGAGGTTGATGGATGTGATATGTAACGTGCTTTTGATTGGCCGTGTCGCGTATCAACGCGTGCAAACAGAGGCCGTTGGTTTGAAAGCAGGTGATTGAAAGCAACCGCACTAGAAAAGACCTCAAAATGCCTCCATGTGCAGCAGCAATCCAATGTCTGAGCACGCGTTTGCCTGTCAAATGGATATGTGAAGATACAAAGCAGACGTCCTCCAAGACGCAATCAAGAAGCAATATCCACCTCTACTACAAGACGCTACTTAACCTCACTTCGACGAATCTGACTATCTACTCGTCACCTCACTCCTCAATCTACATTTTGCAATTCAGCGAGTCTCAGCCACTACATTCGCGCAGCATCACGATGATCCTCTCCCGCCTCCTATCCATCACCCTCCGCTTCGCGCAATCCGTCTGTGCAGCCGTAGTCCTAGTCCTGGCATCCACCCTCCTCCACCAAATCCGCCACAAAGACGACAGCGACTGCCATGGCCGCCTCATCTACAGCGTCATGATAGCCGGCATATCGGTCGTCGCATCCCTCCTCTGGCTCCTACCAACTACCTCTCATATCGTCAATCTAGTTGGTGACGTGCTCTTCTGCGGCGCGTGGTTCGCTGTCTTCGGCTTGCTACAGGATTACTACGCGAACGGCATGGGCTGTGGTAGTATCTGGGCGTGGGATGGGATGACGGTTATGAATGGGATGTGCAGTAGGTGGAATGCAGCTCAGGCGTTTTCGTTTCTGAGCGCGGTGTTTTGGTGCGTGAGTTTTGGGTTGGGGGTCGTGGTTTGGAAGAGGGGTGGTGGGAAGCGGGGAGGTGCAGGTGGAGTGTAGTGGTGTGCATGGCGGTTTTGTGACGAAGTATTTAGCAGTCGCTACCTCTTGCGAGACCTGCATCTGCAGCGGATATCTTGGATGTTTGATCGTTGCATCTTTCGTGCGGCTAGAAGTTTTGAGGAAGCCATGGACGGGACCTCGGGACGCGCTGTCACCTTAGACTACATAGGCCTCGTGTAGAAAACACTATTAACTCCTACAAGAATTACGCCCGGTAAGTCCCAACATAAGAACTCTTGTCGCCGTGCAAGCCTGAGCTACAGATCCACGCTACATGCATATCTCGCCGTTTTGCGTCTGATTCGCTGCCGGTCATCAGGCGTCCAAGGGGTCCGTAGATCCTGCGAGATTTTCCACTCGTCTAGGCTGCCAGCGTCCGCGTCTGGCAAGCTCTTACTCTTTTCCTTGGGAAGCGAGATTTTGCACGACGTTTGACCCAGAGCTAGATCATCAGGCCCCATGGAAGCCTGGAATGTTGTCTCTGGCTAATGCACTGCACAGGCAGCATGCTGTCTACGTCTGGCGCCATCAAGCCTAGGTACATGGCGCGCTATGTATAAAGATATTCCGTTGTCTGCTCTTCTTACTCACATCTTCGCGGCCGATATTGCACTTCACATCTCGGAATACCTGCACCATGCTCTCTCCTCTCACCCTCGGTCTCGTCTTGCTACCACTGCTTAGCGCAGCGTATCCCGAGGAGCCTCCGACGACTGCGGCTCCAGACACCGTCGCAGACTGCACATGGTGGCAAGTCGCCGCTGAGACCGACACATGCGCCAGTATAAGTGAATACTGGGGCCTCACAGATGCGCAGTTCACGACATACGTACGACGCGAACACCACAACAATCTACGCACATACTAACGCCTGAAACAGAACCCAAGTCTGGCTGATGGCTGCAAAATCACTCCGGGTAACTCTTACTGCGTCGAAAGTAACTTCGGCTTGCCTCCGCCGTCATCTACCACCAGCACTCTTGTAACCGTAACAAGCGCCAGTCAGACACCTATGCCTACTCCCACGACGCTTTTGGGGATCTGCGAAGAAGAAGCTGGTTCTTACGCGAGGTATTGCCCACGCTGTCTTTACCGCTGCGAAAAAGAGACACAGTACATCTCAGAGTGCTTCTACAGTACTTTCTTCAGTATCAACGGCGTTCAGAGTCAATGCTGGCAGCATGGCGGCAATGACTGTGCGAACCAGGCGGCCGCTGCTGTTTGTCCAGACCAATAGGCTATGTCGCGGCAACGCAGCTTTTAAGTAAGGTGGAGCAGATCTCCGAAAGACATGGTACTGGGTACATGGTTAAAGATATCGGAGGAGAGAGCTGATGAACGCCAAGCATGGCATATCTACTCCACGTGTTCCACGATCTCGGTCAGATCTATCGGAGATTTGGAGGGATAATCTGATGGATTTCCTTCGTCATCTTGATGCGCCGTTGCACAGGCGGTAGGCTACGCACACGCAGATACCAGTACAGCGTACGAGTTTCAGCAGACAATATAGATGAAATCCTCGATTTAGCGGCGGTGGAGAACGGGTGAGTTATACGAACCTTGGAAGTCCTTTGCGGTAATGAGTGACCATGATGGCGATGTCATAGCCGTCAAAATTAACAACTTGCCCACCTCTTCGCATTCGCGATCGCAATCTAAGCCTCTCGGACAATGCTACATCTGATACCGTCAATCAGCGTTGAGGACATCCGCTAACATGCACTAGTACCGTGACGCAATGGCAAAACACCAGCGCGCCAAGCTGTATATGTTCGTTCACGTATCCTCTACATCACCTCGCCTAAACACAATGCTTGTACGTTTTCATCAGCCGAGATGCAAATAAAGATACGCGACGTACTTCCCCGCAATCACCATACTATGGCTCGATGCACGATCTCGCGTTCGACTCCCGAGGATCTCATCCGGCACGTAACTAGCGAGCTTAACCACCGGCCAAGACAAGGTCGACCCACGACATATTAAGCTGAAGCACCCATTCCCGGCTAGCGCATGATCGCATACTAGAAGAAGCATGTGTGACCTCTTCACCCCGGATTCATCTATAGCAAATCGCCGAACTAGAGCCTCATCCCGGCGAAAAAGGACCGATAGAATATATCAAGCCCACATCTATTGGTGGCTGGCGCGATGATTTTAACCCTTCGCAATCAAAATGGTTGCAGATGAGAGTGTGCGGTGAGCAGCCAAGAAGTGATGGAGGACGAATGCAAGGGCTTTTTAGTGTGATAGGGACGTTCTAGCACCATAGGGACGTTTCTTGATATATAAGAGGTCTTGGACTTGACTCAGTTGCCTGCATCGCTATCAGCTCATTCTGCGTCTTCCTCGATCCTATCGCATACATCCAGCATGAAGTACTCATTCACTCTCGCCGTTGCAGCTTTGTGCGTTGAAAGCAGTGTCGCAACACCGCTCAACCTAGAAGCCAGACAAGTAAGCAACATTACTCCCTATCCCAAAGACTCTATTGACATCTTCTCAGCAAGGCAGTGGCGCAGGCCCCTACGCTCCGGGCACTTACAAGACCGAAAGCTCTCTCCAAGGCCACACAATCTACTACCCAACCAAGAGCACCGGGTCCGAGAAGCTTCCTGTGCTCGTCTGGGGCAACGGCGCGTGCAGCACTGACGGCCGCTCCAACTCAGCTCTCTTGCAAAACATTGCCAGCTACGGCTTCCTGGCCATCGCCGAGGGCGGTCCCAATGGCGGCGGCACTTCCAATGCTCAAACCATGAGACAGGCCATTGACTGGGTCACCCAGAACGCCGGCAAAGGAAACTATGCCAACGTCGATGCGAGCAAGATCATGGCCGCAGGCTTCTCATGCGGTGGCGTCGAAGCCATCGACAACATCTGGGATAGCCGCGTCGACACCATCGGAATCATCAGCTCAGGCCTGCTAACAAACTACACTGCGGCGAGTAACTGGAGGAAGCCAGTGCTTTTCGTAATGGGTGGTTCAGGCGACATCGCTTACGGGAACGTAAGTTCTCCTTACCTACTCCATTCTGTCGTGTGTGCAAGATGAACTAACAAGGATTCTAGGGTGAGCGTGACTACAAGAACATTCCTGCTGGTGTTCCAACCTGGAAGGGTAACATCCCCGTCGGCCACGGCGGTACACTCGGCGATGCTAACGGCGGCCGTTTTGGCAAGGCGATCCTTAACTGGATGCTGTGGACGATGAAGGGAAACACGCAGGCGGCGTCGTACTTCACCAGTGGCTACCAGGCTGATGGATATCAAGTCGAGTCTAAGAGCTTGAGCTCGTTGAAGCCGTTCTGAGTGCTAGAACGCTTGAAGTGGAACGCGAAGACGTAGTCGTAAAGGATGGTACGAAAGAGACCGTATAGGATGCCAATCATCCTTACTCGAACTTATTAGACCTGAGCAAAAAACCCAGTGGCATCAACATGTGTATTCCATGATCAAGCTCTTCGACGTTGTCAGCACTCAACGCGACCACATTCCTACCCCCCACTAACCTCTCTGCGTTAAAGCTCCCGTTACCATCCACCCCACCATAATCATCGTCATTGCAGTACTGTAACACAACACATCACACTATCCCATCTCAACACTACCTCCCCCCAATATGTCCACCCCCCTCGCCACAGTAGCCATCCTCTCAATCGGGCAAATGGGCCTCGGCATCGCCGCACTCCTCACCTCGCATAGCTACCGTATAACAACCAACATCAGCGCCCGCAGCGCCGCTACAAAAGCGCGCGCAGAATCCGCCGGCATACAACTCTACGCCACCGACGAAGAGCTCGTCGCAGATGCAGATTATATACTGAGTATCGTGCCGCCACGTGACGCTGTGGCGACAGCGAAACGCGTGGTATCTGCGCTGCAATCGGAGAGATGTGAGAGGGAAAGGAGAGAGAAGGGGAAGGGAGAGGTGTGGTATTTGGATTTGAATGCTATTAGTCCAGACACAGCGAGGAGTATAGCGGAACTCTTCAAGCAGAACGAGAAAGGTGTTGTCTTCGTCGATGGGGGCATCATCGGTGGCTCACCAGCGCCGCCGTCACAGGCAGATCAAACTGCATGGACAAGGCCCGGTATCCCCCTATCGGGACCTCATCCCCTGCACTCCGCACCCGTTTCCGGGACCCATCTGGCTGAAGTCCTCAACACGCGGTATCTCGGTGACGAAGTCGGGAAAGCGTCGGGACTGAAATGCTGTTTCGCAGCGCTGTCAAAGGGGTTTACGGCGTTGGCGCTGCAATCTTTCTCGTCGGCGGAGTCGCTGGGAGTGCTGGATCCGCTGCGTGAGTATCTTGATGCGTATAATCCTGGTGCGAGACAGAAGGCGGAGAAGAGTGTCGTGGGGTGTACGGGGAAGGCGTATCGGTGGGTGGAGGAGATGGTGCAGATTGGTGAGTGTTTTCGGACGGAAGGTGGGAGGGCGGGTGATGCGAGTGTGTTCAGAGAGATTGCGGGCGTGTTTAATGGGTTAGCTGATGTTGTGGAGAGGAACGGGAAGGAGGAGATGGGAAGTGTGGAGGGTGTTGTTGGGGCATTGTTGAAGGATCAGAGGGACGAAAAGAGTTAGTGGTAGCGTAGGTGATTATTTGGCGGTACGCACATACAGTCTTTTTTGCATAGATGGGCATTTTCAGACTAGGCTTGTTCATCGTATGTGTCAAGATTGAAACTCCATACCCTGGCGCTATACTACCTAACAGAATCATGATCATCAATTTAACATAAATCATGCCCTCCGAGCATTACGACCATCACCATAGGCTAACGTGCGTCCAATGTCCATTACCGTACTCGATCCTGCAGCACTACTACCGCTGACGCCCCTCTTATGCCCAGCCTCCATACTGCTCCTGCCTTCAACCAATGCCCTTCGTCCATCGACGCTTTGTCCAACGAGCCGGCCACTAAATTGATGCCAGCAGTTGGGCGCTTGGAGGATATATTTCTCCATCGCGATCCTGAACCTGTTCCTGTAATCACGTGGCGACGTGATGGTAGGCTTGTTCTTACCGCGATCCTTAATCCAACTCTCTAGCTTCTTGTCCCAGGTGTAGGTGCGAATGCAGTCGATGATGCCAACGATGATCTCGCGTTGTGTATCGTCGAATCCTGCCATGAGAGAGTAGTCCATGACGTTGTTTTGGGATAGGAAAAGCGTATCGTTGAACACACTGGCTTTCAGCAACTTCTTGGTGTGCTCACGGACGAAGATAGGCGTCTCAGAATAGATAATGTCAACAAGGTTCTCGTCGAGAAGAACTTCATCACGTTCGCCCGTGGCTTGAATCTTACGATTGCGCATACTGCCCTTGAGATCGTAGCGGCGGTTCGGTTCGCGATCGTAGAATAGGTTCTCCATAACAAGCATGTACCAGTCAAAGTCCCGACCGGTGGGTGTTTTGATCTGGACTTGGAAGAGTCCAAACATCTTAGCGATGACGCTGGGCAGTGATTTGAAAAGATTCTGGTGCGTGAAGGCAAAGTAGTTGGGGCCGAACTTGAAGAATGCTTGAACTTCGACTGGAGAGAGTGACTTCAGGACAAATCGGTCGTCGAGGGTCTTCAAAAAGATTGACTTGGATTTCCCGCCCTTGGAATCCCATTTCGAACAGCGGGAGAGGGACTCCACGAAACGTTCTGCTACACCGCATTTGCGGCGGAGTGCGTCGAAAGACTGGGCGTAGAATATCTTGCAGTGCGCCTTTACTCCACGATTGGTGAAACTGTAGCGGATGTTGTGGTTCTCTTCATGGAGCAGATTTCGTTCGACTGACTCTTCAAACGTTTCCATAACGCCATCACTTGAAGGAAAATCGCGGAAAGTTTGTCGTTTGGCAACATAATCTGGACACGAGAGCGCCAATGCAATGATGGAACTGGGTTCGTCTTCTCGAATGATGATATCCGAGTTCTCCCAGACGTGCTCGATCTGTGAGAATGGATACTCAAGCGGCGTCCATCCACTTGCTGATCGTTCGGACCAGAAACTGGTAAGAATTTTGAGTAGCGTGTTCTTCTCGTGTTTGGGAAGCTCAAGAGAGTTTTCAAGCTGCGAGTCACTTAGACTCAGAAGTTGAGAGCCGGCGAGGCTTTCCGGTAGAGGAATGTCTTCTGGGGTAGTCTCCGTATCACTGATGTCGTTCTCGGGATCTGATGGGAAATGGCTTGGAGACTTGGGTGACTCATCGCTGCTGGGAAGCTGGGCCATTTCATCATGAGGGTGTCGCCTCTCCACTGGTGATTGTGATGCTGTTGTATCGCCTGTGTGCTCTGTGAAAGTGCTGTCGCCAAGGGTACTGTTATCCAGACTCGCCCGAAGAGGAGTTGGAGTACGTAGATCTTCATCGGAATCTTCATTTTCCTGTACAGCGTCATGGACGTTTTTGTACACCTCGACAACCGGTTTAGAGGAGGCGAGTGGGAACGCGCGCACTTGCCTAGCTCGATCATTACGTCTCTCGCGCATACGCTGGTTCTGAAATTCTCGTGACAGCTGTTCGAAATGCTGCGCAATTTTCGATACCTTGTTTTGGCTCTTATAAGGTATAGATCGAGGTATGCGAGATGAGGACTTAGATTGCTTTGGGGTAGATAATCCTAGCCCGAGTCGCTCAGTCATACGCTCAAAAGCCTTTGTAGAGTCGTTGGCGTTCGGCTTCGGACTAGTGGGTCCGTTGTTGGAGACCGATGAGCCTGGG